CCCCATCATCTGCCTTTAAACAAGAGTCTAACAAACCTATTCTTGCAGCGTCTGCGTGGCCACGATTGTCCGCATCAGTGCCATCACGAAGATGAAAGATTCCGTCGACATCACATGGGTGATCGGCGACGCCATGATCTGGTCCAACGTCGAGCCCTGCATCGGTATTGTGAGCGCCTGTCTACCGACTCTCCGGCCGCTCCTGCGCCAAATCCCCCAGCTGAGACTCTGGGGGCTGTTCGGCAGCAGTGGACTCACGGGCGACTACAAGATGACCGGCGAGGGCACTTCCGGCACGGGACTGCAGAGCACCGGCAATCGATCGGGCTATCGGTCCTCGAATGGTAAGAAGCATCGATTCTGGCCAGACGATGACGAAATCTACCTGACTACCGACGTAGGACGTGCTAGTAGTCCTCGCAGAGAGGAAGGCGTGATCCCGTCGAATGGCTCCACCGCCTCCAGCCAGGAACCGATCGCGATGCAGATCAGGGTGAAGCAGAACTTCGATTGGAGGGAGGAGAACCCCTGATCTACGAAGTCTCTGACCTTCAACCGTCCGCTGTGTCTTTTCGGGTGATGGGATAGCCGGGTGATAGAGCCGACTACCTCTATCTAGTCATGTTACCTCTATCATATGTCTGATGACTGTATACCCATCTATAAATACCCAACTTTTCCTTTGTTTTTCATATTTACACCCAAAAGTAGACATATAGTCTCTAAAATATACGTCTTATCAGAACGCTGAGATACCTATTCACTGGATAGTCCACGTTTGTCAGATTATGTATCGTCAGATAGCTCTTGTTCATTCCCCGGGATATATTCAAAATTACTACATATTTACTCGCTAACAACACCGGTAATCAATCCCCGTACACTGAAGTTGCCCTTGTCCGGGTATGGGGTACCGAAATCGCGAGCAAAATCAATGTTGCTCTTCGGTGTCTCATACAGCTCGATATCAAAGCGACGGACCATCGTAGCGATGACCATGAAGAGCTCCGCATACGCCAAGCTTGACAGCAGTTAGTAAATGTAAACATCGTAGAAGGGCATTTCGCATCTTACTTCAAGCCCACGCACATCCGGCTTCCCTTCGAAAAGTTCACCAGATAGCGGTCCAATCGCTGGCCCTTCGCAGCGGCCCGGATCCATCGTTCCGGGTCAAATGCGTGGGGATCAGGGAAGATTTCGGGGTCCATGAGGGTGAAGTAATTTGTTTCGCTGACGGGGGTCTAGATTGTTGTCAGTGTCAGGGTTGACCCTCACAGTTTCTCCACCCGAACGGGGCCGAACTCACTCCAGGCGGGATCGTGTAGTCTTTATACACCAGCGCTTCGGTCGGCGCCACTCTGGATGATCGATTCGCGATTCCAGTTGAAAGACGCAAGGATTCGCTGATAACTCCAGACTAAAACTGACATTAGAAATGCAACATTCGGTGCGTTAATGGGGTGCGAAATACCATATACGGCAATTTCTCCAAATCATTCCACGTCGGTTGAGACTCCGGCGTCGGCATCACTTGCTTCAGCTCCTCGCGGAGCTTGTTCCGGATATCCTCCCTAGAGAGCAAATGCCACGCACCTAGGGCAAGCGATCTCGCCGTCGTCTCGGTCCCGCCAATCACCAAAGCAAACCCCTCGTTCATGAGCCTATGTGCAGATCGCATATGCTGCGGCATGGATGGTGCGGCGAGCATGTCGATCAAAGTCCCACTCCCAGCCTTCGAATCCGCCTTGTCCAGCGCGGCTGCAGCCTGGTCATAGAGCTCCTTCTTCTGGCTCGCAATCGCAAACGCAGGGGGGTTCAAGAGCTGCAAAAGGGGAAGTGGCATGACATTCATAAGCCTCTGCAAGATGGGAAAGAAGTAAAGCAGATGCGCCAACTGGAAGAGACCGTTGATGCCATCTCGGACTCTGGCATTGAACCCCTCCTTATCAAGGTTGTTGGGATTGAACCCGTACGCATACTGGTGGATGACATCGGAGGTTAGCGCCGCGAAGGCTGCGTCCAGACTGACGACCGTGTGCGCACGACAAGCCTCCTGGAAATGGCCCACGAGCTTGCTCAGACTGTCGCGGATCAAGTGCTCCTGGTTCTCGATCGCGCGCTTGGAGAAGAATTTCGCCACGGGCGCGCGCCGCTGGTGATGGGTCTCCTGGTCGATCGCTGCGAAGCCCGACCCTTCCAGGTCGAACTGCGCGACAAGGACGGGGTCCTTTTCGCGTTTGCGAGCGCTGGAGGCGTAGATTTCATCATAATAATCCGGGTCCTTGATGTGGACTTCACGCGGGTTTATGCGGATAATTGGGCCTATTCTCGGTCAGCGTTGGGCCTCTCGCGTTAGGTGGACGATTGAATAAGCTTACCGTAAACCTCGTGCAGTCGCTCGAGCTCCCAGATAAACAGGCCGCCTTTGATAATGTTGTGGTAAAATTCGTAGCCATGCGTAATCGCAGCCAACTTGGGGCCGGGGATATGGCTTAATGGGTGAAAATACAGGCGATAGATACTCTGACACGCCAAATAGGCAATCAAACCTATCCCTAATATCACCAACACGGCCATGATGACGGTTGCATTACTTGCAGACAGAGATGAAGGAGCAATAAAATTCTTACGAGTCAGTTATTATTATTTTTCTACCCGGGGGGTTCCCTGTCAGTCGCAGGAATGGCACAAGGTAATTCCACTGCCCCTATTGGCTTTTCGAGTGAGGGTACAGGTGTCACCATTGCTGATGCAGCCCACTAAGCACTAGCTCGAGACCGTTGAACTGTCTGTCGGCTGCCCCCGCTGTCCGGACGCTTTATGACCCCGTTAGCCGTTGGTGCCCCATCTTTTGCCGATGGCTATTGGTTGTACCGCCGCCCATGGGTAATAAGATAAGGACGCCGTTGTTGTAGGATAGACGGCTAGTCTTGCGAAGGCAATATGGCCGCTTGGCCTCTCCGCATTACGAGATTTGTGTGTGATTACGGATTACTGGGCAGAGTCGCACACTCGGTTACGTGAAGACATGAAAATATAGCACTGGTCGAGAAGACGTACTAGCTTTTTGATCGTGTTGTATGTATTTGCTAAGATTCTCTACCTGGTTCTTCCTCCCCCGGGAAGTTGAAGATATTCCAAGGAAATTGGAAACATTACCCAGGACACTTTGACTCTTCTTGCTAACATGCTACTCCGTGGGCCGAGGCCTGGGGAACTATTAATCTAACAGAGTAGAGGCTAGGAACGGTTGACGGGACTTTTGCCAACGCGATACCTAAAATTAGAGGGCTAGCGTTGAACTGGATCTGCTGTTTAATTTCTCTTTACGGTAGGCGGTCAATCTATTCTGGGTGCATAACAATTTCCCAATTTCCTCCCTTTCCTCGCGCCGGAATACAATCTGAAGACGGGTTAGTTTCGTGTTAGCTCCTCTGCATCATCTCGGCTTAGGGCTAACCGCCCACCGTTTGGCATGTGACCCAATGTCGAAAGGGGCTAATTAGCCTAAGTAACCTCGAGGCTCAAAATGCATGCAATTCTAACCTTGAACTAAGACTACAAAAACCGGATGAGCTAGAGCACTTAACTGCCGGCATCTTCGGAGTCTGCGAGATCCCTCCCCGGACATGCGAGGAATGCTAGGAGTGCCGATCCCCGGCAAAGAAGCCCTAAACCCCCTTCCGACAACAGAAATTCATCAACATGGTGAAACTGCCATCATTTCTCACTTCTGGTCTCTCTTTGGCGCTATTTATGGACCCGCAATTAGCTGGCTATTTTTGAGGCGCTACCTCTCTAAGCCCCACCATTCCCGGATCCCGGATATCAGCAGCGGCCGGGCCTGGAATAGAACTTGAAATTCAAGTCAAGAGGTTTGAATAATCTTGTATAGGAATATATTCTTAAATAAAATGGAAACTGTCTCTATAAAGCAAATTTCTAGAAATACAGTTTCGATATATTGAAGTAAGCATAGTGAAATGGCGGGTGGATTTGCTAATGTAAGATTTGACTATTGTGACTTTTATATATATTTATCTTGCATGCTAACCGGCATGAGATGGCAGGTCTATCATTGACTGTCTTCTCCCTATTAACAATTTAATGTTATAATATTATCGTTGTCAGTTTTGATAATGAGCCTGGCATCCTGATGGGATATGACCGAACGAGGTACTATTGTCGGCACAAATTCTAGACTACAACAAGAGCGATGATCATGCTAAATTGACCCACGGCGGTATTGCATCTCCTTGTATCTGGTGCTTCTGACAACTTTGAATCTCATCCGAGTCGTTAACGTGGCGCCTCAAGAATCCTGTATGTCTTTGAGGAACATAATCCACCCACCATCAGCTTCGCAGTAGATGGATGTTGTATATAAGTTGAAGAGTACTGAATCATACAGACCCAAATTGCTAATACGCTTTTTTGTTGGACTGTTAGACAAGTTGCAGCCAACAACATGCGTCAGTGTCATCTTTGCCAAACGATATCCTGCGAATTGACAGTTATTCCTTGTGGTTTGATCGTAGTCTGGGTAAACAAGCAGTACTGAAAGCCACAAAAATTCTCACGAGACAGAGAATCTGCTGCTTCCTCTTTTGGCCTGTGGTCTCGATAAAAATATTTCAATACTACCACAACATCTGTTAAGCGTAATTTCCATCGGCTGTGAGCTTGGAAACGGCTTCGTGAACAACACCTCCGAGTGACCTCTTTGGCCATGGTTCCCACATCTCGCGCGTGTTCTCAAGCTGTCATTCTAGCTAATTTCTTAAACAGGATTATGGAGTTCTGTTGTACGTCCACTGTCCTGCGATGGAGAATTCTGATTTTGTTCTCACGGACCGTCAACAGATGCTGTCAGGGTCCCGCGGCTATTTGGCTTCTCTTGGTATCACATAAGACAGCCAACTTTCACCACCCTCACAGAACATAAGGAGCCGTTATTATTACTGATTAACGCAACAATCGGAACGGTTGCCTGTCCCATGATGTCATTTGTCCACGTCGGGTTTCAACTTCCCAATGGAACCCGCATAGTGCATGGCACTGGCGCTCTCACCAGAGATGCCTTCCCGCCAGACATGGGCATTCCAGGCCAACTTCAAACCTTCAGCGGAGGGCATGCAAATGACCCGTCTACGCCCTGTTTCTGCGGTCCCCAAGGATTATTACCTTTCAACACAAATACCCGGATGCCGCGTCATGTACATCTGGCGCCGGACCTGGCCGGCAAAGGCCATCGCTATGTCGTTGAAAAGATCATGGTCATGGAGGGGGTGGCAGTAGCTGAGCTTGGGGGCGAGTTCTACGTGATTCCGCCCTACACCCTGGTGCTAATAGGGGCTGGCGTACCACACGCCTGGACCGCATGTCCCCCAGGAATCGACTTTGGGGCATTGGGGTTTCCCACCGGCGAGAACATTGTTTCAACCGGGAAATTTGTTGCGGTGTTCGAATATGAAGCCCCTACGCCATTCTTCCCGACGGCGCAAACAAATACGCTGACTAGGGAAGAGGAATATGTCAGACACGACGATCTGCACTCCATAAGGATTCCAGGGATGACGGCAGAAGAACTTCAAGAACAGGCATGGTTTGTGTGGGGGAAAGAAGCACGGAAACTCCACTAGTTCATTCCGTCACCTATAGTTTATCTTGGGTACCATTTCGTTATCGCAATTGAGGGCAGCGAATTTATGTCTCTCATAAGTTTGTTCTCCAATCCGGGGTGCTCCCCTTTTCTGGCTGTCAAGTATAATTTGAATCCCAAGACTATTTCGGTAGAGCTAGCCACGGTGCGGGAACCCTACATTTGCCATATAGCCGTAAAGGGTGTTAGATAAAAGGGGTCGGCTATATGGGTTTGCCCAGGAGTATACATCCGGTGACAAATATTCCGAATTACTAATACACTAGAAACCAGCCAAATGTAGATCGAAGACTTTTACGGTAGAATCGGACAAAGTAACTGGTGCATATATTGTCTCTTGCAGTGCTTAAACTTGATAAAGAGCCGCGGAACTGTGCGGCGTGTACAATCATAACAACCGCCTGAAGTGCAGTTACCGGATAATTTGATCAGGTCCGATACTGTCATCCAGCCATCCCTAAATCTGTGAAGCAGGCATCATGGGCAAAGTCACACATATTGTCCAACTCCAGTTCAAGAGTGATGTCGGCCAGTCCACCATACAGAACGTACGTATCACACGATCCATCCCTGGAGTTACCATTTCAAACCAACTAACTTCGACCCCTAACACTACTTAGACCATCACCACCATGCTTTCGCTGAAGGACAAGTGCCTCCAACGCGAGACAGGAAAGCCGTATATTGTTTCCAGTACAGGAGGGAAAGAGTGTTCTGTAGAGGGAATGCAGGTATGAGTCAAACTGTCTTGCCACTGGCCTCTAGCCAATTCGATTGCCCAATAACAGAACGGTATTACGCATGTCTTCGTCGTCGAGTTCGCATCTGCCGAGGACCGTGACTACTACGCAAAGGAAGACCCGGTGCATCTTGCTTTCGGTGCAAGTCTGGGTTCGATCGTCGCACAGGTGCAAGTGGTGGACATCGAAAACGGGGTCTACTGAGGCTACTCCAAAGTCGAAACAAGTCAATTTGATTTCACTCATTATTCAACAGTAGACTGGCGAATGACTCGGTTAGGTTGGGTTCAGGGGGAATGTTATATCTAACTGCTAGATGACAACTGATATGTAGTTAATTAGTGTGGTGAAGAGCGATCTCAGACGTGCAATTATGTCAGCAACTGGCAGCTGAATAACAAACCTTTCCAGTTCCACTTCCTTTCCGTCCATATGCGATTGCGGGGAACAGAGAAGAGAGGACATGCTGAAAGAATATAGCACGTACAAGGCACCGTGAGCAACGATCCCGAGACAATGTTGCGTCATTAGACTGCATTGAATTGCAAGCTGAAGGCACACCATCTCTCACGGATCAGCATGGTCGCTCCAGCGGGTGGGAAACATCGCCTGCGAGCCTCCAAGGCTTGTCAGAGATGCAGTCGACGCAAAGTCAAATGTGATGCCGCCGAGCTTGGTCGTCCTTGTAGCCGATGCCGCATGGACAATGTCGCTGAGTGTACATTGGTTACCTCTCGCCGAGGGACGTATGATCGAAAAAACTTTCGACGACAGATTGCGAGGCCGGGTCCGTCTTTATCGCCAACATCACCACCGTCAGCCTTACCCACCTCATCGCGTGGTCTGTCAATTGCTGAAATTGATCCGTCACCGCGGTTAGCTACATCTAGTGGCCATAGCCGAGCTGAGGCTTTTACCTCGCCCCAGCTCGCCTCTGGGGAGAACGGGCCGGTCCGCACTCCTACGACATACCAGCAGCAAATAAATGTGAATTCGAATCAACCAGTCGGCGACTCTAATGCCCGAGGTCTGGCTCGTCCTCCCGACAGTGTACCATCTACCTCCTCGGCAGCCTTGTCCGATCACCGATCACTGTCGGCCATGTTCGAAGATTTCCTCGGCCAGGCGGGCCACGAAAACTTGTGTAAGGCGAAGCTGGTTCTGTTCGGAGAACCTTCGCCCTTAACCTTTGCCCTGCAGCTGCGAAGGGACATGAATTCAGGCCTCCACGACGCTAACCAGCGTATCTTATCCAGTGATTCGCTGACCGTAGTCGAGGAAAATGTCCATCCGAAGCATCTACTCCCGCATGACATTGAGTGTCTGAAGGCGAAGGGAGCATTTATTTACCCAGAAGCGGAAATTCTGGGGGAGATGATTAACGTGTTTTTGGACCGATTCTACCCTCTGTACTCCGTCGTGAACCCGACAGACTTACGCAAGGCACAAGAGGAGCGGAAACTGCCGTGGATCTTGCTCCATTCAGTCTGCTTTATCGCGATGACTTTCTGCGAGTCGGCCATGATCTACCAGGCTGGGTTCAGCTGTCGCGCACAGGCGCGTCGGCTCTATTACGATCGGGCCAAGGCTCTTTTCGACTTTAATTACGAGAATAATAAAATAATCCTGGTGAAAGTTGCCATCCTACTCAGCTTCAAGGGGCCGCAGATGGATTGTTACTGGAACCCATGCTCGTGGATTGAGATTGGAGTGACAATGGCTGTGGCCCTTGGAATGCACCGCAAGTCCATTGCAATGAATGGGAAATCCAATGACCGAGGCCTACTCAGACGGTTATGGTGGACGTTAGCCGTCCGTGATGCCCACTGCTCTGCCCTGCTGGGCCGACCTTTCCGTATCAATATGGCCCAATGCGATATTGAAATGTTAAAGGAGAATGACTTCCCCGACGAGCACACGTGCCGATCCCCAACAACCCCGTTAAGCTGTAACTGCCGCCAGTCGTTCGAGTACCAGATTCAAGCCACCAAGTTATCACTTTTCCTCCGAGATATTATGCACTTCCGCTTTGGGCCGACCAGTGTAAGCTCTACAATTGGCATAATCCACGAGCAACTTATGGGCTGGAAGGCACAGCTCCCAACCGCTATGCAATTCCTGCGAGGCCAATCTTCGGTATCGACATGGGCTGTACAGCTCGATATCCTACTCAATTACCACATCATGCTCCTACATATGGACCAGCCTCGACAATCAAGACCTAATCCGTCGTCGCTCTCGACCGCGGTGCCCGGCGGCTACGACTCCACTGCCATTGCAGAGTCATCGGCCCTAGCTGTCTCCTCGAGTGCCATTAAACTCATAACACGAGATTCCATCTGCAATACCCCCCACGAAGTGTTCCCTGGGTTTTTCATGGCAGGCATCATACTTTACCAGCAGGCACAACAGGCGCAGAACACCCACCTAGCGAGAATGATCAGGGCCAGTTTCGATAACTGCCAAATGCTCTTGACTCAGGCACAGAATACATGGGACCCGGGGATTTGGGCAATGAAGGTTTTTGAATTTCTTCTGCTTGCTGCGGACGCAGTCGACGCTGCAGAAGCTCAGATACCGTCGGGGGACAGTCATGGCTACCAAATGGCTCCGTCATCATTGGACATTCATCATGCCCAATCTACACACCCTCAGGTTCCAGGATATGCAGGCGTGGAAAATTCGACTTGGTCGGAGATCCCCGCTAATGAATTTGATTGGAATGTGGCCGTGGATTTGGCAGACTACATGCTTCTACCAAACTTTTTTGCTCCTCCGTTCGGGAGCTAGAACGGCCTTGCGATGCTGTATATCCTATCGACTTAGAGTTGTAGAGTTAACCATCGTGTAATTATACCTTTCGGAATTGGCACTCATGGCGAGGGAGGCGTGATTTGAGCTGATGTTGTTCATTGGATGAACCAAGGTAGGAAACGGAACAAAATACTAGTAGGGGCTTTTAGAAATCCGTCCGCGGTTACGCGGGTATATGCATATAAGGATACACATGCCACATATAAAAGGACCACGGTCTTTCCAGAACAAATCGAGGCTTTGGATGCTAAGTTGCTGTCTCTGCTATGATGTTTAATCGAATTGCGGTTTATGGCCATCGGGGGTCGGCTAGCTCAGCCATTGTTGCAGCCCTCCTTGACTCGGGAGCCCCAGTCAAGGTACTGTACCGGCCCGGGTCCGATATATCTTCTCTGCCGGACTCGGTCGCTAAAACTGTGGTCGACCTGGACAATCCAGACGCAACGGTTGCAGCTTTGCAGGATGTGGACATTGTCATGTAAGTTCATGGCTATGAGTGTGCCATCGAGAAGTACAAGAAGTCAACCGTGCAATCTAGATCCCTCGTAGGACACGAGGGCGTTACCCGTCAGCTTGCTCTAGTCAATGCTATCCCCAAAACGAACGTTCGGCTTTTCGTCCCTTCCGATCTCGCTGCACGCTATGACGAACAGGGGCTGCGAATTCCAGTGAACCACGCCAAGGACGGCATTGAGAGAGCCGCGCGTGCTGCTGGCATTCCGGTGACAGTGGTCCTCACCGGAAACTTTGCCGAATTTGCCTTAGCTACACCGTGCGTATTCCGTCTTCTTAGTGGAGTTTACGATTGGCCGGAAGATGGTTGGCTAACGCGGTTGCTCAGGGCTATGGGAGTAGACCGTCGCAACAACAGGATTATCTTCACGGGTGAGAGTGAACATAAGGCTCTAAACCTCTGGTATGTGATACTGCTAGTACTATTCAGAATGTTTCGATCATGCCAGTGCACCGATCTCCTGACTGGAAGCTAGCACAAAACCTTATGTTGCCGCCGCGTACGCCTCCCTCTTCGCCTCAACCTCTATCGACCAACTCAAGGACCGCACTATAGGCCTGTGCGAGATTCGGGCAACAGGAAGTGAAATTGCCCACATGCTGACAGAGCAGCATGGCTCCAGAACATGCCGCAAACATGAGTCTATGGAGTCCATCGGCGAGTTAATCGAGACCTCTCTCGCCACCGGAAGTAACTTTGCGCTGGCGTTCTACTGCCGCAAAATTTGGGGAAGCGGGCAACAGACTCAGATGATGGGAGACGACTTTTGGGATGTGAAGGTGTACCAGAAGGCGTCGTTGCATGATCTCATTGTGGGGGACCGGCTCCAAGAATACCGCCTGCTGCCACCTGCGGTACTGGAATCTTTCGAGTCCCACTTTGAACAGGGTGTTTAATGGTGTCAGCCGTAGTAAAGGTCTATTTTCCGAGAGCTGAGAGGCTTTCTAGCTTTCGGATGCGTCACCTTGTGGCATCGGAAGTGCGGTCGGCTATGTCTCTTTTGCCGCGGCTACATGCCTACCAAGCAACGCCGGCTTATTTTTGTCCCCAATTGGATAATTGTGTTAATTGGAGTCCAAAGAGTAACATTGCTACTGGAAATATCTCTCTAGTTGGAGTCTGGGTATTTCGAACTCCCCTCCTTCCACCGTAGAACCGCCTTGATCGCTCGCCCATGTTTCAAGTCTCGGAATGCCTGCTGATAGTGCTCCACCGGATAGTATGTAATGAGCTTTTCCACAGGAAACTTGCCCTGTTTGTGTTGATCGATCAGGTATGGAATCATCTAGGATACCCCGACTTTGTAAGTAGCAGGTTCAATACGGCCATGCATATGCAACCACATACCTGCTCAGCAACACTCGACCCCTGGTGACAGCCTACGTACTCTCGTCCCAGCGTTAGATGGGCAAACACATCTACGCCTGCTCTCTTCCCTGGCGCCGGCGAACCGACGCTGGCGGCTCGTCCACGGGTGGCCAACGAATCCAACATTGTCTCGATTACCTGCGTGACCCCCGAGCAGTCAACTGCGAATTCCACCCCGTTGGAAGGCGCGCAGATTGCAGAGATTTGTTGCGAAACGTTGGTTGACCCTAGTAGTGTATGAGTTGCTCCTAGTTCACGCGCCATCTCCAGTCGTGAATCCTCTAGATCCACAGCGATGATAATGCTTGCTCCTCGGAGCCGCGCTGCCATAATAGCGCTCTGGCCCACTGCGCCCACTCCGAACACTGCCACCGAAGTACCCTCCTGCACGTTGAGGGTGTTAAGGACTGCGCCTGCCCCGGTTTGCACCCCACACCCCAGGGGGGCAAATATATCTAGCGGGGTATCCGCTGCAACGCGAGCTACCGAGGCACGATTGACTAGGGCAACACGGCAAAAAGAGCTTTGACCGAAGAAATTGGCAAACACCTCTTGTTCGCTGTTGGGAAGGCGTATGGTTCTGCTTCCATCCGGCCTCTTGCCGCCAAAGTTCTGCGCTACCAAATTGTCACAGTACGCAGGCTGGCCGCACAGGCATTGCTGACAGCCCGTGCAGAAGTTGTAGCTAAGGATGACCTTGTCGCCCTCGCTAACATCCTTGACTCCCTTCCCTGTCCGGAGAACCACCCCAGCACCTGTTTAAATGTCAATACAAGCATGGTTCTACCGGAGACTCCAGTCGTGTAGAGCATTAGGATTGAAGGCCTGAGATAAATTGGCTCACCTTCATGTCCCAAAACACAAGGAAACCCTGTCGGCAACTTGCCCTCCATGCAAGCAACATCCGTATGACAAATGCCCGTAGCGTGCATTTCAACCAAGAGCTCATCGTCCCGTAGGGTATCTAGAATGACGGGGCTTAATCGGGGCTCGTTCCCCACTGCAGATACAACCAAAGCTTCCGTGTGGTAGGCCATTGTGATGCAATCGTAGTATAGAAAGGTTTGACTGCAAGCTTTCTTGTTCCTGTTTTCGGTCGCTCACGGGGAAGAACTAGCGTTCTTTTTAACAGCCCCCGTTTGGCCCTCCGATAATTTTCCGATATGAGGCCCCAACGACAGTGCTAGGAGCGTTTTGGTGGCCTATCGGCAACATGGGTGCCCCGGAATATATCTCTCTCTTCCCCGTCTCCCCACCTCCGCAGGCCGGAGTCTCGGGATTCTATGCTGGAGGCCATCGGATGTGAGCAGGATATCGGATCGGGTAGGGACAGTCTTCATATGAAACATAGTCTATATGGAGAAATTGCTACATATATAGCCTTGAAGTATAGAAGGCCATGGGGCTAACTTTCACTCCAACACCTTTAGCTGAGTTACACTTGAGTAAGCACTGACACCACAATGACTACCCCTGAGATCGAGACCCGTCTCTTCATTGACGGAGAGTTTGTGCCTGCTCTTGATGGTTCCACATTTAAGGTTACGAATCCTTTCACCGGTGAGACTGTAGCAGAAGTGTCTGAGGCCAAGGCAGATGATGTGAACCTAGCGGTTGAGAGTGCTAAAAGGGCCTTTCCAACCTGGTCGGGGTTAGATGGTATTGAACTTCGTACCCCAGGTAGACTACTGACATAGCCATGTTCCTGACTACTGTGGGTAGGATCCGAACGGCGACGTCTCATGTTGAGACTGGCTGACCTTGTTGACGAACATGCGGCGGAATTTGCGCGCTTGGAAGCTCTTTCGATGGGGAAGCCTGTATCGACCTATATGGATCAAGTAATGGGCACAGCAACACTGAGATGTATGTCCATTTTGTATTCTCACTGGAACGTTCTATTATAGGAAGGTTAACGCGTGAGTACACCTGCAGACTACGCCGGCAAGGCTCTGGATATCCACGGGGCCACGTCCCTAACTTCCAAAGACCATCTAAACATCTCCATCCGGCAGCCATACGGTGTAACTGGGGCGATCATTCCATGGAAGTAAGTCCCATATCATATTGCGTTTTCGCAACTCGGGTGCGGTCGCTAATCTCGCAACAGTGTCCCAGTAATCATGATCTGCTTCAAGGTCGGGCCGGCTCTTATTGCGGGTAACACACTTGTGCTCAAATCCTCTGAAAAGGCGCCCCTGACCTCACTCCTCTTCGCTCGGCTGGCTAAGGAAGCTGGATTTCCTCCGGGTGTCCTCAATGTTTTATCTGGCTTTGGTCTGCCGTGTGGGGATGCCATTGCTAGACACATGGATATCCGAAAGATAGCTTTCACGGGCAGCACTAGGACAGGCAAGCTTATCCAAAAGGCTGCGGTTGACTCAAATCTCAAGTCTTGCACACTAGAACTAGGGTATGTCCCTGCCAATGGTCTCAAACTCACGCGGAGCTGATTCGCATGGAACAAAACAGTGGCAAAAGCCCCCTGATCGTGTTTGAGGACGCTGATCTGCAAAAAGCAGCAAAGGCAGCTGCGTTTTCGATCGTTTTCAATTCTGGTCAAGTCTGCATGGCGTCTTCACGGGTGTATGTTCAGGATGCTGTTGCAGATGAGTTTAAAACACTGTATGCCCAGGCTATCGAGGCGGTTGCGGGCCAGGCAGGCAACCCCCTCGAAGAAACGACGAGGTTCGGTCCCCAAGCAGATGAACATCAGTTCAAAAGCATTTCCAACTATTTGCAAAAGGCGCAGGACGATGGTCTTCAGCGCCTGTCCATTGAGAAATTGACACCGCGGGACGGCGTAAACTTTGTCTCTCCGGTTGTGTTGCAAGATGTACCGGAAGGTCATTCTCTTATGAAGCAGGAGATCTTTGGGTTTGTTTTGGCCCCTTATTCGTATCTACAGAAGGCCGATGGTCATGGAGCTAACATGGTCTGTTGGTAGAGCCGTTTCCTGTCTTAACACTTTCAGCAGTGAACGCGACGTGATCCGGGCGGCAAACGACTCTGAATACGGACTTTATGCCAGCGTATTCACTCGAGACATTAACCGAGCCATACGTGTGGCGAAGTACTTTGAGGCCGGCTCGATAGGAGTGAATACATCCTCACCATATTACTGCCAGGACTTGCCTCTTGGGGGGTTCAAGGGATCTGGCACTGGGCGGGAGCTGGGGGATGAAGGCCTAGAGGCATGGACAGAGGTGAACTCTATTTACATTTCACTGGTCTAGTAGAATTCTCTCTCTAGTCGATGTTTGTACTGTAGGGGTGATAGTCAATAACTAAGTGGAAGGCTATATACAAACAATGGGATGACTATAATGTTGTTGATATTACCGTCCCTGACGAGTTCTAGACTTGGTTAATCCAAAAGTCTGAACCCAAGGGCATTAGTCATAACACTCATCCGTCATATCATATCGTGAGTTTGACCTCGGAGAGTTACGATGGGAAGCGGGAGGTTGTTCTACCGTGCGGCTGTTTGCCTTAGCAAACCATATAGCCGAACAACTCTGCATAGAAATCTCAAGATATAAAATCACCGCGTATGAATACGTAGATCGAGCAATAATCCCTACGGTTAACAACACCACGCTCCTTAATCAAACAGAAAACTTTCAAGTTCTCGCTATGCCGTCTGTATTCTTAGTAGGCCCTGGCTTGATTGGCGGAGAGGTACTTGACCTTCTGATTAAGGGCGAAAAATATAATATCACAACTCTCGTGCGCAGAGAAGCCGCCTGTCCGGCCTTCCACGAGCTCGGGGTACAGACTGTGCTCGGGTCTTTGAGTGACAAAGATGTGATTGCAACGCAAACAGCCGCTAGCGACATCGTCATCCACACTGCCACTGCCGACGACTTGCCCTCCGTGCAGGCCATTCTGGAAGGCGTGCGAGAACGCACCCAGCGCCGGCAGCAAACTATCTACATCCACACGAGTGGTGCAAGTCTCCTCGGTGATAATGCGGAGGGTTCATACAGGAGCGATTTTATCTTCGATGATGAGAACCCGAGCTCTATTGACGCGCTGCCAGACGCCGCAGCTCACTGAGAAATCGACCTGGCGATTGTGAATGCACGGAAAGAGCTCTCCTCCTACGCCAAGTTTGCTATCATGATTCCGCCGGTTATTTACGGCGTCAGCACCCGCGAGAAGCGGCTTTCTATCCAGCTGCCGACTATGGTGCGGTACTCAATCAAACATGGATATCCCGGTGTGATCGGTGATGGCCTCGCCGTGTGGAATCAAGTCCATGTCAAGGATCTCGCCCGCGGGTACCTAACTCTCCTACACTGGCTGGAACACGCCTCGTGTGAGCATGTCGCCGAGAACCCTTATTTCTTCTGCGAGAACGGTCAGGAGCTTTCCTGGGGGCAGTGTGCTGCGGAGATTGGCCGTGTCCTGCACAAGGCAGGGAAGGTGGCTGATCCGACTCCCAAGACCATCCCTCCTGAGCACTACAACGATCTGTTTGGCGAGTACTCGGGTCTTGTGATTGGGTCCAACGCGCGCAATCGTGCCAATCGACTCCGAAAACTAGGTTGGGAGCCCCAAGAGAAAAGCACATTTGCCTCCTTGACAGAGGACGAGATTCCAATGATCCTGCAGGAGACAGGGGAATTCAGAGGATATGCTGCTCCAGTTGCGTCGGGGAAGTTTGAGGGCAAGAAATGAGAGGGTCTTTCAGAAACCTGGTTTTTGAGTTCAGGACATAGTGTAAATAGTAAACTAGTCAACAGGTGCGACTCAGCTGTTTCTCGTCAACCGCAAAGCGGCCGTCGTGATGTTTGGCGCCATTGCTGTACTTTACTTCCTACCAATGTAGTTCGTGTATTTCCAAGGGAAGTGTCCCGGCCAATGTTCTATAAAGATTGCCAGCTATGTCCCCCAGCAATACATACCCATTGAAGGATATAAGATACACCTACTCTATAAATTTAGTACTGTAGCTTATAGCACGGTTCTAAAGCGATCCAGATGTTCTGTACCATCACCATCTAGGAAATAACTTACCCCATCAAATTAACCTAGCCTGGCTATTTATTTATGTAACCCATGGGCTCACGGATAAACAGATATGACGCGTCATGGCCTTTATGATAATCCCGACGCAATGATACCCTCGTGGAATATAGAGATAGAGTTTTCGAGGTATCCTTCCATAGTTCCGCTTGGTGCTAGGCGAGTTGCAACTTTTGATGGACAGCTTCTTTGACATGCGAACGCGGCGGGCCTCTTCAGGGGAGTTTTAAGAGCGCCACACAGGCATCATCATTTATGTCATCAAAGGACAAAGAGAAGAGCAAGGGAAAAGCAGCAACATAGTGCGAGCAATAAGAAAATGTTAGGAGTAGTACAATTCCTATGACTCTTTGTCCCGTCTATGTTGGGTCCATGCTAGCGTGTCTATCTGTCATACACAGGCATTAGTGCTTATAAATGCAGAGATCTATCAGAGCACAGAGTTGCACAGGGGATAAAGAGGGTTTGACGGGCTTGTCGGTAGAATAAAGAACAATCCCACAGCATACCTATTGAGGGCACTCTACCAAGATACTGGAACGATGGAAAAGCAGAAACATATATGCAGAAAACACCTCCCGCTGAGAGATGCTCGAAGAACCTCTCGAGAGAGAGCTAGGTATCAAAGAGCGTGGTTCAATGTGTCCCCTGCCATGTCAACTATTAACATGGTCAAGGTCTACTTTTTACAAAGACCAAAAAACGTTGACGTGATCGGGCGGTACATAGCTATTGCGTACCAAACCGCAACAGCCCTGGGTATGCTCTCCAGAATGTACGACAACCGAGGATGAGCTGATTACGGGCTTCGCTGATGCAACCCTAGGCTTACGGCCGGTCTCTGCTTATAAGCAGATGCCGCTATCCGAGGAGATAACTCGGAACTATTAGCCAATAAATCTACTGCGCTGCCGCGAGCACTCCAACGATAATAAAGAACGAATAGACTGAATTAGGTATGTCGATCATGTGCACCCACAGGCCATTGGCAACCGATTGATTAACAAAATCCTTGGTTGTGGAGCAGTAAAAGAAAGTCCTTCGGAGATCAATTATTGGTATGCAGACAAAGAGCCTCCAGTGCCAATGTGGAGCTATTAATTGAGACAAACACCATCTAGGCGAAGCACCTGTTGACATATCCATAGGGAACGCCCTCAAAACCTCGGGTTGTCCTTCTTTTGTTCTTCCTCCACGAAAGAGCGAAATTTCGCCTCCTCTTCTGGCGGCACCCACACATCCCTTCCGAGATCGCGATGCATCTGATTGAAATACTCGCCCATTTCAGCCTGCGACTTGCTGGTCTTGCAAACAACTGTCATCGAGTAGGGGCTGCCGTTGATGCTTTCGATTGTATAGGCCTTTTGTTTAACGTGTTCGGCAATGGCAAGAAGCACTTCGTCGATGGTAGCGCAAAAGCTGGCGCTACACATCCGAAAGCTTGACCCAATATCAAGGTTAACCCATGTTGTGTGTACCGAGGGAGGGCCGGAGTAACAGGGAATTTCTCCGGCTTCTTCTATTTCACCTGTATTCGGGTTTTTGAACTTTCCATCCACTATTGGAACTCGGTGCTCAGGATGCCAGTCCACCATGTACTTCATTTTCGCTGAGGTCGTGTTCCAGGCTGCAGCTTGATAATGGATATAATAGTATGAGATGAGTGGGGAGAAAAAAATGGTGGGAAAATTGGGGGCAAACAAGGAAAAGATGCGAAGGAGGAAGGTAAGAGAGCGAGAGGACTAGAGAGAGGGGTAGAAATTGACAAAATCACGTATTACGTGGAGGTTCAAACATTCGGCCCAATTGCCGTCTTTCATTAATGCAGCTATCTACAGGGGTAATCGCCTGGTTTGGTGGTTCAACAGGAATCCAGTCCGAAAAGTGCTCCCGAAGTGGGTCGAGCTTGGCTCATGAGTTGTCGGAAACTTCATCCCCAAGTATATGCGGCTCTATACCCTGTACACCGAGTGTCCAGGCCGTTGGATGGGACATGATATTAAGTAATACATACAACTCTACAGTTACATTGCTTAACATCCTAGCTACAGGCGACAAAATTCCGAGGGAGTCTTCCGTAGCGGGGAGATCATGAGAGGAGAATCAAAAGAACAGCGGAGATGAGGTATAAATAGTACTTGCAAGGACATCTCAAGAACTGCCATCCTTTCCAAATCAGAAGCCATTCCAAGGTATTCAAAAATCCCTTGGGCATCAGGTCTATCAACCAAAATGAAGGCTCCGGTTCGTTCCCGTTACCATAGTCTATCCAAAGCCAGCAAGACACCCTTTTCTCATTTCTTAATCCGAAGTAACTGGCAGTTTGACGTCCGTGTCTGAGATCTAACCAAAGTCACAGCTTATATTCTTCACGGGCAACTTGCTCTTCACTGGCCTCGCGTTAGCCGCACCTGTCAGCCCAAATCCAAGCAACGAAGCGCTGAAGGAACTAAAGAAACGGCAATGGGCGTTGAACTGCTCATCTGAGGCATTTACATACTTCTGTGAAAATCATGGCGCATTTTGCGTAAGCCGTGATGTTAGCGGAAGCGCTCCGTGCCGTCGTGAATGCAGATGCCTGGAAATCTGCCCCCCGACTGGGTGCCACGAGCCTTACCCAGGAGGCAGTCACGATGAGCTTTTCACCTTGACCGGAGACTCTGTACCCTCTGCAGTAGCTGAAGAAACTACACCTACGTCCGAGCCGATTGATATGTAGAAAAAACGTCCGGGTCATTATGAAGTTGGACAGTGATTCAGTGAGTTGATCGAACCTGTATAAGACCTCGACTAATAGAAAAATGTAACAGCCAAAAGAAGGAAAGGAACTTTATGTGTACGGGCTTTCTGGAACTATGGCATACCATGGCTTTTTCTTTGCTCGCTAGGTCAGGGGGAAGACGTACTTTAGATGCCACGATTCGAGAGAAAAGGCTTGGGTAAAGAGGCATCACGGACTTGTCCCTGCAAATAACAGGAAAATGTAATCTATCTGAACAATGTAGCCCTACATTATTGTTGATGAACTTTTATACCTTTCACAAGTCTACCTAATAGTTTTCCAGCGCATCTTCTTTTCGCTTAAATCCTCAAATACCTGCGCTGCTTGAACTATACCAAATGCTGTTCACTGTTTCCTGTGCAGCGACCATGGTGCTATGTCCTGACAAAGTCAAAACCACCGTAAATTCTTTTTCTTTTACACTGTTCACTACTACAGACACCACTACTAGCCCTTAGCCAGATTACTGAATGGTCCTCGAATACTATGGCTTTCCAACAGCACCGTTCACTGTGCTCCAGCCCTTCCAAGAAAAGAATGAGTTCGCCAGAGCGCATCCAGACGCTACTTCAGTGCACCCCACATGCCAACGCACTTAGCTATCCATCATTTACAAAGTCTATCGCCGAACGATCATCATATGGTATTGTAGGAAGTCACAAGGCAAATAACGCCTCTGACATGTGGCGTGTGATCTCCAATACCTGTGGTGCTTCCTCAATCTGCGCAGATATTCTTGCTGAAGGATTTCTCCAAGGTCGGGGATTTACAGTGCCTATTATGGGCACCGAAGATGATGAACTGCAAAGTGTTGCATTTAGTGGCAGTCAGGGTGTCGCCCACGTCACAGGCGATATGTCTCAACCTGAGGTCGGACATGCTTTTGAAGCTACCTTGGAGGTGTGGAAGATAGTCGGGTGCTATGTTTGCGGCCGGGCTGGTCTTCGCTTGAGTAGTGCATCTGTTCCCTGCGTTATGGAGATAAAAGTTATCGTTGCGGTTGTCCAAGATAACCGGTAACCCTGGGGCTTTATTTCATCAATTCAAACGTCTATTTCTTGACTCGTTGGAGTTCTACAGGCGCAGCTGCTCCCTGTACGTCCCCGCGATAGTTTTATAATTCAATCATCTTCCTCAAACACCCTTCGGCTAGTAGGTAACTCAGTAATCCTCTAATCTCCCCGAAAATAATAGTTGGCATCCCATCCAGGAGTTCAGTAGGCCGTGGATATCGTAATACGGCCGTTGCACTATCGTTTTGTCTTGCAATATGTGTAAAGAAAAGCTCCGCCTACCTTACCATTGTGCTCCGCGAAAGTATTACGCACATACAATGGTTGTATGGAATAGTGGCTTGTTTGCAACCTGGTGAACGCTTACAAAAAATGGCAATATCTAATGATTATAGTAATGCCAAAAGATAGATATACAAGGAAACGTTTCGGGGTTAGCAGCGTTGTGACAACCCGTAGCAACATTGAATAACCCCCAATGTAAGCTTATATACAAATTCTTTGGCACATTGCAGTGTAGTGTATATTATATCTACAACACTTTGATACTTTGCAATATTTAGTCTAAGCAACGCATGGCCTTACCACAGCGCTATCTAATTAAAAAACATTATAGCAGAAGTGCTCCCCGACAGCCTTCTAGTCCTTGTCATCCACCGTCGTTATATCCTAATATAGTGCCACCGGTGCCATCACGAAGACATATGTCGGTAGTCATTTCGGAAGGCATGGAAGTGGTTGCTGCATTGAGACCGTGTCTAAGATACCCCGTACAGCTCAAATCTTGCAGAGACTTTAAGATTCCATGGCTGAACTTCTTGGGAGAGATGAGCACTTGACCATCTTTGGAACCAGTAAGGAGTTAACCGTATCTGGAAAAGATGCGACTGATGAAGACGACGATATCTGTATATTATAGAGTCTAACAAGTATGGCTATCAGAATGATGTCGTTAAAACTTAGTCAGCGCAGCAATATCTAGTGAAGATAGAATAACAGCGGCATATTTCCAATTCAGTGCTGTAGCCTCCAGCGACAGCAGCAAACTTGCTGCAAACGTTATGGATGGGGATCTTGGTTGCGAAGTAGAGTTACGAGTCCCAGTTCTTCCTGTGTATAACCGAAGCAACACTTAGTATGGTCTTGCACACGTGTGAATGGATGGACTTGTCACTCTGTTGACATGGAGTTCTTTCCGTTTTGCAAGAGGTCTATCCGAGGAAGGTTATGGGAAGTACTTGCTACCATTCACATTCCATCCTTTATACAAGAGGTAGCCCTCACTATTGTCTTCCGCAGCTATAGTTAATCTTATATTAAATTTTAAATTAAATCTGGTTTATATAAAAAACATCTATTTCCTAATATTAACGTACAGTATATTGTATTTTTTTATTAATTAATACAATACATCATGTCAAATAGCTTTGACTGATTTAGAAATTTCGTATCTATTTTATATTATATTAGTAAACAGAAATAGCCACCGGGGACAGAAATTTGAGTACTATATAAAACAGCGCAATATTCTCAGAGGCAGTCGCAACACTCCGAGGAGACTACATGAAATCAACCACACCAAGTAGATTACTAAGATCCAGTAGCTGCTCTGTCAGGCCAATGGCGAGCGAGACGTTCCAGCTAGAAGACGAAACCATGCATCAAGTGCTGTAGCGCCTTGGCTATGGGCCAATTGACATGATGGAGTATCTACTAGTATCTGTCAGGTGAAATTTCAAGTAACCATATGCAAACCCCGCACGACATGGGCCTGCTCATCATACGCCATATATGAAGTGTGCCGGTCCTGTTTCATTTCGGGGATTCGTACTGGAGGCCTGAAGATTCGTTTGCCAGCCACAGTACAGCACCATGACTCTACCCTGGTATTACATTGGAGGATTGGCTGCTATCAGCTACCTCATCGTCAGGAGCATCTATCGACTTTACTTCCACCCTCTCAGCAAGTTTCCCGGGCCAAAGCTAGCCGCCCTGACCCACCTGTATGAAATCTACTATGATGTAGTCAAAGGCGGGAGGTATCTCTGGGAGATGCAGAGAATGCACGATCAATATGGTGGGGACTGCGGTCGGGAACCCTCCGAGCTATGAAGATGTCTAACAGCGAGACAACAGGCCCCATTGTGAGAATCAATCCGCGTGAGCTCCATATCAAAGATCCCTACTATTTTGACGCCATCTATACCGGAAAAAGGCAAGCGAAGGACCCATACATAGTCAGAACGTTTGCCACTCCCCAGTCTACCGCCGCCACAGTCGAGCATGATCGTCACCGCTACCGTCGAGAATTGGTGAACCCCTTTTTCTCAAAGCGGTCCGTCATGGCCATGGACCATATCGTCCAGGGTAAAGTAGATAAGGTATGCGATCGACTCACACAGGCGAACGAAAAGGGAACTGTAGTCTCCTTGGACGACTTATTCGCCGCGTTAACGGCAGATGTTATCTCTCACTATGCATACGGGGAGAGTCTGGGCTTTCTTGATATAAACAATTTGAAGAATGAGTTTCGCGACGCCGTTGCCTCTGCAGGATTCCTCTGTCACTTCACACGTTTCTTCTTCGTCGTGCAGATGATAGCAGATGCCGTGCCCGGACTGATCGAATGGATGCAACCGAGCTCAAGGGGACTGTTTGAAGCCAAACGCATGATCGAACAAATGGCCAAATCTGCGATCGAAAAAGACCACGTCACAGATGCACATTCGAGGAAAACGATATTTGACGCCCTCTGTGACGGCTCAGTGCGACCCGAGGAGAGAACGGTCCCCAGGGTTTGCGATGAGGCGATGGTTATTTTTGGTGCAGGTACAGAGACTACAGCCAGAGTGCTAACAATCGGGTCCTACTTCCTTTACCGGGATGGACCGCGTTTGGAGAAATTACGAGCAGAGGTAAAGACGGTCATGCCGAGCCCAACCAGCCACGTCCCTCTGGTCCAGCTGGAGCAGTTGCCGTATTTAGTATGTCTCCTTCAAATATGTCGAGAGTACTGATAGGAAAAGCTGATAATTTACGCCCTAGACCGCAGTTATAAACGAGTCTCTCCGCATGGCGCATAGTGTAACGCTGCGATTGCCGCGGGCTTCACCAATGGCATTGGCGTATGAGGACTATATCATTCCTCCAGGGGTAAGCTATTTAGGGCTCATGGCGCCGGCGCGATCTAACATGACCTGTCCAGACACCAGTCAGCCAGTCTATCTACTTCATGCACATGGACCGGACCATTTTCCCTAACCCGGAAGCATTCAATCCGGAACGATGGCTGGAAGCATCGAGCAAGGGTGAACGACTAACTAAATTCTTAGTTCCCTTCTCAAAAGGCTCCAGGATGTGCCTGGGATTGAAGTAAGTCTCCCACTCGTCGAGAATTGTATCGCACTAACCTGGCGTTCACAGCCTGGCGTACTCCGAGCTATACCAGATGTTTGCTTCCCTAGTTCGTCGCTTCGACCTAGATATCCACAACACGCCACCAGAGAATATTCGTATAACGCGAGACTTCATAATTGGATTGCCCGAGTCGGATTCACTTAAAGTGCATAGTCTGGTCGCTAATGCTCTGTAACTACCTTTGCGACCGATGGAGTCGTAGAACCAGAATGACAAATATCCTGATTTGTGTTTCCTTCTCGTTTTTCTCGTGGGCATATCTATGTAATCTTGGTTAGACTGCGAATAACTATATCACGCTAGGTCGTTGAGCAGTTCAAATTAAACCAGCCCCGGCTTTCTGCCAATTATCGCGGTAATAGAATTTCAGGCATCTTTGCATATTGATCCACCCTGATCATAATGATTTCGGTGACTAACATGGACGCGGTGCGCCTTAAAAAAAGGATCAGACACGCGGTCCCTTCTCGCCTGATCGACGACCCCGACTACCTTCTTCAGTGGCCGAGCATGGCACCTTATCTTATGCCGAATCTGACCTAAGCTGTGACATACTCAAGTACAACCATTGCTGAGTCATGTAGTTCACTCGGTCGCACTGTAGTGTTACACCGCATCTGGTATACCTGCCTCATTGGCCACAGCGGCAGGGATACGTTGCGTGAACCCATTGATAACTCTCCACCTCTGGTCCGCTATGTAGTCAGATGCGGTAAGGAGCTGCCCACTGGCACTTGTTTGCTTTTAGGTTTCTATGTCGACAGGGATGTCCTGCATCGGATGAAAATCTCGAAAAAGGGTTTTCTTTACCAAGAGGACCATGTTTTGTAAATCCACAGTAGGCTTCTGGCGCAGCCCTTGCAGTGCTTCCCACTGAGACTGGACGTTTAGTACCCACGTCCACGTAGGAAGGTCTATGCAGTTCGAAATCTTATTCGACCTGATGCATCGACGATCTGACAAGTCGTATTTTCTGACCGGGCTGTTAAGTAACTGTAGTGCGCAACGTCCCGTCCGTCCTTGTGGGCGATGGGTATGACTCTGGGTTACGGGGTTGGTCATAAGCAGTTTATATAGATACTATACTCTATACTATATCTTCCTAAACTGGTAAAAGGAATCTGTCAACCTGCAGAGTAAGTTATCTCGGTCTACCTAAACGGATCAGGCCTCCAGCAAGAATCAAGCCTACCTACTTCAACCAATAGGAAACTCGCCCCAGACAGCTCGTGCGAAGTCATCAGCGTAGAAGGGTAATCCCGGTATGAGATCACACAATCCCTGACGATAATCTCAGCCAAGACTTGAAGCTGACGTGTGATCCAACAGGGTCTAGAGACCCACGTGGATGTTGAGAGAGCCACTTTAAATATGGAAGGGCCGGCCTACCGAAAATGTCTACTGGGTTCTCAATCACACAAACATGGATCTAGGTCTGGAGATCCCTAATCGCTATCTAAATGTCACCTTACTCATAGCCTTTGCCGCGGGTCTGTATGTCTGGCTGAGGTACAGGAAGGTCTGCACTATTGGTTCGCTTTTATTACTACTGTAGCTGACATCCCTCAGCGTCCTCTGCGAACGCCGCCAATTGTATCACTAACAGTCCGTGCTGTTTTCCGTCTGCTGTCTGTGCTTGTATTAACCTTTCTATAGGAAGATGAGAGGAAGAATAACCCCCTTGAAGCACTGGAAAGGCAAATCCACCAACATGGCCCAGTCATTGGGTTGCGCCGAGATGGGAGAGTATGCGCATTGCTTAGTTCTCCTATCTGGCTTCCATCACTTACGATCCCACAGGTTGAATACATCGTGTCTGATGAACTAACCCCTCAGGTTCTAACAGAGGACGCAATATTTAGCTTCGAGCTAGGGACAGCGAAGGTTCATATATTCCGTGGCAATATCCAACATAAGTCGTACATGTCTATTAATGCTAAGTGCGTTTAGATCTTGAACCTTGAATTTCTACGCACGTTATTCGGGAATTCTGTCTTTCATGATATCGACTCTATGGTTAACACCCTCTTGACAAAACATTTAGACACGATGATCCACCGCGGTAGGCTGTTTCATGTTCGCATTTCTCTCCCGATCTAACCCGGAAATAGTATCTCCTATCTTCGAAAGGAATACGGCCGAACTCCTGAAGTGCCATTCTGAAGACCCTGTTAGATTGTTACCCCACCTGCAGAGAACGGTCGCAGAGGCAATGATGTCGATCATTTTTGGAGATGAATGTACCTCATCCTAAAACTTCACTTCACCAAGACTAACTATTACCTAAAGGACATATTGCCATCTCTTGACAGAGACGCCGTAGTTGACACTGCTGAAGGCGTGGCGGAACTGATAGGGACATTCCGAAGTCGCTCGATACTAGCCCAATATTTCCCTATCCTATGGCAGATACTAACATGGTATGTCTGTGGGACTCACTTTGGTAACCGAAATAAGTAACACCAGACCAGGATGAAAGTTGTTATGTATAAGGTCGTAATGCGGTTCGGCATCGCGTTCGGGCCTCTCATATGGCATCAGACCTCGGCTGCCTTGCAAGAATCCAACAAGAAACCATCAAAAAACGATGTAAGAGCACCCACGATTGTTAACATAAGCTCCGGCGCGAACTGACTCTTTGATTTGAGGTATCTCTCCTCCGGATCCTGGTCCAAACAAGTGGAGCTACGAACGGTCGCATAACCTTCAGCTCCAGGTTGTGGATATTCGGATTAGTCGTCATGTTCATTTTTGCCTCTGTGCATCAGACGTAAGTTCCCATATATTTTATCTACACGTATATTGACTGATGAATGCAAGTGTGTCAATCACAATGTGGACGATATTCCAATTAGCCCTGCGCCCCGAATATCAAGATCTCATACGACGCGAGATCCACGACCTCACCGTGCGTGACTCCGCTTCACCAATACCCATCTCCGAGCTCGACATGCGAACCCTCCGCAAGGCTTCATGCACGGACTCATTTATCCGCGAAGTGCTCCGGATGAAGGGTGACGCCGTAAACCTGGTACGGATGGCACGCAAGGATGTCCAAATGGGAGACTACATCATTCCCAAAGGTACGTCAATACCCAACCCAAACTTCCTACATCCGGGCGACTAAGACCAGGGTTAGGGTCCCTAGTGTTACCACTGGTATCCTTGTCCAACCGCTCCCCGCGTTACAATGAAGGCGACCCCAAGAAATTCGATGGCATGCGCTGGGTGGACAAGCAGAAAGCAGCTTCTACTACCGATCCAGGGCATCTTTCATTCGGGCTCGGTCGGTGGGCCTGTCCGGGGAGGTTTCTAGCTGTTGCGGGTATGCTCTCAGGCAATTTGCATTCGGTGGGGAAATTGAAATGCTGATGTTGCTGCGCAGAAATTAAACTGGCGATTTTCGCACTGCTTGCGGATATGCGGCTGGAACTTGTCGATGGGAGGTACGAGGTAGCTGACAAGTTTAATATAACGGGGAATCCGCCTGAAGGGGAATTGGTGTTCAAGCGGATTGGTGTGCGTTGAAGTGAAGGGCGATCTACTATATGGTTGTGGCTCTATCTGGGTAATCTTTTGTTACTATGGTTGTGGATGGTCGTGTATATAGTAATATGAACCTGGGGGGTTTTGTTACCACGATAGCTTGACGTCGTCACGTAGCTAAATAGCATCCTGACAATATAAAATATCTTGATCTATATATGAGGTCCACGTGCATTCAACATTCAGAAGGAATAAATAGAGAGTAGGCCATAATTCACACCCTTCTATATGCTCGCTAAATAATTAGCGTGATCTAGTAACCCGTCATTGGAATATGCTATATACAACCTGAAGGGCCCGTACGAATAGCGCCAATTGTAATGATCAAAAGGTGCAAGACATAAGCTCCATAAACCAGCTATCGTACAGACTATCATCTCCAAAGAATGAGGCATCTGGCATCTGGATCCCACTGAGATCGTGTGGAGAAGGCTCAACAGAGACCATATCATCGGAGCCAAGCTTCGCTTCCCATTCCGGGCGCAGAGATCGAAGGATCTGGGCAGACCGAGAAAATAAGTCCCCATTAGGATAATTGCTGTTATCGATGCCAACGACCGCGGGAACTTGCTCCAAGGCATTGACGAGTCGATTCAAGATAGAAAGGGGGTTTGCAGTCTGTTGAACAAGATTCTTGTCCCAGTTCGGGGCATCGAGTGTTGCAAGGCGGTAGAGGGCGAGGAGGCAGCGAGAGACTTGGGAGAAAACGGCGAAAGAGAAAGAAACATATCCTGCTGGGGGGATCATAAGAAGAATATTGAACCAGGAGTTAATTGATGTGAGGGCCTGGAAAAGATGGTCGTGTCGCGAGGCGTTGACATCGCATGGAGTTAAAGATACAGAGGAGGCGGCGATCTCGAGCTCGTTACTATAGAGATGTAGTAAGACGACTGGATGGTGAGTTAGTTTTGGGGGAAAGGTAGCGATGAAGCAGAGGGGACTAGAGTGCGTACCATCATTTGGTGAAGATTTGAATATCTCTACCTTCATGTCTGAGAATAGGGTGGCCTCGTCTTCAGCAAGCCCGGCAGCTTCGGATGTATCATTCAACGATACCTGCCGATTTCTATTTTTCTCAACTACGAGGCGCATTCGGACTAGTTGGATTAGGATATCATCGTTGACGCATTGCTTTTGTTCGTCTAGAATTTGGAGAGAATCATCCAAATGTGTTGTCCATCGAAATGTTTCAATCCTTTGGAAAAATGATGAAATTCTGTTCAGATAGGTCAATGCCTCTCCGAATCAGGCGGGGGCTATATTCAACATACATCGATGTTATCAGATAGCAACCCAGCGCCGCTCTGCGCTCCTCCATGGTACGAGGCGTAGCATGTCTCGGGGACTGATGAAGATTGAAGGTCGATGGAGTTACTTGGACCGGTTTGTTCAGACCGAGGTCAAAGACCAATGATGTCGCAAGATGTGTGAAGACAGATAGAAAGGGCTTTGGATGGAATTGATGGAATTGATAACTCGCCCTTTTGCTCCGCAGTCAGACCGCGTACTTCTTCAAAGATTGACATGGCCATCTCACCACCCAATGAATGTCAACAGCCCCAGTAAAAGATCAATACTCTTATCAGATTGAACCACCAGTTCCTGTGCTACTATTTGACGGATTTTCAGACCAAGCTCATGCTGGCGAGCGGTCGACTTGGTGCTGATCGCCATGATGCAAAGCCATAGAAATGGTCGCTCTTTGCGAAGCTGTCCAGCACTTTTGTCGAGGGGAATGTGGACGAATGGAAAATACTGCAATTTGAACGTGCGGAAGTGATTGAGACATTCTTCTGCCTCATGCGAGGAGAGATCACTTATGCCCGGTGAGGATATCGAGTCGGTCGTAGCTGGTGTACTTGCGTTAGTTTGATCTCCATCAGGGCAGGTCCAGGGAGATCCTTGTTCAGCAGTTGGTGCCGAATATTTCTCTTGGTTGGTGCCGAGTTTTGAGGCAGCTTCTGCGGCATTAATGACTTCTGAAAATGCGGCACCAGTTTGGCCCCCAGCTTTCATTAAAGATACGAGGCTATCTATCTTCTCTTCCAGCCGACTTGCTTGGGAAGTAGCGGCGGGCTTTTTGGCAATGCCCCGCCGCCGTACTGTCTGTGCTGGTTTACATTCTTTGTTCGTTTGATAGCATCTGGAGGAGTCAGTCCCATGGTTACTCTTATCTTTAGGGTGGTCGGGCTACCGCTGACACGGCCCGCCCGCCGCGCGAACGATGCATTTGCGCTTGGACTGGGCGCAGTTGGCGCACGAAGAGCCGTATGCAGCTGGCTTGCCGGCCAAAGACAGAGGCTCCGAATGCATGGCACGAGAGGGCCGTTCCCTCTCAAAAGCCATGTGGCGAGACTTTATACTGTATCCCTTCCCTAGGCAACGCACGAAGCGGATTCATGTCAGATCGGACGTATGATCTTCCGCGCCCGTGACTCCATGCACGTGATATACCCGCTTCCGGGATGCCTTCTTGCCGAAACTTTGCTGCTGCATACTTCAGACACCTGACCGGTAGGCGTCTTCGGTCCTTAAGCAGATGCAGTGTATGTGTCTGGGAGAAAAAAAAATAGGAGAAGGCTCTTTGGCCGAGCCAGTTCACATTTCTTGGTGCTTGGTAATGTTTACGAAGCTAGATTTGCTCCTCTCAAACCCGACCACAATCAGAATAAGATGGCCTATGGAGGCACTATCAGCCTATGTTTCGCAAGTTCAAATATTGCGCCAGTATTAGAACGGCGGCCGATAAGACCTTAGATGAAGATCATGCCCATCTCTAACTAGCACAAGTGCCGGAAGATCAGACAGAGAGAGGGGGGTATAGGGAAGGAGAGCAACCATTCTTCTAGTCCTAACTACACTCCATAGCTGTCCCTGGCAATTTACATATTAATAATACCAAGACCCATTATATTACCAAGTAGAGTTAATTGACTGATGTACAGTTTTCAACAGATTTAGTCAGCATCGCCTGGTGCGGGAACAAAGGGAATAACGATGAAAAGTGAACGGAAACACGAAATCAAGCCTTTGAAACGGTCTTCTTCTTCCGAATGTCCTTCCAGCCCATAAAACAAGAAAAGAAAAAGCACCCGGCAGCCGTGCCCGTTGTCAAATAAAACACCCGATCAACGCTCTTCGAGTAGGCCAGAACTACTCCCGGTAACTGCTGTTCAGAGACATATGAGCGGAACTCGGTGGCTCCTGCATGAATGATTATCTTGGGATCCACAGACGGAGCGTATTTGGGAATCAGTGTTGAAAGGCTGTTGGTGAGTATAGTGTCTGAGAAGGTAAGGAATAGGGCTCCGGCCAGAGTTTGACTGAACATCACCAATGCAGTGGCTACAGGGATCTGTGCAGGTGGAAGGACATTCTGAACTGCAATAACGGGCTGGGAGGGAAGTTAGCGTCATCGGATTCCGCAAGAAATATAAAATCGTGCTCGGACTTACTATCTGCACGCCCAAGCTACGAGAAGCCCCGAGAAGGATCTGGTATCCGATCCATTTCCCGGTTGACGTATCAGGTGAAAATGTTGACAGCAGGCCATTAGACACCGTCGTGAGGGAGGTAGCAAAAAGCATTATCGGGAGGTAGTAGCCGACTCTTTCAACTAGACACAATGTCAACAAACGCTCGGGAGATGAAGAGAGCTTGAAACGTACTAATCTTGCCCGCAAGAACCGCGCCGCATAAATGAGCCAGAATACTGGGGAGAATATGGACTCCGCTCATCAGCGGGCTGTCGTTTTTTACCGCCTGGAAATACTGAGGAAGATACCACAACACGCAGAAGACCTGGGCCATGAGTAGTCCATAGGACAGGCTGCTCGACCATACGACTCGCTTGCGAATCATCGAAAATGGTATCATAGCCTTGTCGCCCTGCTTGTAATCCCAGAGAAGAAATACAATAAATGTGGCACCGGCACCGCAGAAAAGACCAATCACCTGGGAGCTATGCCAAGTAAATTGATTGCCACCATACTGAAGCGCGAGCAGTAGTTGGATTGCAGACGGGGCAAAGAGAGCAAAGCCAATAAGATCCAGCTGACCAGGTAATTCCCTGATAGCGGTGGTGAATTTCTTTTTGGGAAGAACCTCGGGGATGTTGACAAAGGCGAGCATGATGGCAACCAGGCCTCCAATTGGAAGATTGATGTAGAAGCCTGTGATGTAAAGATTAGCTGAAGGATCTCCTGTCGCATGTTTTTCGGTACATACACCACCGCCATGTTGTATACTCCGTCAATGCACCTCCAATCAATGGCCCAGCTGCTAGGCCCACCTGAGAAACTTTACTGCAAGTTAGTATGGAAGCAAGAGGACCAGGATAGATGAGCGCGTACCTCCCATAACAAGACCAATCATTGTGGGGCGCCTAGACATGGGCACGCATCCAGAAACGATCGTGAAAGCTCCGTTCAAGATGCCGGCGCCTCCTATTCCAGCGACTGCTCGTCCAACAATCAACATTCTTGACGATGTAGCAATGCCACATATGAGCGAGCCCAACTCAAAGATGAAAAAGAAGCCCACAAATGTCCACTGGTGAAAGGATCGTATCAGCAACGCAGATCAAATAGTGAGAGGAAAGGGGAGAAAATTACTTTCGTGTTAAGGTTCATGTAGATCCTTCCTGTGAGTGGTTGAATCGCCGCACTGCAAAGACTTAGTCGACCCATGAAGAGATCCAATATCCGAATAGAAACACACCTTGCAAGTTGATATGCGCTTCCATACCAACCGACATCAACGAGCGAATGAAATTCACTTGTGATCCGAGGAATTGCCTGTTTTACATGATAAGCAGTGGTTCTCCATTCAGCATCTCTGGGCTGACTGACTGTGGAAATAATAGACGTATCCAATAGCATGAGAAGGCATACGAGTGCGACGGCAGTGATGATATTGAACAGTTTGAATCCAGTTACCCACTGATCCTCCTGTGCGTTGGGGCTCGGTGCCACCTTCACTTCGGGATCAGCAGCCTGCTCCGGTTTGCGATCAATGCCTTCCTTATCTGCACCATCGACATGTTGGCTTTTTGTTCCGTCCGAAGACGCGGATCGGTGAGATGACATATCCAATATCAGTCGGGCAGTAAAAATGTTGCCTTGAATGCTTGGAAGTTGTAACCATAGAAATTGATGTTGTCACGTCTATTAATCGAGAGTAAGAAAGGGAAATGAGAAATGAGCAAGCTATTTATGGTCATTTATAGAAGCAATTGACTCAGACGTGGATTTTGATTGTTTGCGGAGTTCAGTGAAACCCGCAATCCCGAAACCCGCCAGGCGTCCAAACCCGCATTTAGCAGGACTGGTAAGACTAATTAAAATAAAACAAAACAAGGTACGCCAATCTCGAATTTTGGCGTATATATGGAAAAATTACACCTCGGTCTAGGACGGCTTGGGAATATAGGTTCTAAATGTTTTCTGCACGAATCCTGATATGCGGGTCTTGCCAACGGTGTCTCGATCAGGTAGTCAATTGCAATAATACATTGTCTGCTTCTGTTTGTTGATTTCAACTTATACATGGTGGCTGTTCTGTGTGATACATAGGATAGGAAAAAGACTAATTAAAAAATCTTTTTAGAGGTTTCTTTTTTTCTATTATCGGTACTTTGGAATCTTCTTAGCCTACGCCGCCAGCGGTTGTTTCAGCCTGATTGATGTGGTCGAGGTGGTCCTGCTCGATCTGTTCTCGGGTTTAGCTTCCACATTGCTCCAGACGTTGAGTCGCTTACCAACGGTTTAGCTTGGCTTCCATTATACTGACTGTCTTGACATTCTCTATCACCTCTGGTAGGATGTCGCGCAGAGGCTCGGTATTCACGTTGACGTACAGCGTGGACTTTCTGGATTTCGAATCTGCGACAATGAGACTCTATCCTCGGCTGAGATGTACACTGTACGTACCGATGTGTTCGTGAACGACAGGTATATAACTACTAATGCCATCCACTTCTGGTTGGATCGATTCGACGACCTTGAAATTGTATTTCGAGATGTCCTTGTCCCAGCTATCCAGGCGTCAGCAACCCATCGCAGCTGCCCGCAAATACGGAGATATATATTTCCAACAGCTGCTTGCACCTGGCCACTGCGGCAGCAACATCTATCAAAACCCATCCGTTCAAACCAGTCAACCTCAACGTCCTTGAACTGGACCTCAGGATCATATCTATTCGGAACAAATCATATGGGTCATGCACTATTAGCCAACCGTTTGTTGAAGACGGCTGAATTGCCGGAAGGAGATGTTAGGGTTGTGGTTCTCACGTCCCACGCGCATAATTATGCCCCATGTTCTGGGATCCAGTTTGATACACTCAAAACACGTGCGGAAGGGATGAATACCATTGCATGGTATGGGCAGAGCAAGTTGGCAGATCTATTGTGGGCCAGGGAGCTGGGAAGACAGTACCCCCAGTTAACGGTGCCCCTTGTTCATCCCGGGTTGGTTCGCACAAATCTGGCCACTACAATGAACCAGAGCAGTTGGATTATGCACACTCTGTGGTGGATTACGAGTGTCATTACAGGCGTTGACGTTGGGACTGGGATTCTAAATCAGCTTTGGGCTGCTACTTACCACCGTGTGGAGAGCGGGCAGTATTATCTTCCTGTCGGGAAGACGAATAAAGGGAGTAATGATGCGCAGGATTCAGCACTGGGGACAAAGCTTTGGAACTGGACGGAGGGGGAGTTGGAGGCCTTTTTGAAGGCGTAGGCTTATATGATTGATAGGGTGAGTTCGTTTTTGTTCTTCGTACTGGGTTTAATTGACAACCAGGAACCAAGTATGGGAATGATTTATTTTAGTGAGTTTGGACCGCACTTAGATGTTTCCAGAATTACGATACAGTTCATTGAGGACCAGGTACTCGGAGGCCAGCCTCCACCGTTCGCCCAGTTTCCCCATACAAGCCTCCATATCGGCTAGTTGGGTGCGGGCTAGGTCTTCTCCACCCTCCCGATAGATCCATTGGAACGTCACCATGGAACAATATAGTGCGTCTAGTGAAAATGGACTTGCGCTCCCTAGTATATCCATACTCAGCGTAGTAGATATGATGTCCATGAGCTTTTTTGCATGCTCATGCGCCTGGTCACTGATATTTCTCACTACTAGCGTAGCCCGGACTTGAGTGGCGAGCTCCGCCGGCCCTTTGGCATCACCAGAGAGCGTATAACCCGGTTCATCGCTGAGTTTCTCCGGGCAGCAGTAGCTATCGAGCAGCATAAACAGAGCTGACCATGCCAGGCATTGAGCAGGGAGGAGTCGGAGGTATCCCTCCAAGGTGGAGGAAGTGGTTTCGTCGGTAAGAATGGAGCCGAAGCTGCATATCTCTTCAGTCAGGCTAGTAACAGCACTGATGTCGAGCACGAGTGCCGCCTGAGCCCTGCTGCGGTATGCCACGACACGGCTAATGAACATGGCTGACTGACATAGGCGAGCAAACGACGATACGTGGGTAGACAATGGAACGGTACATGAATGCTGGACAATGTTTGTTACATTACCTGAATCCTAGCAGATTGAATATCAGTTAATATATGATATTGCAAAAGAGAGAGAGGGAGGACAATAATTCACCCATGCTTCATCATCCACAGGAAGGATATGGTCATTGGCGGGCTCAGGGAAGAAGATTCTCCTCCGACTGCCTACGGAAATAACCCGATCTAGGACGTATATAGCCCACCATGCCCGTCTTCTTTCTTCTACCTCAGTCCAGGTCGTCTGTTCGAGAGGGTCAGTCGTGTATTACCCGCTTCCTCATTGGGAATGTCTGTACATACAATACGACCCATAATTTTCATAGAATCCGTACCCGATGAAAGCCCAAGAAGTTCGGCGAGCCGGGTGCATGCCCCCACAGTCATCCATGCGGCAGGATAGATTGAGTGGCTATATTCGTAAACCGCGACCAAAATCATGGCTTGCAGATAGGCGAGTGACACCACACCACCGGCTTCTAATGTAGCCAAAAAGCTCTTGGCAGTCGAATAAAGTGACTTGGCCCCGATGTCTTCGGCCGGTGGAGGGGAGATATTTAGCTTCATGGAAAGAAAAAGCATGGCTAGATCCGGCCCGCTGTTCTGCAGTGAAATGCCAAGCTCCAATCGCTTCTTCGACACGATTGGCATCCAGCGGTGGATGGTACCAAAGTAGAGTGGCAAGGTCTCCAGTACCGTGTTTTGCTGGGCGAGGATTTCGAGTACTTCCTGGGCTCAGGTCAGCTAATTTTGTACGGTTATCAAAGGGAAAAGGGGAGAGTTAGGGGTGGAAGGGGCGTGACGGAAACGGCACTACCAACCATAGGGATGTTAACGGCTGGCCTTGGAAGTTGCATGTTAGACCACTTGTAGCAGTCAAGATCCAAAAACAGTGCCGAGGGAAATCCAGTTGATCCTTTGCTAAGCCATGTTATCGCGCTGGTTTCGGTGGCGAAACTACCAGCGCCCGACACGCTGCCAGGACCTGAAACAGAATCTGTGTGTTCGGAACTAGTGTGTAGTCGGTCCTCCAGTTCAGCGAACCTTTCCTGAAGGGCCGCAAACTCGTCCGCAGTAGGAGGGAGTCTCGGAGTACCAGTGTAATGACAAGTGCGGCAGGTGCGGACGCACAGGCTGCATTCAGGCAGGAGTTTATCACATTTCCGCTTTTTGGTTCTGCAAGAAACACACGCCTGAGCGGCTTTGTGCGCAGGAGCGTCCATGGGAATTGACCGTTGTCGGTAGTTGGTTTGGTTTGAGCCCCGGGGCAGGTTGAGGTCTCTTGAGACAATGTGGGCGATGCGGACACTGCGGCCGCAATCCGCCCGAAAATAGTTTAGCGCCTTCCAACCCTAAAAGTGATCGTCTCGAACCATAGTTAACAGAAAGTCAGCCTGCCAGTGCCAAGTGGCGGACGGAAATATGAGCGGTGCGAGAGATCCCTTAAGTATGCAAGGCAGAATGCTCCAGTAGTAAACCAACTGAAATCTTCAAATCACGGAACGCAGTTATTGCACTCCCATATCTATCCTTCTTACAATCTCGCGCCCTCTCAGGTGAATTTCAAGATGAGACGAAGCACCTTCTGCCCCCACAAGCCCGTGTTAACTGAAGATAACCTCCCCGACCAACGTGGCAAGGTACGAGTGGACAGTAACATCTCTCGAAGTAGTCTGCAGACTAACCGCCCGCATAGGTCTTTATGGTCACTGGAGGTTCGGGTGGACTTGGAAAAGAGCTCATAAGTATCCTGTATCAACACAATGCTAAGATCTATGTTGCCGCTAGATCGGAGTCAAAGACCAGGGATGTTATAAGTGAGATTCAGCGCGCTCATCCATTGTCCACCGGAGAGCTTGTGTTCCTCCGACTCCAGCTCGATGATCTCAGGACAATCAAGCAATCGGCAGAAGAATTCCTGGCGAAGGAAAATCGTCTTCATGTGCTTTGGAACAACGCCGGCGTAATGGTTCCGCCGCAAGGGTCCAAGACTGTTCAAGGATATGAGCTCCAGATTGGTATCAATAATCTTGGACATTTTCTGTTCACGCGTTTTCTCCGGCCCGTACTGGCTGAAACAGCCAGGACTGCGCCCAAAAATTCAGTGCGTGTAGTTTGGGTATCATCAAGTGCGGCTGACAGTGCTCCCCATCCCGCTATTGACTTCGCGAATATGGACTACCATGTTGAGGAGGGGATATGGTCCAAATACTCGCGCAGCAAGGCTGGGAACGTGTTGCACTCCGCAGAGTTTGCTAGAAGAACCGTTGGTGAGGGTATTATTAGCGTCGTATGTTTTGACTCCAATCTATTTGGTATGACCCAACTATTAATACCGTACAGGCGCTTAACCCAGGAAATTTTGTCACCAACTTGCAGCAAAACATGCCGAGGATGCAGCTAGCAATTTTTGTATGTTTCACCTATACACAAACTCGTGAATTGGATTCTAATCATAGGTCTAGAGAATGATATCGCATGAGCCTATCAATGGGGCATACACAGAGCTCTTTGCAGGTCTACATCCCTCTATTACAGAGAAGAACAATGGAGGTTGGAGTAAGTTTTCTTCACTTGTGATCTAGCCACGACCAATTGCTAAGTCACATTTTCTCTGCCAGTTTCTCCGTTTGGTAAGATTGAGCCAGCTCGCAATGATCTCGTGGATCCGGAGCTTGGAAGGAAGTATTGGGAATGGTCAGAGGCTCAGGTGAAGCAGTATATGTAGACACTCGATAAAACCGGTATGAGCGGAATGTTCCTGTTCGTATTTGATTGACATGGGAGAGCAGCCTCTAAGGTCCAGTGGATGGAAATGCTCCTACTGTTGGTGATCACCAATAAACGCCTAGTAGCCTTGAATAACATGCTGCATTCATATCGGTAATATGAGGCAATTCTGAGATCTTGCCTATCTCCGCCTAGTAACAACTTCATTTAGCAGTGGCTTTTGTATAGAAAAGCTTTCATTCGGACCCAATAAACGCTAGAACTGACTTTAAGGGTATGAGTAAGGTCTCAGTGGTATCCAGACGGTAGTAGAGGCCACGAGACTGGAATCACAGGCACATTTGCTGTACGATGTAACATAACCAATCGCGCCTTGCAGCCGGGATTCTAAAAGCTCTTTGATATGCAAACCCAACATTGGCATTTTATAAAAGCAGTACCATTGGCCTCCCATCAACGGTAGCTAGGATATATGGATCCCCATGGGTAAGCATGGATCGGGATATGCAGAGCAACTCCGCCGAATGTAACCACCTCTCCTTTACTGTTGATAGACAGGGGCTTGATCACCACCAGGTGATATGACCGGACCGTGGTGATCTTCCGTCCTCTAGTCTCTAATAATGAAACACAGTGAACCAAATATAGTAACTGAAACAAAACCAGGTACTTGCGGCTACATTGCTCCCACCCTGTCCCTGCCACTCTTAGTGCCTTTTCCCATTTTCCTCCTCTGTTCCTTGGCCATTGGCCGGTTCCCAAGACCACAACTCCCGCAGATGCGTCACAGTAGATACCATCAATATCACCCCTACCAGGGAAAACATGACTAACCCTACCGGTAAAGCAACCAAACCTATATATCTACCGAAATTTCCCCCAATATCATAGGGATCAGGCACCATTATCCATGCTGGGAACCACGCCCGATACCATCCCGTCAAGATCCAGTATCCTTCCACTGGTTCTAAAGATAGGAGGATAAGATGAATAATAAAAAGACGGCGAGCATCCTTTTTCGTATGTAGATGTCCTTTCTTTTCGAGCCACGAGATTGCGCTTGGCAGAGGCTCTAGCCGTGAACGATGAATAATTGTCGAGTCTTCCCACCAGCATACATAGACCCAGAAGAGGATCCAGTGCCAGCTATAATAGACTAGCCAGTACAGTACATATTGGCTGAAGGTGCAATCATCGCAGTTGGATGACATGGCCTTTGAGAGGGTGAATGTGATATGGAATGTGCTTTGGGTGCAGAGGTGGTGAAAGAGATCCGAGGTGAATATAGGAAGGATGATGGTGGTGAGAGACACGCCACCTTTTTCATGTCGGGCAGGAATCACGTGGTTGAGTATCCCTGTCATTTGATGTCGCAGCGTTTCTCCGAATAGAATCAAGGATCGGTTCAAGCCGGGGCTGGTGTCTCTTTCATGATAAACATCCTCCTTCTGGTCCATTTACCACACATCCGAAGTCACCATATGTATTCCAATAGTGGCTACTAATATATAACCCCAAGCGCCGAATACAATATTGGCGGCATGATTGGGCACCCACGCAAGACTCTGATTGCTTTGTTGGACATTGAGAGCGTGAGTTGAATTGACGCTGTCAAACTGCCCAGAAAAGGTAAGCGTAAAATTAACTTTCAAGTCCTCATTACTCCCAGTGTAAGATTGGTATTGAGATGAGTTCTGGTCAACGGAGCCGGAAAACTTAAGCTCTAAAGTGGTGTTCGATACAGAACCTTGCATGACCGTCGTGGCTGGCCAGTGCATATCTGTGTCGTGCGGAGCACAGCTCTGCGCACGGAGCCGGAATAAGCCATCAGAATCACTGATCCCAGGATCCGAGTCAGTAACGGTGGTAGCATTGAAGCCAACAACATCTGCTGCTGCCGGACTAGTGGAGACCTCCATGACCATCGTGTCTGCTGCTCCGGTGCGAGAGCCCGAGCCTTTGGTGGTGACGATGCGGAAGAGATCCGGCTGCGAAGAACACGAGTCGCCTTCCCATTTGATCTGTGTATAGGATGAGTGAATATCGCTCACAGCTTTGGTGGATTCCCACGCCTTGAACCCTATGATGAAAGGGTTTTCAGGTCCTGTCGGGTATGGAGGCTGTGGCCCTATCCAGGCATACCCTAGCAGCCGGAGCTCCTTCGTGATTTGACATTGGGCTCCGGTGGTCATATTGTATGACAGGTACCCCTCTCCTTGGAAGTATGACCCGTCGTATACGGTTGGGCTGTCGGTCGCGTATGCACCGCTTTGGGACGTCCAATTCCATGCGTGTCTAGGAACAAGATATGTCGTGCCAAGAGCATTGCTTGTGCCTCCACTTCCACACCCTGAAGAACCTGAGCTGCCGTCGCTTCCACCGCTGCCGCTATCATTATTGCCGTCGCTGCTACTGTCACCATCACTATCGCTGTCATGGTCCCCTCCCCCACCTCTCCTGGCGACGACACCCCCGTCGAAAATGGCAACCAGAAGGAGGAACCAAGCCAAAAAGACGTGAGAAACCATGACGACTAACCCAATCTATAAATATGGCAGTGTACAGCTTCGTGCTGCAAGGTGCGAAAAAGTCTTCATCTTTTCCGCAGGTGGGAGATCAAGAGATTATACGGGTTTGAGTACGCCCGACTATAGGCCGCCAAGTGTTTCTCCTCGTATTACTCGATCAGGCCGTACACTGCCGTCTGTCATTGGCGGAGAGTCCTTCTGAACGATTATCAAAGTTTAAACTAAGCATAGCCTCTCCTTGGCGGGTTCCTGTAATTTGGGGTGAGGACAGGACGGGAGAGAAACATGGCCCTCGATAGATATAGAGTTTCCGTACAAGAAAGGTAATCTCTTAAACCGGGGTGATGTCAAAGCCATAGGGAATACATGTGCTATAGCGGCGACAGATAACGCCCAGTCTCTTCGTCAATCGGTTCCGCAAGCGTGTTGTGGTGCCATACTCTGACTCGTGTTGAGATGATCTACAGACAGTTACCTCGAAAGGCTAATTTTGGCCATATGACTCGGCAATGTCCTGGCACTAAACTAAATGAAGATATCAAGTCTTGAATGGGCAGGCCCTGGGGTCTTTTGCTATCTTATTTGAGCTTGGTGTTAGGGTTAGACCTCGGGCTGAGACCACATTGGGTCCACCGTTACCCAGCACGGATTATTCCGAGCCCCACCACTCAGGATTGGAGCTCTCTACCCATTTGAGATTCGAGCCTTCTTAGGTAGCCAAGTATAAACATGGACCCCTGTACAGTGGAGCTCCCTGTTGTCTGCCAGGGTGTAGTTCACAAAGTGGTGCTCACAAAGGCTCCAAAAGCTCCACGAGGGCAGGGGTTTAGTAATATTGACTCGAGACCGGAGGGCGATGTCTCCTGAGTGCGTATACTCGATAACTAAGGTAATACAAAAGGGTCAAACTAGTACTCTAAAGGTAGATATAAAGTAATTATCTGGGCCAGTTGCCCGGGAAGTCTGTTTTTCAACCCCTACAGCGGTATGTGGGCGACGGACTGATACATCCATTGACCATATGCACGGCCGGCTTCGGCGACCGGTACATATATGCCGAGGTGGTCCTTTTCTCTTTTGTCTCTACGATTGCCGGTAAAAGTGCCCGAGCATCAAGCACAATATTTCTCCTAGTTTGGTATACCCGTCACATTTTAATGATTGACAATTGACACCCGAGCATAAGGCTAGTAATCTTCACAAAAGGACACATCAAATGCCGGGCGTGGGCAAACTCAAAGCGAACGGATAGCTCTGGATGCAATGATTGTTATTGGTCCCAGCACACATTCCAACGCGCGAGGGTCTTGAAGAAACGCACTGTTTATTTTCGCCACGAACCAATGACGTACACGAGTCACTCGGCTGGTCCCCACTGCCGTCGAGAATCCTCAAGATCCGCGGAAATAGCCCTGCTGCCGGGATTCTTGCTGCGTTGATCCCAAGTCGCTCTGCACTGCGGCTGGTCAATTACTATCTCCAGATTAGGGAGGTATACACGCTAGTGATGGAAGCTTTGCTGGTCCTTGGATCTGCGATCGGTGCAGTTATAAGTATTTATATTCCTCTATTTCTACAATGAGACCTGCTGTTTGTGCCCCAATTCGTGTTCAATTAGGGTTTTGCTGGAGTACTGGCGTTAAAAACGTCATCTTTCAGTCTCAATAATCGAGAAGGACAAGTATGTAACTCAGGTATTGTCAGTTTTCACGACGCCAAACATTTACTAAATTGAGACCTAGCTACCGACCTCTACGCGACTCTTGGTATGGTTCCTCGGGCTCGCCAAAATGGACCCAACGTTTGATCCTACCAAAGAGACTCTGAACCTGCTGGTCAGTTCTGGTATCGCAAAAGCTCGATTGCCTTGGCCAGACCTGCTTCTCAAATCGTTTCTTGCTGGGGCGTTTTTGTCCATCGGTGCTCTTTTTAGCGTACTCACCGCCGGTGGCGCTCCCACTTTGCGCGCTGAGAATCCTGGACTTGCCACGCTGCTGGCCAGCTTTACCTTTCCAACCGGCTTTGTCATTCTCACCATCGTCAACACCGAGCTATTTACAGCCAATGTGTTTGTCTTGATATTAACCACGTTCATGCGGAAGACGACCTGGCTGGACCTTCTACGCAACCTAGTCCTATCCTATATCTTCAACCTGGCCGGGTGTCTATTCGTGGCCGGCTTTCTTTGCTGGTGGACTGATACCCTATCCACAGATACACTCAAAAGCTTCGCAGTCACGCAGGCCGAGGGACGAGTCAACGTGCAATGGTCCGTGAACTTTCTAAGAGGCATCGGATGCAACTGGCTCGTGGGCTTGGCCATCTTCCTTTCGATCTCGTGTCGCGATAAGGTCTCGAAGATCTACGCGATCTGGATTCCAATATGGACCTTCGTTGCAATTGGCTATCAGCATTGCATCGCCAACTTCTTCCTCGTGCCGATCGGCATGTTCTACGGCACGAACTTCGGCGTCGGCAAGTTCATTTACCAAAGTGTCATCCCGGTTACTCTTGGTGATATCGTGGGGGGTGCTTTTCTCGATGGGTTATTTATCTGGTTTTTGTATGGGCATAAGATTATGAAGAAAAGGCCGGCTGTGGAGACGTCTACGAGGGATCAACTCCCGGCTTGATACTTGGTTCTCTTGAATGGAATATCCAGTGATTAATGAACATGCCAGAATGATTGCGCTTGGGATTTGTATGCTTTTGATTAATCCATTGGCTGACATTTCACCTGCTGAGCCTCCTCGCCAGGCGGGCAGATAATTCAATACATTACAGCTTGCTGCTCGAAGAAGCGGCCTTTGGAATCCCAAACTTCGAAATATCCTCCTTAGTCCTCCCGTCTATTGCCAGTTCGGCCAGAACGCGGCCAAACGCAGGGGCAAACTTGAAGGCGTGTGCAGCACCCAAGCCTACAATGATATCTTTATTGTTGTCCAATGGGCTGATGATGAACTGTCGATCCGGCGTGATCGTGTATTGACATGTAACAGTGCGAAGTGGCTGGCGTTCCTGGTCGGGAATAAAGCTATTCATGAATGAGGAGAGCTGCTCGGACAACTGGGGTGATGGTACGTAGGTACGTTGCTCGGGCGTCATAAAGTTGTTTGAGGTATCACGACCAGCCTTGATAGTCGGCTCGCCGTAAGATGGGAACCCATAGAACGCCGGATCACCACCCCAAATCCACACAGGGAATCGTTCAGGATTGAAAGCGGTTGTATCTGTGGGTTTGAAGTAGGTAACCTGCTCCTGCATGACCGACAGGGGAATATGAACTCCCAAAGGCGCGAGCAGTTTATTTGTCCACGCATCGGTGGCCAGAATCACCTTCGCCGCATGGAAGTCTCCTTTGGGAGTCCGGATAGTGACTCCTCCCGCCTTCTTGGGAACCACGCGATCGACAGGGGTATTCTCCATCAGGACTGCGCCTTTGGAACGTGCCAAATATTGCATGGCTGCCACGGTTTTGGAGGCATGGGCTATACCCGTGTCGGCCGTGTATATTGCATCTACCGTGTCGGGGATGTCAAACTGCGGCCAGCGTTTCTTCACCTCACTGGCATTCAAAATCTCATGTGGTAAATTCGTAGCATGCAGAGTCTTGATTAAACTTTCGAATGGTGAGGCTTTATCGCGAGGGACGAAAACCAGGCCGCCGGTGATAGTAAGCAGCTTCTGGCCGGTCGCTTGTTCCAATTCAGCCCAGTCCTTATAGGCAGACTGAGCGAGCCTCACGTACTCAGGTAAGGCGTTGGAGGTTCTGACAATGCGCGATGTATCGTGGGAGGCCCCATGGACGTGTCCAAATTCGAACTGCTCAAATGCGATGACTTTCTTGCCTCTCTGCGCGGCCTGGTAGGCTGCTGCACTTCCCAGGACACCAAGTCCCACAACTGCCACGTCGAATTGCTCCATTTGGAATGGTGTTCGTTGGTAATAAATGTCTGGTCCTTCTGACAGTGGCCCTTGTCTACCATGGTTCCTATTTTATATTCTTGCGTCTCGGTTCACACGGGCCGCTCACGTGGTTCTTGCTGAGGGGGTGGCTAGGCTTTTGATTACAAGACTTGACCAGTAGGAATAGTAGAATATTGACAAAGAAGCTTGCTTAGTCTAGGACATGCATTCCGTGCGTGTTGAAACTTTCTAACATAGAAAAGTCGGGCATATACGTGTGTACTGCTAGGAGTATTATCACGGCCTCCTCCCATCCAAATGAGCCGAAAGTTTAGCTACTCGACCCACTCTAATAAACCACTCATCAGCCACTACTCGTAAGTACGGTTGCTGTCACTCAGACTGTGTAAGGGAGTAGTTACTGCTGGGAGTCTGGGACTCGTCGCATAGTCCCGGGACAACATCCGGCCTAACGGTCAACCCCGCTTCAAACAGGATCGGGTCGAGCTGCCGTCGTTATCAAAATCCACTCCACGCGGGCCGCTTCCGTCCCAACTACACAGTTATACAATTAGACGACAGGGCTTTGCTATTACGGTGTCGTCTTATTGTACCTGGGGTATTTGTGCTGCATGAGAGATCATGCTGAGCAATATGAAACAAAAGATAGGCAAGAGGAGCCGGTATAGAAGAAAAGTTGATATTTGGTCCGAGAGTGCTTAGGCCAATCGGATACTCTAACATGAGATATTGCAAATACTAGGGAAGGAATGTAGCCATGCCAGCTTTCAATAGGATAAATTCGAAAGATTCAACAGGTGTAGTGGCGCAATAGGAAGAATTTCAAAAGAAATTTAGAAATATAAGTCGTTTACCAGGGAGCTGTTGTTCCAACCACTCCCTTCTACCGATAGTGACCTCTTGTGCCTTGCCAAAGTATATGTCTTCTACTTCAGGGAAAGCAGCCTGCAGTCAATATCACTTAGCTCAATATGCGCCCATAGAAGGCCAATCGAAAGGACATATTAAGGACGCACCGGAATCTGACGAAGGACCTGATGCAATTCATGCGTTATCAATACAGGCCACATACCATAAAAGCAGTCGATAAACAGCGTCTTGATATTATTCGATCCTAACCGAGGGATGTGACACTGAAGGTCCTGACTCTCCTTATGGCCAACCTCCGTCCTGAGAGTTAGGGATTTGAGTTTTGGAAATCGTAGCTCGCGCAGCATTGCATCGTAATAAGGGACTCTGTGGTCATTGATAACACACATTCCTGCTTCCTCAACAATATTGGCATAAACCTGTTGGCATTGTGGCGTGACCTTCTCAAGAAGCTTTGGAAGGTCAACGGGGATGGGCTTCTTCCAGAGATAGCGCATGGCTTGATGAAACCAGACCCTATTGACGACTCCACAATCCAAAAGAGGACGTTTTAGGGCGATATAATACCACACGGAGTCCCAGCGTCTACAACGAAGATAAATCCATTGGAGGATCATGGACACGATCTCGGGCAAGGCGAGCGCGCATTGAACGGCTGTCGTCTCAATGTTGTCATTCATTGTGGGAGCTAGATATCGTGATCGACATGGTGGTGTTAGTGTGTGTAGCGTGGGCTGTAGTAGAGGTGAAAGGCATTGTATACCTCTTTTTTATACCACTAACAAGCTACTTCGTGAAGTTAGCAACGATCTGGGCTATCAGACATAGAACATAGAAGACGCTGCTCGATAATAACTGTACGTCGGAATATACTTATAGACGGTCACCTGGTAAATATAAGACCACATCAAACATTTTCTTTGTGTGACACCAGGTTTTGTATCTAACTGGGATCTTATTCACTGCTTCAGCATGTGCAGGAGCATACTTCGAGGTTCGGGCATATGCCCGTACAAGGCATATGAATACGCATAAATGAGTATAGTTTCCAGCATTGTGATTACCTTGATCTGCACCACGACCTTGCTTGTCTATCACGGGGAAAGTGAAATGCAGCTTTCTTGGCTCCAGTATGTACATTCTAAAGGGAACCAGTCGATCTTGGCGAGGGCCGCTTGGATGACAAAAGTACATCTGGCTTGATCGTTTTCCGCTCATATCTCTGTGTCAAGGTCTTTTTCAGGCTTCTCTGGCCTAAGCAGTCTTCCCTTTCACCTCATTATCTTCCCAGGGGGTCCCAAAAGAGATAAATCTCAGGCATATTACTTGGAACTCCCCGTTTTCGTGGCACTAAGGCGATATACATTACTCGGTTGTCGTCCAGTCGCTGGCATTACTCTATTATTCGAATTTACCACGCTGAAGATAGTTGCAAACTCTACATTCCCCTCAAGCGTCAGAAACGGCTTCCTCTGGGTTGATAAATCTACTCAAATTCACCCTAGCGTCCTCTCTATCTGAAGTGCCATTTCATGAGGAACATTATGTTCCAAAAGTGGGAAGCAAGTACCATAGCTCATACCTAGATCTGACGCCGATTCTACTGTTTCAAGATAATAGCAACCCACCATTATCAGACAGCCTATGCGGTATGAAGAGAGCCATCCCTTCAACCCCGGTACAATCTAATCACATAACCCTCCGTTCGCCTTCCTCATCATTACAAACGGCTCCCCAACCCTCTTCAACAACTTCACCTCTCTGGGTTTCACAAACAAAGGCTCCGTCACTGCAAAGTAATTATGATAATATGGCTTTTTAATTTGTACCTGCATTACCGCCAGTCAGCTATTACCTTGCATCACTCTGCCGAACGCACATAGAACAAACGTTGCTGAGGTACAGGTGGATAGGTAAATAGTATACTTACTTCCAGAAGCCATTCTTGTGACGCGGACCTGTAAAGTTCACGACACTCAATCGGGGTATCTTTTCTTGGATATATGGAATATAGATAGAAGGATGATACGCGCAAGGCTCAAGCAGGGGAACGTACCAGTTTTCAACCCACGACAGGGTCCCAGGGGCGTCAGGCACCTGGTATATTTCGAAAAAAGTACATTCGGGCTCAGCAATGACGGCCTCGTAGACAGGTTTCATTGCGGCCCAGAATGTGGGCAGGTCCTCGGGATTAAGGTGGATTGTGACATGAAGGGAGATGGACTCTAAAGTGGTGGACATTGTGGGATCACTATCGATAGTTCGTTGGAGGCTAGTATGCCGGGTTGAGCGAAAGATAAAATCTGGATGGATTTGAGGGTGACAGATGCTTTAAACAAGGCAGCAGGCGGAGATATCGGGACTCGGTCGTAACTTTACAACAAAGGGGACTGCTGGTGGTCAAATTGGAGTAAGCACTAAACACTACCTGGATTGGGGGCTGTTAGCTAATAGGCCTGGGGGGCCTAGTGCGACGTTAACCAACAGGGGTCAGTAGGCCGAATGATATCGCTCTAGGAGATTGCTTTGGTTATTGGCTATTCAGACGTGGGAGGAAAGATGGTCTTGGCTTGCTTTTTGGAGGGCTATAGAATAAGCTATAGCCCTCATCTAAGTGATAGCCTAGTGCGCAGCTTTGTGATTGAAGCCAGAGATGATCATTTTGAGCTAGTCAGTTATCCAATACATCTACCCCTATGTATCATGCCCATATCCTTTTGTCAGCCTTAATACCCCCTTTGCAAAATATCATCACTGTTCACTCCCTCTGCCCCAATGCTTGCACTTATATTAGAAAGGACGACTAAACTAGACAAGCTTTCGATAATGAACGGGCACCATCCTTGTGACCGGGTCAAATGTGTCTCTGGTAGTGCCCATGCTGGAGCATCTCCTTAAGACATACCTATAGATTTACCCTAGTCTTAGCCGTCCGTAATCCTGGTCTAGGATGTCGACACCATGTAACTCCTCAGCATAGTCGGTCCCATCACGATCGTATGCACCTCCGGGCTCTTGATCTCGCCCGTATGAGTGATGTCCCCTGCACTATGTTATCGAAGTCGCTGTCAATCCGGGAAATCTGAGCTATTCGTGGGTGCTGCAAGTTAATACGCTAGCGAAGCTGTACTTCATCTCCCGCTTCATTATCTAGTCCCTACTACCGATCATACGATGCGGACCACCATAGAGGAAGGCGTCAATGTCGCGGAGCTGGCGGTCAGTCCCAAATCCGCTGGCACGAATGGTTACTTCACCTGGAAGAGTCTAGACATCAGTTTGCCAGAGAGTTTCGCTCCGACGAGGCCGCAAATGCTGTGGGAGGAGACCTTGGAATGGGTGGGATTGGCAGAGGATATACCTCACTCTAGTTAGGAGTTTGTTATTTAGTAGGAACCGAGTACGATTTTATGTAATCTCTTATCTATAACCTGGGCAGATCTGAAGAGCAGACTCGAACTTTTGCTATAATTTCACTTTATATGCTAGCCTTTTGTTCATTTAGTATCTTGTTTAGAAGCTCATGCCGATTGCATCTCACATTCCTGCCACTCAGGCAGTCTTCATCGTTACAAACTACTCGCATTCAGCGACGTCATTAATTGTAGCTCGTTTACTCGGCCCAATAACCAAAGTAAACTTCATAATGTCATAGAAATCAGTACCAACTCTATCGGACATAGGGCAAATTCATGTCATTCCTGTGGTTGTTATATCTTATCGTTTCTTCGTCAGAATATATATTTGTAGATCATAGTCGTGGGCTCGCTTGGACATCCTTGCGTTCATCACAAGCTCCATCCCCACATACCTCCGGTTTGTATTTCCTGGACAAAATGTGCAGTACTGAAATATAGAAAAAATGCCTACTGATACCTTTCTTTAGCAAATAGCTACTCAACTACTAGATTAGTGTTCTATCGATCCTACTATACATTACAGGTGCGTGCGGGTCGGGCTATTAATTTTCCATAAGGTTCGGGGCGGGTACGGGTTGAATGGCCCGAAAACATCAACCCGAAAGACCGACATGGCGCCGGGTCGGGGCAGGCTTTAGAATCATGAACCCGAACTTGACTCGCTAACCAGTCCATGCATCTTACATAAATCTACTTATGCAATCATCCACCTGGAAGCCTGGCGTTACGTTAGTACAGAAATACCTCACATGGCAGAGTGGAACTATCCACTTGAGGGTTATCAGATTTCCATGCATCTACCGAAGTTGTACGCCATGGCTACTTTTAATTGAGATTGTCGTTGTTGCTCCCGGTTCGGGACTACGGGATGGCCCATGACAATACCATATTCGGGTTGACTGCTGCCACAAAGGCATGAGTCAGCGGAGCTGTGATGTCCAGACTTCAGACTCCAGACCACCCGCCAAGATCAAGAGGGGCTGATTAGATTACCTTTACCGGCAATGCGATTTATCTGATGGATAGGAATTTGGAACGTGTGGAGATGCTGTGAGAGATTTGCACTGCTAGACTCTTGGAGCCTCCTGACTAATGTAATTGTAATCAAGCATTTGCCATCTTATGTCTCGCTTCTGCTTAACGATAAGATATGCATGGCTGCAGCATATTGCAAATTCGCACGCCGAAAAAGGTTAGTGGCTGTGTCATGATATCCACTGACCTACCTTTGCCGAATTACTTGCGTCCCAACAGCTATTGAGGGCCTTCTATACCTCCGAAGTCGGGGACCAAGCCAGTCTGGACATAGCGCCGTATTATGTGCATGGGCTCTGCACATGGATGGTGCACTAAGCGAGCAATGAGCAGTGTCTTGTCCTACGTACTTCAATTTGATCAAACGCCCTATAGTGTAGTTTCTTCTCAGATCTGGATCGCTCTCTTTGCCGAAAGATACATTCTGAGTTTTTAGATGGCTCTGAAAGTTCTGAAATGTTTATTAGATTTTTATATGTATGCATACTCTATACTCTATATGCTAAAAAGGCCGTGCAAATTTCATGTAGAATGTGTAACTCGGGGTCAACATGCCCACGCCACTATGGCAAGCTCACAAACGCCAAGTAAACATTATAGTTCGACTCCAACAACATCCTTTCAGAGTCGCTATATGTCCCATTGAAGACAGGCGCAGGGACAATTGAATCCGTGTCGATCTCCGGGGAAAACAGTTTTTGACTCACGTCGTACACCTCCGTCGTAGCTGGCAGAGTCCCATCAAGGAAATACTCGCGGATTGTATTTAACAGCCCTAAAGAACCAAGAGTGATTGTGGTATGGCCAGGTCCCCGTCTCACCGCTAGTTGAGATGAGGTGGGAAGCCAGCGATGTAAGCGTGCCGCTGAGTTTACAGGAGTAGTGCAGTCGTGAAGCGGATTGACAATCAAAACGGAAGTATTCTGCTTAGTGAGGATGGCGTTTGTCTCGTTATTGAGGAGCTTTGAGGCTCCTAGGTTCGGCACTCTTGGCCGGGTATTAGGGAAATTTCGGCAGAACGAAATGGTAGACAGATCCGCGTTCAACCATGGGGTCTGCTCGGCGAGAGAGATGTTGAGGACTAAGTGCGCAACTTCAGGTAATGTGGTCTGGTTGGAAGGGGCGTTATCCGTGCATTGGATAGGCCATCCAGCGAAAGAGCCCGTATCCGGCGCACTGGCGTTTACTTCTGGAGCTGCTGCAACCCCGAGGAGGTTGGCCACAGGGTCGGCATCTCCTTCCTCAAGTGCGCTCACTGCCGATGCGACCGCGGGCCATGAGCTGGGTAGTCTCAAGTAGGAAGACATGAAAAAGCTGAACATGCCAACTGTGATGGAGAACGATCCGTCTGACACCTCAATAGGGTTTTTATACAGTGATGCTTGTAGATTGGCAAGGCGCGTGGCCAGGTCTGTAGTGCTGTTTCCGGGAGTAGTACGGTTGTTGGGAGTCTTGTTCAAAGCACAGCCATCTATGCCAGCTTGTGTGCAGGCTGTAACCAGATCGTTGATAGCGTCCCGCACATATAACTGATCATAGGGAAGCTGGCTAGTGTAACGTTTGGCATTCGCGGCAGAATCGAAAACACCGTCAAAGACAATCTTCCCCACTCTTTCTGGGTAAGTCTGGATAAACTCGGCACCGAGGATAGTTCCATATGAAAAGCCCCAGTAGTTTAGGGTGGCATTGTCTGTTCCTTCTAGGGCATCGACAATAGCTGCCATGTCACGGACGACATACGCTGTGCTGGAGGTGTATAATGCGCTGGAATTATGGTCGGCACATGCGTCGGCAAGATCTGCAATGGCATCATCATAGTCCTTCAGTGCGGCATAGTACGCGGGCATGTAGCTTTGATTGCGAAATTGGCTATATTCTATCTCAGCCGCTGCGGGAACCGCGGCAGATGCGTCAGATTCCTCGCCTGCCGTGTCGAAGCATTGCAGCAGAGGCCGTGCAGAACCCGTCCCGCGTGGATCCCAAGACACGATGTCGTAGAAGCCACCTGTGATGTTGGAAATACCCTCTCCGGCGCCGTTCAAAAGGAAATCAGTCCCGGCCGAGCCAGGACCGCCTGGATTTGTGAGAAGAGAGCCTTTGCGCTGGGATTTAGGAACGGTAGCATTGAAGCGAGCCAGAGGAATGTGCGCCAACACCCCATTGCCTGGATCAGCGTACTCGAGCGGTACTGTGAGGGTGGCGCAATCTAGGGATGGATTTGATGTGCATGGTGACCATTGGATGCTGGCGAGAGCAGGGGCTATTTGCAGGTAGCTAAGAAGGGAGAGCTTCGTGAACCGCTGACCAGGCATATCGAACATGACCCAACCTCAATGACTTGGAAAAGCGAATGTAGGGGTTCCAGGGGATCGCCCGTCATGATATATCATGCGGTGAACGAGTCAACTCCCGCCAGCTGCCGAACATAAAAGAGTTTACGCGGGTGCAATAGTTCCACTTACCATTCATGATGACCCGACGACCATTGAATATCGACTCCGTGATAGGTATATCCACTGAGGTAGGTGGATCACTAGTTCCATCTAATGCATAGATCGGCGATCTATGGTTCTGTTCGGGCTAGCGTGAAATCTCTTTTAGATATCGCACCTCGCTACCAGCGCGATGATGATATGCTCGGAAGGTAGCGCGGCAACCCGAGATTCTTCCGTACGGAAACCTAGGCTAGTACGCGGTAATTACACCGCCAAAGGAACAATTTCTGGTAGTCCCATGGTAGTTCTTGCTGCTAACCGGTATCTTAGCGGTAACGGATTGTATCGGGCTTAGGGCTCCGCACGACTCAGGGTGGGTCAAGACTCTCTGAACGAAGAATTTGCACTGAGTCGTCTTCGCTACGTTTGTTTACCTATAATGTAGATAGTCATTTGTTCATATTTATTCTATAAAATTCCTCTACAACGATTTATGCGTAGTGTAGCAAGTCTGGAAGGGTACTAATATCTCTTACTCGAGCTCATGCTATACAACTTAGTATGGTAAGTAGGCAGGAAGCCCCGTTCCCCAGACTAAGTATGTTGCGTACTTGTTTCCTAGCTGCAGAGGAATATAAGATCTGAAGAACTTCAACCCAGCACCATGGTTGGATACTGAATACCAATCTTTGAGCCAGAATGGCTCGTACGATGTAGCCCAGTTTGAATCCGATCCACCCTTCGAGTAAATATCCGCCATGATACTCTGACCTTCGTAGAGTTGGGTTTGGGGCGGGTTCGGGTTCAGGATCTAGGACCCGCTCCCGACCCAGCGTTAGGTTGGGTTTTCAGAGGTTCAACCTTCCCCGCCCCGAACCCGTATAGATTTTATTGGCCCGACCAGGCAACCCGCCACTAAGGCCAAATCATCTACTCCGTACTTGACTCAGAAAGCCTATCCTACCTGAACCTGCACTGTTTTTCTGGATTGGATCGGGTTTTTACCTTAGAAACTAAAAACCTAGAGTGGGCTCCCAGTACCACTCTAGACCTTCGAACACGATCTAACTGCTATCTGGATGGTGAATGTATGAGAGGGATCCCGCCGAAGAGAAAGCGTATGAGATAAGACAACATGAAATAAAGACAAACTCAAGGGTTTCAAGACAGCACTACCTGAAGGTGAGCAGATGTGGAGTCAAACTGCATGGGGGCCTTGGAAAGACAACTCAATGAAATGAAAATAGCTCACAGCTATTTTAGCCCGATGTAACGGCGAGCTATATAGATCACCCCAGGGCATTCTGGATTGTCGAGCCGAAATTATTCTGACCTTTTAGTCTTACAGAATGCAGTGCCCTGGCTGCATCTCTTACACCCGACACATCTTACCTGGCAAGGGAAAGCCATATGTTAGACACCTGCTGAGTTTCTGTCTTAACCACTGTAAGTACCAATTGTTCGTGAGATGCCTGGTAGCCAAATCGCTTGCTTGTAGGGCCTAGATAATTCAGCTATTTGTATACTTTAATCCTCCTAGCTGCCTGTGCATTTACTTATATCATTGAACAGCTGTGATGAATCAAAAGTTTTACGGCAGTGGTACACCACAATGATAACGCGTGCTATCCAGTTCTATGGAAGGGCAGGTAGTCAGTATGCATATCCATTTGATAAAATCAGTTCCAATCGTGCAGAAACCGCAACACACATAGTACTAGGAGCCTCTTCAGCAACCCAGACATATTTCAGATTATTACTTGAAAGTACATACATGATCAAGAAGCTGTATTACGCCAGAACATCATGCTATATTGCGGGGATGTGGCCAGCTTGTGAATTCTGGATGTTGCTCGCAAGTGCTTTTTTACGTCTATAAATCATAAGATCCTGGCTCACAATCAGCACGCAGCAATCCACTATGCAAGCGTAATACCCCAGATTGACATGTGTATACGACGCAAAAGTAAGTAATAACAGATAATACATGTATGTCATTAGATCAATGTAATTTATCTACAAACTTCATGACCTTGTTCCCCGTACTGCTCTTCTCAAAGCCCGACAGGTCATCCAGGAATGTAACCTGGAAAAGATGCTCATTCTCTGCCAAAATGAAAAAGTACTTCTCTAGCTTGGCCAAAAGCTCTTCCTTGGACATGATGTTTTCGTTATCCGCCTGGCGGAGCAGACGAATCTCCAGCTTCGTCTGCGGAGATGATTCAAGGGAGGCTAGAATGACCTGCCATTGAAGTATTCCGGTCCTGTCGCCTTGCATAAGGCTGACAATGTTCTCAAATTCAAAATACATGCCGAACCACTTGAAACTGAACCGACGGTCGCGACCGCGAAGACGGAGGACCCGAAGATGCTCTAGCTCGGATTCGGGGATGGTAGCACGGGCTTTCTCTGGCAGCGGCTGCAATGATCCAATATCGCCTGTGATATAGCGCACAAGGGGATTGCGACGACGTAGGAGGGAGGTCTGCACGATGATCCCCTCCTCGCCATCCGGCACGGATTTTACGCCAGCAGGTGAATCGCCCTCAGTGGCGGAATGGGGGAGAATCTCAATGACAACTTGTCGGGTGTCGAAGATAAAGTCCATGGTACCAGGCGGGCGCTCGGCCGAGGTAAGCTCGGGATCACTGAGAGCGCAGGGGCCTGCTTCTGCGCTTCCCCAGATTGAGCATATCTTCACCGGACCTAAAGTCGCTGTGATGTGGCTTCGTTGAGACTCGGTGAGCGGCTCAGATGTATACAAGACCTTGGTTAATTTGATTTTCGCTCTCTCCTCGGCCGGGAGTGTAGAGATATGGTGCACAATTTGGACGACCTGACTGCCGTCACCGGTAATGACATTAATGTGATAATGGGCCAAAGCATAGACAACCTCGGCAGGTGTCATATAATTTCCAGCGCTGAGAACAGTTGCTCCCGCATTTTCCAGAAGCTCACTTATCAGATCGAGAGACCTGGGTACTGATTAGGGGGAATCCTTTACACATGCCATTTCATCAAGCTTTGCAGCAGGCGATCAACATACCGGTAAAAGTACCCGGAGACGTGAGTCGTCAGGACCCAATCCTGAGGCCCCACAACTCCACAGGTGCTCAGGAATTCACCAAAAACCGCGCGCTGGTTGCGATTTTCTTTGGTGTCAGTTACGAACATCAGTGGCAGTCCACCAGAGCCTCCGCCTGTGATGCTAACGTAAGAACTACGTCTGTATTCATTTTTAGGGCTTGTGTCGTCTGTCAGACGTGCAATGGCTTTGTAACTGGATTGCTATGTGTCAGTTGCAGGAGTGGATCATGTCATATTTATGACTTACAGATCTTTCTTGCTAACCAAGGGCAGTGAACTAAGGTCAATGTCTGTCGACTGTTTGCCAGTCAATTCTATTGCTGACTTGATCGATTCTGGAGTGGGAGGGTATTCGACGGCAGAGTTATAGAAGGGGTGGATTTCGGCGACGGCGAGAACCTCCCTGAGGGGGAATGTGGTAGGTGCCATCATTCCACGGACTTGAAACAAGTAAATTGACACTGCACTTGAATGTGGATGACGTTTCCAAAGTGGTGACGCGGAGAATAACGCATTGCGGTTAAGGCGCATCCCACATTCTTATACATAGCGGGTTTTCACAGCTGTTTTTATTGTGGCGTACAATACGTAGTGCATCCGCCAGTCTTCAATTAGCCTAAAGCTTCTAGGTGATCCGACACCTCAACGCAAGACATGGGGTAACAATCAGACTTAGCTGAGCGTAAGCGATGAGCGGACACCAAGACATTAGGAATTGCGGCATATAGGGTCCGGCCCGCTCGTGTTGAGAAGGTCTTCGTTCAGCTGGTACTAGTATGCGTGTCCCGAGCTAGATCCGCATACACTAATATTGTAACTGTATTGAAAGTGATTATTATTACTAGACCGATCATAAATTGACCAGCTGGATTGCTCTGATTTAGTACGTGTCCGCACTGGGTGGGTTCCTTACCCACGACCCGGAATAGGGTTCCACTTAGATGATGGGCTCATTGTCCATAGAGAACCACGCTGCAGTGGCACTCCTCCTCCAGCTGAATGACCTGTGGCCACGATGGCGTTATTCGAGTCCATGCTGACCGCTAGCGCATGGCGCTAGTTCCGGCTGCATGATGCATCACGAAGGGACCGTAAGGGGCAAAATTACCTAATGAAAACCCCATCATCGGCGCGATCGGTGCGTGCCGTGAACCCGGTGGAGGAAATCTCCTGCAGATCCAAGGTCAATCCAGATCGACCGAAAATACCAGCCTCGGTATGCAGCTAGGTCGTTCTCTAACGGTAAAATACCTCCCTGCCATGTTCCCTTGTAGTTGTTCAAGGGAATTTCCCCAAGCAATGAGGGATTTCAGCTCAAAGACATACAAGTCTGGTCTGGCGTACTACGTACAGCTGAACACTATAAAGGCCAATCTCTGTGGTAGTATATATATGTAGTGGTAGGAGCTAAGACCGTCGTTTCATTGATTGCTTTGCTTTCATCGTTGCTTGTGTTCCGAAGATGACGGTGACGGACATGCCTTCCGATGCTTTAATAGATAGCATCATCAAAGAACGAATTCGAAAATTGAATCAAAATTCCATTGATATGGAGCATGACTTGCCTTTTCTGGTCGCAGACACAAGGAAAATATTCCGACAGCATGAACGCTGGCTCCAATGTCTCCCTAACATTGCACCCTTCTACGGTCCGTTGTGGGCACCATCTCGATTTTCATTGGGTCCAAACTGACAAGCAATTTTCATAGCTGTAAAATGTAACTCAGACATTCGATTATTACGCTATCTCGCGCGTCTAGGTGTTGGTTTCGATTGCGCCTCATGGGGAGAGATGAAACTCGTGCTGGACTTGGGTGTCGACCCAGCCAGAATTATATTCGCTCATCCGTGCAAAGCGGTATCTGCCTTGCAGATGGCGTCCAGGAGAGGAGTTCCACGTACGACATTCGACAATGTCGACGAACTCGAGAAAATAAAGAACTATGCTCCCAGTCTACGGTTACTTCTTCGTATCTACGCCGATGATGATACCGCTCTTGTGAGTCTGGGGAACAAGTTTGGAGCTCCATTAGATACCACCAAGGCATTGCTTCTGAAGGCGAAGGACCTCGGCTTAACCGTGGAAGGGGTCAGCTTTCATGTCGGTATGTACGACTTCTTCAAAATTTGCACTCCTTGCTCTTGCTGCATGCTCTACCCTATATTAGCTAACAGATACAGGATCCGGAGCGTCGAACGCCGATACATTTGTCACTGCAGTACAAAATGCAAAGCGAGTTTTCCAACAAGGCAAACAGCTCGGGTTCAATATGCATGTCTTAGATGTCGGAGGTGGATTTCAAGATTCCAACTTCGAACAAATGGCACTAACTCTTCAACGAGCCATCGAAGAACAATTTTCCCCTTCCACACAGGTAATAGCAGAACCTGGTCGATACTATGCCCGCAGCTTCTACACTGCAGCATGCAAGGTGATCGCGCGTCGCAAGCAAATCGGGCAGGATCGATTAACCCACACCGACATGCTGTACTTGAATGATGGGATATATGGGTGTTTCATGAATGCTGTGGCCGAGAACGAGATATACCGCCCTATCCTGGTCCGACAGGAAACTACAAGCAATTCCGAGGGGGAGACTGGAGAGCATCGGTATTCTGTGTGGGGCCCGACATGCGATGGGTTGGACTGTATCGCCAAAGAAGCTACTATGAATTGTGAAATAAAGGTTGGCGATTGGGTCAAGTTCGAAAACATGGGAGGTAAGTCTGCCATTAACCTAACCATTCACATAACTTAATAGTTAACACAATCACACCACAGCCTATACGGTAGCGACTTCTACACAATTCAATGGATTCCCAAATCGCTACGACATCATATATGTTGATGACTATACCCCACTAAGATGGGATAGAGAGATTACAGCTGGTTCGAAACGTCTCAGGTCCGAAGCCGTCCTATAGAAATTATGGTAGCACCCATAGCAAGAGAAGAATATTTGCCGTGCTTGTCGGAGCTTCTCTGTCAGCAGTCATTATGAATTGTCAGGGCGACGACATGGCGCTTTTGCTCTTCCTCGATCTTTCCTCAGCTTCGCGCTCGCCCTGTGGGTACCAGGGTTCGTAGCGTCTTGTCATTTACATAGTTTGACGCCGTCAATTGTCGAAAACGGATTTGGGATAGTTCGAGAATCGGGAGAACTTTCTATTAGACTGATCGGTAGGGTGCACTAAAAGACGTCGGGTAAATTCAAAAGCCCACCAACATGGGTTAAGTCAGTGGCAGGTATTTTACATGTTCATCTCCTAGCATCTCGATTCCGTAATGGTAAATACAATGGTTTTATCAGTAATTGCTCCACATCGTGCCGCTCCAAAGAGATTGGCCCTCGATGCTCGCTAAATGCGGTATCTAAATCTCCACAGTGGATACGAGCCAGGATTTAGATACCTCGCATTATATGGTGGACCTTGTACCATCTGAGTCCTTGAGAATGTGGAGGAGTGTTATTACTCTGAAACCTTGCGTACTTTCGATCTGAATAATGGGGCCGTTGATCATTGCTCACAGCTCAGCTGAGAGGCGCTAGGGATTTTAGCCACACGTTCTCCACCATCTCCGTAGCCTTGATTACCTTTTTAATATATTTTGCTTTTCTGTTCTTCTCTCTTCTTAAAATATGTTACATACTACAGAGTTGTCATCGGGGTTTGCCGTGGTGTGACTCCACACCTGAGAGTAGTCCTAGCTTCAATCCGATGCTCAGCTATGCAAGTGGCAATGTAGGCCGACACCCCTTCTGTAGCAGTCCTCTGCCTCTGAAATAAGATGGCCTTAGCATACTGACTTTATCTACATCTTTATCCTCTCACATTTCTCCTCAAGTCACTACATGATTATACCCCATTTCCACAAAATGAAGATTCCAGCTAGCCAGCAGCTCCAACAGCTCCATGTCTCTCTGGAACAGGGTGATTATGAGCCCGTAGCAACTTATGACTCTACAAAAGCCACGTATCTCCAAGACCAAGAAGCTCTTCAAGACGGCCTGTTGAGTTTATGCTCTGCCGACGGATGGCATAAAAGTTCTAGAGCAGCGTGCTCTCCCCGGCCGGTTCTCGTCAGTTCGGAGCATCAGCGGCGATGGAGGGAGCTTCATGAAGCTCTAGTTCTAGCTGTAACCGACATTGTTGAAAGATGGTTAACAGACCCCGAGGCTAGATTTCCAGAACGGATGCCTTTGGAGTCGGAGGAGGAAGATCTACTGCGCGTACGTCATTTGGAATACCCCCCATTGCAGCGCACAGATTTAACCTTCAACTACTTTAGTGGATTGATAAGCAAGTGCCTCACAACCTTCCACGGTACCGAGACTGCCGGGGCTCTTGGAGACCCGACTTCCTGGTGGAAGAGGACACAAGTGATGAGGGCTCCGGGCCTGCCGAGGGCTTCCGTATCAGTGAGATCAATGCCCGCTTTTCCTTTAATGGCCTTATGTACGCCACTTGTGCGCAAAAGGCATTAAATGACATGGGTGTTTGCGACCATGGTAATGGCCTGGTAAGCGCCACGGATCCGGCGAAGGTAAGCTAAAATATACGATTTCCCGCTTTTCCTGTTCCTGCATCTCACGGTGCGCGTATGCTGTAAGCTGACGGAGACTAGATCCTCAAGGGCCTTTTAAGCCTCTTCCAGCCCGACCGCCCATTGCACCTTTTGAAGGGCGATGAAGCTGGGATTGACATCCACATGGTAGCGGACTTCCTCAACCGTTACCTGAGAATAAGCCCCCGATTTGTTCTCCCTGCAGATCTACGGCTATTGCCCGACCCGCAGGCAAAGGGGGGCTACAAGCTCTGCTGTGTGGTTAACAGCCCGGATAGCTCGCATAACTCCTCCAGCGCTTCTTCACTTATTTACCATAATGGAGAGTGCTTGGAGGAAATTCATCAGGTCGGTCTGGAGCTTCATCAGCGAGAGATCCGTGCCTTGGAGCCGGAAATGCTGCGCCAAGTGAGCCTCAGATGCTTTAACGACATGCGTACGATTTTGCTCGTGCACGATAAGAGAATGCTTGGAATCGTCAAGCAGGAACTTGGCCATTTAGTGGCAAGAAATATTCTTACACTGTCCCAAGCGAGGGCTCTTGACAAGGGCATCGCAGAAACAATACTCCCTGGATCACTGGAGCTCGACCAGGTAATCGCGCACTGTAAGGAACTGCCAGACCTAAAGGATGAATATCTTCTCAAGCCTATCCGGAGTGGGAAAGGCGACGGGATCGTGTTTGGTGATGATATGGACTCGAAGGAGTGGGTATCAAGACTGGAGAACCTGCGGTCCGCGCAATTAGTCCCGGGCAGTGGAACCTGTGTTGTCCAGCGCAAGGTCAAGCAGCTGTTGTACGATATGGTGTTGAGGCCAACGGGCGTCAAGACCAGGTATCCACTTATTGGAACTTACCACTCCATCAATGGTGAGTTCCTCGGAATTGGGGTTTGGCGTAGCAGCGCGGATCGTATCTGCGCGATCAGTCATGGAGGTGCATGGACGGTTTCTGTTATGCGTGATGAATAGGCGTTCTTTGAATCTTACGAAGTATTGGCTCTTATTTTTTTATTCTAATCTACGTCTCTTGAATTCTATCCATTTGCAACTCGTTTCCTTTGGCAGCTGTAGAGTAACTGTATAGGAATGTGCCACACTTCCCAACGCGCAATGATAGAGCTCGTCGAACGAGGTCGAAGCTTTCCAGTCATTCGTAATAGACACGTGTCAGGAATAACTGAATTGATCGTGCTTAACTGGTGGCTCGAGGCGTACGCGAGGAAGTTGCCGGAGAGGTAAACTTGATGCATCTCCAGAACACGTCTGAAAGGAAGAGTCTAAAAGCCTGATCGTAATTTGTGTAAGTGATACCTCCGGAAATGCAATCATTCCTTGTGACTTCAGCTGAATTCAGGCAGAACCCATTGATCAACGCAGGTAATTTCGACACCCTGCGCAGGGCTAGTGTTGCTAGGGATGCCGCTACAGACCCATGGTCTTACAGCCCATACGAAGTGGCAACTAGCGCGAAACATTGATGTGGCTTTTTTTCAGCTCATGGATTCTGTGGCTCCACAGTTCTGTGCTGTCATATCCCATACAATAAGCATACGATACAGGCACCCAATTCCGCAATGCGACCGAATTGTACGGTAGACCAACATCCCTACCCACAGGAAGGCGCAACGTACGAGCGCTTCATGCTGGGTACCCATTTCAGCTATTTCCCGAGTATCCGCCCCGCTGAGCTGAACTAGATTTTGGCCTGGCCCAGTATATAGTGACCATCCTACTGCCGTGCCTTGATTGCTCGTGTCTCTCTTTTGATCAGATCAGATAAGCTGAGCAATCGCCTAGTTCTCGCCTTTTCATATCTTTACAGTACACTCTACAGCTCTCTTGATTCCTCTATACCCCAAACCTTGTTGATTTCGTTCCCTCCCTCTGGGTGAGGAATAGACTTCCGCAGAAAAGGAAACATGCAACAATTCGTACGCAATGTCAAGCCCACCAGACTGGTAGACATAACTGCACGTTAGTCGGACCCCAAGGATTCGAATGGTGATGAAACCCCTAATGCAGAGCAGAGGCATCCCGTGTCGTACCGCACTTAATAGCCAGCGACCTCAGTTGCGCAACGCGATCAAGCCACGTTACAGAAGTCTCAGACGCCCTCCGGAAAAACGGCATCCTTAAAGTCAGCCTACAGTTCAAAGATGACGCTAGCAAATACCTCCAAAATCTCATTCTCGGTCTCCACAAACACCACGGACACGGGTTACCAATTACCCACAGTGCATCGCGCGGTTGGTTTTGGGACATTCGACCCAATAGCACAATCTTCCAAACCCCATCGCATCAGGCCCGGTCCGAGACCATGCAGGAGTTCCCTTGGCACACGGACTGTAGCTATGAGGCGGCCCCGCCCAAATACTTCGCGTTACAGGTTCTACGGGAAGATCGCTGTGGTGGCGGAACGCTCTCGGTAATGAACGTGGGGAAGCTAAGCTCCATGCTCTCTCCGTCTACGTGCGCTGCCCTGCTGCGGCCCGAATTCCGTATCGATGTTCCTCCAGAGTTCGTGAAAAGCGACGCGAGCCGACACATTATTGGTAGCCTCATGGCAGCGGACTCGAGTGGTGCGCCAAGTATGCTGCGCTTCCGGGAGGACATCATGACTCCTCTGAGTATGGAGGCTGCGGCCGCGCTGGCGGAGCTAAAAGATCGTTTGCTGGGATTGGAAGTACAGGCGGAGACGCTCCACCTGACGCCGGACTGCTTACCTCGGGGTTCTGTCGTGCTCATGGATAACCGCCGCTGGCTTCATGCACGGAACGAGGTCATGGATCCCGAGCGCCACTTGCGCAGGGTGCGCTGGGATGCGAAGCCATTTCCCGCCATGAGTATCTAGCTCTTTGGCGAAACTCTTGGATCCGAACTAGATGTGGGCAAGTCAAGACATGGCATTAGGGTTGGTAATGGTCACGGAGTTTGAGGTGTAAAAGTTACTAGTGCTACTTTCAATTAAGAAGCGTCATTTGAGTTGAACTGCGGGTTTTACTTGATCATTGCCATACGTGACAGGAAATGTAAACGACTTCTCCGGAATCGATCGCCATTGATCATCTTCACCTATAGACCCCATGGTTTCTTGGCAGCTGATCCACTTTGTTCGACTCTGGGAAGATGTTACCTAATTACTCAAATAGTGTAATACTAGCATGCAACTCTAATGTCCAGCCATCGAGTTAATCCATAGGGTGTAATTGTCTTTTTTGTAGCTAAGGATTTGATCCCAAGATGTCAATTTCTGGCGCAGTAGTCTGATAGCGGCTAGCTAATGCGTATCATAGGTGGAATAACAACCGTCTCGAAATCGTACGCTGCATTTCGTTCGCAAGGAAGTTGATCCTTCAATATATATAGTTGATTAGTGTCTTTCCTATAACTATAAATCCATGCCTGATGTGCGAACGTGCGTTGATGATAGCCTGCCAATATATATTGTGGCAAAATACCCCACGTCAGCTAACCGATGCATTCAACAATCCTTCAGGATGATACCTTTTGGCGTGCTCTTCCTGCTTGCTCTCTCGCAATTTTTCCTCTTTAGGAAATAGCGTGTTATGTATATATATATATATTTCTAGCCGACAATTTATGGATGCGCCATGGCTGCTGAGTTGGCACCACACGCACACAAGTCAGCCAACAAGCTGAAAAATACAAAGCCATACTCCGTATTATTTCCCAAAGTAGCGATTGTAAAATGGTTATCCACCGTTTGATACTGTTTAGGGCCATGAGTGGAAAGAAAGTGTAATAATATGTCATAATTTGAAGTGTAGCTCCAGCTCGGGAACAACTTGCCCACCGGTATTTACTCTGGGTTACAATCTGCTCGGCTTGTTACGTTATGATCGGCGGTGAGCTGAACGGGAACTAAGTTAAACAACTTTAGCAAGGTGTTTTGTCTTAGCTTGCCGAGATCTGCCTCCCCTGGCTCAGTGCTGCGTATTAGTATTCAATCGATGGAGTATCGACTAGTTCATGATTCGATCGAGACAAACCATGCTGCAGATCGATTGTCGACCTGACTCGGTGCTGGCATATTATGCCCCCCTTACAGTTCCTCGTACAAGCAAGGGCCAATTTTCGAAACTGCCAAGAAGCGTCAGCTCAGCCATTTGCCTTCATGCATGGCGCTGGCAAGATTACTTGAGAATTCGCTTGCCTCGGAGATTGCCGCAAGGTATTATCCCAGCGATGCACAGTATCGATCGAAGTGGATTTGAGCATGGGTTTGGGTTACACTGCAGAAGCACAGCCTTGAGACTAATTGGCAAGGGAGAGGCGGCTCCACTCTTCTGCAGTCACGGCTGGAAGCTCCAGCTTAGCAAGCATATTACCGAAAATCTCTTTCGGCGGAAAATTTACAAACCTATTCCACTGACGTTTCGATACAAACTCGAAGGTCTGTCCTCTGTTCTAGACAACTTTCGAATATTTGTGCGCAGATCGCACCAATAGTGGCGCTGTATGCAAGCACTCGGCGGCGGCGCTCAGCCCCATCTTGCTCCAGGCCGCGGAGAAGCAAATATACATATTACATACATCTGACCTGAGGTGCAGAGAATAGTCCTACATGCAGGACGAGCACGCCATACCGGATTACTGGGCCTCAGAGCACGATCCTCGGATACAGTAACCATTGGTAGTGGTCAACTGACTGAACTTTGCTCCCACACATCACAAGCTAGTGAGACGCTTTTTCAGCTTCAGCTAGTTTTTACGCTGGTAGTTGATCGTCTATTTCCGGCCGGGTGTACCCCCACACCATAAATACGGCCTTCCCTTTTCTGGCTTCCATGGCCCTTTGTCTCTCGAGGTAGGTTACGAACTGTGGGACCTGAAAAGTATCTGCGGACAATCATTTCGAGCACTTTTCCCTAAGCTGCTTTTGTAAGGAATCATTGGGGGTAAGAACGTACCGAGTTGTTGTTGTTGTTGTTGTTGTTGTTGTTGTTGTTGTTGTTGTTGTTGTTGTTGTCGGAAGCTTCTGCTGAAAAGAGCCGGAAGTAATACCTGACTTACCTAATTGGCTAGAATATGATCCCTGCCGATGGAATTTCCTCATCAGTCATTTAGGGCAAGGAACAATAACTATGAAGCTCAACCAAGTGTTAGAAGGAATAGATCTTAAGAAAAGGCCTGTTTCGCAGGACGAGAATATTGAATCTTCAGCCAGTAAACTTGTAAGGAGTAATGCCTGTGATTGTTCATCTTTGGATTGGTCGTACAGTACAGGTCTAGTAAACACTTGACGAATATGAGATCTGAAAGGTGGTACTGGTTTTCTCCGTTTAGACAGAGCATCTAACGCCATTGTAGCCTTCTCCACAAGCACAGATCATACATGTGAGCGTCATACTGCCCAGAAGGTAGTTCAATGGTTTGTTATCTAAAGGAGCCCACATCTCGATATCGCAAGTGAATGCTCAATGGAGCACATACTAGGCCAGGTCTATATCGAGGCATGACACAATGGGAGAAAGCATCTGGCAGGATCTAGAATAAGTGTGCTCGAGTCACGTGCTACGTCGGAGTTGGGTTTCTCCGATTTTCCGTTCACGATTAGGTCTGGGGATCGAGCGGAGAAGTGGGGCAGAATCCCCTCTCATTCAAAGGTGATTTGTAGTCCACGTCTGTCATCTTCGTCTGCTATCCTCCATTTACCTGGCTCTTCTCCACCAGATAACAAGAGCAGAACCATGGTTGGCCAACCTGATACTCGTAGTACTTGCTCGTCTGGTTGTTGCGGCGAGCAACATAAGGAGATCAAGCCCAGGAACACCTGCGGTCCCCAGACTTCTGACCAAGGGCAAACCGCGAACGATGGTTCCACTGAGAAACCACAGGAAGACGATCCCAATAATCCCAGCTGCTGCAGAGATAAGCCATCTCCCTGCTGTGATGTCTCTTGCCTTGATCGTATCGCTCTCCGCGAATGCCACAAAGAGCAGATATTATCATCGTCTAGCGAGGCAGCTCCACGTAAGTTCAAGCTAGCTACATCCGACTTTGGCCCTAAGTGGTCGCATTAATGTCAAACTGTAGAGCTCCTGACCATCAGCTGCCAAAGTTCCGATGGCAGCCCATGCGGCCAGCACCGTCGCTCAGCGCGCACCCAATACATGGCGAGGCTGGAAGCTCTGGGCTGTATTTGCCGTGCTTTGATAGCACTCGGACAGGAATCCTGCTGTGTACCACCAAAACGCGCCCCTGCTGGTAACAGCCGTCGCTCTACCGATTCTTGCTCTGCAGGGGGTAGCCCGGGGTCCGAGAGACGCCGCAACGCAAGTGTGAAGCGTGGAGGAGAGACTTGCTCGAGCGGCTGCTGTGATCCTCCTAAGGTTCCTACCCTGGTTAAGCAGTGTCCTTCCACTAGCAAGGGGAAGGCTGTCACCTCTGGTAGCTGTTGCAGTAGAGTTGAAAAGTCTGAATTTGCTGGACCGCATGCCTCCGTTACGAAGGGTGAGTTCAGCAATATCAACACCTTTCCGAAAGGTTGTTGCGGCAAATTAAAGGTTTACCCGACTTCATCTGCCGATCAGTGTCCGTCTCCTGAAAAAGGAAATTCTGGCACAATCGAGTGCTCAGCTGGTTGCTACAGTAAATCCAAACCACCCTCCTGTGCCTTGGATGGAGAGAAGCTCAGTAAGCCCGCTTGCTCATCTCGCTGCTGTAATAGGCCTGAAGGGCCCTCCGATATTTTGCCTGCATCAAAGGCCGATACATCTGGACCTGTTACCTGCTCAACTGGCTGTTGCGGTAAGTCCGTAATATCTCCATGCAGAATTACCGAGGAAACGCCTAGCGACTTAATCGAGGTCATCCCGGCCGCTGCTACTCCTGACCTAGAAAAACGAATGACGGGCAAGGAGCACGTCGTTTTGACTATATCTGGGATGACGTGTACCGGGTGTGAAACAAAACTCAACCGAACTTTGGGCACATTGCAGTCTGTCCAGAACCTGAAAAGTAGCTTGGTGCTCTCCCGAGCAGAGTTCGACCTCGACGTGGGTATTCAATCACTCGATGAAGTGTTGAAGTATTTGGAAAGGACTACCGAGTTTAAGTACGAGCGAGTCACCGACCGAGGATCTCACATCGATGTGATAGTCCCCAATGCGTCTGAGTTCATAAAGCAAGACTGGCCTCGGGGCGTGACCGAGATGGCACCGATTGGCGATGGAACCGTCAATGTTGCTTTTGATGCGAAAATAATCGGAGCGCGAGATCTGGTTGAACATGGCTGGGGCAGTCCTCTCAACCTGGCTGCTCCTCGGCCTGATCCGACGCTCCAAGCTGGAATTAAGCATGTGCGCCATATGGGATATATGACTATTCTGTCCATTATTCTAACAGTCCCTGTCTTGGTCATGGCTTGGGCTCCACTTCCAGAAAGGGAAACCGCCTATAGCTCTGCATCGCTTGCACTGGCGACGATTGTACAGATAGTCATCGCCGGCCCGTTCTACCCAAAAGCATTGAAAGCCTTGGTATTTTCTAGGATTATTGAGATGGATCTGCTTATTGTGCTGAGCACGAGCGCCGCCTACATTTTCTCAGTAGTCTCATTTGGATACGCCATTGCGGGCCAGCGACTCTCTACTGGTGAGTTCTTCGAGACAAGCACGTTGCTGGTTACCCTGATAATGGTTGGTCGATATGTCGCCGCACTGGCTCGCCAGAAAGCTGTTGAATCCATTTCGCTTCGGTCACTTCAGAAGCCTACTGCTATCCTCACGGATCAATCCGGGGCGAGTGAAAAAGAGATTGATGTCAGACTCCTTCAATATGGAGACATCTTCAAGGTCTTTCCAGACTCTCAGATTTCTACCGACGGCACAGTTATCGGAGGCTTGTCAGAGGTAGACGAATCAATGATTACTGGAGAGTCTATACCGGTAGACAAATCCCTTGGATCTGCCGTTGTCGCAGGATCTGTGAATGGCTCTGGGACGCTGATTGTCAAGTTGACACGTCTCCCTGCTAATAATACTATCTCTATCATCGCAGGGATGGTAGATCAAGCAAAGATGTCAAAAGCAAAGATCCAGGATATCGCGGACCGAGTGGCGAGCTACTTTGTACCCATAGTAGCCGCTCTGACTATCATCACCTTCGTGATCTGGATTGCAGTAGGCATCGCGGTGCGAAACCAGTCTGGATCTCGAGCAACCACGGAGGCCATAACATACGCGATCACTGTTCTGATTGTTTCTTGTCCCTGCGCGATCGGCCTGGCAGTACCTATGGTCATCGTTATTTCCAGCGGCGTCGCTGCCGAGCGAGGCGTCATTTTTAAGGCGGCAGATAGTATCGAGCTTGCTTGGAAGACTTCCCACGTGGTATTCGACAAAACCGGAACCCTCACCCAAGGCAAACTGACTGTTGCTATTGAGCATATAGACACCACGAGGGATTCCATGTCTCTACTTCTCGGCCTAGTTGGGAGTAACAAGCACCCAATTTCCGCCGCCGTTACAGCACATCTGAAAGCCAAGGACATCCCAGCGTCTACTGTCTCTGACGCAAAGGTACTAACGGGCAAAGGTGTAGAAGGGTCTGCACCAGGAGTCATCTTCCGCGCAGGAAACTCGCGATGGCTCAACCTCTCGTCCCATCCTCAGGTCCAATCCGTCCTCGAACGAGGCTATACAGCATTTTGCTTCACAATCAACGACAAACTCGCCGCCGTATTTGGCTTAGAAGACTCACTCCGCGCAGACGCGCTCGAAACCATCACGAAACTCCAGGAACGCGGTATATCCGTCCACCTCCTCTCAGGTGACGACGATGGCGCCGTCCACTCCGTCGCAAGACAGCTCGGCATCGCAGCTGAAAATATCCGCTCTCGCTGCACCCCAGCCAGCAAACAAGCCTATATCCAAGCCCTGCAGACCCCAGTCGATCAACCCGCCCCCAAGAGGAGCCCCACAACAATCTTCATCGGCGACGGCACAAACGACGCCATCGCGCTCGCCACCTCCACAATCGGCGTACACATGAACCAGGAAACCGGGACCGACGTCGCTAAATCCGCCGCAGACGTCGTGCTCATGCGGCCCAGCCTACTCAGCATCCTAACGATGATCAATATCAGTGAGAAGGCAGTGTGGCGGATCAAGTTCAACTTTGGATGGAGCTTCGTATATAATCTGTTTGCCATCTTGCTTGGTGCAGGGGCGTTTGTGGACGCCAGGATTCCGCCGGAGTTTGCGGGACTGGGGGAGTTGGTTAGTGTCTTGCCTGTTGTTCTTGCAGCCGTACTGTTGAAGTGGGCGCGGGTTTAGGTACGAGGGTATATACGGCAGAGGGTAGGATTTTGTATCGTGCGGAGGTGCGTTGCATGGCGGGTCAACTTAGGCTATGGACGGCCAGGACTGCCCTGGAACAGAACAAAATGTCCACAGCCGCCTGAAACGCATACCCAGTTTGGCGCCAAGTAAAATTGATTGACAAGCGTCTCCTACGTATCGTATTTGTGAAGGTAGCCCATGATTCTCAATGATTATTTATTAAGTCTACAATGATTCCACTGCCCTCTGCGGACTATCTGCCCCTAAGGCCTATTTCGGAAAGATTAGATATAGGGTTTAATGGGGGCATCTTTCAAAACTGTACATCTGTAAAACGGCATGAAATGCTTCGGCCCATCGCAGTTCAGCGTGTGTCCGTGGTAGCAAGAGGCGTTGGCAGTTCTCTATGTTTTGCGGGTTAGAGTGGAAAGGGAATCGTGCATTCCATAACTGCTACGTGTCGTAAATCTTGTAGCGGCGAGCACGAGAGCTGGCGGTGCCATAAAAGGCCCATTATATCAAGCCCTATCTTGAATGAAGCCCTGCACGTGTGGTCCGCTCCGCTCTAAAATCCTTGGTTTTCCTGTCAATCGCCTGTGGCTATGCACAATTACTGTCAGCGCGGTCATTATATATGTCGCCTGGTGATTGCCATGCCCAGTCCTCCAGGTTTGGATAGAGATACTCAAAGAAACGACTGTACAGTGCGTATTTCGGTGTTGTGGGTTGGGGCTATTTGGTCACGAGGATGCCTGCAAAGAACTTGGTGATACCGTTGATAAATAACCAATCGACTTGGGGCACATAAGATGCCGATTGACATCAACGGGTAGAATCGACATGGATAAACTTAAAGAAATAAAAGTTAGCTTTCCCCGCTTTTCGTATTGGGTACCACGTTGGAGTCATCATCAAGGCGTTCACGGATTCTCCCGACTGCTAGTCCGGAATCCAATCTCCGACTCTTGCACGTCGCTACATATCACGATTCAGTTGCCCTCCCCGGTGATTCTTTTCGAGTGGGGTGTCTTCCATCACAATACCTCTCGAGACATAGCCATGGAGTCGACTCCGCGGAAGCCCCGGAAGCTAAATGCCCCACGGGGCGGCGTCCAGAAATCCGTCGCCAGTCATAATCGTGTGGCCAGAACCATAGCCGATCAATCCTGTCGTGTTAGCAAGAAGCAATGTGTTTCTCCTGCTCAACATCGCCGGGGCACGAATAGTCTCCAGGAAGTCCGGCCAGGCGTGTCGACTGGACATGTAACGCGGTATGCCCTGCGATCATCACCGATAATAGCTCGGATTGAAAAACTAATTGAAGCATTATGGCTACCCGCAGGACCGTCGAAGACGAATATGAAGATCCCACACCCGGGAATTCCCACGATACGTTTAATCTGCCTCTGCCGCGCGGTATCGACCACGAAGTACCCCGTTGGGCGGCGGTCTATTCCATGGTCGAAGAGGTCCTGCACTTTCTTCCACCCCAAGACAGTATATCTGATCAAGAGGAAGAGTTAAGATCACCCGACAGCGAGAAGAGCCATTCAGATACCAGAGTCCCTGGAAATATTCCCGCTCACCCATTGTCGAGTTCCACAGCAAAACCACAAGGAGATACAAACAACCCAGCCCCTGCCCTCGAAACCGGACCAGAACGACCGATATACAATATACCAAATACACGCCCTTGGAACGACTGGGCAAATAATGAAAGCTTTGGGTTAACAGCTTCAGTAGAGAGTGGTGAAGGGCTGGATCTAAGCGATATTGATGCCTTGCTCAGATTCTGACGAACATTTATTGGGTTGATTTTCTTTGTTAATTCGGCCACTCCAAAGAGGCTTTACATATAGAAAATGTTCATTTATCCAGCGAAAATTGGAATACTGAAGCGATAATTTTGCGGGAGAAAGCACATCAAGAACTGATTGGTGGAGTACGGGATTGGTTGCTAGGACCCACGAATTGAATGTACCAAATGCCATTCCTTTTTATTTTTGTCAGTCTACCTTTGATTGTCGAGTTGAGACTATACCTAAGCTGGTCCAGCTGCTATCCTCATCCTTCGGATCGCTCCAGCTTCCCCACTTCATCTTCTGTTCAGGGTGAAAACTGCTCAATCTACCAATATGACGTGTTAGGTCTAATGATCAAGCTTGTGTGCACTTCAGGACCTTCATCCAATGATAGATAAATCTGGGGTCCAAGCTAGCGCGTGCTCAGAGTAACTGACTGCGCTTCGGCCAACCCAGGGACCGAGTCAAATGTCTGGTTTACCCTCCCAAATCGGGATGGTTGCAGGAGGTTGAGGGAAAGGGGTGGGAGAGCCAACCCCCGTCCTGATAACAATTCTATCGCTACCACTCATGACGAGGACTCAGTAGTAAATGCTCCCACTGCCCATTCTACAACATTTGGCTGATGGGGTGGTGAGAGGGGTGTTTAATCTCCAGTCGCATCAGACTTGTCACCCGATACAGAGCAACGGCTGGTGGCCATCTGCTTAAAAACACTTCGCTGATGGCGTTGATTTAGCTATCTGCCCGATATGAAGCACGGCTGTTTCTCTTAGAAGAGACCACCAATGGTAGACATTTGCAAGGCCGTAGTGCCTATCAGCGAGTGTGGCTTAAGTGGTAGCACCTCGCCCTTGGCTCGTAGCGAGCTTTTTAAATCACAGACCATGCCGGCTCAGATTTCGGTTCAACTAGCTGATACAAAAATCCCCTCTGTGCCATAAGCGATGAAAAGACAATCTCATTTTGATCATAGAGTATTGGATCTTCTTAGACGCAACTGCCGAACATCGCACGAAGGCCTAAGCGGCTAGGCATGAGACAATGAGGCAGTCTACTCATCCAAATCTAAGACAGGGCTATGCAGCATTCTAATAGTCAAGTGTATCTGCTTTACGCGCGTCGGACCTCTGATCTTCGGGCCATGAATGTGTACAACCCAACCCGGCCCAGCTCCTCGCATCCCATACGCTACGGCGATGTCTGGGAATTCCGGAGAGTGATTCTGCCACTAATATTGATTTCCTTCGTTTGTGCGGTTGGTGTTACAACACTAGATTGTTCAGGCAGCGATCTTCACCGCTGAACGAGAGGAATATATGGTGAAAGTGGCAAACGACGTAGGAAAACGACAGTTGCAGGCACTTTAAACGCGCACCCCCACCGAGGGCAGAATTGAATGCTAATGGCATTGCTCAGCTTGTCAGTGGTGTCGTTAGCGTTATATTACCCGTTGCCTCTCCTCAACTCTTTACCTCTACGTGCTTGGAAACAAAGGGAGGAAAGAAAAACTCAAACGGTTTCTATGAAGATGTCTTATCATCGGATCCTCCCCAGACCTGATACTTGGGACAGTGAGACCCCTTCAGTCGACCATGCTCAGTCGACTAGTGGCCCTGTTCAGTATCGGCCAAAGAACAGTGCTGTTTTCAAAGCTTCCTCTGAGGAAATGCAGATTGACCTCAGATCAGAAGGTGCGTTTCCATTTACACTCAACGACCCCATGTGGACCTGTCGGTTGACTTTCAACCGCCTTGAGAGCGTCTGCTCGAATGTATCCTAGACACCCACCCTTCCACTGTGGGATGCAGTTCGGTAACAGCCAAACATAGCCTTTGCCCACTACTGTCAATTTTACCTACCTGCTGCAGCGGCGGCAAACCCGGGACTTCTACCACCGGCTATAACCAGGATCGTAGAGGAACAGTGGAAGCAGCTTTCCCAGGCGGAACGGAATCAGTGGCCGATATTGGGCGAGGCAAGTCTTGCCATCTACTATGTGTTACATGAGCTTTATGATAATTCAATACTGATGAACTCAAGGTTCCAAAGAACATGGACTGCCAATGCTGTTCGGGGGATGAGCGTCACACCCAGAGGCAGGATGAAGACGGCGACACCCGTAGGGGAAGCCCAGCTCAAGGATATGATAGCCCAGTGCAAGATCTGAGGATCGCGTCGGCGGTTCAAAACAGAACATGTCCGCCTACGTCATTGCCGCCTGTCACATCCTTGTTTTGGAGTATCAATGATAGGTTTGCCCAATCAAATGTTCTACAGGGAACGAAGGACTTCCCTGATGGCGGCCCTATGGCGGCGTCGCATCATTGGGGCGCACCCCTTTCACACCAGCCTCAGTGTGACAGCGACACAATGGAAGATAACGGCCTGGACACAAATAATCTCCAGCCTGGGCCTTCTTCAAACACTGAGGGATGGAATGACCAAAGCCTGACATCTTTCACACATATATCTTCCGGGGAACGCAGCGACGAAAACATGCTACGCATTTCTCCATTAATACGGACGCCACACAAGCCTAGAGCGCACTCACAGCATGGGCACGCTCAGTGCCAGCATCTGACAGCTACTGGTCCTACCTCTACCCCGGAGATCACAGCAAAACTACTCTCAGTTTTCAATAAGATTGGCACGCTAGCCTATTGCTCGCCGCCCATCAATCCCGCGTTTCAAAAGAGCGGCTCTCGGGGTCCAGTGATATCGGTAGATGGACAGGACCCGTCGAGTGTCAAATCTATAATCGACTATCTTCACAGTACCCTACCAATGGAAGGATTCCGGACCAGGGTTTTCAAGGGACCAGAAGCTCGTCCCCGACATATGTCACGACGGAAATATGGTCCCATAGTTGAATATCTGAATAACATCTCCGCATGGCATCCCATCTCAGCCCAAGTTGTCGATTATATCCAGCACCCATACCGAGGGCTACGGGCCAAGTCGAAGCGTAGTGACGACCTGGGAAACGGGCCTGTGCTGGTCTCACGCGACACAGGTTACCCACTTCCTGTTGCGCTCATCGGAAGATATCAGCTCACAACCGTGGATGCATTTGCTTGTGAGATATCTGTTGACGACCCCTATTCGCAAATGACTCACCAACAGTGGATGGAATCTCTCTGGCGTGGCTGTGTCGGTCCCGACATCGTTGTGTACATCCAAGATCACGAAAATTCGGAGATGGGATCGTCACAGGATCTCGTGTACAGTGCTCGCTTACAGGACACTCTTGGAATCGTGATCCCGCGTGCTAAAGGGTCATCCAAGGAGCCCAAGGAGAGAGTTTTGAGACATGTTGTCTGGGCTATTGATTCTATCGTAATGAGCACTCGCGCGTAATAACGCGTCGTTGCCTTCTGTCATTTCCTTGGTGTCTTTTTACTTTTGACTGAGAGCCATATTTCACGAACGGTAAATTGTATCCTTAGCATAGTATACGAGATGCTAGCGAGTCATGAGTGGTAAAATCAAAACTTCTATCGTCAATACATCGTGGATTACTTTCCTAGGGAGCATCATAACTTGATCAAGTGGGAAGTATCCATGCGGTCAGAGATCGCCAATCTCTTTCTTATTTCAACTTTAAGAGTCTCACAAAGCCACACAAAAGGAAAAGTGGCAAAGATCTAGACGAAGCTGATAATCAGACGTCCAGTGAAACAAACAGGAAAAGGAATCCTTCACGGGAGTTCCCTCTGTTTTAGGGGGTCGTAGCATACGAGGTGGCTTGTCGAGAACTCGAATCCGCGAATCATATACGTAGGAATATCTCTGCTCACCTATTCGACCAGCTCATGTTCTACGACAGAGAAACACATACCATGTCTGATGCGAGGAACCCTCGTACGGGCCTACTGCGGAACAGTTACACAGTTGTACACAGCGCCTGTCACAAGACCACTATGGACACCTCGTAGCTTGCGTCTTAGGTAATAATATTCTATCAGGCCAGCTAGGGTTAGGTTGTATAACAGCCGTGCATTTGAATACACCAGTAAGGAAGCCATGTCATATTACACAGCCTGCAGGACCGCAGAGTTATTCATTTCCAGGACGGAAATCACATCCTTCTCTGCACTGGCCAACGTGATACATCCTCGTCAATATGCCGTCCTTCTGGCCTTTCGGATATCTTACTATTATCCCCCACCTACTATATGGTGAGGATTTCTTGTAGAGCATTATGCCATGAGGAACTGGCAACAGAGAAAGTACCGTCCTGTCTCCAAGCCCTCGGTTAACGGCAGCCATGGAGCTGATCGGCAAGACATTAAGTTGTTGAAATAGCGCGGTGCAACTGTCGTACTCGTCAGTTGTCTCACAGCGCACGCGTGTGATGGGAGTTACATCCGGCGGTCATGCATGTCTCTTGATGAATTTGTGTTATAAGGCGATTAGCCTCTTCGGTATCCTGGCTACTACATGGATAACTTGACAATATTATCCAAAGCTATTTTATTGGTGCGTCTCACAATCATCGCGATGTGATCGATCCTTTTACATGGACAGACTAAGAAAACTCAAAAGCCGTGCAGAGCGATTTCGCGCCTTGTATATCCTCCGACGGCGATATCGGGATGGAGTCCACGTTTCTTGGTATCGGCTTGTGGCAATGCCAGCTGGAGACTCGACAAAGAAGCTAAAATGTTCCAAGGAACAATTTTTATTCGTAGAATTGGGTACAATGTCTACCAACTTCTGTTCTATCCCTGTCCAAGAGATTTTGAAGACTCGGATATGAATAACGCAGATGCCAAGGCATACAAGAGGAATGGTACTATACAATAGCCACATCCTGGTCGTTTACAGCGGCCAGGGTTATGACCTTGTTTCTTATATCAGATGTAAACTTGCAATCACTATATATCGCCCAACGACCAATATGCCAGTGGGTCTTTTGTCACTGGAAAGGAGTTTGAAGTGAGTAGGACACTTGTATAGGAACTACTTCGAGCATATGAAGATTTTACAGCTCGTGCGGCTTGCTATGTTGGCGCTAGTTCACCGCTACCAATAATATCAATTGCCTGATACTAATGACACCAGATCCTTGTCGTAGTCGTAGCGCCCAACGTTCAGCCTGATGCTCGCCACCAGGTAACACCTTTTCACGATATACTCATAAAACTTATGAAGCTTGCTTTACGACATAGGCCATAATATGGATAAATATTCTGCGTTACATCAAGAGACCCACTCTCTAACAACTTTAACATCCCTGATCTTCCAGCGACCCCCGGATTGCATCGACTATGGCGATATCGGTAACGACAAACCATCATCCAGAAAACCTGAACAGGGGGGCGGCGAAGAGCTGGACAAACTCTCTGATGAAGCAGAATTTGAAGATGAAGGGCCTACCAGCGACTCGGCCGCTGCTCTGATACTCCTGAAGGAGCGCTCGTTAGATCGCCTTGCTGAGATCCTAGCCAGGTTCAAGACAGCAAAAACAGGCCGATATGGGAAGGGAAAGAGAAACCAGGGAAATATTGACGCAAAGCATGTCACGAGTGTAGTTATGGTAGAGGACAGTACTCTTCGCCGTGTAACGTTTCTGTGCTCCAAGAATGGGGGCCTTCAAAATGAGGACGAAGTGTTCCTCGAAAGGCTAGGCGAACTGCTATCTTCCATTTCGAACGGTAGTAAGTCTTTACTTCCTGCTTTTCCGTCGGTCTGAGGCATCTGATTAGTATTAGGTCAAATGAACAGCAATCAATCGCAGGTGTTTGATCTCATATTCGAGCACAATACACCTCGAGTTGAATATTACTCCGCGGCACTTCGAGACGTATTTGAGCAGGCCACTAAATATAGACTGCCTGGCACACTCGCAGCAGATGCGATTAAGCATATGGTACCTCAGAGACCAGAGGCAAGGGAGTGGGAAGGTCTGATTGTTAACATCGGTGGGAGACAACGCAAGCTGTCGCGGGAAATCCTCGACTGCCTCTCGGACAAAGAGATGGATGAAGCGGTGGTGGAGGTGTGCGATAGCATCCAGAGGCTTTTTGGAATGTCTCAACCTGGTACCACGCAGTATGAAGAGCTACAGGATTTCCTCAAGCGCTTTTATGCCATCATTCGAAATCAGAGACAGCGGCTAGCCCTAAAGAATCTACTTAAGCAAGCCCTACATGGCAGCGAAAAGCTTTTCAAGAAGGGTTGGGATGCCCTTTGCTTCCTCGCTCGAACCTTCCATGCTGCAGTGACATTGGTCGAGCTGGCATCCAGGCTCAAGCTGGAGCGCTTCAATTCCTTCAGGTTCATCTCCGTACCAGCTTCCATGTTAAAAACTAAGGGTTACCCTCCTCTGGGCAAAGGGTTACCGCTGAACGACTTAATTGAACTCAAATGTCGGCCACAGAACAATAAATGGGTAGCATATTTGCAAGACGAAGGGACGATCAAAAATTATACAAAGCTACTGCGTATTCCCAGATCAGTTCATGCAGAGATTCAGCTGATGAGTTATCTTGAGAGTCACGACTCTAAGGATTACGGTCAGGTCTTCCCCTATATCGGGTGTAGCAAAAGATGCTGCTTCTTCTGCGAGACGTTTCGTGTGCTTCACGGAAAGTTCTCAGCGCGTGGAACGCATGAAACGGTCTTTCCCCGAATGGGATTACCGCAAGATGTATCGGCAGCTAAGGACTCAGAGTGGCTAGCTCCATTGATGGCCACATTTACTGCATTTCTGAGAGGAATGCTGCAGAAACTGCTCGGTATGCCATACCCCCTTCCCCACAGAAACCTATGTCAGCAATCATCGGCAGCGTTATCCACAGCGCAGGCCAAACAGCAGGATGAACCAGTATATTCTGAAAGACCTTCAATCTTAAGGTAAGGTTCCCATGGCATCTTTCGAACTGCCTGGTATTGACAAGTGCAGAAACCTGATGGTTCCGGGCGCATTCTCTGCGGCTGACAGACAAGTTCAGTTCTCACCTGTAGCTGGCAAACCAGGATATGCCAGTTTCCTGGCTCCGAGTATGCCTCATGTCAGCTCCCATCTGCCAATTGACCAGGCTGAGATATACAAAATCAATCACGACAGGAAGCAATGCTCCTTGGAACTGATAGACCAGATGCCGCCATCTGCAATCTTGAATGAAAAGCTGTGCAGATATTGCCGTAAACCAGCTGGAGTCAGATGCTCGGCATGTTGGACACGGTACTGCTCCCACACCTGCCAACGGCGAGATTGGGGGAGGCATGTCTTCATTTGCCGGATACCGAAACGCCCCAACGACATTGACTTCTTCAGACTGATTGTCCGACATGTGAAGAGGGCAATGACGGGCGACAATCAGCAAACCCTTCAGGATTCACTTCTCGACCTGTTTGCTGATGATTACATCTGCTGCAGGTTTGGTTTTAACAACTGCTCGAGTATGTACGAGGCTCTCTATCTCGTCTGTCTTTACGATGCTGTGCTAGTAGCATGCTGCTCCCCGGTCAGACTCCTCAATGAGTTCCAGGAGGCCGGAAGGCTTGGTGAAGTTCTAGAGCTCTTCTGCCATTTATGCATCCAACAGAATCCTGGACAACCGCAATGCGACTGCATAACATGGTATCTAGAACGCCTGAGAAGAGAACCGTTCCCAATCCCCAACACGGAGGGGGGTGGTTACAGGATTTGGGAGACAGCATTTGTCAATGCAATAGATCTGCTCGACTTACACGACAGCTACAAAGATGAATGGAGATTAAATGCCGCGCAGGTTGATGTCTTCCAATTGTTCGTAGCCATACAGCCCTCTATCTGGCAAGTCCCGGACATTAACTCCTCGACTTGGATCAAGTTTGGATTCTGCTACTGCAAGTCTTTCCGACAATGCCAGGAGCTCTCTGTCAAATATCTGTTGTTGGGCGCTTCCAGCGCGAACTTTGACGACATAGTCTCCGCGTATGAAACGTCCACGATGGCAGAACTGATGGCAGAACATGGAATCGATCTCTCGAACCTAGCTCAAAATGGAATCCGACTCGAAAGGCCTTCCGGGACGATGTACTCTGTCTTCAGGCTCATGATTGGAGTAAGCCATGCTCTCTCTGGGAGGTTTTGCCGCTGCTTTCGAATGCAACAAGATCGAGCGTGTCACCACTTCTATGAAACACATCTCGATACCGAGTGTGAAGTAGGTTTTGGTTTCGATCTAACCAACAGCTGGGAGAGGTGGCAGCTTCTGAATTTCTACCGGTATTTATTCAAATTGCCAGGATTCGATGCCCGAGCGATGGCGGCAGCGAAGGATAGCCACGAACGCGGAGCCCTTGAGCGGTATATTGGCACCTTGGTTCCAGATATGAGACGAAAAATATTTGATATGGATCGAGCAGGATCTGTTCTATTCCCAGATTTGGGAGGTAGGATTATGGTAACTTCTAGAGATGACCAGGAAACCTCTAGCTCACATCTCTCTTGTCACTGTCGGGTGCACCATGTCTTAGGTCCCCCCGGTCTCTATCAAAGGTGGTGTGGGATCAAGAATTGCACTGGTTGTTGTGTATTGGCTAGAAAGACTGACTAGGTAAATCGAGATTGTATAGATGGTCTATGTACAATGGCCGAAGCTCGAGGTTACAAATATCAAAGACAACATTTGAGGCCAATGCTGCCATTCAATATAGTATGGTCATCTCGTATCAACGTTATTGGGCCGTTGTATTGTATTTTTATGTCTTCCTTTTGTTTCATTCTTCCATGTTAATATCAATAACTTCATCACAAGATAGTAGGCTATAGATCTAGTGTTTGTTTCTATACTTGCTAAGAGAAGTGGTGATACTAGATTGGACTAGATTGTCATGTCTTGAAGTCGTCTAGTCACGGGCCATAACCACATGTGCACACTATCGCAGAACTCAGGGATTTCTAGACCATTGATGGGATTCCTACCATTCTCCCTGGACTTACCGAGCCGATCAATAACAGGCCTTCAACGCTTGGGCTCATATCTTCATAGCGGCTTGGTTTCTAAACTTGCTCACGGTCCAAAGCCCTCTGGCCTAGTCCTCACATAGCTAAGTAGAATAAGGTATAATGTTTACCTCAGTTGATTCACGCAGATCCTAGCAAATAAAGGAATACGAAAGAGTGGATCCGCCCCAGATCGTTAATTTGTGGCAATGCCAGGAACCATGACTAATGAGCAGACAGAGACTAGGCAGACCGCCATCGATCGACAGTCCGCTCGTGTTGAAGAGTCTAATCTCATTTCTACGGCTCCTCGTGAAAGCAATATCTGTCCAAGCTGAAGGAGCACCGTGATCATACGTCGGCCGGTATAACTAATATCAACCGCTGTCAACACACCACAGTCTGTATCTGCAGCGATAGGATAAACGATGGGTAAGACCCAGATCTGAGCGTTTGTGTACAGTCTGACTAATGGCATACTAGAAGAATCCGAGGTTCGTTACTCATCGCGCACAGGACGTTCCCACTGATATTGTTGCCCAGCTCCTGTGCACGCTATGTGGTATCCGCTTCGGCATTGCACGTATTCGGACCATCGATGAGCCCTATTCAGCGGCGTGGTCCGCAGAAGAACCGGAGCAGTATGTCTGTGCCCTCGACGATTACGATGACGACGGGAATGACTGTGGCCGCTGTGTCACCGCGGAGACAGGCTGTATTTGGGTTGTTCGCAACAGTCAGAATATAAAATATGGCATTGATCAGCAGAATGAGCCACGATATAGATTCCTGTTCTTTGAGATGGATGACGACCCCATCCCCACGGTCGGACAGACACTACCGATGGGCGAACGGTTGGAGGAAAAGGCAGACCGCATTGGCTTAAGAAGGGCTTATCTTGAGCATGTCGCTGGCCCGGGATGTCGTTCTACCCTGGGATATTCTGGGGCCACTATCTCTGCAGAGGAGATGCGAGGCTGCCAGACTGGGCAAGGTCTGGTGCACCGGGACGGGGACGAAGAGTCCGCGCCAGATGACCTGGAATGCGAAATTGACAGCGATTATTTCCTCTCGGGACTTGTGGACTGCATGGGGTTTGTTGGAACTGTGGGCGGGAATATGTTTCCCGCAAGACATGGCTATGATTGGATTGAACCGGCGGACCCGTTCAATGATGTATGGTCCATCTAATTCATTGCTGTGTAGTGTGATGTTAACCGCCTATTCTAGGGGTTCGAACCCTTCAGGGCAGTGTCGTTCCATCCATGGTGTTTCGGGGTGTACATGAAACTCTCCAGACTACGACTTGGCCATGTCGAGATCGATGATCTCGTGGACTACTTTGACAATCTCAACTGCTACCCACGCCAGTACTATGACGAGCCCGATCCCGCCATTCAGAAAGCCGACAAGGAAACCTGGGTCCACGTGAAGGGCGATGAATGGCTCGCTGCGAATCCGTTCTACGTGCCCAGGCTTCGGGAGATCCTAGAGCGAGCCATGGATACTGGACCCTCATTCAGCCCCCAAGATGGCGCATTTGCGACCCTTCTATCTTTTACCAACAATAAAACCGACCCGTTTGCCCGATTGCCACGAGAAATACTGAATATTATTATAAACAGCCTCCCCACGAAAGACATTGCGTCCCTGCGTCTCGTCTCACGACACTTCTACCAGCTCCACGTCTCACTCTGGTACCGCCTGATCCAAGAGGACATGCCTTGGTTATGGGAGGTGTGGTCCAACGAGAAGCCCTACTTCTGGGCGACAGTCACTGTAGAGGATATAAAGCAGAATAAAGGGGACACAAGAGTTGAGATTGGAGAGGAGAAAGTATTGACACATAAAATCGATGTTGATGAGCATCTGACCAAATGGACAATGCCGATGCCTACACCCGGCCGTACTAACTGGTTCCTCCTGTATAGGGATATTAAGCGGTATTGGACCGAATTGAAGGGCCTTCGGAGCCGACGAAGGATCTGGAAGTATCAGGAGGGCTTGTTTGCGTCTTTGAAGATGCATATTCTGAGCAAGGATGATACCCCATGAGCGACCATATGGTGATCTAGTCACATAGATGTTACTATCTGTCAGTACTAGTCCAAATACCAGCTCAGAAAATAACCAGAAATGAATTGAAATTCTGCAGCATGATTGCACTGGCTCACTGTCTCTAAGTCTAAAGCAATCTAAGCCACGTGTCTAGACATCGTCAATCTAGAGACCGCCATAGAGCAAGCATATAAATTAAAAGCATATATGTACACAGAAGGCGACAATCTAGCAGTTTAACATTTTACACGACAACAATTAATACCTTTTGTATGTGCCCAGAAATATTGAGTAGTTATTACCTCACATAGTCTTTAATAACTACAAGCTCGTACTTTCCTAAACCGTGAAAGCCAGAGATAAGCAACACGAATTATGATCGCGAGGTGATTTGAAGGCTCTCGAAAGCTGTAATCGCTGGAGAGCCCGGTTGTTCAACTACAGGATATCCGTGCACTAAATCAATGTATACAAACAACTGTAAAGATAAACATAGAATGGTTTTGAAAATAGTTTATTTTGGCCGAGTGGTCGACATCATAAACCATGGCCTCTCACAAGTTTCTGTATAGAACAGAAATGCATTATCGAACAAGGCCACGTCCTTGCGGTTAGCGGCCCCGCCATCCTTTGCGACAGAGTTGCCTTGATCAATTTCTATATGAGATCATAGAGGCTTTCCCAAACATCGACTATCATAGTGCACCTACATTACTTGGACCCCTTACATGCGGGGTAAATTAGATACACCTTACTTGCTATACCCGATTCTTCTAATGTTGACCCTAATGCTCATATCTTGTCATCCCATGGCACATGAATCAGGTCCAATTGTTCATTTAATTACTGGTCAAGCTGTCATCTCACTTACCTCGCCATGAGTAGTCTGTCACATAATGCCACGAAATGTGTCGCTAAAACCCGAAGTTTGCGAACGGATTCCACCATGAGCTTCCAGAGCTTCCAGAGCTTCCAGTATTGCGTGTGCTGCCGGAGCCACCTAGGCTTCCCCAGCTTGACCCAGATGACCCAGTCTGGCCATTACAGCCAAGGTAAACCGCTATGTCTGCCAGTCAGCTACCAGATAGAACACATGGACGTATGCACAAAGGAAAAGTGCCACAGAGGAACACATACACTTGGAGAAAAAGGCATAGCTCTCCGCATTCTTCAACGCTGTTTGCGAATCCAACCCCAACACATTCGAATACCCATACACCTCATACCCCAGCACCCCCTTCGTATGACACAACTCATGTAAACTTGACGTCCGTTGATCCAGAACAGAGCAATCATCCGACACCTGCGGCAGCTGGAAATACGCAGGACACGTGCTCACTTGGCCTCGATACCCGTCCGTACTGGCATATCCCGTCTGCGTAAACGAGCCAGATTGGCAAGTAATGCTATCAGGTTGGCAGGAGTAGGTGATAAGACCGCTTCCTTGTTGTGACGCTTCCTGGGTAATCTCCTCGAGTATCTCGACGACATGGTTTGTAGATGTTGAGTCGGTTGTCTTGAAGAATGTCTGGAAGAGCGATGTCACGTTGTTGGCTCGGATGCTGGCAGCGGCTTTGGCGGCCATTTCACCGGCGCTCGTTACTGCCGCTTGGGCCATTTCGCTTTCGGCGTTGTCACATTCTACGAAGACTGCGCGTTGTTTTATTATGCTTGCTGTCGCGAGGCTGGTTAGGGTTAATGCGAGGAGGAGGTTGTTGGGATACATTTTGAATTGGCGAATATGTTATGGATTGCGGACGGACGTGAAATAACCCCTAGATCGGCCGTCAATCTTTGAGCTGGGAGCGTTTTTTATATGCATTCTGAAAGTTTTACTGATCTGGTCAGCTATAGGGCTCATTTTTGAGACGTTTCATACTGTTTCATGCTGGCATCGATCAGCGGTGTCGGGTGAAACTAGACTCAAGTTGACACAGCTTGTTCGAGAGTATTACTCAACTGGTAACTATCCAGGAACTATGGCATAAGTCGTATCTATGTACTTTAGGCTTTGCGTGGACTGTAACTTACATCAGTAAATCTTCTAGGGCATCGGCCAACCCTGGAAATATTCCAAAGTATCGATTTTACCAGTCATCGGCCCGAAACTCAATATAAAGATAAGTAAGCATAAATTGCCAATACTTAGAATGGCAAACTATTGAGTATGAGAAACCACATGGCAGTGTCCAATAACGACTAAGATGTCGCGGTTTACTCCGGGAGGGCGCGCTAATGGTAATCATATATTTTTCATACACCAGTAGATCTTGATATGTATCAAACAAAACTTGAATGCTTTTTGCATCTTTCATATTTGCTCGCTTATTATCCTCTATATACATCGCTATTCCTATTTCTTCATAGCAATAGCCACTCCCTGAGTATCAAGTGATGTACAGTAGGAGTCAACGTATTAGAAAAATTGTACGAATGAAGAGAATATACCAGCCTCTTAGTGTAAGCGGGTCACCTCCCCAGCAGTATAAGATTAAAAATATACATGAGCCAAGCTCATCAAACTAGAATATTATATAAACAAAGGCTCTGCAAGTAGCGAAATTCTCTAAGAAGTAGCCCACCAATGCAACAACTTAACGAAAAGATATCTAGGCACCAGTCCAAGAATCCTGTTCGATGTTGATAGACTCGGCGTGCCAGGTCTTTCCCCCGTCGGAGGTAGTGAAACCGCTGGAGTTAGAGCCCTTGTAAAGGAAGAGAGTGTCGCCAAACTTCTCATCCTCGCCGCTGAGGTGGATGGTGATGTTGTTCCAGCCTTTTTGTGTTAATAAATTGAGTTCTTATCTCAATGTACATTTTGGAAGAACTCACTGTAGGCCTCAAGAATGCCGCAATTGCCGGAGCCGGTATAGCATTCATCACCCGAGTAAAGGTAGAGGAGCTCGGCGTCGAGGTCTGGGATTCCTTATGTGAGATCTTGAATGTGGGACATCAGGATATATCAGGTGAGGACTCACCGTCAGTTTCCTTGGAGACAACCTTTCCGTCCATGGTGACGGTCTGGTAGACCTTGTTATTCTCAACGGTAACTGCGTAGTGTTAGTATTTTGCAGGAGATGAGTAATCTTCATTAAGGGCTCAAGACTTACCCTCAAAATCAACCTGGGTGCCGGTAGGAATAGTAACGTAGGCCTGGCCGTTCTGACCGTCTATCATCATCTGTAAGCATCGCAATCGAGTAAGGCAATGACGAGATACTAACTAGGGGTATAAGTGCTAGCAGCAACACACCACTCCTCAGCCGTAGCAGGACATCCCCTAATACCATGTCAGTCTTCTTATTTATACTCCTATATCCCGGTTCCCAAGGGGTACACACTGAGACTCCTGGTCAGGAGACCAGTTCAGCAAAGGCTGGTACAGGTAGGAGCTGTCATCACCATTGGTATGTTGAAGACCGATCCAAATAGAGACCCAGACTTGGTCGCTGGAGTCCTGGACCTCAACACCTTGGGGAACAGTTGGTGGTACAAGAGACCAGGTCGCCTTGGTGATGTGGGCGTTGGTTGCGGGACCGGAGTAGAATCCGTTACCGAAGGCCCAGGAGTCCTTGGTAGTAGCGGCAGCGCGCAAGGCAAGAGCCAAAGGAACGGCGGCGTAGGCGGGACGCATTTTGGGAGCAATTGGGAAACAGCGAGAAATTGACTAAGGTATCGCGAACCGGTCGCGTTGGGAAATGAATGAAATATAGTAGAAGGAAAGAGTGAACAATGACTGGGGACACTGCATAATGAATGGAATGAGTGCCTGTAAATACTTTCAAGCCTGAGCATCCTATTTGGATAATTTGATTGCCGGATAATTTATCGGCATATTAAGTCAGGAGCAAGGTGGAGCCCGTTTTACCTATAGTGCCCGCTATCGTAATTATTCCTCTGCAGGGCTAAGCTTCGGGATAAAAAACAAGCTTGTTTTAACCTGAAACAACATAGTGAGCTTAGTGATACCGGAGTGAGAACTCCTTTACGCACGCAAGGCCGAGCCTTCCAAAAGGAGAGAAAATTCAGATAGCATGGGAATACATGTGTCCAGATGACGGGACATTGACAGAGCTGACACCTTGGTCTCCTTTTACGTATGCCGTCTTTGCATATAATTAAAAGATACTGGTTGTATTTTAGGCATCTGAGTGTTAGGTCAGCTATAGTCAGGCCATATTTCGTATAAATAGGGCTGAGCTTTCCAAATCAAGATCAAGTAGAGATATGTGCTACCTCTGAATAAGGAAAATAGCCACAGCCAAGGCTTGTAGCTCGAATTATTTTCGGCTACCACCGTTTTACTCATAAGGGGATAGAGCTATGATATGACTAAGAATAAATAGGGGATTTCACAATACATAGCAGAGGTTATTCCTATACGGCATACTAATCAAACTTCTGACGGTCTATTTCCCTGGATGCCTTGACTCGTAACTACGCATATTCTACATTTGAACATATAGCACCCCATGTTGTTGGATTCAATTTGAAAACAGCAGGGACAATTCGGGCGAAATTAAGTAATATTCATAGTCCATAGTTTAGGTAACGTGCCTATGGGAGCTTTTGGTAGGGCTTTCTTAGGCCATGGCTAAGTCCAAGGCTAAAGCCAACCTCCTTGGGCTTAATTGCTAATACAACAGGTTCCTCAGAAAGCCGGTCATACTTTCAGCTGACATCGGATGTCCGGATAAATCAACATAATAAGGTGTTATCGAGGAGGAGTTAAACCTTTCTAAGACGCAGATTTCCTAAGCAGTTGTAATTTAGAAGATAATTTTCCCACTCATAGCCTTATAAGCTACTTCATCTAGGGGTTTCACGAAAGGGAAGAGGTCCGAGATGCGCACTTTCGGCCACATTTTTTACTATAATAAGGTAAGGATTCGCGTTAAGAAATCATAGCCCTCCCGCCTGGCAATGAGATTGCCTAGGAATGTTTTTATATTAGTCCAGAGCTTCCTTTTGCGACTGGGGTGTAACCAGAACGAAGGCAACCGCAGGTTATAGCACTAGTTTTAGATATATGAACCTTGCTTAACTATTATCGCGACACCACTAGCTCTGTCTTTCAATGTGGTTTTATTTCTGGATCGGCAAGATGTCGAGGCAACCACTGTAATCCCGACAATGAGCGCAATCATGACCGGTACGCTTACTTCCATATTCTTTGACTCTACTGAGCTTTTATTCCTATTCAATTGAGCGCAAGAGAAGCTATTTCTCGAAGTGCTTGGAAAAAAGTCGCTTTAGTAGATCAGAAAGCAGACTTGATAAACATATAGCAATAACGAGTGGCTAAATACAAAACTTCATCAAGGTTCGTCTCCGTAGTGCAAGGGACGTCTGGCTATTTCCCAGTATGCTATGACCAGCACAGCGGTTTTATACACATATTGATGGACACTTTGAAGCAGATGCTAGCCTTATGAGTGTTTTCGACAAAGGAGTCAGCGATAAATCTCTTCACGTAAGCTCCACTGTCGTTTGGACACCAAATACCCCCATTTCTCAGCCTCCCACTGAAGCAACCAGACGAACTTCTAAACAAACGGGCTAGTCGTGTAGATTTTGTCTATTGTGGAATGGGGGAGTCGCTGCTGCTAGTCAGCTATGCATTTTCACGGGCAGTACATCTCTGCCAGCATGATTACCTTGGAAGTTCCGCGAATATTGCCATATTATCACCAGCAACGCCCTCAGTGCTGTGTGTAGAAGGGACTGGAGCAGCAATGGCTACTCCAACCACCATAATCAGGATAAACATAACATGCTGCATGTTGCAAATAGATTGATGTCTGATTGAAATAGCGTTCATTTGCTTGCAGGAAGAAATTGGAAGCTGGCACAGAAGCAAGTGTGGATGTCTTGCGTACGGATACAAGCTGCCTCTTTATATTCCCAAAAATGAGGCGAATGGGAGATACAGTTCAGGGGCTTGCGCTTCTTTCGAGGTTTTCACCAGAGAGACATCTCAAGCACTCAAAATGAACAAATGAAGGTGCTGGGGGGAGCTTCCTTAGCAGAAGGTAGACACTTTTCGGGACTATCAGACCGGCTTTAAGCTCTGCATGACTGCTATTGGCTGGTGCAACTTCGCTACAAGTACCTACAAACTTAATGGATCTTTGATTTTATCCTTTATGTTTCATAAAATAGAGACTGCTGGTCTTGCTCGGAGCGGAATTGGCCCAAGGGTTGCAGACATGTCCTCCGCACACGACCGTCGCGTGAGTTCAACATATGCTAGCGTCACGGTTCCTGATTCATTGCCTATTTTTATTACGAAAGAACGGCATGCAGCAGCACTGCAGCTGTAGAGCATACGTACTCTGGGTCTATCTGACAATGGCTCGGATGCCGTTGATACGAGGCACAGAAACTTTAATGTTGTGCCTGATCCAAGGAAGTATGAATATTACTAGGACAAGTGAGGCTACATAGCTTTTGGACCCCACAAAACCTTGCTCTCTATTACACTCATCCATATAATTCTTACATGCTGAACATTAAACCTCTAAGCAGGGGCTAAACCATAGCCATACAAATACCTTCACAATGAATCCGGGTGTAGCAGCTCTGGGATAGGTACGGGATTGGAAATTATTATTTGAGCCCTTCCAGCGCATGACTCGTAAACCAGCGGTGAGAGGATGACGATAGCAGATTAGCCACGATACATGTAGAGAGCCCGGTGGGACGCTTGGTGGGGGCCCCATGTGGAGTTACAAGAATCCTACAGAGCAAGGCTAAGAACCTATGACTTTCATTGCTCTGTGTTTACCCCATTACAGGATCCAAAGCGTACCACAGTTTAGGCCGCCATTCGAAGGACAACAACAAGCCAACAATATTTTCGTCTGGTGTGTTTTGACCTCTTCGGCTGATGGGTATACTTCCTCCCTATACTTTACCGGACTTAGCGCCATTGGTAGTACATACATCCACTAAATCTCGCTAATCAGAGTTTATTGTCCGAAACCGTGGCCACGTAGCAGAGCTTTGACATTTCTTGTCTTACTTCGTCGATGAAGGACAACTGAGAAAAAGCAATCTCCATGATGAACCGTCAGCAACTCATGAATGAAGGAAAAAAGTAAAAGGCCCCATACTGGACAGGGAAGCTAGGTGATGAGGTATTTGATAGGAGCTATAGGTTCGACCAGAGAGGATATCGATCTTTAGACGCACTTCTTTATTGTTTATTTACTTATTTCCTTAGCGACACGCGATAGGCAGTGATATCTGTGCGTTGCTCCACAGGATATTTGCATCGTGAAAGATTATTTACTGATTAGGTTTGCCAGCCTCATGGCAAGACCAGTCCGTCTATGGTATGGCTAGCGTCATTTCATCGTTAGAGCGCAAACTATCCCTACATGATCTTGCAGTTTATTCATCAAGTACAACTGCTCGCTGTCGGAAGATAGAGACTTTGTTGAGAGACGCAATACAATTCTATGCCTAATGGTTGCGCAGAAAGCCCGGCACACAGGTCCATCGGGAGTCTACTTGCTGACAGGGGGTCATAGCGAGTTTCAACGCGCGAGTACATTCTTGGAAGCCGTCTGAGATTGGACCACATGGTACTCCAGTACAATCCGACCGTCTATCAACTTTTAACTTTCTATAGCCGCCCTGGTTACTCTGCCAGTTGGCTTGGAGAGTTACGGTGGTCCTTTCTTTGTTCTCTCGGCTTTCCATAATGCCGGTAGCTTACTCTCGGCATACCTAATAATGATCAAGCCGAACATGCGAATAGGAGTTAAGCCAATCCATGGGCGCTTACGAGAACTTTTTAATCGCGTTTACCCAAACCTTATAGGTCTTCTCCTGAAACTTTCGCATATTTAACTTGTATTTATCTATACTCTTCTTGCGATTAGCTAGGCCAGAGCCACCAATCACTGTATCATAGCGGTACTCGAAGAGGACAGGGAGACATCAGTCCATGCAAAATGTGGGCAATCAAATTGACGAGTAAGGCTTCAATGAATGAGGCTCTCGGTAGCACTGGCCGTTCATATTAACCCTGCAATAATGTTGATTGATTATCAGACGATACGTGCGACTTGTAAATAGCATGAGCTAGGGCGCTGACTTGAACATAGATCCTTTTGTTAGGCATAGAAGGCGTTCTATGGTTCATACACATGGAGTGCGGAGCTCAGCTACGTCTCCAGGCTTTTGAGTATTAGGGGCGCCTCGATAAACCGTACAGGCGGGATAGGCCTCGTGCTAGTTTTCATAAAGCATAGTTTTACAAATAAATAATACCCACCGCAGTCGGTATGAAAGCCGCCATGAGCGACACCATTGGAGAGGTTTTGAACTGCAGATTTGAAACTACGGTCGTATCACCGCAAGCGGTAGTACACAGTATTGAAGACAAAGAAGGGAGGACTATTGGCTCTAATATTTATCGCTCTGGGTTACAACATTCATGATTCACTGCTTCAAACCTTCCATTTGAGCTTTAGGAAAGAAGCTGCATATCAACGCACTGAGCACATCATCAGTTTCTTAGGTTCAGTCTTACTATCTCTACCCGGTACAACTTGGTTCCAAGTCCCTAATCTACCCACCCCCGTAAACTATGCAACGCATCTTGTTTGTTCTGATACTGGTGGTGGGTGTCACAACTACTGTTCCTACGCCCAAGACAGATGCGAACGCGCTGGGGATGGTTTCTGTTGTGTCTGGAGAGGCTTCCGATGGAAGTCTTGACGTTGTTCTGAAGTTCAGACTGTTCTATACCTTGTTCTGCTGACACGGAAATTTACACAAACAGAAGAGAGAAAAGAGGTGTCAAACGCTTTTGCGGTAATGGCTCGAAGTGTGTGGCCGGCACTTAAGCTATGTGGGTATTTTTATAAGTATATGTACATGTTCAGAGTCACATGGCGCAGTTGAGCCAGGATTCATCGGATAATCCGCATTTGTTATTTTGGTATGTGAGCGATCCTAGAAGGACTAAATCGTGTCGGTGAAACTGGAGTCACCGATATCCCTTAGAGACCAGATTCACTGATGGATATTTGCGTTGTAGATATCTTATTCGGGCTGAGAAAGACCACGCAAAATACTCGTTGGATGTCTCACAACCTGGTAAGTGTTCTTCAAGTATTTGTCCGTAGTTCGAAGCGGGTTTAGGTACCATTGAGCTATGGAAGGCTCATGTCTTTTCGGTTCCGTTTGACACAGGGTATATCATAGCATCGAGACTTCTAGCCAACTGGATTGATCGTTCCATAATGGAGAACTCATAGTGAGTCATGTTCCTCACTTCACCTCCCTTCATACAGCTCATATCCTGTTTACGAGCACCCTTTTCCCATTCGGCATCAATCATCCAGTGTGTGGGGACTTCATACTCATTCGTCATACTACTTTTCCCCTTGTTCTTCAGCAAACTCCCATTATACCACAGGAGTTTATCCTTTGCATCAACATGAGCAATGACGAAGCTGCACACCTTGTGCCTGCCCCTACTATCCACCTGGTCCCAGCCAACGATCCCGCCGTAGTGTCCCGAGAACTCATAAGAAGCACCTGTCAGCTCAAGTCCAAGCCACCATGTCTCCTTGTCTCCATAGGTTATCTTATATGTAACCTCCTCGCGCACATCATGCGAATTCTGCCAGCAAATATGGAACAGTCCGACTAAAATATCATTCCGGCTCTTATCGAGGACGACTAGGCCGGAATCGCCCTCTTCGGCATAATTCTGCGTCCAGACGAGGGACTTATCTAACGCCGCACTTGGTTGCCGAATTTGACTCCTGTACCACTCGTTGCGCTCAGGAAACACATCTTTCCAGAGGAGTCGGTCGTGGAACAATAGAGCCCCGGTGCGAATAAATGCCTCATGGTCAAGCAGGACTTCTGGGGGCTGGAAAAACACGGCGTCGGCGTCGGCTAAAATAACTCGTTCAAAGCGCGAGCCCAAGGCTGCAAAGACCTTAATGGCCCAACCACCCGTCTGCAGCTGGATTGTTGAGTCGTCGAAGACGGTAAGAATGTCGAGAAACTCGAGTGGAGGGCCCGACTCCACAACCTTTGATAAAAGCGCCCTGTCATCCGAGCCGAGATCCTCATCACCGGCATAGACGATTTGAATCGGTAGAGTTGAATTTAGAACCGAGCGCAGAGTACCAATGAGGTGGGCCGCGAAGCGGAGAGTTTTATTGCTGGTCGGGATGACCACACCGGCTGAGCCTGGCTCAAAGGACGCCCGGAGATCCGCTACAGGTTTATGAGTGGTATTTTGCCCCTTAGACTTATCGAGAAAGGGGTATAAAGAGACGGCAACCTTCTCCGCAGCGTTCAACAACAAATCCCTGGTCGTGGACTCTGGTGACTGATCAGCTAGCGTCATCCAGTCGCGCAAGACTCGACTTCGCTGGCCCAACTCGCCGAACTGCTCTTTGTATGGTGGTTGGAGCGGATAGTCAATAAAGTATTGCGCAAGATGGTCGATCAAACCGCCATCAGCAATGACGGGGCTGACATTTTCCGTGGTGCTATTATCCACATAGCTTGGGTCAGTCACAATATGGTTTACGGGATCGGGCGCTACTACTCTCGAGGTAGTGGTCTGTAGTCGGGGTGTGTATAAGAGGAATAAAGAGAGTACTGCTGCCGCCGCAATCGCAGTGATTACAATCCAGGCCGGTCGAAGGCTTCGCGGGGCCAGAATGGATATCATGTTACGCGAGAGGCGGCGTGTGGGATTCAAAGGAACTTAAATCAAAACCTGTTGTGTGGAACCATTGACAGTGAAGTGTAAGGATACACGGGGCTTACGCGGAAAGCTTGCTGCCAGCCTGGCGCAGTGAGAAACAAAGATGTTGATCATTTTTAGGTTGATGGGAAGTGACACTGTCTTAACTGAACGATTCTGGTCATGGTCAGGGGGAACCACGGGTTAGCCAAAATTACACCAGAGGCTGACAACAAGCCTGATGGTACGCAATGTTACCATATCGGCAGTGGATTCCAGCCCTATATCATTGGCGCAGGCCGTGGAGGGCGGCCATTAGCTTCTTAGATAGTGGCAACTAGAATCCACCGTTCTTGAAAGATGTCGATCCTGGCCTACTCCGGCATACACAGTGCATTCACAGAGTACTAAAATACATTGAATTATCAGCGATAGGGCCTCAGCCCCGTGCATGCCACTATCACCGTCCACTTGATGTGCTATGATTTTCTGTGGCTATTTTGTAACGCAGTCTGTTTTCTTCATGTATCCAAGCTTTCCGGGATACGGGATGCAAATTTTTTGTCGGCTGATCTCTTGGGGGTTTAATTCGTTTAACCCATTCCCGCTATACCTGATTTGGCATAGGGATCGGGTAATTACGATGTCAATCATTAGATAATTGTGGATAATGAGACAGCTGCTGCGCCTCGAACCTCCGGGATATGGGGGCTAGAAGGCGGTTCGTATCTTAGTTAAGGCAATTACTAATCCTAGATTGATAGTTAGTTAACTACGCAACTTCCTTTACCCAATGCTGGGGAGGACTTTTCTGAAGCTGGGCAGTTGATCTGCTCGGAAATCATACCCGGATGCCAAGAGATGAGATGTTCCATAGGGCTGGACCGGAAGCATCTGTCAGGTGATAGAAAGACGCATTCAAAAGATTACGTGGTATTTCAAGGTTGCATTAGAGCAGGTGACTGTGAGAGACATATAGGTGAAAGGAAACGTTTGTACAGGTATATTCACTTCTAATTTTTGACTTACATAGAGAGAATAGCGTATATACAGTCGACGTCATCCTGACCAGGCTTGGGCTTAAGGGCGCGCTAGTCACCCTCGGTCTCCAGACAGCTTCCCATATCGTTTTCCAACCACGAGGGGAGCAACTTCATCTTTGGGTGCAAACCCAGCCAATCTGACATCTGTTGTGTGGTATCCGGGATGGTTTGGCTCCATGTCCAACCTGGATCTATCCGGTTGAACCAGCTCTCCAAACTGAACCTCGAGGTTTTTGAGTTCAGCGGACTCGTTATGGTTTCCTCCCAAGCAACCTCCCATCGCTAGCTGATCAAGTTTATGGTTTCCCCGTGTAGACATTACAACTTGTAGGAAGCCATTATCTGTGGCTGGTACACCGTTTTTGCGCAGCGACCAATAGCCCAAGGCTGCCAACGGCAGAGCAACCCCTAAGGAGAGGAAATACGGCAGAAGAAGGTTCAGCGGCCGAGACCACACATATTGTGTACGTAGATCCTGTCGAGTCACGTTGGTCAAAGTCGGCCAGAGCTGGAAATGGTTGATTGCGCTAAGGGTGATGTTCGCCAGCATCGAGTTAAGGATCTCTTCGTTTACAGTAAATAAGCTGTACCACGTAGTGAGAGTTCCTTCCCAAGTATCACTGTATCCATTAAAGAGACGGGTAGATTGGACGAGGATATTGTCTTTGACCACTGTTGATCCAGTCAGCTAAGGGACAGGTACACTCTTGGGGAATATTGGCACATGCGTTGCGTTGAAAATACCGCCTCCTGTGATATCGGTTCGAGTGAATCCACACCATACACCATCGCCCATACTTTTCCAGATATTCCTTTGGTCATTGCCATAATTAGTGTCATTATATTACGATCACGAATTGTGTCAACAACAGCTTGGGTCATATTATTCTTGGAGAAATAGAATTTCTCATCCATTTCCACCAAGTTACGCACATCACTTATAGTGACGGTGGATGACTGTTCGCCGTTACCAAATCTCTGGACGACATGGTATTTCGCCCGGCGAGGGCGACATGTCAGTACATGTGACACGTATTCAAATTGAGCGGTGCCCGCGGAATCATTCCGAACCCAGTCATATACCTCTGCATTCTTCATTTGAAAGCTCTTCAAAGGAATAACCCTTGGGTTCGCGCCTGGTGTTTCAGTCCAGTTGCTTTCCAGCGCAGAGAGCCAGACACTACTGACGTTGTACGGCGGACTGACCTTTTCAACATCAGTACTGTTGCAGCTCAGGTATGGCCCATCGAAGGAAAGCTCGTAAGAGCAATTCAGTCCACAAGGTGAGCTCATTGTCTTTGGTCCGCCATTCACAATGGTGTCTGTAGCCAGCTGGTAAATAACAGGCTTAATCTCGATCCCCATATTTACAAGGCTGAACTGATCAGCGCGGAGTACCTCAACGTAATCAGTATCATTCCGGTCTCTCCAATTATTCGGCACAAACAAGGCTAATGCCTTATCCGTGATAGCTGTGGTGTTACCGTCCCAGGTCTATATTGCACAGAATGTACGATTAGACTAAGTTTAATACGTAGATTGCCAGTACTAACCTCTGAAAGATTCATACCTGGTACCTGTGTCTGGGATACCTCATGCGTCCTCGTCATACTTCTGACAGTCATTGAGCTTGATGGAAAACTCATAGCGACAGGAACGGCCCAGAGGACCATTGTAATGATAGCTAGTAGCCACCCCTTTTGAAGCACAGTTAAGGAAAAGAATGACATTGGGCTTCCTCTCATAGTGTAGAGAAATTCCAAAGTTTCAAGCCGCATGGGAGAAATCCGGACAAGATGCCAGAAATATTGAGTAAACGCCGCTGCCAGGCAGATGCGAATGCAGAAGCTGATCACGTTCGCCACAATAGTTGAGGCTGCCGTGACATAGGTTTGTGACGGGATGTTTGGATCATCTTCAAACTTTCCGTCGAGATATCGGAAGACTACTACATGAGTAATAGCTAGTGCCAGTGCTGCGGGTAAGTGTCAGTATCTTCCAGAGACTTAAGTCCATGTGCCCAGTGTTCCCGCACCTAAGGAAAAACTGCCACAGAGGATGAGTGTGGTTTTCCACCCGATACCCCATTGACTGACTTGCTCCTGATACTGCGTGGGATCATCCAAGTCGTGTGTTACGATCGGTGTCTCCGATTGAGATGGGTATTTCCCCAGGGGAAGTCGGTCCGCTGTATTTGTAGGTTTATAACGAAACCACATACCCGGTGAGAGAGATTAGGTACCTGAGGGTATTGCCAGTGTTCAGGTTTGGTTCAAACGCGACAGACCTGAGAGTATCCCTCAGCCCTTTTTCAAGCATGATGTTGAGATTTAGCCGCCGGGGTCTTTAATTTCCGGGTAACCAACCTGTCACTGCAGCCGCTTTCTAGACTGCAAACAGACATAGTGAAGTGGGCTGAGACGCTAGACTTGGGGGCCATTTGCTGATCTTTTGCCGCTTTAGTTGTCAGAGCCTACACTCGGCGTTCGTGACAAACATACATTGGCATGGCCAAGGTACGAGCACATTCTACTGGATGTTGAAACTCATATAGAGCGGCTAGTTATCAGCACCTCCATGTTTTTTTTCTGTCCATGGCAGTGCTAAGTAGCCGCTCAACTCTATATATGAATTTGTCGTTCTACGCTATTGGCCAAAAATACTGATAGCACCGTTACATTGAGAGGCCCGACCTCAAAAAACACTTGTCTGCTTGGTAGTGCTCACCTATTGGAGCATAACGCTGATCAGGACCTGAGCTCAGCGCTTAACAACCTGATCGATGTTGATCTGCTTAGTCTCTAGTCCGTAGTAGTAATGGCGTTAGGCTCCAGAAAAGTGGAGATATCAGTCACGTGTGATGCCCTAGCACAGATTAGAAAATTAGAATCCTATGTGGAGAATGGATCATAGAGCCAACAGATCTACTGGGGGTTATACTGTTGTAGAGCCCAGGGTCAGCTTTAGTTGATAAAGCATATTGAGTTCATTTCTTTTCACCAGGAAGTACGGAACCCTTTTTATGTGTACGCGCCGGGAATGATCATGATCCACTTTCTGCCTGAGGTATCTACTTTCCCGTTCCAACGTCCTTCCGGCCCAACACCCAGCTTTCTATAATAGAGCATAAGCTACAGAGTCAAATGTGTCACTTGGAATGCATGATATGTGCATGTTTAGACGGTAACATAACGATGACTGTTCTGAATGAAGCTGAATAATTTTATGCTTGTTACTCGTATTAGAGCGCACTGCTCCACAAATCCGAACTATATATTTGGATAGTATCATCACATGTAAAGATAGAGTCTGTGCTTTATTGGTCCCCACGATCTGAAATATATTTTGCTAACACTACACTATCCAGCATCGTGAGGACTACCAAGTGCATTTATCTGTGCTATAGCTGGCGCCTTTGCGATACCCTCACTATAGTTCAGATTGTTCTGGGGAGATTCCAGCCCCAGACTTTTGCCGGTTTGCTCGGTATTACCCGGAGCTTGGTATTTAATTTCCGGGCCGAGTCTTTCTTCATCCTTTTGCTGTCGAGACATCAACGGGAGATATACTTCGGACTGATTAACCATTAATTATCATGACTGATGGTAAGTCAATCAACTACCGTTTTAATCAACATTATATGTAGCTTAAATTTAGTTTTGCCTTTGGGTTCATTTCCGAAAATTAGCCATGAATCTAAATAGGCCCACTCTCTGTTTCAGGCGGTTTCAAGTATACAATTATGGTTAATCTTAAGGAGCATATTCATAGCCATATATATCCAGACGGTCTAGCCATCTCAGGTTCTGCTCATCCATATAACACTCGTTTGTTTGTTGTTCTAATTTAGCCGTGTTGCTTTTAAATTATACATTCTTTTCTATCAACATGGTTCACCTCTCCCGTGCCCTGGCGGCCCTCTCCTTTTCGGCATCTGCCCTTGCCCTTCCTGCTCTCTCCTCTCGAGCCCAGGCGGCGAGCGAGCACTGTGGAGACTACGACTACGTGATTCTGCAGGACACACCATGGATCGTCTACAACATGCTTTACAATGCGAACCAGATCGTCGGCACGCAATGCACCAACTATGACCAAGTGACCACGTCCAACAGCGGAACTAAGGAAGTCGTATGGAACAGCGTGACAGACATTGAATATGTTGAGAGCACGTAGGGGATCCTCTTAGTAATTGGGCTCTAGAGTTTGGAATTAACGTGGGCCTACAGGAACAATGTGCCTAAAGGCTACTCTTTCGTGGGTCTTACCCAGAACCTCGAAACAAAGTTGTCGGCCATCAACTCGATTCCTAGCACTTACAGCTGGACTCGTACCAACACAACTGCTTACAAGGGTATGCTCATGTCTTCCCAAGTTCTTGATGACATAGCTTATGGACAATTTAACAGGAAATATCTGCTTCGATTTCATGACAAACGACGTCAAGGGCGATTCCACCTCTTCTTCCTCTCGGGAGCTGATGCTCTGGCTGCAGTACGAGGGTGGACAGCTTCCCATCGGCTGGACCAACGGCGCTGTTGCCACTATTGACGATCTCTTCGGCACCTCTTGGAAACTGTATGAAGATGTCAACGAGGATACCGGTATCACCGTCAGCACCCTGATGCCCGATACACAATTCGAGGGAACCTTCACCGGTGATTTGAAGGATTGGCTTCTTGCTTTGTCAAAGCTGGGACGCTTTACTGAGTCGACCTATGTAAACGTTGGTAATGCTGGGTATGTTCTTGATCTCCTACCTCGCTTCAATAATCTCTAACAACTTGTACAGAACTGAGTTCTTTTATGGCAACTCTGTCATGAACGCCACCCTCGGATTGCAGATTAATCTTGCATAAGCTATCGATATATGATTGAGTCCTTCACTGCCAATGAACTGGATTTTGTGCGCATAGCCTGATGTCTTTTTATTGGCGTGTCCTTGGCCTACTTTCATAATGTACTTTCGGAGCCCCTAGGTTATTCATGCAAAGCTGGTGCTAGGGTAGTTATATGTACAAATATCGAACCACCATGTCCGCAGTCTTGGCCGACAGGGTTGGCCATTACCTATGTCCACAGCCTCCACGTTTCCTGCGCCCATTGAGTTCTTCATTCCATAGAAGGTTCGGCTTGTGAAGGCAGCGGGTCTAAAAACAAAATATATCAAGCGAGAGTGCTGGAAAAGAAGCCAAGTTCCGCTCTTGGCCTGAATTAGCTGAGCACCTTGGTTTTGGTACTCTGGATTTTGAATAGGATATCCAAATATCACCTGAATATCATGATATGATAAAAGTGGTGTTGTGTTTGATCAATCCTGAAGTAAGTCTATGAACTTGGTATCTATAACATAATAAGGGGTGTACTCTTGTCAAAGATCCAGAATCACACGCTTAAAGACACCTTGGTCAAAGTTCGCACCGCACAAGACGATAACGCTGGTTTGGTTGGTAAGCTGTTGGGCGACCTTATTAAAGCCAGCTAAAGCAAGAGCTGCAGAGCCTTCAACGTTCATATTTTCCTCAAACGCCATGATCTTCAAGGCGGCTTTAATCTCGTCCTCGTCACACTCAATGACGTGATCTACCACGGACATTGCCAACGGAAGTGTGATTGTATCCGTATCGATGCCTCCAGCAACGGCATCAGCCAGCGTATCCTTGTGCTCCGTTTCAACTACATGGCCCGCAGCCATGGACTCGGCGAGGGCTTTCGAGTTAATCGCAGAAACGCCATAGATCTTCGTACGTGGCTGAACGCCTTCATGACCGCCCCAACACCGCTAATCAACCCACCACCACCCATAGAGACGAAACATTATCCACCTGTTCACACTGTTCGAGAATCTCCAATCCAATAGTCCCTTGCCCGGCAATAATATCAGGATCATTGTACGGCGAAATATAAGTATACTTTTCCTCAGCAGCAAGCCGCTGAGCGTGTTGCTCGGCAAGCCCAGTTTCAGCTCCATGCAGAATAACATTCACCCCGTAGGACTTGATCTTCTCTAATTTCGCAGGCACTACCGTTTCCGGGAGGACAACAGTGAGATCTTTGGAGAGTGCCTGCGCTGCACATGCGGCGCCTATCCCATGGTTACCCGACGAGGCTGTTATTAATGGCCCGTTTGCAGGTTGACCAGACATCTTGGACATTGCGCCGCGGATCTTGAACGATCCTGTCAGTTGGAAGTTCTCGGCTTTGAATAGCACCTTTGCGCCATTGGATTTGCCTTGCGCTCGGGCTGGAATGAGGGGCGTTTGGTAGATGTGGCTGCGGATGCGATTCCTTGCCTGGACTGCACTGGCGGCTGTTTCGTAGACTGAGTTCTGCATTTTTCTATTCTTTGATCGAGGATATGTGGTAGATAGCGGCAGATGAGAAGAATTGGAATGTTGGGCAGTGCTGTCCTCTTTAACTTGCAAGATCCCCTCGATCTTGTGGTGGTTCGTCTTGAGATGATATAGGCCCACCATATAGATAGATATGATTGGTTTGAACGCCTAAATTGCCTGAATTGGCTTAGCTCTCCCGATAATAGACCCGTGTATGACAAGAAATAGCAGCATTTATGGACGCCAAGATCTTCAAAGAGTGAACTGCCTTAATATCTAATGCACCTCTGCAAGCAAGTATCTAGAAAGACTCAAAGCCGAAGAGTTGTGGGCATCTTCATGAACGAATTGTTGTGGTATTAGGGGGACGAAATGATATCGTGCATGCAACAGATATTTCCTAAAATAAGCGTGAATTTAACATCACGTCAAGATAATTCGGGTTTTTGCTTCAGGAGTGGGTAGGAAATGATTGAATAAAAGTAACAGCCTTATAACAGAATCTATTCACTGCCTTATTATTGTACCTCTTTAGATAGCAATACTTGGTTCCAGACGTTAAGCTATGGAGAACTCAATTTGGTTTAACTCAAATCAGTGGGCTTTGGACTTTGAGGCTAGATGATAGTCAAATGCAGTAGACGACAGTTATAGTGCTAGGACAGCTCTCAGTGACGGTATGACGTCCTACATAGCAGGCCTTTCCCAGTACACACATTCAACGGTATTTAATGATGCGTAGATAAGAGTAGGAGGAAGGCAAATGTACGTTGTATAGAAGTATAAACTATATTGACGTTATGCGTAACCGATTCATTATCTCTAGTTGAACATTTTTAAACAGCAAAGCCGTAATCTACATCGCGCCTAACCTAAATCTTAGACCTTCCGTCAGGACCCAGCCGCTCAAGCACCTGCTCTCGAACCTCATGCACGATAGTTGCAGCATCCTTGACATTATGAATCAATCCGATAGACGCACCAGCATAAGTAGCTAGTCGTCCCTCTGGGCCCCAACCAGCATCACCAGCCTTCAGAGCCAGATCATGCTCCACCTTCAACTCATCAAATGACCGGCCAGCCTGGTGCTCAATAAAACTCTTGTTGATGATAGTACGCGGCATATACGGCTCAGGCCAGCCCATCGTGCCACGAAGATGATTGTAAAGTAATGTCCGCGTTGTAGAAGCCGCACCGTCAGTAGCTCGCACAATTTCACCCTGATACCCCCGGCTAATACGCGCCTCCTCGGAGGCCAAAAACCGCGTTCCCATGACAACACCATCAGCACCTAGACAAAGTGCCGCTGCAGCTCCTCGCCCATCGGCAATACCTCCAGCTGCAAAGATCGGAATCTGACTACCAGCCAAGGCGTCAACGACTTCCGGAAGTAGCGTCATCAGTCCGAGTCCATCCTGATGTCGACCATGGCCTCCAGCCTCTGATCCCTGGACAACAATCACATCGGGTCGTTCAGATCCCTTCAAGAGCCCTTTTGCCTCTGCTAGCGTACCGATCTGGATCCAGATCTGGGTCTGCGATGACGCGTCGCGGATGCTGCGCGACCACTGGTCGTAATCTTCCTGACCGCCCTTCGGGGCAAAGAGCCATGCAGCGCATGGTTTGAACTTCTGAATACCGGAGACCGCAGTGGCGAGGTCATCGCTCCAGAGCTGGAACCCGACGCCAATAGGAAGGACATTGGTAGACGATGAGAAGGCGGACGAGGATTTACGGGCATCCTCTACGAGTGTTGACGCCTTCTCAAGGTCGACGAGCATATCTTGTGTCTTAACAGCCGGTCCGAGGAAGCCTAGGCCGCCGGCGCGCGATACGGCTACGGCAAGGGCGGGACCTGACATCACACGCATTGGCGCGCCGACAATGAAGGGATTGGCTACCCATGGATATGATCGTGATAAACTCATGGCGAGGCGTAAAGCTTTTGACATATTTACTAGGATATCTTCAGGGTGGGCAGGGGGGGAAGTTGGATTATATAGAGTGTTTGGCGGAGGATCTTCAGGATTCAAGTAAGTTGGCCAAGAGGCGGGGCCGGAGCTAAGCTCCGCGGGGTGCGGATATTGCGGAGTTATGTCACATGTCGCCTGTCACATGCTGCCTGGAGCCCTCATTCCTTCCTAATTGTGGTCCATCTCCGGATGGTATGTATATGGAAGGGTATACAGTGTGGCTATAATGTGAGGCTAAATGGCGAAGGGAGGTAGGCTTGGAAAGGCCAAAGGTCATAATGGTTGCGGTAGCTAATCATACATGAGATCATGAGTACTCCATATATAGTTGGGTGACCAAAGATCACTTTTGAACGTTTGCTTAGCAATCGACGGCTGGCAATAGTCGACGAAGGCTAGAACGGGGTCAGTCACGACGTAAAACCAGGAGAAAGGAACGACAGTGGATGATGCACAAAGTTCCGTCCGTCCGCACTGCGGGCCGCGCCCCCCACTAAGAGCGTTCATCATCCCGATTATACTCGTCATGCATGTGAAGATACAGATTTCTACATGGTGTTTGTTTGTCCTGACATATAGAAAGAGCTGTGCTTGGTAGATCTATGCTACTGTGGAATGCCCTTGAATGCTCTTGATAGAAGCGGGAGGGCCTGAAGAATGACATCCCTAGGTATGTGACGTCACGCAGCAAGGCGTTGGATACGGGCTGTACTTAGGATTTTGGAGTACTTTCGGAATACGAAGAGTGGAGCGTCTCCGGCTATTGCTTAGATCACAAGAACCAATAGGTACGCATAAGCTGGTTTTCAATAGCGAACTACTGAGCATGGTCTCGTAAAGTGTTAGAAAAACAATTAGTCTCACTTGATACACTGTGGAAGTAGTGAGAAAACCCGAGTTTGCAACCTAGTGACCCAACAACTTCCCAATATACTCCGCAATAGCCAACGTCCGTTCCTCACTAAGGCGCCTGCCGATAATCTGCACGGCAACGGGGGCGCCATGATAAACCTCCGGATCATACTCGGCATAAACCGCCTTATCCATATCACTAATCGGCGAATAACCCGCCAATTTGCGATCCACCGCCTTGTCTGCATACGTGACGGGAACAGCAACACTAGTGAAATCTAGCACGTTAAAAACAGTAGCATACCCGTAGTACCGAAATTGGTTGTGGCGGACTGCAGCTGTCGCCGCTACCGGGGCGATGATAGCATCGAGCTCCTTGCCCGTTCGCTCCTCCCATTCGCGCCATTTGTCTAAGTATTCGCACTGATAATGCCACTTTTGCAGCTGTACATCCCATGCCTCGTTCAGATCTGCCTTAGGTAGGTTGGGATTCATGAGATCCTTGATGTTCGGAATAGCGGGTTCTCCTGAGGCGCTGATGTGCTTGTAAACATCCTGCATCATGTTAGCACGCATCCTAATTTTCATGGGATGCCACTTACTGTGCTTCCATCTGCAGCGTAGATTTTGTTGGCTAGATCAACGGCAAACCCATGTTTGTAGGGTGTCCACGGGGCCACAGTATGTCCGTTCTTCTCGAGCGTAGCACGGACAATCTCAACGCCACGCGTAATTGGAGGGTGTGGACGTACCTTTTCCGTCGTTAAACAGTGTAACACATGAATGGGCAGTTAGAAATACTTACAACACCATCGAAATCGTAAAAGGCGAGGTTTAGCCCCTTCTCGGCGATTTTACCTTGGGTGGCCTTCTCCTCGGCGTCCCTCCAAGGAAGTGGGATGACTTTCGAATCATACTTCCAAGGTTCCTCCATGAGGACAGATTGGAGGAAGAGTCTGACATCTAAAGGGCTTTAGTATTTTACGGTTAGGATATACCTGAGAAACCTACCTTGAGCAGAATGGGCGATGGGTCCAACGACGCTGTGTATCGTCTCTTGGCCTTCCATGCTGTTCGTCATACCACCGTACGGCAGACGACCGTGACTTGGACGGATCCCATATAAAGAATTGAATGCAGCTGGGACACGAATCGATCCACCTGAAGGTCATTAGTGTCTATTAAGCCTAATGCTTTAATGGTGGCAGCTTACCGATATCAGTTCCTATACCGATGGCACCTCCACGCATTGCAATCATGGCACCTTCGCCTCCCGAACTTCCGCCGCAGGAGAGGTCGAGATTTCTTGGGTTTGACGTGCGACCGATGATATTATTGACGGTCTCGCATACCATTAATGTTTGCGGTACACTCGTCTTGACTAGAAATACTGCACCCGCTTTCCGCAACAAGGCAGTTAGTATCGAATCGCTGGTGTCGCGCTTACCCAGCCAAGAGATATAGGCCATGCATGTTTCAGTTCCCTAGTTCTGTATTAGGAGAGATGCACACCAGCGTGGGAAACTCATCTTACCTTGACACGTAATTGATCTTTCAAAGAGATCGGCAATCCATGCAATGGCCCCACAGGTTTCTTGTGTGTTTCGAAGTACCTATCAAGCTCCTTGGCTTGGGCTAATGCTAGCTCTGGGAAGAAGTCATGTGCGCATTTAACCTATTCGCATTGGTATCATGTATCTCCGACCGAAGCGAAGGTCATACTTACAAGCTGATGGGCCAGTGCAGCTCTTTTACAGAATGCCAGGGTCACATCCACGGACTTCAGCGTGCCGTCGGCTAACTGAGCGACGAGTTCTGTGGCTGACGAGTTTGTAATCTTTATTTCAGAAGGCGACAGAATCCCAGACCTCTCAGGTAGATCAATGACCGAGCCTACCGTTGGGACTGACTTGATTTTCCATTCGTCTGGGATGGACTTCTCCAGACGTGCCCTCTTATCCGCGGCAAGATCTTCCCAACTTGCAGATGACATAGTGAAAAAGTGATAGCTTGGACTATAGACGATGGTAGAGCAAGCAACGTGGTGCCTACATGAGACCATTTCCCTGGACTACCTTGTTTTATATCTCCAATGTCTCCAAGTCTCAAATTTGGGGTTACCCCGCAACCTCAACTTTGTCTCGCGGCCATACGGACGGTGTAAGGAGAAAAGGAAGCATAAGTGAGGTTTTCTAGCTCTTAATTGGGCGATAGAACCGGTTATCTCGTGTTTATCTTGGCCAGGTGGTTTTGGAGTTGTCAGGACCCACATTACATACCCATTCTGTACTTCTATCAATGCACCAAAGCCTGTTAGTAGTTCTCGGGATCTGGCCCTGTAGCTCTAACAGATTGGATTGGCCCGACCTCTAAGACCCTCCCACGGCAGTCGGCATTTTCGCAAAATCCGTGACAACAGGGCGCAGGTCGCCTATACTTAACTTTAAAGGAAGCTCCCACTGCGGGTCCCTGTAAGTGGGGCGAGCCCTACCGTTAAAGTTGAATGCAGCCGATATGGAAAGAAGAATTTGAAGGAGAATGAGCCACCAATAGATCGATGAGGGAAACCCATTTCGCGACTCTCCTTGATTTTGCCCTTTTGATTCTGTCACATCTGCGTTACACTCCATACGTTTCCATTCGTCCTAGATGTTTAGCTTTGCAACCCGAAGAGCCCTCTCTGAATTCCCTGTACGCGGACGCCACATGACTCAACAGGCTCAGCTGCCAAGGTTTCTGGCCAGTCCTCACCTGGCCGTGGTGGCAGCCAATGTATCTTGTGGTGCGGTATGTACTGCACCTTGCCGTTGTCTAGATCGTATCTAACGATGATTTAGCCCAGGGATGGTGCCCAGGGAGGTCCGGACGCAGTAATAGATTCCGGTGTCTTCAACGAGATACAGTCCAAGTCAAACATCGAGATCAGCTTTGATGAGCACACTGCGCCCTACTCGCAGTCTGATCATATCATCGATGATGATTTCCAGGGCATGAAGAAACCCCGTGCGGTGAGCAGGGCTACCAAGCGGATCAGTGAGCTCGTGTATAACCAGGCACGGGAAGGGAAGTTTGTTCTTACATTAGGTGGCGATCATTCAATCGGGATTGGTACCATCTCCGGCGTTGCTAAAGCCATCCACGAAAGACATTCGGGTCGCGAGATTGGCGTGCTATGGATCGACGCGCACGCTGATATCAACACACCGGAGACGAGTCATAGCGGTAGGATTCATGGAATGCCCGTCGCTTTTGTTTCTGGTCTTGTCAGAATGAAAGAGAGCGGTATTTTTGATTGGATTGGGGAAAGCAATCTCATCAATCTGCACAGGTTTGTATATGTTGGTCTTCGGGATGTTGATGACGCCGAGAAGGACATCATTGCGAAGCATGGGGTCAGGGCTTTTTATATCGATGATGTTAGGGAGTAAGTCCAACTGTCTGTACCATTGCGTTTTCATCATTCTATTCCTGCCGACCACTAACAGCGCCGCCAGACACGGTATTCATAAGGTCATGGACTCAGCGCTGGAATACCTCGGTAATGAGACACCGTTGCATGTTTCATTTGATATCGATTCTTTAGACCCAGAATGGGCCCCATCTACAGGATTCCCCGTTGCTCCAGGGTTGACACGAGACGAGGGTGTTTATATCGTGCAACGCCTCTCCAATGCAGGAAGCTTGGTTGCTATGGATTTGGTTGAAATCAATCCACAGATTGAGCCATCAAAATTAGATGTGACGGTAGAATCTGGATGCTGGGTCATCAAAAATGCACTTGGAATGCGGTAGCCAGCTTCTGTCTCAATGATCAGATTATTTGCCTTTGTACGGGCTTTCGGTGATAAGAGCGGTACATTTATAGTATAGAACTCTAGTCCAGCTAAATTATAGAGATAATGGGTACATTCGGCAAATACAGAACGGATTTGAGTGCTTGTATCAATATTAGTAAATTTGGTAGGAGTTGTCAGCACAAGACCAGTTTTAATCGATCATGCTCTTTTTATTGGATTTCCCAGAACTACACCGAGTGTTATCGGGCAGTTTCCCATTACCAAAGCCCTTAGAATAGTCTCATAGCTCCAAAGCCGCTGCGAGATACTTCAATATTGTACAGAAGAGCAAGTCGCGTGGAAAGAGCTTCGTCCATGTTAGAAAAACAGTCTTTAACCTTTAGGCCGTCAAGCTCAGGCTGGGAGCTTGTCGATAAGAATGACTTCGCAGTGATCTGATTAGGATGGACACCACAGTACTACAGAGCAGCATCTATGATCTTATGAAGCTGTGTCCATTAGTCCTCTACAGAATTAGAAGTTGGATACAAGTAAGTCTTTCTGAAGAAACGCTGACTGAAAGGAATATCTATCTTCCTATAAATATAATTCCTCTTCCTTGCTTCTATTCTTTACTATGATTAGACAACTTCGGCTTGATAGCTAAAGATTCTTACTCTTCGTTAAGGCTCTCTCGGGCGTGACACATTATAAGGCCCTGAACAGCCGTTATCGTATATCTTCAATTCCTTCTATCGTTGGTAGACCCAGTTCAATAGGCTCAGGTGCGGGGAATCTTTATAACAGACACAAGTATTACTTGGAGTATAAGAGGCCTCTTGTAAGTTTAGACAATTTTCTCTCTGCGTCCTTTGCTACTTAGTAAAATGCCGTAGTCACCATGTGTCTCGCCAATAGCTTCGCTGGGTAACAACCTACATCAGTTCCATATCGAGGTTAAAGCTATAGGTAACCCAGATCATGTCTGTACCGAGTTGCAATAGATAATAACAATCAAAAGGGTCCGAGGGCTGCCGTAACTTTCAGTGTGAGACGGGATTCAAATACAATGCGTCGGCGGGTGACGCAAGAAATAGGTTTTAAATAGCCTTCAGGAGGGATACAGAGTGCTCTTGATGGTAAAGAAGGTGTAAAGCAGCAAGAGCACAAATTATATAGGATTCATAAAAATGAGAAAAACATACAACAGGAGGGATTCGCTGGTGGTCACCCACCCAACTACTAACCTCCCGGCGTGTGGCTTAAGTACGGCTGAGCGGACGGGAAGCCCTGTTCTCCACACCCTGTGGTCGTATGTACTAGTTCACTTGCTGCAAGGGTTTACATAGGGGTCTCTTGTTATGGCTGCCATGCATCTACCAGCTCTTATAGTAAGGTCGGAGGTCTGCTTCATGGGTGAAAGTGGGTTGTGAATAGGAGGTGCAATGGAAAGTCTCCAATGGGAATGTATGCATGTACCTTCGACTGCGGGTCTCGGGCCTAAATAAATACATGCAACCATCGGATACAGTTGGTCTTGGTACTTGGTACTGGTAATCACTGGGACTCTGGGCATCCGACCTACGGCTCTATCATTCTCGCTCCACTGGATTATTCAGGGCCCATCCTATGGACGAAATTACTACCCCCGTCGTCTCACTGTATACGTTCCTTACAATAAGGGGGATATTGGCTAAATAAAACTAGTATTTTTCCTCAAATGAAGAATCTATTCTTAGAGTCATGACTTGATTAGCTATTATCTATATCTCGAGCTGCTGTCTCAACCCCCCATAAGCATCTTTTATACTAAATCCACCGCTCTTGTCTCTGTGGAATATCTTTATATAGCCCGTATATTTCTAAAAGAATTCATAGCATTATGAAAGAAAGTAGTTATACGGTCACACCCACTCTGATCTATAAGTTTGTGGAAACTGCTATCAAGTACTATCCAGGATCCCGGGTCGCGTAGATAGTCTGCATTATACATTAGGTGGGATCATATAAGAAAGTACCCCACTCTGTTAGATACACTACCAGCAGTGCTGCGTTGACATTGCAATAAAACCCAAAGCAGAGAAAGAAGATTTGTTAGACTGACATATTTGCCGAGGACAGTATATACCAGATCTAAAGCGGTTTATGACAACCGCAGACCGAAAGAAACCCTTCTCTATGCAGGATTAATATAACGACTAATATGGTCACACGATTTCAGCTTACCACTTTCCATTTGCATTGTATTCTCCTGAATCATTTCCTTGCGCTCCACATTCTTCCTTTTGACCATTAAACCTAACCCAGGAAGATCAATGGCACCCGTAGCTTGTTCAGACTCCAATTTGGATGACATCCCCCCCAGTGTCACAGGGCCGCGGCCTCAATGTTACCCATCCTGTCTCATCCGCTGTGTCTTTGGAAAGGTAGGCTAGTCTCATAGTTTGTCCCACAGTTTGACCAATACTTTCCGCTCAGGGTGGCACAGACCTCATGATGTGGTCTCATATTTACTCGCCTTCCTGATCCGCGGTCCGTAGATCCAAAATATCCACGGGATGGGGGCCATCAGGAGAGTCAACAGGGCCAAGAGAGAGGTTGCCCAACCAACCCCCAGACCTTCAAACATCTGGATGGTGAACAATGGAAACGCACAGCTCAGAATGTACCGGCTGAACATCATCGCCCCGGAGGCGGATGCCCCATAAAGGGGCCCGTAGGTATCCAACATGAAAAGGTTGACTCCAGAATAGACCAGTAGGCAACTAAACATTGAAAGACCTTGGAAGATCAGGGGTACGATCCAATGGACCCGGAAATTGGCCGTCCAGCTCAGAACCAGCAGCGTCGCGGGGAGAAGGAAACTGCCTCCTAAGGCTGACACTAGACGAGCCTCGGGGGGCATTCTCAATCCTGACCCATGCACTTCTTTCCATGTGCGCAAACGTTTTTGGAAGAAGAGCCTGTCGACCAGGACTTGAGGGAGGCAGGCGATGAGAGTGCCCAGAGTCACACCAAGGTACGAAAGGGCCTGGCCAGTTCGATCAAACCCGTAGTAGTTGGAAAACACCCAAGGGATCGAGATTACAAACGCATACAGAATACCGAAGAGAAGGCCGTTGTAGAGGCTAACAAAGGTCACGATCGGTTCGGTAAGCAGCATGTGCATTGGGCGCAGAAAAAGGACGACAAAGAAATAGCGAACGCCTTCCCCAACGAAGGTGTTGCGTGATGCACCACTCAACAAGCCTAGTCGGACCCCCCGACGTCGTAGAATCACCTCTTTATACGTTTCCTTGGTGAAGAGGAGAAAACAGTAAAAGACCCCGGCCAGAATGATAGGCACCCATTGTGTCCACCTCCAGTCCTCCGTCCGGATCATCAAAAAGCCACCCACAAGTGGGGCTACAGTTGCCGCGACCGTCGGTATTGCATAGTAGACTGCAAGGGCGGAGCCGCGATTGGTGTCATGTGTATAGTCCAAGATAGTCGCCGAGGCATTGCTGACGTTGGATGACCCAAAGACAGCCGCAAAGAAGCGACACAGAATCAGGCCCGAGATAGACTTAGAAACTGCTGCGCCCACCATGAACAGCACAAAACTTGGAGTTGTCACGACATAAACAGCCTTACGACCATATGTCTCGGACAGGGGAGCTCCGACAATAGGCCCAAAAGCTAGTCCCAAATTATACAGAGCCAGGGGTAGAATTGCGACCTCGGAGCTGCAGTGCATCGCTTCCGTTACTCCATCCTGCGCTGGAGCATATATTGCACCTGAAAAGGCACTCACAAATGCCAACAGGGTGACACTGGCAATACCCAAAGCCTTTCTGGCTAGTGGAAAGTTTCGCGGATTGTCGGGGTCGTCCGGTCCATTCCAATCTGTTGCACGGTGGTCTAGAGGAAAGTTCCTGGCTTCGTCAGTGCCCTCCATTTTTGCGCCCCACGCTTGGTTGATGAGAAATCACCATGAGGTGTGGTTGAGATAGGTAGGGAGTTCATTGTGGCATAATATATACCGTTGTTAAGGGAAGATAGAAGCAGTTGAAGGTAGTTGAAGATAGCCAAGGCCCACTCAGTCTAGAGTCACTCGGACAAGCAATCTCCGAGGGGCCATAGCCTCACATCTCTGCGAGTTCATTGATTGAGTACCAGATGTGCTTCTCAAGACATCATATCGAGTTCTTCTCGTCGGATATCCACAGCTCAGCTGTGCTTATGTAATGTCCGAATTGCCGACGGAGAAACAAGTCCGAACCTCACGACGGAACTAGTCCTGATGCCTTTGGACATGTCGCTATCACATCAGCTGTCGCTTGGGGGCAACTCGTAACATGCCCGATAGTCCGACTCAGCTACGGAGAAGTCAGGCTCTGCAGTCGTCCGGGAGCGCACGGCCATTGCCAATTTCATCAGAGGACTCCACATGTCGGACATGCAAGAATTGTCGTCAACGAAAGGTCAGGATTCGGTTCTCCATCAAATCTTTGCGTCCTGTTTATCTGCCACAGCTTACACGATCTCACAGGTCAAATGTAACAGCCACCGTCCACAGTGTGCAGCATGTAAGCGAACAAATACGGAGTGCGTCTATCCACGGGATGAAAGGAGAACTAGTGTCCGCCCAAAAAGGGTGAATATAAGCTTCCTGGAAAAGCAGATTGGGGGTTCGCAGGGGAGATTTGGAGGACTGGTAGACAGCTCTATCACCGAAAACACTGCGATCGAGAACCGCCCATCGTCACTCGTAGAGTTTACTTGTCGAGAAAGCTTGCAGCCAGCCGAAGGGTCTCCACCTGGCATTGGTACCCGGTTTCACTTGCGTACTAGCGGACGAGGAAGCTATCGTGCGGCACCTTCTCCAGAAACGAGTGTCACGGATAATGGGCCTCAGGTCTATGGTGCGACAAGCCTGCTACATGATGAGTCGTCCGACACGCCGGTGGCAAATCGCCAAACTGGAGAGTTGGCCACGAACTATCTGTTGCCCGAGACAGTTCAAGATCAGCTGATTTCCTACGCAGCGATACGCAGACAGGAGGAGCTGACCCTGAGATCGGTACCAAACCTCACAATGAATGTGGACTTCGATGGCGTACCCGTAGATTTAGCAATGCATCTATTAGACTTGCACTGGAACCGACAACACTTGTCATACCTATTGACATATCGCCCGGCAATTATGGATAGTCTGATGACAAAGGGTCCATTCGTGAACAAACTGCTGTTGAACGCAATATACGTACAGAGCAGTCTCTACAGTGATCGCGTATCGCCATTCTGTGATTCACAAGTACCGAATGAGAAAGGGCTGGCCTTCTACGAGCGGTTCAAGCAGCTATTGCCTCAATTCATTGATGAGCCTTCTTTTCCGACAGTCGTCGCTTTGTTGACATGTGGAGCGTGTCTAGTTCCCTATGGCCGTCAGAGCGCAGGCTGGGCACTTTCGGGAATGGGCTACCAAATGATGATCGACTTGGGCTGTCATCTGGAATGTCCCGCCACATCCAAAGCGAGTGCCATTGAACAAGAGATAAAGAAACGGATTTATTGGGGAGCGTTTGTGAGCGATAAGTTCCAGTCCCTGTTTCTCGGTCGGCCTCCCGTAATGCGCGAGATGGGCGGGAACGTGTCACGAGTATTGATGGACACCTTTGAGGAGATGGAGGAGTGGAAACCGTATATCGATCCTTTGGATCAGGTCGCGTTGACTATGCCTCAAACATATCAGGGTCGGCCGTCGTACGCTATTAGCACATTTCAAGCCCTGCTGCAGCTCTGTGTGATTGCAGGAGACGTAATAGATGCTTTCTACTCCGTGAAGAGCTCATCGGAGTCTGCGTCGGTGCTTCTGCAAACCAGACATCGTATCACAGAGCAGCTCAGTCAATGGCAAGACAACCTCCCTGCGTCGCTGCAATTTGAGCCAGGGCTGGACGCCACGCGTCCGCCTCACCAGCTAACCCCACAGTAAGTACAGTACACCCTACCACATTGGATGCCCCACGCGTTTAATCCTTCCAATAACTTAAAAAAAAAGTGCTCTTCATTGGACTCTTGTTATCCTGACGGAGCAGGCGTTTCTTCGCCATGGCCATTTCAACTGCGCTTTGCCCCCTAACTCTGCTGAGGAGTCTCGACAGAGGTGTATCGAGGCTGCGTTGAAGATCTGGAAGCTTGTCGAGGCCTATAAGCAAACCTTCACTCTCCGACGTGCACAATATGGCATATCATATGCGACGTATTGCGCCGTAGTCGTTATGCTCCAACATACGCACCACGGCGAGAATGACGTGAAATGTATCCGCTTTTTCTATTCGGCTCTTTTGGAATACCAAAAGGGCTGCTCGTACGGCCTGAAACGACCTTTGAAATTGCTGAGGTCTCTCATGCGACGGCTTGAGTCTGTGGCAAATCTTCTTGAAGCTGAGGACAAGGCTGTCGATGCGCCAACGCCTGGTGGTAAGCACTTGAACTCCTTTCCATATCGATCTCATCTCTAAGTAATGATCTAGTCAGATCAGATCCGGCCGGTGATGGAGGTATACATCGGCCACTCGAAGCCGAGTCTTGGGATTCTTCTTTATGGGATACTCTGCCAAATGATTCCTTTTGGCTTGATGAGTCTGTGTTTGGGATGTTTGGAGGATGAAATGCCACACGCAATAAAATATGACACGGGAAGAACCCATGGGCTAGCATGAAGCCATCTTGGAGAAAGGAGGAATGCCTAGCTGCATGGCGATCATCTCGTAATTAGCACTCCCGCACCTGTAAAGGTACTCGGAGCTTAGATGGGTTGATCTTCTAAAGGGCTTGAGTAACGAATGTGATGGCTTCTTCAGGAGCAGGGTTCTGATAGAATTGCAATTAAATGATGGTCATAGTTCATGAAGCGACAGGATGATCTTTATCGTGTTATACATGTGCGTTTCTGGACCTTGTATATGGAAGCATCGCGTGGAGATTATGGGCTGCGGGGGATTGCTGTCTCGGAAGCGACTTCATTGCCAGCTACGCCAAAGGAACAGTGATGCAGGGCAGATGCGGCTGCTCAGAGATGAGCCTTTATGTTACATCACAGATAAGAAGTTTCCACGTGTGCGGCTATCCCTCGTTCAAGTGGCTTCTTAGCCGCGCATGATGTGCATGTTATTAGATCAGATCCTTTAATCCGCTATTTTGATTCCTCCTCCCTTTTGCTGCCCCGTCGGTGCTCCGCCGGTGAAACTAACCTGGACGAAACTTTCCAGTAATGCACATCCTTATCAGGCAGTTCCACAAGGCACCTTCACTGCAGATGCAGCGATTAGAGCAAGTCCGTATAGCACCACAGCCAATGGAAAGAGCAGACCGAGCCAGACGTCACCCACAGACATACCCAGATGATAATATGACTACCAGTAGAGGCCCTGATACCAGCGATCCAATTGAGCTCATCACACTCACAAGTGCATAAGTTGTGCTCAACGACGGTGTATCAACAAGGGAGGTTACCAATGCTCTCGCTGTAACTGAAAATGACTCTCCTAAACCAAATACCACAACCCCAATGCTGAGCGAGGCTAGTTTTGGTGCGATAAAAACCAAGAAGCACCCTAGAAGCATCAGTAGCGTATTCACCTGGGTGAGGATCTTATCTCTCAGAATAATCTATAATCCTTTATCGTAATCTAGGAAATGTGTTCCGGCGGGAAGGAGAATAAATAAAGATATCAGGTTAGTGCCAGCTCGGAGCGGCAGTACGTGACCACACTGACGCTAGCCATTACGTCCTACCAAGAGCATCATCATTCAATTCGTCCATCATTCTTGTTGGGTGTATATCTTGGTATTAGTACCCTTCTAGATTGCATCCAGACACGAACGTTATGGCTGAGGGGAAGTCATCGACTAGTCGCGATTGTATTCTTCGCAATCGTTATTCTCAACCTGCTCATACTAGTGATTAAGTCGATTCAAAGCGCCATTTGCTGGAATTTCCTTATTACCACAAGACCCACTGGTCTTCTCGAGGTCGATTCGTCTGAACCTCGATCCATTGCAAAAACATACTGACGAGGCCATTACTTCTATCCTTTCTCTGGTGGGAATGCTGAACCCACTGTTATCCAACCGATCCAGCCTAGACAGCCTCATTAAAAAAGACACGCTCTCTTCTGGTCAGCAGCAACGAATTGCCTTTGCGCGGACGCTGTTGAATCTATCTCCTATCTTGCTGCTTGATGAATCTACGTCGCTTGTGGATGTGAAAACAGAAGCGACTATCATGAATTTGATCCGAGGAGAATTCGAAAATCGTACGGTCATCACAGTGTCCCATCGACATAACACGATCGTCGACTTCGATCTCATTCTGGTCATGGATCAAGAGACTATTGTTGAATCTGGGACGCCCGCTGAGCTACTTCAGAAAAGTGAGGGTTGGTTTAGAAACCTATGGATGAGGCAGGGCCAGGACGGCTCTTGACATATAGATGAGCTTACAGAGTGTTTATGATGGCTAAGTAGGTATATACTAGCGCGACTATGCAAAAGGCATATGTAGTTTATGTGCTGTTGCATTCGTTTAACTTCTCCGATGGTTTATCCTATTCTATGTGTGAGGAGTATGTCTGGGATGTAATGTCCTGTTAGTTTGTATCTCCTTAGCTTATAATGTGCTAGTAATTATTCTAGTTGTCGAGCTCCTGCTACTAAGAAGCTAACTGAAAACAATCCTCCCTTATCTGTGATATCATGTTAGTTGCTACTATAAAATAGCCCTTAGTGAACTTGTCTTAGATGCACCATGAGGATTAGCAGAGTCCAACATCGAGTCGACGTGTGAGTTAATCGTTGGGGGATGGATCCGAGAGCCTGGGCACCAGCTGCCCGGTGAGGGTGAGCTCGAAGCGCACGTGGAAATTAATCCTCAAAAGAAGTGGAATCACCATCAGGGGTCTCCACTCCACTATATCGAAAGTCATATTAGTCTCCAAAATAGTCCTCGAGTTCCTCATCCGTAACATCTGCCGCACCACTCATGGCAGCAATCCGATTCAAGAACCACTGCATTTTCAGTAGTGCAAAGGATGGGAGGGGCATCGCCTCCGGATCCTGGGTCCTTATCGTTATGAGTTGGCCAGAGTAGATGGGTTCATCCGTGTCGCAATTCCACAGCTTGGCATTGCCGGAACTTGCCTTCGGGCCGGATGGGAGGGAGGGAGGCACCACTAGGGACACCTGCGGGGAGTAGTCTCGATGAGGTAGCCACCAGAACCGCATTGTAAGGAATTTCTTGTCCTCAGACATGTCAACGGGTTCAAAGGCAAGACGTGCCGAGTTCCAGAGGTCGTGCATCATAGTCGAGAGGCATAGAAGGTTTTGAGTTACCTCTGTGCCTTCAAGGCCCATGATATCCCTCTTCCAGCTGGCGATCGTCTCGGGATCCCAGAAAGTTTGCAGAAGAGACCAAAATATCGGCCGTGCACTTTCGGTCTCATTTCCCAATGAAAGCCGGTAGATGTGGCATATATGGACGGGCTTACCCATCTTGGTAATGACACAGCGCCCATTATCCCTCTCGCTGGCAGTGTCCTTCGCAGGTTTAGATCGCGTCTGCCGGGGAAGTTTGCTTAGGGAGCTGGACTGTCCCTCTGACTTTCGTTTACGTGACGTTTTCTGGGACGTCTCAGATGAGGGTGTGGATTCGGTGAGTTCGGCGGGTTGTTCATTTGTTGTCGTGGACTCTGTTTTTCCCTTCGACCGCCCAAGCCACACCTTCACGGCATCCAGAGCAAGCAGGGAGCTCCCCAAGTTGACTGTCATTGCATCCCGTAACATGGGATCAGACTCCATATATTCAACCTTTCGCCGGAGGATCTTGAGATCTGATAACCACGGGATCGCATGTGTTGCCGAATCCACTTCCCTAAGACCGTTGACTTTGCTGAGTCGCTGGATGAGGGACCTCTCCTCAGAGATGAGCTCTGGGGCAATAGACACAGCAGAGGCCATTGATCAGGTCGTTGTCTGGCGGCTTAACGGCGAATAAAGGGAAGTACGCAGACGCAGTGGGTCCTATGTAGTATATCTATATCGTATGTAGGCAATACTACTACTAGTAGTAGCACTAGTACCCTTCACTCTGTTATTCGAGATCTTTTGTCCACTCCAAGGGAATCACGGCGTTGATCTCAGTAGATTCGCTCAACCACAGGTTCTTGTCGGAATGTAGACGTCACCATGATTCAGACCAACCGCTTTCGACCCCATCTTGACTGTGTCGAGCCCTAGCATTGTCCGACAGGTTCTGAGGGTCGCACAGGGTACATTGTCGCTCTGTTCACATTGGCAAGAAACAGAAAAAGCCGCGTGATTTTTATGAGAGCTGCTGGTAATCGGTGATGCTGTACTGGAGAAGTCTAGACAGTGGAAATCCCTTGGCAATTTATAGGACCGGAAACCCTTCATAAGAAGGGGAGTGGACATAGCTATTCAATTGTATCTGGTGATGAGGGAGTATATATTCGCTACTTTGTCTTCCTTGGCACAAATATACATTCCCCGGCAAGGGTTAGCAATGAAGGCTGGGAGTAAAGAGTGCATATAGAAATGGAGGTCTCTGCTTTATTCAATCCCAAAATCCGGCTTGGCATTGTGAGTAGCCGAAGTATGGGTATTGTAGAACAAGATTGGATTGCGTTCAGAAGTTGCGAATGCAGCGACTGGCCACAGGTTCAGTCTTCCGATCAAATCGGGCTATACAAGTAGTATTCTACGGTTATCATCAGTCTGTAGATGAATGGCCGCCACACAATAGGCAAAGGAGGCAATGGGAATTTGAAAAGTAAATCCGTTAGTACTATTCATGCACAGTCCACCTGATGCCCTTCTCGCTGCATCCATTCACCATCCCTCATCTATCGACCTTACCAACATGTTTGTCCTCATATGGTGGATGAGTAGAGCTGGATCTTGACAACACCGGGTTGATCATATCATTCGACGCAAAGAAAGTCAAAGTCAAGGAGCAGTTGACGTATAATACAATACTTTGGCTGTTTGGAAAGAGTAATACTAATTTAGTATGTAATGCGACATTTATGCTGTCCGGGGCTGGTAGACTTCTCGACGTACTTTCGGACGAAGAAATATATATTGCCGCTGATGTTGTAACTATAACTTACGGATATCGCCAATCACTCAAAATTGTCATATACATTAGAGATTTGAGCATATGGTAGAGAAGAGGACATAGGACATTTGAAAGCACGTTTTTAACAAGGCCTTTAATGTAATATCGCGGTTGAAGTATGATGTGCGAGAGGGTTGGCAGGCGTATGTGCATACCTTGCTAAGCGGAAACGGCAGTTCCATGTTACATATTTAGAACCATATATAAACCTCTGCAACTGAAAAACTGACACATACGACCATAGGGTGTGGAGAACAGGGCTTCCCGTCCGCTCAGCCGTACTTAAGCCACACGCCGGGAGGTTAGTAGTTGGGTGGGTGACCACCAGCGAATCCCTCCTGTTGTATGTTTTTCTTTTCTTTTTTTTTATCTATCCATATGGAAAGAATATCCTCTCTGAATTTCATATTAATGGATTCCTTCTTACTATACCGTACCTATCGTAGACGAAGAACCAGACATATGCGGGGTACCAGCTCCATTTGAGGCCCTCGGAGCTCTACCGCCATGGTTACCTGTTAAAGCTGAGTCTTCCATGTAACGCAGGCTATCCACCGTGCCTTTATTTCTGGATGGCATTTAACGACTAGAGAACCGATACCCGATGATAACCCTTTCATCATATTCCAACGGTGCTCATGGAGTCCGATCAATGGAACGGTGTGGTTTACGGAAAGCCACTGCAATACCGATATAGATGGATCTACATGCCAGCGGAAGAACAGGAACCAGAATAGATCGCACAGCATAGCTCGTACGGGGTCACCATTGATGAAGAACAAGCGGTTTGTATAGTAATACTGACATGCATTAGCAGTATGGTGGTTTGCCTACACAGGATGGACTCGCCTCGGACCTTTCAAGTCGTACCCATACGAAACTCTGCTCTACAGGGCAAACAGTCCAGTCGCAAACAGATAGACCCACGGAATATCCTGAGCCTCCTTAGCCGATAACTCATTCCAGTACACACCGAATGCGTCTATATAGCAGACGATGTTTAGTCCAGGCGCACTGGGTGAGTGTTTCATTGTGTATCATCTCCCTGGCCTCTGAAATCTGCATAATATCCCCGGCAATACGTCCTATTTCCCTCCATTCTGTTCAATACGCCGTTACCAGGTTTCTGTGCCTGTCTTGAATCAACGGCGTATCATAACGACACAACCGGCCTAAGTTAAGGTATTCGATGGAAGTAGCTGTATAACCGGTATGTCATTCATATATCAATATAATTGACTGACAAAATGCCTCTGAAGTAATTCAGTAGAGGTAAAGAGCGGCGATGGAAAGATTGAACGAGTTACGAGAGCGACATAGGTTAATTTTCAATTTATAGGGACTACAATGTCATTCGGAAATCTTAGGTAAGTGACATGTAGATGGATACTGGATTCATTGGGCCGATCACTGCCATTCAAAGTCACCACAAAGCTAGATATCCATATTTGGTATAATAGAGTTATGCTAACCTTATGTTAGATAAACTTCGCCGTTTTCGTCAATTTTATTAAAGGTCTGCCCTACTGCGTAAGCACAAGGGTTCGCCATGCCTTAGGCAAGAAGAAATTTATATAGAAACCGCCAAGCCACACAAGGTAACCACCTTTGGGGCAGAGGGTTTCGTGTGTCCAATAAGCAACAGGGTGACTTCTCAATTTAATACAGCTAGCTCGAAGTCAGCGACTTCAAGGGAATTATCCGACGGAGGTTCCAATCTGCCAGAAACAACCTGCAGAAACTCAGCCATTACTAGGGCCACGTGACAAAAGTTTTGAAGAACGTATACATTCTATCCCTTCGTCAAGCAAGGGGGACACATCTTCGCACGATTCCTGGACATTTCCGAAAACAATTTCTTACTGCTGCCCTCTCGGACGGCAAATGAGACTAGTTCTTATAATATACACAGAGTACCCTACTCCCATTCATGTAGAACATCGCAATTGTCGCAGACATGAGCCAATCCAGAACCTGTCCTCATGAACATATGAAAGTGCTTGGCCTTGGCCTTTGCCGTACCGGGACCGACTGTAACAGCCATGCTCCAGACCGGTCAAAGAACAATAACTGATATGAAACTGCACCCAGCCTTAAGGGAAGCACTGAGAATTCTAGGATACGCCAACCCTTACCATGGGTTTTCCTGCTTGGAAAATCCCGCAGACTGTAGATTTTGGTATCTGGCTTTGTCTGCCAAATATAGTGGTGTTGGGAAACCATTCGGCCGCAAAGAATTCGAGAAGGCGATAGGTCACAGCCAGGTAATCCTAGGTGCCCAGGAAACTCTGACCGATATGACAGACATCAATAACATGAATCCAGGCTGTCTGTGGTGACTTTCCGGTGGCATGTTTTGGTCCAGAGTTGATCCAAGCATATCCAGAAGCGAAGGTGATTCTTACATATAGGGATGTGGATGAGTGGCATCAGTGAGTACAAGTGAGCCAGATCTCGGCGATTGGTTGTAAGCAACCTAACACTGCGTCCTCAGGTCCGTGGGCAGGACGGTGGACTGCACTATCCGCAGTCGACGCTGGGGGGCAGCGGCCATAGGCGCAAGAGCGCTTGGGCTGCGGATTTGGTGGAGTCGGCCAATGTGGCTAAAGATATGGGAAGTTTTCTTTGGGGGGACTTTCAGAAAAACGGGTGTAACGCTTTCCATGAACATTATGAGTTGATCAAGCGGCTTGTGCCGGCGCATCGCCTCCTCATTTTCCACGTCTGCGAAGGGTGGGGCCCTCTTTGCGAATTTCTTGACGTACCTGTACCATTGGCGCCATTTCCCCGAGGGAACGACCCTCAGAGTTATCATCTTCGTGTTGCCTACCTGACTGTTTTCAATAACCCTGTACGACTTCAAATGATGGCATGTACGGCAGGAGTGATTATTTTATTTTTGGCGATACTTTTCACACGGGCCGGATAGGGAGATACTGAGACGTTTCTGGGTTAGGTACAACTCTAATATAAGAGAATTCTATGACAACTCTTGTGCTGCCCACCGGAAGAGGGCTTATAACCAAGTAAAGTATACTATTGTTCGAGATCAGCCCGTATAAAGCTGATGTCGTATGGAGGAAGTAAACGAAATCTGGAATTGTGCCGACACTGATACTAAACTCACGCCTTTCTTCCCATTTATATAGTATTATTTGCATACCTTCAGATTAGTTGCAGCAATATCTGAAAACAAGGCTTTCCCACGTGGCCAAGAGCTCCACATCACAAAGCACGCCTTGACAGGTCGTGATCTACAATAAAATAACACTGCGTATGGTATGGCCTTGAGTCCGGCCATTCCTCTTCCAGCTTAGCTCGACGACTCTACCTTGGATGGGGCTGGCCAGGACATAGCCAAATAGACCTGCGGATCTTCAGTACTTTGACACTGCTTGGGACGTTGGACGGGAATTTATATATGTTCCGTTTCTATGAGTCTCCTTCGAGACTGCCTTATCTGTTATACATTTATGATTCGAATAACTACTTGATTGGTGGAGCTTTAGAGTAACCAGCCAGAATAACCTTAATGGTTGTAAAAGATCCACATGCCTAACTGATGATCACCGATACCACAGAGGGTAAGAAAGCACGTATACGAGTCATAGAAGAAACCTTTAGAGTAAGGCAAAGGAGGATAGCGTGCATAGAAGCCAATGCGGATACCAATCCCAGGGTATCTTCGAACCTGGGAAGGATGAAACCGCAGACTGATGAAATGTTACATCTACAGAATGCAATGCTCAAACATGAACAGGTCCATGGCAGTGAATATTACCCTGTTGTGTCACTACGTGCGGCTCGACGCGATGCGTTGTATTGCTACGCAGACGCACCCTCTCTGTATCTTCTTTCTCTTGTTTTCTTCTCTACCCTTTGCTTCCTTCTACTTCCTTCCTCGCCCGTAACGTTGACTTTTGATCGAGGACCACCAGCGACTAGTAACTCCTTGTTACCAAGCAGCTAATTATTCCACGAGGCGTATTTCAAATACCCTCCCTTTCGTCTCTCTCTTCTTCCCCCCGTCTGCCATGGAGACAGCAGCGGAGAACTCCGGGGCCTCTCCTGACCCTCAGGTTGCCGGTGGTGGTGGTGGTAAGCTCCCCGGTAAACGTGGGGGGAGGCCGGAAGAACCCCCCTCCTGACAGACAGCAGGATACACTATGCCAGTACTGTGGGGAGTACGACAATACCACGGATAAGCATTTTGAGCGGACTCTTATGAAAGCAATCAATGCTCTGGTAAGTAACACCTTGGACACAACACAGAGCGCTCGTGTGAACGAGCTAATATGTCGGGTAGACTCGTTTGCGTCGGAACCCCCAGCGGTCTGACCAGAAGACAAAGCGGCAGAATAGACCGTGTGATTGCTGTGCGGAGTACGATCACACTTCGGAAGGGCACTTTGAGCGATCCGTCGTGAACGCCGTCGATGCTCTGGTGAGTGACCTTTTGGAAATAACGCAGAAAGCCCGTGGGGGCTAGCTAATATAGTGGTAGCTCGCAATGAGTCGGAAATGCCAGCGACCTGACCGCCATGCTTCTCCGGTTTCGTCCAACAACCAGGCTGCCCTTATAGCTCAGGAAGGAGGACAAGGCGGCCGGAAAAACAAGCCGGACCGACCTCCGCCTGCTTATGAGCGGCAACGTCAACAAGCTTTCAAGAAGCAACAGCAGCAGCGGGAGGTTGATAAGCGTCCAGCTCTCACCTTGCAGGCGCACCAGCACCCGCAGCGGCAACAACAACAACACCAACAGCAGCTGGAGGTTGAGCAGCATGGTGCTCTCACCTTTTAGGCGCACAAGCCGCCGTACCAGTAGCAGCGAGGGGTTGAGCAGTGTCCACATCTCACCTCGCAGGCGCTAGCTCAGGGACTGAGTCTTTCCTTTCCAACGGCTGAGCAGCCGCACCTGAATGCACACCAGCAGGGGGTTGAGGGACCCAAGGTCCTTCACCACCGAGATGAGTCCCACTTGCCTCCTCCAATGGAGGATGAGCCCTTTGACGCTGAGGATTTGCTTGTGTTCTCGGGCAGTGCGGACAGCGACCTTTAAAGGTAACACGTCCGGTGGCAAGTCCTAGCGACACAGGGTGCATGTGTCTTTGGACCGAGTCTCCGGCAATGAGCTCGCACCTCAACGTGGAGCAGGAGGCTAGTAACCATATGGTGAAGCCAAGACGAGCCTAGATTATGTGTGTATAACTGTGTGTACAGCCCCCCTCAGCGACTAAAAGGATTGCCCCGCATGGGAAGTACTGTTCACCCACCTGGCATAGTTAGTGCGTAACGCACATTGGGTAATTTATGAGTAGTCAATGAAACATTGATCAAGGTGGGTTTTTGTTTAATCTTACAATACGTAACTGTAGGATAGCTAGCTATGTCTATATTGATCCGACCCACATTAGTTAACCATAAGAGTAGATTTCCAGCCGGACCATGAACAACCTTGATAGAGCGTTATGCGGGGCAAAAGGAATATTTGAACGGATAAAAATAGTATTGGGAGAAAGGCCCGTCTGTGTTTAACAGGATTAATATAGTTCACTAGTGAATTCGATGTACGAAGAACAATTCGGCGAGCATGAGAACGATAGAGGCAGGCGTAAGAATAGGGAAAACAAAAATAAAATACCACACCACAACTTATTCTAACCCCTCTTGTACATGTAGCTAAAATAATAGCAAGAAAAAAAGATGGAGATGCGGGGAATTGAACCCCGGACCTTTCACATGCTAAGCGAACATTATACCACTAAACCACATCCCCAATTCGTTATAACTTATCTCAAGTTTTGGATATATAACCAAAAAGTCCATTCACGAGCCAAGTACTACAGAGATATAATTCTTAATTCGCTGTGGGGGAGGCCTGAGGCATTACAGCATCTGACCTTCTAAGATTTACCATTTGTCAAGATTCAAAGTCTTGCTCTGCACCCACCCCCATGAGAAGTAGTTGGGCGGTGATGGTGTGTTTCTGGACTCAACTGCGTTGGGCATCTCGCATTGCCTTTGAGGGGACCCTGACGTATCTCCCTTTTCATCACTTAATAAGAAGAAAAGAGGAACACATTCTTAGATCTCCCACAGGTCATTTAGGCATGTTGAGATAGTGAACTCCGAAATGATGTTTTCTCCGTTCACGTCTTTTATATACCACAGAAGGTCCAGTATACTCTTACCTACTGGACATCATATAGAACTCTCTATAGGTTGTACGCCGCTAAATACAAATCGCTGCGGTTAACATCCGCATTTTTGGGCTTATTCTTTTCATATTCGCAGCGAGAAAGGCAAGGGTCTTTATTATCCTCCTCTACTCCATGAAAATGCTACTCTAAGTCGGATTTGTGAAAGCAGATTTCCAAGTATGGGTAATGGCCTTTGTGAACATACAAAATTCTTGAGGGATGCTAGATTTCCTATGAAGATAGATGATATGTACTACTTTCCCAGAAGGGGGAATCTTCCAAAGCCCACAATGATTCTAGCGTCCTTAATATGGGTTGTCAAGCAGGAAATGAAAGCGAAACGAAGGCACGATGCCAATGAGTAGTAACTGTATATGTAGATGAAGATTGCCCGACTCAGGTTGCACTTCTACTTATCAGTATCTCGCCAAGGTACATTAATTTATCCTTTTCAGCCGTACATGCATCCCACTGAGCATCCTAATCGTTATCATTCCACCTACAAGATTATGCCGGGTAGGGTCTGGCAACTCTATAGAAAACTGCTCAATAACAGCAGCGATGACGCATCGTACTTGAGCCATTACAAGCTCCTTTCCGAGACATTCACGTCGACCGAAAAGAAATGGATGGGAAGCATGTTTCGAAGAGGTGCCACCGGTAGGGTCGATCTTTGTCTGTCCATGTTCATCGCGGACAAGCCACCGTTCAGGGTTAAACTCATTGCCCCGAGGACCCCATATATGATGACACCGACCCATGGCATAGGGGCTGATAATTATTCCAGTGCCGCGGGAAACTTTTACGCCCGCAATCGTTGTATCCCGGATAGCTTGTCGAGCAGTCACAGCTGTAGTGGGATGCAGACGGAGTACTTCCAAACATAATGCGTTTAGCATGGGAGGGACTCCAGAGTGGACCATGATCCCTCTTCCTCTGTAGAAAGAGCGTCTTTCACCTCACGGCGAAGACGAGCTTGAAGCGACGGGTCGCGACCTAACTCATAGCAGCACCAGCACATCGTGAAGGTTAAGAGTTCATACTGCGGTGCGACTGTCAGCTCTTTTCTTTTGATGACAACTGGACATTCTACTCACACTAGTAAAGTCTTGCATGATTTGCCCTACGATGCTGTCAGCTGTATATGAGTGTCGTGTCATTGAACCGATCAGGCTGGGCTGTGATGACTTTTTTTCCTTCTGTGCATTGTCCTGTTGCTGCAGTAGCACAAGACTGACAAATAATGCATGAAGATCATTTTTTGCGGCTCTTCTCGTTGCCATATTGCCCCCGGGAATGATCCTACTAATCCAGCGTGGACAGACAATGTACATCGCAAAGGAGACAAGATTTCCTAAACTGGGTTCCAGGACCTTGTCAAACGCAGCGCCAACCTTCTGTGCTCCATCAGGCACTCCACGCCAATGGTCTCCTACAAGCCTTATTCCGATAATGTTGATAAACAGTTGACTCGGACTTGTTAGCCGCTGACCAAGTGACATAACATAAAAGGGCATTGATGTGGGCCCAAAGGTCTTACCGGAAGACGTTATTAACGTCAATCACTCCATCAACTGCCGGATCATGTGACGATCCTTTCGCCATGTCCTGCTGTAATCGAGCGAGGAACTCACGGGCCTCCTGCCAGATAACGGTATAAAACATCCGCGCACTATGGAGATTGAACGCCGAGCCGATGGCGAGGCGTAGCGTTCGATGGTCGGACCCCTCCAATGTGACCAAACCATGTCCGACCATGCCTGAGACTACGGCTCGAACTTCCTTTGGTTTCTCGAAATCAGACGAATTATTCACCAACACATCTCGCAAAGCTCCCTCGTCTGCCAGTACCAGATAGTTGTAAATGCCAAACTCTCGGAATCGGATCAGGGGCGCAGTCGGGTATCTATTCATCCATTCCAGAGGCGTTCGGCCGCGGTCGTACTCGCAGATGATGCGCATGAAGTTGAAGTATCCCTTGTAAAATTGGAACTGGATTAGATGCGACAGAGCTCAACATATCTTGGGCGAGCTACCTTCACAGTTGGCAATTCGCGAAGCGGATCGAGGAAGTTTGGATATATCCACATACTCCAGATGGCACTAAGGATGATGCTGGTCGAAATACAACCGGGCAGAACCAACTTCAGGGGCCATATCGGATATAATTTCCAGAGCAAGTACACCCCGAAAATGGAAATGTAAAGATGGGGTTGCTGTAAAGTATGCGCAGTGTCCTTGTGGTACAGCATGTCTTGTCTTGAAGGTTGATTGCCGTCTCTTAGTTCAATATAATCAGGGGACGTTGTTAACTTAGATATATGGTAGATGTTCCTCACCCCCGCTAAAGGTATTGATCTAGACTTGGGTGCAACCATGCCCAACACGGTGCCTTTGAAGATCTCTCAGCTAAGCCATGGAACAGCTGGCGTACAAGAAGCCGAAGACATAAAATTGGACGCTTGCGTCGATCATGAACTGTGAATGTTGAACCTTAATTCCTGCAGATGGCCGAAATTCGTTACATCGAATTCTGAAGGCATGCCGGCACGAATAAGATGAGGTTTCATCCTCCCATTTACGGTCTACGGGGTACCATGGATACAACTGGTTAGAGTTCATCCCGATGATTTCATTGATTTGTGCTTCTCTACGGAGTAGGCGATCTACCGTGCCCTAAGCGACATTCTTACTGTGGGGCCAACATAAGGCATATACGTCAAAGTACGTAATGCGTTTAGATTTCATTGATTGATTGTGTTTTTCATGTTTGCTGTATTCTCGAAGATAGTGTCTAACTATTTCTATTTACTGGCTCTCCTTTGGCAGGGCAGAAAACCTGTTAGCTAGGTAAGAACCATCAGTACCAAATGCTAGTAGAAGGGCCCCGGGGACCGGGTCTACGGTGTAGATGTAAAACGTGTGATCCAGGCAGATGAGACCCCAGGGCCTGATTATTGTGACCTTTCGGCCTAGTTGGGAATGGACTTGCCACTTGTCTGGACACGCTTGCTTACAGTAAGGTTAGTTTTGAAGAAATTGCCTATTCTGTTTTATAACTATCTCCTGCGTTCAACATTGCGTTCAGTCCTTCGCATCGTTTTTTTTGGCGCGCCGCAAACCCCGTCTTTTAGTAGTCTACTTGAATTAACTACCTAGATGCTGAAGCCCCCGGGTAGTCGATTAAGTTAACTCGGTGTATAACCAATCATTTCTACTTATCGAGCTATATTTGGTTAGATGGAAAGAGCAGACCAATACACGTAGGTAGTACTGCGTACAGTTGTAAGGTACACGAAGGGTACACACTAGCTTTGCCGTCGATGCACATTGCACACTGCCTATAGGCTACTTTAACGTGCCTTATAGTGTAATGGGGTTGTACTCACTACTTATCGCATGATCCTGTATCGTACATATATTAGGTGGCCGTCTGCCATGGCCTAGACGAATCAGACAAGATCTCCATTCTTTCATGCACCATGCCAGCCGGTACGGAGTAGTGTAGGAATGTTATGTGCGATTACGTGAGCAATGAACATCGGGATAAGATAGAACAGCGGTGTGACCGACACACTGCCTTTACAATAGTGCCAGATACTAGTAGTCGCCAACCTGGATCGGTCTTGTAGTCGCCTCCGAAACCGCAATTTGCAACTCAACATTTCAAGCGCAGATATATCAAGCGCTTGCGATGATCATCTACCTGCCATTTTTTCAGAATCCCGCTCCTAAGATGTCGACTAATGTAGTGGCATGGGGAGGTCCACTATACGGATTTCTAAAGAGACCACGTTAGGGTACAGGGCATTGTGCATTGCGTTGGAGGGGGTCCATCTCACCTGCAACACTTGGAAAAGGGGGAAAAAAATCAGAGACTTTCTTCAATTTCTGACAGGGTATTGAAGCCTTTGAGACATATCTTGACATCACTTGATATTGGACATGCGATAGGCCCGATAAGATGGTTTATCCGGCCCGGTGTGCTGTACGAAAGACAGGTCAAATCGATTGTACACAATCCCCCTCTAGTCTGCCAGAAGATCCCTGCCAGACTGACCCGTAGATCTTTAGAGCTATAGTAAATTAGTGCTACGGCTACCCTGGAAGATCAGCATCTGCCATATTGCTTTCTCCAATTGGACCTAGGGAGGCCTACACCAGGTAGAAGGATGAGCACAAAGTGCTGCTGAGGTCCAATCCAGCTATCTCCCTTTTGCGAGTACTCCGCCGATGGGACTGACTGGCACGTGGCACACTTAGAAACCCACACCCAACATGAGCTAGCATTTCCAATCGTGGAGTCTACGGTAATCTTCTTGGAGGGTGGTACGGAGTATTACGCCCCAGGACCACGGCCTTGGAAATGACCTTGTATGCGAAGAAATCTACCCTTCATCGGCCGATGGGATAGATTTTACAAGTTAGAATAATAAATATCGACACCCGGCGAGCTAGAAAAACTTCCCATTGCCGGTCCCCGTCTGGGTTGGTAAGACCCAGGTAGCTCCTGAACTAGCGTACTGCACGTCAGAAAGAGAGGCTCACAGCTCGATCCTTTGAATCCCTTGTACCCCAGCTACGAGACAGTTGAACAAGCCTGCATAGCTATTACACGAATAGTAGGGATCCAGAGTGTCAAGCCAACAGACGTGATAGAGCGTCCTTGGGTTTACTTTCGTCAAAGGGACGGGGATTGGCTTCTGATCTTCCACAACGCAGATGGCATAGACATGTGGATGAAAGACAGTAATTTGGACGGATTTAAAGTCGGATTGGTGTCTTGGTATAGCATCTGCCGAAGCAAGAGCAACACGTGGGGGCTGAGTGTTTTCCACAAGGATAGGGCAAACTTATACCTAGAAACCAGCCTCAAAGCTCTTGGCAGAAGTAGGTCATTGTCCTGAACGTCTTTGGAGGCGCGCTTCCGCGGCTCGTTGCTGTGAAGGGCTAGGGTCTGGAATGGCTGTGGCGTATATGCCCAGGTGTAGGTCAAGCATTCACACGCTGGAGGTAGTCATTAGCTTACCCAAAGGTGCAGGTTTGGTTCACAGAAGAAGCCTTTTACGCGTAGGCATATATCGCCTTTCTCGTATATATGTAATATCCCTGCCATGGAAGTGGGACATTTGCGCCCTATCGGCGGTCCTACGTTCTGGAAGGTTGGAAACAAATACCTCTGCAAATCATAAGGCATCTAGTAGAGCGCTGGTTCAATGTCGCTGGTGCAATCTTCTAAATACCATCCTAACACTTAGGCTCTGCTTTATCTAGTATTTGTTACTCGTCTTTACGAGATTAGCTGTAAATAATTCTTTAAATCACAGAAGAACGGTGGCGGAAAGTGTCCAATATACTTATGCGCCCTTTTCTGATAGCGAGACGGTGCATATCTAATTCCCTAAGCGCTGGAGATATACTCACCACTGCTGTTGGATTCCGTGGCTTCAACGTGACCAGAAAAGGTATGCTGATCAAGTCCATAACCTCCTTTTCTTATACCCTAGCCTGCACATCTTCCGGTACTTGAGACTATCTACTTTGAACCACTGGGTTGCCAAACAAGTCAAGACGGAGTAGATTAAATCTACATCGATGTAAAGAGACGTATTACCTGCTGTAGCCGTTTGTGGCGACGGTGCTCGGACTTGCTGGACGTAACTCTGATGGATCGTGACCTCACCATTAGAAGAGATAGTATCCAAAGAGAGAAACCCAACCTGGGCGACATGTGCTGATCGGTGACTATTCAGCTCTGAGAGTTACATCCTACCATAGTCATTTAAGAGCCCGTTGGCGATCCTTAAGACCACGTGCCGAAGAACGATATGTCTGGCGTTGGCAGACCAAGCTTCACAGCGAGCAGAGAGGTCATGGGATATGAGGACAGCATTAGATTGGATTATGGAGGAGGCAAATTCGCTCAAGCTCGGCGCTTATTATAAGTCGAAGTCAATCGAGGCGCGAGTGGCAACCCAATCGTGAGAATTGCCACGAGTCTATGACCCGAACATGACGCTACCCGCGGTTTTTTCAGCATATGGAAGTATCAAGAAAGCCCTCGGAGAGTTCAGAAGCTCCCTTATATAGCTTTTCTGCACCGACTGGAAGGGAGAGGTTTTTCTTAGCTTGACAATCAAAGTGCTCTGTTCCCTTGAGTTCATTTTCCTTTGTTTTAGTACCTACAATGACTTGCGATCGGACTCTGGACTTGAGCATCAATTGTCTTTTACGATAGCAGGCGTTTCTTTCTTTGTTCTGTCCATCAATTCATGTACACATCCTACTCACACGAAGCCACCTCATCATGTCGCGAGCTATAGCCGACTGGCGATGACCGGCTCTTCGTCCGATACTTCGTCTCGCAAATCGGCCGCCGGCAGCTGCGGCCCTGGTAACTTCAGCTCGGTCGCGATGGTCCTGGCAGCCCAGAGACCCGTGACGAATGCCAGCGCGAGACCGCCAGCATATCCCAGGTTGCTAAATCCCCCGCTGTCGACACCTGCGATCAGTAAACCCGGAATGGGAGTCTTATCGGGGGTCAGGGCACGGCCCTTGGTGTCGATCAGAACGCCGCCGTAGGTGAACGTAATTCTGTCCGAGTCAATACTCTAGCCAAGCATGGATCATATCGGGGGCATGTACGATGGTTGGACTTCCATGACGAAGAATGGTCCTTCACCTTCCACCAAGGGAACAGGAGGCTTTCCAGCTTTTCCGACCGGCGCGTCGAGCGTAGATGTCTTATCGCCCAGCCGTATGATGCGATCGTACTGTTCGATTGTTCGGAGGGCTTGCGGGCCATCTACCCCCCACTGATTGAGGATCTCTGCTAACCCTTCTAGGGAGGGAGTGCTAGCGACGTTGCATCCGTGTTCGCGGGCTTTTTCGAGCCGGTCGATTTCTCCCGCGTTGGGAAACGGTGCCGAAACGCAGTGCTGTCTTCTTGTTCGGTCGCTGAGGGTGTGAAAGGTCAGTTATTGGGCTGTAGTACAGCTGACAGAGGGAAGAGGTATACTTGAACAGAAGGAATCCACGACGCTTCTCCTGCTTCGCGAGGTATTGATTCACAACTTCGTCCCCGGTTGTCTCGTCGGCAAACCTCCGTCCGCTCTCGTTGATGAGCAGGCAATATTTGCTTTCTGAAAGCACGTGTTAATCATCGGACAACAAACCACGATTGGATTCGTACGCACGATATTGTGCCAGCGGCAAAAAGTCCTTGGGATCGACCTCTTCTGCCCGCAGAGGCGCCGCCAGCAAGTGGCCATAATACGTATTCATCCCCCGACTTGTGCCTGCTCCCACCGCGGTGGCCAGCGTCAATCCATCTCCTACCGATCCTCTATTCGAGCGCACAAAGATGTTGTCCCCTCCCTGGCCGAGGTGCATCGATGTCAGTTCTGTATTCCCCTGGAACCCTCCCGTGGCGAGGACTATGTGCTGAGCCTTGACTTCGTAATAGACAGCGCCCGCGCCATCTACTGGATCACGGCGAATGATCGCACCGACGACACGTGAACCCGGCACACCGGGCTGTTCTTGAAAGAGTTTGACGACGGCGGTATTGGTGAAGATCTCGGATCCTGTGTTGTTATTCTGTATGCGTTGTTGGTGATGTTGGTGGAGTTGAGGGATCTTGATGGGAAAGCCTATGCCTGTGTCGTTGTCAGCTTTAAATGTACTTATAGTCCTTTTTGTATGTATATAATCAATACCGATTGTCATGATTCCATCGAACCGTTTTGCTGTCGGTATCCCGTTCTCTCGCATCCATTGCACCGCCGGCAAGTAGTCCTTCATCCACGCCGCTTGCAGCTCCGGATCCCCAGCTGGTACCCACGATCGCAAACTCTTATAATTCTTCGGGGCCCAGCTAGATGTCATGAGTAGCGTATTTCACACTTAGGAGAAGGGTCTGGAAACGTACAACATCCCCGCAGAGTAATTTGACGATCCACCAACAACGGCTTGCTTCTCAACCACCAGGACTTTGGCCCCGGACTCGGCGGCGAAGGCAGCGCAGGCCATGCCGGACATGCCACCACCGCACACAAGGACGTCGACTGAGATGGTTTGCATATCTAGTGAAAGTGTCAATTCTAGCTTCTTTGAAATTCAGAAAGAAATTAGAGCACAAATTGCTTTGTGCATGTCAAGAACCCTGTACTGACCTAAGGGCCGTATATAAACATCACTCCGGCGTCTAAATAAATAGACCGGAGGACCCACACCCGGTGAATTCTTTGTGCATTGGAACCAATCGAAGGGCCATCACTTCACAACAACTCAAGATTATCATCACCATGCGATCACTTCCCCAGCAGGATACCTACAGATTCAAGTTGTGATAGTATGCAGGAGGACGTGATCGAGTCATTCCACACAGTTCCATGTCCATGCCAAGAGGTTAAGTGGATCAGATGGAGAGATTGAACGAGTTATGAGTCTCCATTGAAAATATCCCCGCAAATTCCAATCGCCGACTATCTCAAGTACCAGCGAGGGCTACGCCCATTAACTATAGCAATTGGTGGATCCCTTTCAGTATCCTTATATCATTCGTGACTTATAGTCAATTCGATGTGATCATGGCTAGTCGACCAGTGACGAGACAACAGACTCACCGGCCTCCCTCCACGGTAGCCTGCGAAGCATGTCGCAAGCTGAAGATGAGATGTGTCCGTCCGAGTCAATCAGAAGGATCTATCATGCCATGCGATCGGTGCAGACGGAATGGCCGCACATGTAGTATTCCTCCTTCCCGACCCTTGGGACGCCGACCAGGAGCGGTTGGTCGATATCAGGGACTTGAGAAGGCCTATCATCAGATGAAAACACATCTAAAAAGGGAGCATACCTCGAGAAACAGCGTGGGGGAGGTTGGTAATGTACAGAACGCAGAGAAGCAAGTGTTCGATCTGCTGCGCTCGAAAATGCAAAGCAACGAGGATCAGTCGTACCGACCTATCGATGCGAAAGTTGCCACGACTCAGGATAAGCCTAGAAGTCCGGTTGTGACTGAGTCAAACGCCATGCAACAAGCTGGAATGGCCTCGCATGTCATTAACGATCCTGTTAGCAATCCGCTGGCACTGCTTGTCGCTGCCTCCGGGGCCATGCATTCCGAATCGATACCGAACACTCCGGTGTCCAACGCTGAGTCGGCACATGAAGGACAGTCTCCGTCTTCGACGAGTATCGCGAATCGCATGCTTAACCGGCCAGGGCATCTGTCACTAGGCCTACAATTGAGTGAAGAATCGCTACAGAGTGGACTCGACGCCCTGTTTACGACTCCGACAAGCAATCACAAGTGCACTGACTATTTTCGCTCTTCCGATGATGGCCCACCACGAGATATTGGCCCAGACCTGGACCCTGTTGAGTTAGGGTTGATTTCAATGGAGGAGGCTTACCACTTATTTTCGATGTATGAGCCTCGTACTGTGTAGGATCACCTCTCCTGTGCTAATCTGCGATAGTTACTTCATGCGCTTACATCGAGTCAATGGCATCCTTGACCCTAAATTGCACACCGTGGACTATGTCCGGTCCAAGTCGGCCCTGCTGTTTACATGGATGCTCGCCCTCACGGCACAATTTGATCATGGGTCCGCGGCGATTGCAAAGCGACTCCGTCTGCATGGCGAGAAATTGTCGCGACATGTTCATACGTCCGGGTTCAAATCAGTGGAAATAGTGCAGGGGTATTATATTTCACTTTTGTCGGCCACCCCAGCTCGAATGCTGTCGGAAGAGCGATCATGGCTATATACCATGTATGCATTTGGCGTGGCGGCCGAGCTGGGGCTAGATCAGACGTCCCCGTCATATGCATCTAACGATGTCAACCTTACCCCGAACTGCACACCACGCTCACCCACTAATTGCGATCGGGAAGACCGAATACATATCCAGCGACTAGTTCGCAATCGGGAGAGAACGTGGCTACGTATCCTCCTCTGGGAACGAGCGAATAGCGGCGCCTCCGGACGAATGAATGCCATCCCCGAAAACGACCTGACCTGTAACATCGAGCGCTGGTGGATGCATCCACTAGCAGACTCGACGGACAAACACACCGTTGCCTTCATCATTCTCCGTCGTCACCTGGCATTCTTACACGCGGAACTACAGCGACAGACAGGGATGTCACATGCCAATCCGCATTGGGTGCGCGACCTCATAGATGCCACGTTAGAACCGTGGCGGAAGACATGGATATACACTATCGCCCCATCTGCAGAACCGCTGCCAGATGTGCATCTCCATCACGTATATCTCCATAACCGATTATGGACCTTATCATTCGCCCTGCAAGCTTCTATCAGCAGCAACCACGATCTCAACATCATGCGGGAGGACTGTTTCCAGGCCGCAGTGCATTGCTGTGAAGTCGCTGTGCACGACCTTCAACAGATCGGGGAGCAACTATACTGCATGCTTGCTCCGACCTGGGCGATGATATCTTACACCGCTATTCTTGCCCTGAAGCTCTTCCAGTATGTATACCAGGGGCGGCCGGGTGGCGAGATAGAGCTCCTCGCGTTACTGGCACAGGTTGCACTCCAGCTTGAACGCGCTGGAACAACACCATCACACCGGTTCGGGATTGCTGCTATATTAGGGCAGCAGTTATTGATGATCCTACGGACGCGAGCGGCCGGGCTGGCTTCTACAACTTCCGTAACGGAAAACGACCACGATGGTAACAGTAATAGCACCCAAATTCCCTCAAATCGTCTCTCGGGAGAACGCTCGTTAAACACCAGTAGCACGGCGGATATGCCGCCGGATATACATCTCCAGGATCCATTATTATCTCCGTATGACCCCTACTTAACGACCTCTACACTGGGGATGGACAACGACGTTATGGGCGACGGGTTTGCGGATTTATTTCGAGAGATATTTGGCCCTAGCTTTGGGGAAGTCTTTTAGCCTTGCAATTAGGTTTTTCTAAGCGATATGTGGGTATACCTTGTCGCCAATCCTTAGATATACTGGGAAATATCTGTTATATGGGGCCGCGGGGTGTCGACTATTTTTATTTGCGTGGTTGGTGCTCTTTCTCAGCTCCACCGCCTCCCCACGAAAGGTGACGCAGATCAAGAGGGATACATGGACCATGCAGGTCGTGGAAACCCTGAGATTGACCCTCGATGCTCCTGGACGATATGGAGCCAAAGAGTTTGGTTCCAGGTTCATGCTGGAGAATCAAGGGCCCCTTAAACATGCAATGACGAAATGAGGATCAAAATGCATGGATTTGGATCCTTCGCTTCAAATATCGGGCCCATCAGGGCGTTCCGATGGGTGTATCGTTACATCACCCCGCTGTTTGTGTCGTCTCCCTCCACATCCCTGGCTGCCGGGTGCTTCGACAATATATATTTCTCTGAACTCTGGCTAGCATCTTAAGCCTTTCTCTTGTCTTCCGTCATCTAGCTATCCTCTGTCCTTTTGCAATTCTCAGCCAGCCCAGCCAGCATCTGCAATACACCCACTGCTCTTGTGCCAAATCCAATATGTACCCACAATTCGCCAAAGTCCTCGTATACGCCTCGATCTTTCTCTTTGTCTGTATGGAGCTGGAGCAGTACATGTCTATCTACGATCGATACCCAATGGGGTGTCACATTGCGAATGCGCTGGTATGCGTTGTCCTTTGCGTACGATACGGTATTCATAGGTGATCAGCTCTACTCGAGAAGGGTCCACCAGCACAGATGCACAGTATAGCGAATTACCATTCCCCAATTGCACTGCAATGCATCGATCTTGTCAATATTCAGGGAAAGACTTATCATACGAAGGATTCCATGAATGCGAGTCCTATTTTCCTCAAACTGTTTTATTCAGTGATTTAGACCCAAATACAATCAACTAGCCTACTACAACATCCAGGTTCCTCGATTGGCCCCATGGAAGTTCTGCTGGACGCCAGATTTCTCCGTTGGCGTTGTAAACAGTCTATTTCGTTGGTGTCATCGGGACTTGGTACTGACGACGTCTCTGCGACGCATGGCTTTGCTTTTGACGCAATGATGTGAAGTTGAAAGGGATGCCAGGGACATACAAATCCGGCACGGGAATACAACTACTTTAAATGGCGTGACGTGGATGAAGGTACAATGGAACAATAGCATTTTGCGTATTAACCTCGTCATGTCACCCTTTCAGGAGGTATGCAGTTCCGTTACTTAAATTATATGAACATAGCGGCCAATACCAGATCTTCAGGAATTTACCCCAGCTCCGCTGTTTGACAAACATGGGCCACCGATACGTTATCATGCTGGACTGATGAACTAAGTGCCGAACAAGCTCAGTGGCGAATATAACAGTATCTCCTAGGACTTTCCCGTTCGATCAAACGTTACTATGATTTAAGGATATGCGAGCAAGGGGATCCCGAAGACATCTGTCCGTCGAGGCTGCGGGAGAGTATACTCTCACAATAGTAGTTGGAAAGATAGCTATGTCACAGCATGTCGCTGTAACTGCCCAAAACCTCTCTCGCGATTATTTTGAGTTTCAGATTGTTGTACTGGTCTCCAACCCAGTGAAACTCCCTAGTAATTCGCATTAAAAAAATACTGTCCGACGCGTTCCTGGTACTATCCCCATGATATCTATATATAAAGTGGATCAATCCCAATACTTTCCACCTCAAAATTGGAACCAACTAAATAGCCGCACAGGCGTAGCCTGATACTGAAAATCAACTTCATGGAACATAATGACATCCCGCAGGCCCCTTCAAAGAATGGTCATTGAGACTGAGCTTAAGCCATCGATGATGAGTATGCGTTTCCACAACCAAAAGCAGCATTTCCACTGAGTTCCATACGTCGTACAGGTAGTCGAGACCTCACCGAAGAACGTGGAGCTCGTTTGCCCTAAGAAGGTGGTGTGACGAACCAAATCTGTGGAGATGATAGCGAAACACCCAACGGCAGCCGAAGTTTTGACGGCGCACGGCCCACATCTAGGAAACGCTCACTAACTCCGCAGAACATACATGCCGATGAGGTCGAAGACCCGAGTGCATCGAGGTGCTGATTGGAGTCTGGTTGGAGTCTGGTTTCAGAGAAGCCGGTCTCCACAATTGAGTTCACGATCTGCTATCGCCGTTCTAGAGGCGGATCTCAATACAGGGGAATTTCGGACGAAGAACATGCTGGTTGCGTTAGGAAGTACGTGTGTTTTTTTGTGTATGCTAGCATATGGCAGACGAATGTTTAACTGCTCATACTGCAACTGAACGGCTCCAGCAAATGTAGCCGGTGATAGAGGGTTTGGCATAGTGCTACGTCAAGCATTCCCAGCGCACACAAGTGACCAACGGGCGGATATCGTCCCCGTTATTCTCCACCAGGTAAAATTCTGCCATAGTTGGCCTAGACACCCACGACGAGTCAGGGCCTGAGATACTTACTCGTGTATGCAAGCTATTTCTTACAGTCGTGCCGCTGGCCACGGTGAGTAGTTCCCTCCGTATGACGCAAAACCATTACCTTCCACGCCCAGCACCCGGCTGCCCCAGGAGTAAACCAAACATCGATGTTTAAAAATGGTTAAGGTATGACATGTCAAAATAGTCACCTGCACTCTACTTTCCTACTACGTACTCCGTAACCCTACATTGCTTCCAGGTTTGACCGCTAGCTACATGTAGGTCGTCCGCCGGGCAGCATTTCGGGTGATTTCCGCCAGTGACCAGGCTTAATGTGTCTTACTTGGTTTAGACTCCCACTGGTGCGACGTTAGCATGAAAGACGTAGATTAAACGGGGGTTTTAAATAGTTTCACCGAGTCAAGTTCCGTCCAATCCTTAAGGATTGTGGAGCCGGGTCCACCGGTTTGACTACAAGACTTGGCGCGCAAGTCTAAAGGACTGAAGGATCCACTGCTGGACTGTATTCCGAGTACACGTCTCTGAGAAGTCGATTAAGTCAGGGTGGTAAGGTTGGACTGGGGCAGATCATAATAATAATGATACTATTTATGATCGGATCGGGTCAAGAATACCAAGACACAGGAGGGGAGCGGGAAAAAGACGCAGAATAAAATTCAGCTAGTTTCATCCCATCCTTAGACGGTCTGCTGGACGCTAACATCGGTAGTGACCTGAATCCCGGCATGCATGATACGTTCCTGAGACCCATTGTGGCTGGTTTCCACATCAGCACTGCTGTGTCCTGTCACTGGCTTTAGCTTGATACTATTGCGTCCCCGAGTCGATAGCCCGTTGTATGTCCGACGGGTCGAACTGCCGTACAGCTTCGACGGGCCGACGGAGTCGTCCTTGCTGGCGAGACCAAGTAGACGCTGTAACGTCGGGAAGCGGTAGCCGATAAAGGTCTTGAAGGAGGGAATGCACGCAATAAAAATGGCGACCGCCACTTCCACGCAGGACCAGTTCATTGCGTCGACCAACACCCCTGTAGGTGTGGAGATGTCAGTAAGAAGTTAAAAGCAAGACGGGGAGACAGCAGGTTGTTGCAACATACATGTGTGGTCCTCGGAGAATGGATTAAAATAGGTGACTCGGATGATACTAGTTACGCACACCCTAGCATGCATATTAGTGATCTCTCCCAGTCCTGATTGCATAGAGAAGGGGCAACATACAGAAGTCCCAGACTGAACATCACTACCAACCCTACTCGCTTGCCCACTGCCATCTTCAGACGCAGTAGTTTAGGAATCGGCATTGCAAAGAGGGCTACGTCCGTGGCTAGCTTGATCCCAAAATTGGCGTAGTAAAAGACCGTCATGTCCACGCACTTTCCTTCCACGAGGCCTGTGGCATCCCACGCCTTGTAGACGGGCCAGCATTGGAAGATCACCACAAGCACCTCTTCAATTGTTTCGGCCACTAGGATGGCTAACACACACCAGCATGCCATACGAAATTTCTTCCCTGGGAAAATGTGGAGGTAGAGCAGGCAGAAGGAGATCTTGATGGCGCCGAGGGCGAGGACGTAGGCGAGCATGGTGACGAAGTCCAGCTGCGAAAGGAACCGTCGAAATCAGCGGATGGTCGTGCATTGTCAGACGTTGCCCATACCTTGAGGAACATCGCCCGGTCGCTGAAGCTTTCCACCGTTCCAATGTGCTTGCCGAATCCATATTGGGTCACTAAAGGAGCCGAGCTGTTAGCACGCCGTATGTGACTGTCACTCCGCCGCAAGGTCACTTACTTAACATACAAGCAATGCACAGAACAAACGTAAAGACCTTGATTAAGCGGCTGTACATCAGTAATTGCGAGAAGACAGGTGAGGTACAAGGCGGCGGAGAAGTTGGCCTACCCAACTGGTCACACATAGCATATCATCGAGATTGACCCCCGTGAGATATCGGATACGGACGAAAAGACGCACGAGGAGCCCCGCGGTCGCAATAACGAGGAGCACTGTATTGCAGAAGATGATCTCGGGAATCCGGGACTGTGCCAGGTAGGCTATTCGCTCCGGCGAAAGTGATCTTTCCCAGACCCCTTCCATGGGAAAGACCGGCTGGCCGTCTGCAAAGAAAGAAAGCGGCCGAAAGGGTATTTCAACAAAGACAAATATATTCACACCTGGAGGAGCTTAAGGATGTACAAGAAACAGGGACGGAGATTCCAGCTACAGGCCCCCCCAATGGCCTGCAGCGTCTATGCTTGTTTCATCCGTCAACAATAGGGTGGGGACGATGAGGAATCGATTCGTCAACGCGTGGAATCCTCCACCGGTAAATAGTGTCGCAGAGCTGCAGCTCCGTATCGAGATTACGGGGTAAATTAGTAGTAAGCTCATGCAGATCCAGACCACAATTCAGCGGACGATTTCTACGCCCCACTCGCCGATCCACCTGGGTGCATATCGCGCAGCCACCGGGTGGAGAGCGTCCAAGATAGATGGCAGCATGCAACCATCTCGCTTTAGTAGGAGGTGCTGACTGTTGGGCGATATAGCGCTGTTGGTGTATGTATTTTGTCTTCTTTTGTGCGTGGTTAGGAAGCGATCACTGCAGCGTCCTCTCGATCTCCTTGTATAGACAACACTGCGCTGACGGCTAGATCAGTTAAGTCCACCCCTCTCATTTTTCTTCATACGCAATGCCAGCTAAGGCGTATTCGCCGCCATATACTCGGACAGGTGAGGCATGTTATATATATAGGCAATGCATAGGACAACCTTAACCCTGAGACACGAACCCCTTATGCAAGCGTCTCTCCAGTCCACAACAATGAATAGGGGCGTGCAGCCGAACATGTGTATTCCTGGAAACGTACGTCAGTTCTCGGTCGAATGGTCAGATGAAAAGCGACACCAGAACTGGGGACTCACCTTGTGAACCTCAGATTCTCCCGACTGCAAGTGATCCTCAGTCTCAGTGTAGTACGCTGTGAAGAAGCTCATCCCCCAAGCTGCCATGCACGAGTCCAAAGCGCTACTGAGAACACAGTTCTAAGATTTGCCCAAGTTCTTACACAAGAAACGAAGCCAGAAACGTTGCAAAGGTAGGAACAAACAAGGAATATGTAATTTCAAGGCCTAAAAATCCATCTCAGCATGAGGGGCTGTGAATGGCAAACAACACCCTTCAATGCTTTCCTCAGTGTTCAAATATCTTCTATAACCTGAAATAGATGATCTGACAAAAAGCAAATTCACGCAAGCACCGCCGCATGTGATGGTCTTTACAAAACATAAAAGTAATTGATCAAACATCTCTAATTCTTTCGTTGCAGAACCGAATGCACGATGCACTGGTTTACGGTACACTCAACCTTCAAGGGGTATCTGGAAGCTGAGCCGAGTTATCTAATTTCAATGCTAAATCCGATAGGACTGGGTGCTGATATATGTCAGTTCCGTTTATGTTATGCCACCCGAGGCGTTTGATGCGTGATATCAGCCTGATCGCTGTCAGTGAGTCTCCACCAAGATGGAAAAAGTTGCTCTCCATGCTGACAGCGTCTTTGCTAAGTTGAAGCACATCCTCAACAAGTTCCTGTAGGATACGCTCGGCTTCAGTCACAGGCAGCCGTGAGACTACCTTCTCAGCAACGTCGTCCATCGATGTCAGAGGAAGGCTCGCAGCTGCCTCACGAAGTTGTCGTCTGTCCGCCTTGCCAGTTGAGGCTTTGGGTACATGGTCTAGAGGCAGGAACCTTGTGGGAATCATATAGGAGGGAAGCTCGCTCTTTAGAGACTGTCGAATATGTTGGACAAGTGACTGGAACCGCGGTGTTAAACTGCGCAGGATACCACCACAATCGGGCACATCTGCCGTATCCTCTTCGGTCGTCAAAAGAAATGCAACTAGAGCAGGAGGTCTGTCAACAGCCGCCACCAGTTCAACAATCACAGTCCTTAGGATCTTCGCCGCGCATCGAAGAATGTAGTGCTCCACCTCGCCCAGCTCAATGCGCTGCCCGCGAAGCTTAACTTGTGTATCCTTCCGCCCGAGATACAAGAGCGAGCCGTCAAGTTGGGGAGCGTACTGTACGAGGTCACCGGTCTTGTATATGCTATGTGGCTGCCCGCCTCGGATCTTATGTAGCCACGGGGGAGCCGGTATGAATGCTGCGGCAGTTTTCTCAGGGTCATTTAGGTATCCGCGCCCCACAATGGGTCCTTCGACGAGAAGCTCACCCACAGCTCCGATCGGGAGGAGAGTGTCATGATCCTCGGGGTCCACTATCCAGCATGATGCAGAAGCGGAAATGCCTATATTGCGGTGGTCCGTGGAGAGAGTTACTGGTTGCTGAAAGCAGGTCACGATGGAACATTCTGATGGGCCGTATGCATTCACTAGATCCACATGATTAGCCCAGGTGGCTATGTCGCCTTCATTCATGGGCTCGCCAACGAGGGCTAGAGCTTCGAGATGCGAGAGTTGATCAGGTTCTAGACCTCGCGCGATAGATGGTGTAAGGTACAAAAAGTTGATCGCAAAAGACCGGACATACTCGACTAAATTGGTGTATCGATCCGCCTCTCGCGGTACACATATACACCCCCCTGCGACCAATGTAAAGAGTATTTCCGCGATACTGGCATCAAACGTGGCTGAAGCAAGTTGAAGAACACGGGCCTTGTCAGTGCATTTGCCCCCAGTGCCCGCTAATACATTAGCTATGAAAGACCTATGTTCAATAATGACTCCTTTTGGTGTGCCCGTTGAGCCTGAGGTGAACACAACATAGGCAGCATTGTATGGGCTCACTGAGGCGACTGGGGCTCTGGCTTGTTGTTGACCAGACAGTGTGGTCACATCCGTAATACTTCCTGATTCTCCCACCGAAAGGATGTGCATTGGTGAAAAGTCTGGCGAGTGGCTGTTCAAGAGAGACGACGACACGATGATAGTAGGAGCTTCCACTTTTCGACATAATCCTTCAATCCTACTGCTAGGGTGGGACGGATCAAGCAACAGAAAAGCACCACCCGCTTTGAGAACCGCCAACATAGCCACGGCAGTCCACTTGGATCGCTCTGTATATATCGGAACCACTACTTCTGGACCAACGGCGTGTTCTATCAACAGGTCTGCCAGCCTAGAAGACAGGGTGATCAGCTGCTCATATGTCAGATTGCCATCCCAGGAAGAGATAGCAGGCTCAGTGGGTCGAGCAGTAGCATGCCTCTCAATAAGCCCGTGGATACAGTCTTCAACAGGCGACAACCGTATTGGATTCCAGTTCTTCAAACACTCCATATCGTCAGGGCTGATTGTAGATATCTCTTCGAGTGTAGCATGAGGCGCCAAAAGAATTTGCGACAAAGCGTGTGAGAAGTGGCTGAGAATTTTGGACATTTGACGACTATGTACTGCTCCAGGAGCGAAAGTGGCTTTGAAGGTCACAGAGGCTGTGCCTAAGAAACACTCCATAACAAGCGGATACCCGTTCCTCTCCACATCAAAGCTGCCTTCAGAAAGCGTCCCAAGCACATCAGGCACTTTTGTTTCCCTTAAGGTTGATGGCTGAATAACAAGAAGATTTTGAAAATTACACGCCGCGCTATACTCAGCACTGAGACCCCTCAGTTTAGGCATGCCAAAATGCTCATGAGCTGTCCAACCAGCAAACAGGCGTTGGATATTGGAGAGGACGTCCCTCACACACTTCTGTGGGCAGAGTTTGACTTTGAAGGGCATTGTCGTAATAGTCGGTCCCGTACAAAGGTCAATGTTGTCAACCGGCGCGCTTCGACCAGAGGATGTCAAGCCCATTACTACATCATGTGAGCCGGTATAGGAAGAGACAGTCAAAGCCCAAGCGAGTCGGATGCATGTTGCAAGGGTGATCCCTTGGCATGGTTCTGCCTGCAAACCGAGAGTTTGCTCCGCAATAACTTGGGGCGATTTACTTGCACGCGATGAGGGAAGCACCGGAGGGAAAGGAACGCTTGGTGTATCTCGCAGATGTTCCGCCCAAAAGTCGCGCTGAGACTGAAGATCGGATCCAATCACATACTCGATGAACGGTGTAAATGGGCGACACTGTAGTAGTCCACCAGAATAAGCTGTTGCCACTTGTTCTAGTAGCAGCGGCAGTGACCATCCATCATAGATTGCGTGATGCATTCGCAGGCTTAAAGAGTAAGAAGTAGTGCCTTCCGTAAGTGCCAACCGAATTAGACGTTTTCCCAGACCAAAAAGATGCCCGCTCATATCACTTCCCTGAAATCCATCATGCTCCCATAAATCCGACGGTTTGACAACTACCTGCAACGTCTTACCACCAGTTGTGTGGACGATTCTTGTTCGGAGTATAGGGTTCGTCTCAGCCGTCCTATTCCATGCGGCTTTTAGACGCGAGATATCTACATGAAGAGGAATTGAAAAGGCCGTTTGACAAGAGTAGAGACCTCCTTGCGTTGCTGTCATCGCCATCATTCCTTCCTGAAGAGGAGTACATGGATAAACATCTTCAATATCATCGCATGTAATACCACATTGTCTTGAGGCTTCTTCAAAAAGCGACTCGAGGTTAGTCCCAGTAGGCAGTAGGCCGAAGGTCTGCACCTTCGAAGCACCACAAAACTGGGGCATAGCATTTTGCTCAGTCAATTTTGCAAGATCACTGAGAACGGGGTGCGCAAGGACGTCAGATACTTGCAATTGAAGACCTTCCTGCCTTGCTCGGCCGATGAGTTGTATAGCAGAGATAGAGTCCCCTCCCAGATGAAAGAAATCGTCATTTATGTCTGGAGCGTCCAGAGACAGGACATCCTTTACAAGTCTAAGCAAGAGATGCTCCTGCGTGGTCGAGGGAAGCACTGTTTCGCTCTTTATAGCCGCATATGACGCTAATGCCTGCTGCGACAGAGCCTGCGCCACTGACCGGAGCTGAGCGCGGTTAATCTTCGATGTCTGCGTGACTGGTAAAGCCGTCAATGGTAGGAAGACAGATGGTATCATGTATCTGGGTAAGCGCCTTGAAATGAGGGAGGACACTGTTGCTGTTTGCTGACGAAATGCATCAGTCGGCTTCATCAGCAAGTCATCGATGTTCATCTCATCACTCGTTCTTGAGGCACCGGGTTGTACAACGAATGCCACTAATGTACGTCGGTGCCCATCGCGTGGGACAATCACATCAACTATAACTTCGTTCATTGTTTTATTGTATGATTCTTTCAAGACGTGCTCGACCTCCTGGAGCTCAAGACGCTGGCCGTTTATCTTAACTTGGCCGTCCTTTCGCCCAACGTATTTCATTCTGTCAGCGCTGACATATCTAACAATGTCGCCTGTTCGATAGAGCTTTCTAGAGATAGCTTTCCCTGTCTGCAGAAGCCACGTGGGAGGATCGATGAATGATGCTCTACTTCTTTCCGGGTCCCCTAAGTAGCCTTCTCCAACTATCGGCCCTTCGATTAGAAGCTCCCCGGGGGCTCCCATTGGCAGAGGTTTCTCAGGATTATCGGCGTCTGTGATCCAGCATCTGGCTCCGATCCCAATCCCGATGCAATGCGTATCCTCCGGGCCCTGCACCTCTGGCAGCATAGTTGTGCAAGGGGTACATTCTGTTGGTCCATAAGCAATGATGAGATGGACAGCTTCTACCCACTGCCGTATATCCTGGCGCGTCACTGCCTCGCCTACGAGGAGGAGGGTACGTAATGATGGCGAGTCTGTAGGCTTGAGTATCCTAGCGACGCTGGGTGTAAGGATCATCCAGTTGACGCTAAACTGGGTAATGGTCGGACTCAAGTCTTCCAGGGCTTCCGCTGAGGGTACACAGAGAAGCCCGCCAGCTAACAGCGTGCATAATGTTTCGTTTATCGCTGCGTCAAACGTGTACGAGGAATATTGCAGGACACGAGAAGTTGATGAGAGCCTCATGGGGTTTATCTGGGCTGTCGCCGCCGCGATATATGCGGAGTGCGAGATTACCGCGCATTTCGGAGTACCTGTGGAGCCCGACGTGAACGAAGCGTAGAGGGCGCCCAGTGGACTTCTGAGGTGATGATCCGAGCAAGGTCTGTACTCCGACGTGAACTTCTCGTCTTGGTAGTTAGTGACAGTTATCACTGTAGGAGCAAGCTGGCCAGCTCTTTCCTCAAGGCAGTTAGAGCAAACAATTATGCTTGCCTCCAGCCGAGTTATCATCCCTTGGAGCCGATGGAGTGGGAGTGACGGGCTGAAAAGCACGAAGGCCCCACCGGCCTTGATGACCCCTAGAATTGCTACCGTAGTCCATTTGGATTTCTCAAAGTATAACGGGACAAACGTTCCTGGCTTAACCCCTACTCTGTAAAGGCGGTTGGCAAGCTTATCGCTGAGCAAATCCAGATCATGATAAGTTAACCTTCCATCCCAAGCATCAATTGCCGTAGATTGTGGGTGATTCCGACATTGCTGGCGGATAAGATGATCTAGGCGATTTTGAACAGTGATGGGTAGGCTTCTCCTCTGTTCCAAGAGCAGAGAAATATCCTGCGAACTGACGAGCTGAATCTTCTTGACTGGCAATAACGGGTCTCGTACTATACTCGACACTGCCTGTCCCATTGCTCGTGCGGCATGGCTTGCCTGGTCCGGAAGTAATATGGATGAGCAGTAACGTAACGCGACGCTGATTTCATCCTCATCATCGTTGACGTGCACAAGAACCTTGATCTACAGGTCCAGCTGTCAGCCATACGCAGAGGGTCATATAGTTTCAGGTGAAGTACCTCTGGCGGCGGGCAGCCCGTCAGGTTGAACATAACGGCAGTATTGAAGCCGCTGGGCGAGCCATCTATGGGCTTTCCATCGTTCACGGAAAGCAGAGGTGGTGAATCGTGTCTCAGCTCAAAACAATGCGAGCGTAAACCTGATACCCCTTGTAGAGATCCGAAGACCACCGAATCGGCACTGGTGTAAACTTGGAGAACAACAGCCCATGCGGCGTACATCAACTGATGCAATGTAACGCCTTGGTTGTCACAAATTCTGCGGATATCTTGCGAAGAAGGCGTTGGGATAGGAACGGAAGAGAACTTGCGCAAGCCCTGCTCCGTTGGATTTGTGACGAGACACGGAAACATACATAACTGATTTTGGGTCATTAAATTCTGTGATGAGTGTCTATGATCCATATCTCCAACTTGGCGTAAACGGTGGCAGACGCTGGCTGTGTGCGATGATAAACGACTAGTTTTGTGAAGTTGGCAACGGGGATGTATTCTGCCTCACTAAAAGTACTGTTGGCTATGATATACCGCTACATCGAGGCACCCGTGCCCTGTATATGTGGACCTTATGCTCAGATCACCCAATGGATTGACAAGAATATGATACGTGCCACAAGGAAAGTGCCTGAGATAGGTTCTAGCTAGTGTGAGGTGGAAAATATCCTTCGGGGTTGTGTATATCTTCTTCACTGTTGTTGGACCCACAAGAACATGTAAGCTTCCCTGCTCTGCAATTACTACGGATAAGGTACAACTTGCAGATGGTTTGGAAATGATATGTATTGAGACACCATCGAAGATTTTTCCAGGTTCGCTTACGTGTTCTTCTGTTCTAATTCCACTCAGAACTTAAAAGAGGCTTATACCTTCATTCATGTAAGGGGGAGGGTTCGTGCGGAAATTATTGCTGCACGTCTCACCGCTAGACACCGTTGCAGACTGCCGCCAAAATGCCCCGGAACAAAAAGAGCGGCAGCTGTCCGTACTTTCAATCAAAGGAAGATTAAATCTTCGGGATTGATATATTGAACAGGGCATGGTTTATTAGAGCAATGGATTCCACCATCCTTAGCAAATGCTATGCTGAACGAGCGCGAATGCATGAATAGGAGATGATTTTATCTAGCGCTCGACATCGTACATACCTTCTCACAGGACCTTCCTCACGACGTCGATCAATTGTCTCTTCACAATAGGACTGCTCCATACATGGCTATCGATCTGACTACCAGATCTGTCAATAAAACTGGTCAAAGTTACGTTGACATGCGTTGGGCCCTCAGCCAGCCACAACAGCTGACGCAATCCATATTGATGTCAATGATACAGCAGAACCTTGTGCTTCGGTTATTTGCTTTCGTTCAGCTAGACAATTCCTGTTCCCAGATTGGATGGCTGTATATGACACTAGACAATAAGTATTTAAGAGTCAGTGCATTGTCTGTGTTGTCCATGAGAGGATATCCCAGGGTACAACTGTTTCTACTTTGGCGCCGCGTTCGTTTTTCTGTTTCTCTATAACCATGAGAATTTGTGTCCTTCATTCTTCATATGAGGGCTCCGGCTCCATGCTTACTGGACTCGACACGGATTTCCCCAATCCAGGAGCCTTTACATCTCAGCATACGTTCGAGAGCCGGTTCATACGCAAAGATGCCGCAAAGGAGCAGATCGACGCATGCGTGAAGGAAGGATTCGATTTCTACATAAACTTCCTTTGGGGTACTCTTGACGATGACGTGGCTGGGATTCAGGCGAGTCAATATTTTGAATCCCTAGGGGTACCATCAGCTGGTATCCGCAGCTGGGAGCGTTCCCGAACGAAAAATGATTTCTACAAAGAAGCTCGAAAGCGAGGAGCGCCCCGCGTGCCAGGAATCGACATATTTCCTCTCTTTGTGAAACCAGCCAACGGATGCTCTAGCCAAATGATTGATGAAAAGTCCGTGTGTCACAATGAAGGGGAGTTGCGAGAGGCTCTTCGCCGAATAAATGCACAGCTCTACGAATCACGATTAAATAGGGCACGCTCTCTGGGTTCGGTAGACCCGAAGGCCTACGCAGATAATTTTGATCCTGTGGGCCGCAGTGATGACATCGTCGTCCAAGAGTACATTCCTGGGGAGGATTACATCGTAAGCGTGATTGAACTGGGAGATTCGGCAGTTGCGCTCAGCCCTTGTATCGTCAAGGCCAAGGATTTGAGTACCGCCGAGAAGTTCCTCACGTTCGATTTGAAGTTTGATAGCGACACTCGCCTCGAGACTATTCACAAACGAGATAACCCAACTCTATACGAGAGATTGCAAGCCACTGCCTTGGATGCGTTCGAAGCCGGCATCTTCCGCGGCAGTCATATGGGATGTGATGTCGACCTTCGTGTGCGGCCAGACGGTGAAGCTTTCGCCATTGAAGTGAATCCACAGCCAGCGTCGTTCTTGACGAATTGCAATTTCCAGGACCTCCCAATTATGTCAAGCTTCCCTGGTGGCCACATGGCTGTGATCAACGTCTTCATCGCCAACTATATGCTGCGCAATAACCGCGGTACGGGGTCCAAAGTCGCAGCGACCTACGACGGCTTGGCCTCCAAATACGATACTTTGCAGGAGTCGGGTACCAGAATGGCGGAGATCATTAGGGGTATTGTTGCAAAGTTCGACTTTCAGGGAACTGTTTTCGACCTTGCCTGTGGGACTGGCATTTTCGGCCGGTTGCTCTCTGAGTGCAAACCGGGTAGCCACCGTCGCGTCCACGCAGGCAGTGTTCTCGGATGTGATCTTTCGCCCAAAATGGTGGAAACATGTCGCGCTACTGGATTTTATGACGAGGTGCACATCGACCGTATGCAGACATGTCTTCTCCACAGCCTTGACTACGGTGAGGTGGACCACATCGTCTGCCTCTCCGCCATCCACTTCCTCTCCCCCGAGGAGTTCACATTTGTCCTAGTGTTATGCTTCCTTGTGGCACGCAGGTCAATTACTGTCAGTGTCGATGAAATTCCAGATGGATATAATGAGAAGCTAAAGGCCTTGGGGGACCACCACATGCATTCCACAAACCACCTCGCCAACATGGAACTGTTTGGCGAGCCGCATGGCTGGACATTGGTCGCCCGCCAGAGGGAGTTTGCTTGGAAGTCCTTTACCACCGGCCATGAGGTTTGGAGCACGTACTATCGTTTTGAAAAGGTGGAGGATGACGATTCTGGAACCCGACTATTGAAAGTCAAGCGCAAGAATTAAGCAGTAAGAAGGCTCTGAGGGGCGAGCTCAACCGAAATAGACATGTTTGTCGATCATCAAATAGGTCTTGGTAGATCAGTACGAAATTCTCCACTTTCATATTTCTAGTACAATTTTACGCTTGTCTTTACACGTATGCGCACTATGGAGCCAGATCGAGTCCATATATGGCCCGCCTCATGAACGCCTTGCATTGCCTCAACAGCCGATCCGTATTATCCCGTAAATTGGAAACATAATTTGTTGTCTTCCTTTGACTTTGGAATTCTCTTCATAGACATATTCCTATATGTCTTATCCATACCTTGGTTCCGCTACCGTCTCTGTTGCAACTGTTTTCAAGGTCATCATCCTGGTTTTTCTCGTCTCGTGCGGCATCGTATTCAAACCTTACAAAATGCTGGATCAGAAGAGCCGAAGCCTTCTCCATGTGAGATCATCAAACGGGTTTATTGTATTCGTGGTTTGCTTTGCTATTTTCACAGTATGTATCAATTAGCGTTGGGAGTCTGCCTGCTGACAATACTCTCACAAGGACATGATGTTATATGGACTGGTAAATGGAGCACCGATCATCCAGCCCCATAAGTCTGACCGATAAAGATTGTTCCCTTCGCTCCAACAGCACTACATGACAAGACTGGGCTTCCATTAGAGGATGGTCAGTGAGCTCAAGCTTGGGTATAAACCGTTTGCTAACTCCGATGTCTAAATCATATCAGTACCTCGTTGGACCTCAATTCTTCTTACGCTCTATGGAGTCGCCAACACCGTCGCTTCACGTGAGTCACCCTGCACGGTACGTCTTGTGCACAAGGACAAGAGCATTAACTGTGGTATTGGCATTCGTGGTACTCAGCTGTATGCGGGTACATCACAGACCGGATTCAATCACGCACATGGCCATTCCTCATGGGTTTGGTGGCTCTTGCGGCGGCAACTGCCCTACTATGCATCGGAACACACCTGGCACTGTGGATCATAGGGAGGCTGCTTCAAGGAGCATCCGCAGCCGTTGTATCGACAGTAGGGACGGCACTACTGGTCGACAACTTTCACGGTGAGGCGGCGCTTGGCCAAGTTCTCGGATATATTGCAATGGCGACTATCGTGGGAACAACGGCTGGTCCGCTCTTGGGTGGTGTCTTGTATGAGCATGGAGGCTATTATGCCCCATTCGGGCTGGCCTTTGCACTGCTTATATTAGACTTTATCCTTCGACTCCTGATGATCGACTCGCGGGCGGTAGTGGGGACCGATTCAGGAGACCCAACACCTTCAGATGGAGGAAACATGAATGAGAAAGGCACCGTTCCGAAAGGCCCAACAGAAGAGGTATCGACAGTTTGCCAATCGCCGCAGGGCAACTATGTGTCTGGTAGCTCGACTCTTATTTTGCTACGATCGCCACGGATGCTAGCGGCACTCCTAGTGTATCTGATCGTTTCTATTTCTATGACGTCCTTCGACAGCGTGCTTCCTATTTTCGTGCAGGACACCTTCGCATGGGCGCAGACCGCTCAGGGGCTTATCTTTATCGCGTTAATGGTCCCTCAGATCATGAGTCCCTTGTGCGGGTATACCGTAGATAGATGGCCTAGGTTCCGCCGGTATCAGGCCGCATTGGCACTCCTTGGCGCGGTCCCCATTCTTGTGTGCTTTCGATATGTGGCACAGAATACGCTGCACGACAAAGTCATCCTGTGTGCGTTGCTCGCACTAGTTGGGACATGCCTCACAATCTTAGAGCCGCCGATCATGGTGGAAATATCCTGCATTGTTGAAGCAATCCAGTCTCGACAGCCCGGGATTTTCGGGAAAGGAGGAGCCACTGCATTTGCCTATGGGCTAGCCAATGGTGCCTTTGCGGCCGGTGCGATGGTTGGGCCGTTTCTTGGTGGGTGGGTTCAGGATACGTACGGGTGGGCAACTATGGGGTGGGTTCTTGCGTTGCCCCTGGGGGCGTCCAGCCTCCTGGTATTGGCCTTCTTTCGTTAGGAGTTCTTCTCAGCATTCATTTGCTAGGAGCCGGGCCTTTCCCTATTTAGAGATTGGTCTGATTTGTAACCCGTTATATATATATTGCGCTTGCCTCGCCCCATCGCAAACAACTGCCCAGTTCTCACCGTTCCCCCTCTTAAGGTTGGAGACCCTCTTTATTAGACGACTAAGAGGCTAAGCTCTAATAGAGCTTTTGTATCATAAGACAAGAACTGTACAGACGGTTAAGTAATATAGGGCATCGATCTTGAGGAAACTGTACAGATTTCCCCCGAAGTCTCCGCCAGCCACATTGGCGTGCTTGCCCAGATCTTCGGAATTATACAGACGCCTCTTGGGCGATTGTAATTACAGCAGCAGTCTGTAAACCCTATCTGGTAACAGTGAAAATGGGAATCATATATATACACGTCAAAAAGATTAACACTATATGGGAATTACATGAGTGGGCAAAAGTACCCTGGTGGATCCCCATGCAAGGGATATGCAAGCGAAGACTTATGGGACACGCAAGCCACCGGCTCCTGTAGCAAACCCCTCCCTGCTTCGTAGGCCAGATGCAGTTGGTCTGAACAGCGCGTGCTGTAGTCTGCGTCCATCGACGATCCAATCAAAATGAGGTTTAAGTGATCGGCCGTTCCAAGTGCCCGGAAAAGGATATCTGGCTTCTCGAACTCGGTCATATCCAATGCTGCCCGCTGACCAGCTCTCAGCTAGCCACGGGAAAGAATAGCATGTAAGAAGCTTCGCTTCGGAGAGCTCCCTTCGCCGATCGGTTTATTGGGAAGGAAAAGGGATGCTTCTGGATTATTCAAATACGCAGAGTGCTATGCATAGCTCCGGTCAAGTCAAGTCCCATCAGCATGGCTGAGCTTTCGGACGAATGCTGCACAGTCTGAATAGTCGTTAGGTAGACCGCACATAATTACAAAGAGCTCTTAGGGCCTCATATACATACCTCTTTCCTCATAGAACTCAAGCTCCAGGTACTTACTCCGTGAGTTCGACCCTAATGATGTTAAAGTAGACTGGCGGGACTCCTGGGAAAGGCCACTGGCGACGCTATCCATGGAATCGCGGCGTGAAGCAGCCTGGAATGGAAGTTTGACCAGTTTTGATTTACGACTAGGTATGGCCAAGTCATTTACTAGTGAGGCGTAAGCTTTCCACCTGGAGGCTAAATTCTCACCAACGAAAGTCCGGATACGGCTCACATGGTATATCGACAAATCTTGCTCGACGAGACGTTCCCGGGAAGGAAGCAAAGAATAACAATGAGAGTGCTTTCGTGATAGGGTCTTCGAGGACGCGGACTGTCTCTTCTGAGTTGGAGTAGTAATCCGATCCCACGGAGATCTTCCTCACGTCAAAGCAGGCCACGGTCTTTCTTCGAAGAAGGACCCTCTGAAAGCTCTCAAAATCTAAATTCATATCTGCTGTAAGCCCAAGCTTATCCGTGTATATTGCTGGGCACGGCTTACCACTGCGGTCACGGCATTTATAAATGGGCGAGATACTGTATCTAACGGTGGACTGATTATCTTCAATCTTCGCTTTATGCGAACCCTGAAACCAGATTGGGCAGGAATCAGAAAACGGCGCGGTGACTCGGCTGCTCGGTACGTAAGGCAGCATAGAGCTCTTGACGGTGGTGGACCCGCGGATGATGGTCTGGGTGACTTTGACTCCTCCGTTGATATCGACTGCTTCAATCGCCTCTGGTTCATGTGTTTGGGTATTCAAACAAGCCACCACTGTACATATCAATGTGCGGAAAAGCGCGCGGTTGGGAATATTCGGGTCCGGAAATTCCCTTAAGAACCAGAATTGTTAGTAATGGGGAACGATGGTCAGATTGAGAGATATAAACGCACACTTGAACTGGGTGGTTTGTAAGTAAAACCTTCCTATCTGGTATCGGTAGAGAGATGGTTGACATTGGAGAGCCAATTGAGAGATCGGACTCCATTGAGCGTGTACGGGTAATTGGAATCGATGGTGAGAGGCACTCGGGTGATGGAGAGAGATCCAACAGCTGTGGTGGTGATGGATGGAGTGGTTTGATATCAATAGAATTTGTATTAAAGGCGTGTACCAGCTGGAAGTCCAGCCAATGCCGGAACTGCTCCCATTCCTCTGCAGTGTCGTTGATCGACCGAGCAGGCTTAATCACCGCTTGATCTCTCTCAGACCGGCCATAGTTCGGGACCAGCTCGTGCCCATAACCAACCATCTCTAGTGCATCGCGCACATCATCACTAACCTGATGAAGGAAGAGAACCATTGCATCAATGGTTGGTGTCTCAGCAATTGCCGCGTCAGAATTCAACGTAGACCTGGGATTGGAAGGCTGAGGCGGGCCTACGGGTAGACCATGTGTATCAAGTCGCCGAGTAAGGTTTCCCAGTCTCTCGGAGATCTCACGTATGCGATCTAGAACCCTTTGGTACCTTTGACTGTCAAGTGAAGGCATTTCGTCGTCTTCCGGGATTCCACTCAGTATGTGTTCCGGCTTAAGGCCGGCGAGCCTCGATCGATGCCCACGTTGGCTTGAGTGGTGTGCATTATGCTCTTCGGTGTCTATTGGGCCGTCGATAATGCATTTCCGCAGGAGGAGCGAGATCTGTGCCGTCATTGTCCTAAAGAGGTCAGCCTTCAGCAGAGAGTATCCTGTCACAAAAGGTGGCCCTCACTTGATCGATTTTAACATCTCCAGATTTTCTAACTGGTTATTTTCCGCTATCCTCATAAAACCCAGAGTTGCATCGCGTGTTTCCTCGGTAGACCTGAGCGTTGCCACGCTCAGACAGCGCTCAAGTTTGTGTCGAAGCCGTTCGGCCTCACTTCGCTCGAGTGGCCAGGTGACCTTCTCAAACCAGATTGAGACCTTTTTGCCTAAACTCCCACGACGGCTGCTATCTGTTGATGGTTTATCTTGAGCCAGTACTTTGTGCTTATTAACGAACTGGGCGCATTCTTGGATTGTTTGGTGGTAAAACGCCCCCAGACCACGGGCATCTCCTGCTGTGGACTCCTTTACCCGCTGTATCCTTTCCAGTAGTACTTTGATAGCGTGAAACTCTTGGCGAAAAGAGTTAAAGTCGCCTGCCGCACCTGAAGGTCCATCTTTCACGCTTTCATAGACCGTCCAGACAAGTTTGACTGCAGTGATGATATCACCAACACCTATCTGGCTCATGGTGAGACGTGCTTTGATGTAGATCTGCCCGAGACACCTTATAGCCTTCTCGTTTGGTACCCTTGTAAAAGGTAGGCTGTTATTGCAGATCTCGGGGTGGAATGGAGGTTAGAACTGTGGGTAGGAACAAAAGCAAGGTGAAAGCGGGTATCTGGAATCTCGTATTCTACATGCAAGTGAAATGATCACGAGGGCTTCGAACTAGTCTGCCATGAGGCTGAGCGAGACTAGTAAGCCTCAGAGTACCGAAGGCCACTGATAGGACTAACATGTTGACTGTGTCATGTAGCCCCTGCGATCTGGTCGAGTCATGCCATCACGTTCACAGAGGTAGCGGTGGGTTCCTGGGTGTTTTCGCCCGGAGCGCTTCCAATCCATGCGCACATACGGGGCGAGTGGCCTTCTGGAAGACCGGAGATTTGAATGTACGATATGCACGGCCCCGAAATTATGCGTCTATCGGAAGCGATGGGCAATGACTCGTGGCGGCGGTGCAGGAAGGCTAAATTTTAGCACCGATTTAGCGTCGTCCCACAGACCAATGGTGGGGACCTAGTCAGGAACGTGTTGAGATAAGATGCTTGTATTGAATGTATCTCGCAGCCACAGGGCGCAGGTGGATTGCCTTTAGTGCCTCGTATACGATGTCTGACATCAATTTGCCAAGTCCCCTCAGAGGCACATAGCTCAATCGCTTCTAGGGAGCAACACTGCTTCAGCTTTGGCGAAGAGTGATATGAAGAAGTAGAAACTCAACCTTGAAGAAATGGAGAGTACCGCCTCATGGTCAGCCTCACCCCCTTGTGATCATGGCACTGATATATTGTGAGGAATGCCCCGTATCTACTCCGCGTACCATTGCGTGGTACATGATTGAAATTCGCACTGAGACATAGTTCCCCGGCTCACGTATTTCTTTCGAGTCTTTTATCTCCTGCAGTCGGACAATAATTCCCAAGCTTCTCATTGGTCGTCGTTTATCACGGTTAGACTATCGCAATTGATATGGGGGTCTTGCCTCAGGTGAAGCTATATTTAAACCCATGGGGGAACTACGAGGACTTCCAGCATCATGCAGTAGGTAGCATATGACAACCTGAACAGCTTCTCTCCATTTGCTCTGGCTCATCCCCTGGTTAGCCAGCACAAAGACGCAATTTTATCATCAGTCGGTTGGAAAGTGCAAGGCAGAGGGAATGGCTCTGGGTGATAGTCGTTGCCGGAGTTGGCTTTTTTGCTGATGCGTACTGTGTAAGTTGAGCTAGAGGTTGAACCATCCATAGCGACTGACAGGCTTGCAGATCTTCTCAGTCAATATGGTTGTCCCCATGATTAGCGAAGTCTATTGGGGTAGTTTGGACAGCAAACCTGACCGTGTCCACAACTATCAGGTCGGCCTTAGCATCATGACCTTAGGCGGCGCGCTCGTAGGCCAGATTCTTTTTGGTATCGCGGCGGATATCTGGGGTCGCCGGAAGATGTATGGATTGGAGTTGATTGTCTTGATTTTCAGCACCCTCGGGATGGCGATGTCATCCTCTGGCAAATATGAGTCTATGTCCATAATCGGAGTTCTTCTGTTCTGGCGGTTCTTTATGGGAGTGGGAGTGGGAGCCGACTACCCTTTATCCGCTGTGATCTGCTCTGAGTTCGTGAGCCATATGAGGACCCATGGCCCCCTCCCGTTCCACCGTGGCATAGCTAACTCATTCTGTTAGGCTTGCACCCACTCGCATAAGGGGCCGTATGTTGGCAGCCGTCTTCCTCTGCCAATCACTTGGACAGACGGCGGCAGCACTCATCGCTCTCATCGCTGTAGCAGGCTTTCGACATAGTCTGCCTAATGACCCAGAAATTCGAGAGTGCACAGGGTCCTGTGTTCGGAATCTAGATAGCATATGGAGGTTAATCGTAGGTCTGGGAGCGGTCCCTGCATTTATTGCCATCTGGTTTCGATTGACGATCATTGAATCCCCTCGTTATACCGCCGATGTCATGCAGAATAGTCTCCAAGCTGCTGCGGATGTCTCTCAGTTTTATCAGTCAGCGGAGATTGCCTCGGCCTCTAGTCTAGGCCAGGAGTCACTCCATCCAGTCGAAGAGACGATGTCACTATCCCCCACCCAAACTCGTGAAAACGGCTTTACCCCATCAGTCATCTCTCAGCAATCAAGCTCTATGGCATTGGGGAATATTTCAGGCCCTCAACTCCACTTTTGGAGAGATTTCAAAACTTTCCTGCAACAAAAGCGCAACCTCCGAACGCTCGTGGCAACCTCTTTGTGCTGGTTCTGCCTCGACCTGCCGTTCTACGGCTTGGGGTTGATGAACGTGGACATTATCAATACCATCTGGTATGGTAACCACATTCCCTCGGCAGGAGTATATGAATCCCTTATTCGGGTGTCATACCAGAGCATCGTAGTCGTTTCATCGGGCGCCATCGTCGGTAGCTGTATAGCCGTGCTCACAGTCGACCGAATCGGCCGGCGGAATCTGCAGCTGCTTGGCTTCAGTTGCCTCTTTATTCTGAATGTGATCATTGGTGCTTCCTTCCGGTACTTGAGCACACACGGCGACTCATCAGCCTTGGTTGTACTTTATGTTCTGACTCAGATATTCTTCAACTTTGGTAAGTGACCCGGAGGGTAATCACCCCCCACCGTCATCGAAGCTCTGGCTGAGACATATTTCTTACCCGAAATAGGACCGAACACCACAACATATATTGTACGTCAAAATGAAAATGCCTTAACGGACTTTTCGTGATTCCTCAGCCCGTTCTGACCTCTCTAACTGTGCCTAGGTCCCTGCTGAGCTCTTCCCAACCCGGTTTCGCGCCACTTGCCATGGCATCTCAGCCGCCTCTGGAAAGCTCGGTTCCATTCTTGCACAGTGCTTCTTAGGGTATGTGGACTTTGGGAATGGCGCCACCTGGCGAAATGTGCCGGATTGGCTAGGATACGCACTTCTCTGGTAGGCCTGACACAACTGTAGCGATCGATTTTAAATACCAGCCACGAACTCTAACAGCAAAGCTAGTTTATCATTCTTCATGCTGATGGGCCTTGTTGCTACCTTGTGGATCCCCGAGACCAGGGACAAGGAAGGGAATAATAAGTCTCTCGAGCGCATCGCCGAGGAGATGCTGGCAAAAGATGCACTTCCCGTGGGTGTGGACGAAACTGGCAGCATGCACACAGCGGCTACTACACCGATGCCTGACTCGGGTTGGAGGTAGGCCTGGCTTTTCCAGTCCGGAGGCCATCTCGTTTGAACAGTTTCTATTTCTCTTGGTTTGGTTTTTATCGATGTATTTATAGCATCTGTCGTTCTACACTTGCTGGCCTAGTATATGTTCATAATGTACAAGGTTTTAAGAAAGATTTGTCCTGACGACGATAATATTCCAGAATTGCAGAGGCCCATTCCGATGTGTTCCTTGCCTCCTGGATTTGATACACGACGGATAATGGGGGAAAGGGAATGATCCCCTTGACAGTTTTCGTTTACCACACATCTATTTTTATACGCTGACGACTTATGGATTTGTCGTTTGACCATAGTTTCTCTTTTTCTTAAGTCTACCCTTAAATATATGATTAGCGACGTCATTGCCTCCCTACAAGTATTATCTCGGTCACTACTAAAGCGTTTCCGAATTTCTAACTGAAGTTATATCCAATAGTTACCACAGCCCTACATAGTCAGGCAAATCATGAAAGTGTCAACAAAGGAAAGTTACCATAAGAAATTGGAAACTGTGACGGGTCACAAGCCTGTGTTAGATTGTTCGGACACTCGGACACTCCATACATTTGCTGACACCTGTATATGTGCAGCCGGGAATGCTGGTTGTGAGAGCTCCTTGTTGGCTGGGCAAACTGTAATGATATCCTCCCGTGCACGTGCTTCAGGGTGAGTGGAATCGTTCATAGATGATTATTATGATGGTCAGCTGTATTATTCCAATACCCTAACTCGGTCCTAATGTACGGTGGGGATTAATCATCCCAGAGGACCTTGAACGACGTTACGAGGACCCATGGTTGAATGCACTCAATCGCCTGAAATGACATCATTACTTGATGACATCTGGAACTGAAGATGAACTTGAGGCAACGTATATATAGGCTAGCTTCTATCTCCCGCAAGACAAAATCGTTCGAACAGTTATCGGGACCACATACACCGTCACCGGCCATACCCAAGCATAACTTACCAAAAAAATGGATAAGCTCGTTTCCAAGCTCAGCGGGGGTAGCCACTCCAAGGACAAGGAAGGTGGCAGCTCGAACGATAAAGACTATTTCGATAAGGGTATGTAGTCCCCCCAATATAACCTTGACCTAATCATAGATATCTGGCTCTGGCATGTCAAGAGATATTCACGCATGGACTAGGCCTCGACTCAATTGAGAAGAAGTTCGGCGGTGGTCGCGTCAATCCCGACGACCCGAAGGTGCGAGAGGCGAATGAGAAATTTACGGATGGTGCGAGGAGCAAGTTTGAGAGTATGACTGGGTAAGTTATTGAGTCATAGGTTCTTACGAGGAGGTATATCGAGCTGATTGTCGATGGCTGAATGCAGGCAAAAAGTCCCCTCGAAATTCTCCAACTAGATTCCTCATGTTTCTCTAATAATCATGTCATGGACCGCACGCGCCTGTTATATAAAATTTGGCTAGCAATGAATGGATCATGGATAATGCAATTATAAATAAGAACAAGAGCAGCAAATTCCTCAGCCAAGAAAATTATGAATCAACAGAAAGCACGTCTCAACCCCTTCGAACTACCTTAGATACAGCTGCTTTTATCGGCCCCACCAACACGGCGAACAAATGTGTCACATCTCTGCCAATCTGGGCGGTCGGACCGGCTGTATCAGAGCGGTGGTTATGAAAGTGTGCGGCGTCATGACTGTCGGGCTGAGAGATAGTCTACAGACGACTAGATCTCTAGAAGGACGTGATATCGAAAGGTGGTCAGTTCTCATGTCCTTGCCGTAGCGCATTCCCGGACGGGATATCCCTGCATTCCAGTTAAACGTCGCCCATTTTCCGGCTTGAGTTTATTCCGGACACAATTGCAGCTCGATGCGGGTGAATCCGCTTGGTGTCGAACCTTGACAGGTGTCAAATTTGTGGTGTTCATGCCAATATAATCTGAGGATTTCGACCACCCGCGACAATGCCGATCGGTGTGCACCCGTATTCTGCACAAGCCCCGCAGATCTTGGTATCAAGTCTGTCGTTGTCAGCAGGTGTAGCTCATTTACGCACGGAGAATACCCTTAATTCGTGTTGGAGAACGCCGGTAGTACTTCGTTCCGTCCCGAGCTTGATTTGTGAGGAAGGCAACGGATGGCATCTGGCAGTCCAAGGCCAGCCCTTCCGCCGCAGCCCGGATCCACCACGCAAGGGCCATATAACCTATGGCGGCACTACGTTCTAAGTTCCAACTAAACCGGTAGCTACCATACAGAGGACGATCTTTGGTGAACGAACCTCACCGATAGCGTGGACAACTCTGATTGGCCTGTTCTGGATCGCGCTTGGCCCATTCCTTGCTTCTTCTTGCGATCCCAGTGCTCTGATACGACGTCACGACCCACCAGCAAGGACTCTCAGACGCGGGCGATCTTCAATAATTTCTCCACTAGTTTTGTTTTCGGCTACAGCTCACATGGGGCCTCAGCTGTGTTCAGCTCAGCCCTTCAGCCACAGCTGACCCAGCCAGAGCATGCTATATCTGTTGTCAGGGCGCCATATTCGCACGCAGTAAGAAACACCCCGATAATTTCTCATGTTATAACACAATCTTCTCATTTTAATGGACTCAGTCGTTGCAGATTTCGTGCAAGAGTACCAGAATAAAAAATGGATCTACGCGCGCAACGCAGCGGCGACCGCCAGAATATGCCACGAAATGCTGCAAGCTGAGCTTCTCCCAGCCGTTGTCACCTACAGGGTAAAAGACCCTTCCAGTCTGGAGCGCAAACTTCGCCAACGTGAGCATTTGCGTGGTCAACACTATCCGTCGAGAGAAAGCATCCAGGATGAGATCTCAGACCTAGCAGGGGTTCGTATCGTCGTATATTTCCCCCAAGATACCGAGCGCGTTTTGGACGCGCTCGGTGGACGATTCGATGTCGAGTTGAAGAAAAGCTACGGAGCAGTAGACACCAACCGCGTTCGGAAAACCTCCGGGCACATCCAGCGTCCAGGGTATTGCGCCACGCATTGTTGGGTATTTCTGAAACAGGACGAGCCCCAGGCGCGCGACGGGTCCAGCAGGAGGAGAGTAGAAATACAGGTCGTTTCCTTGTTGCGGCATGCCTGGGCTCAATTTGAACATGATGCAGTTTATAAGGCGCGATCCACGATGAATCTCGAGGATCGCCAGATCTTGGATGCATTGAGCTGTGCCATCCACCGCGGGGAATGGCTCTTGAATTGCATATCTGACAACAGAGCTGTCAGAAATATATCCAGCGATCAGCTGTTTGAGGTGGTGTATGAGGTAGGATGCCTGGTGGCAGATGCGGCCAAAGAGCAAAGTCGCGCGCAGGGAACTGCAAAGCCCTTGGAGGCGTTCTTACGCAATTTGAAGGTGGCGAAACCCACAAGATTGTCCGGTTCAATGGCAAAGGCACGCTTATAGGATCATACCACACGGGCCCGTCTATATCTCTCGGTTAACACCGCAAGGCTTGGGAGAAGATCAGCGTACAATATGAGGTCATAACTCGGAAGAAAACGGTGTATAGAGACGCTGTCACTGGAGGTGATTAGACTACTTTAATATCCGTATTGAGTAGCTCGAAGAGCCCTATTCCAGACACTCTAAATCCAATGCTCCTGTGGGCAGAATGGCCGGACCGAGCCTCCTTGAAGAACGTGACAGATGTGTATGACATCCGAACATGGCTCGTGGTCATCCCATTACGACAGTGTCATTTCCAGTGAAGGAATCTTAAGCAAAGCGGGACGGACGATGATATCCTCTACAATGACCTTACAAGCTTGATAGCTTAACGGTTTCGCTTTCTTGAGAATGACCATCAGGCTAACACATGGACCTGAACAACGGCCACGGAAACTTCACCATCAAGTCAGAACCTTTTTGTATACACCATGGTCGCATGTGGGAGTGTGTCTATAAAGCATGCCCAGCTGCAGCAACAGCAGTGCTACTCAAACGGGCCTCACAACTAAACCTCCATCCTATTGCTAAGACATACATAAGACTTTGGGTTTACTACTTCTTGTTTACTAATGTCCACCTGTACCTTGCCTATTAAATCCATAGTAGAGACACCGACCACCACTCTCCAAAGCCCTGATAGAATCACCTGTGGTTCGCTGTAAATGCATTCGCTGTAGTGGCCGTACGTGGATCCACCACGATTGCATGTTGATGATAGAAACATACGAAATCCGCAATATACAAGACGTTGACAGAATCCTGTGGTCTTGATCATGCTCAGTTACGCCGAATAAAGATCGCCACCTCGCCAAACCTCTCCTCATCACTCAAGAACTCGACCCGGTCATAGGCCTTCATCATATTTCTCAGCCGTGGAGAGAAGGGATCCGTCCTGTTCGTGGTCAACTACGGGGTACACAAAGCTGGCTGGGAAGATGATCTTACATGAACTGCTCACGACCGTTATGCAACCATATCTCATCCTCGCATGTATTCCAAATCATCATTGCAGGTCGGGCAATATCAGCAACGATTTGTCTCACGGGCACATCCGGCGCGAAGGTCAAGACAATAGTAGAATCATCAATCTCCACGAAAGCATCTGGATCGTCGAGAATAGTAACATCGTATCTCTCGAGAATTGACTTGTCAATAACCGTGTAGGCAGGGTCTTGTGCGAAGCATTCGATTTTGTCGGCTGTCTCTCCCTGGCAGTTACTCACGATGCGATGCAATGTCAAGATCAAGGCATGCTGATACTCAGGCCGATGGTCCCAATTCTCAGTGGAACGAGGCTGCATAGTGCCTAACGCGAGGGCAACTATCTTTGTGATTGGAGGAAGGTTCTCACGCGATTCCACGATTTTCTGCAGTTGCTTATATGACTCACTGGCTTCCCAGGTCTGGATGCAAGTTGTAAAAGACTCCTCGATTGCCTGGACCGAATCCACTACGTAGCGGAACCCAGGCCGTAACTCTTTCGTGACTTCGTCGCGTAACTCCATGTAGTGGAGGACCCTTAGACTGAGGTCACTATACCCATCCATCTGGTACGCCCTGTACGAGGTGAGGAACCCAAAAGTGCGGTATTCGATGGCTGGTGCCTTGCTACAAGGGTAACTGTCAGCCCAGCCTGAGTCAAACTCAATGTCAGAGAACATAAAGGAACCCACAGAACCCATTCAGTGCCGGGTTCCGACCCAGCCCTGGTGACGCCAGTTCTGACTTCAAAAGTTTCTTGAGTGCCCTCTAACCCCGTAATGAGTATCTCTCGCGTTTCAGAGGTTTCTGCTTCTTTAAGCTGCCTACTAAGGTCACGGAGCTGTTCTTTGGTGAAAAAAGGAACTCCAGCCTCGTAAAGCTTGCGAATTCTAGCGGTCTCCTGGACAAACGTATCATAGTCTCGACCATATGAAGAGGGCAGGTCTTCACGGTCAGAGTCTTGTGCGTCACTCATATCTGCTACTAGTAGGAAAGCCCTTAGGTCTGTAGCCGAGGATATTGCGTGTGATTGAGTGCTTTGTGAGCTATGTCGCGTCGAGGTAGACTGTGTTGTTTGCACTGTAAACAGGCATCAAAGTAATAGCGCGTGAAGGCGGGGTGATGGTGCAGAATTCCTTTCAGGTCAGCAGTATTTAGCGCCTGACAGATCTTGGTCCGTTTTCAAATCTCTAGTGTAACAGATCTTCTTCTACTCTATGCCAATATGCACATGTAAGGGACTTCCGGTGTCTTTAGAGGTTGCTTCTATTTCATCCCCTGGCAAAGAAGAACTAGCTGCCCCAGTAGGCTTAGCGACTAGGGATACTATCTATCTGTCTGGCTATAACTGTGGCGAGAACAGTGCTTATACTAGCACTGCAGCTAGAGAACATTGCTGTTTCTGTAGTAACAGAGGGCTATCAACCACGTGACAATTAAGGGTACTATGTTGAATAATTTCAGCCTGCCTCCTTTATTGTGGAACAGTCGCTCTGAACTGCATCATAGCGGTTGGATTCAATGTCTCTGACTCTATATACAATCTTATTATGACACATTTCACTAGAAGAGAGTACCTATAACCTTACTTATGTCGAAACCCCTTTCGACACCTTCTCTCCCAAGGTTCGCAGCTCTGGCGTCATATCGTCTGGCTGGATACAACACTCCAAGAACGCAAGCTTGTCGCTCTCTGTGGAGACCCTCTCTATTGCCCGCAGGAGGTCTGCCTGAGTCTCTATTTTCTCGGCAAACATGGGCATTGCATCCAGCTCTGAGTGCTCCGTCGCATATGGGTTAGAAGGTTGCGCATGGGGCTTGTCGAGGAACGAGGTAGCCAGCTTGGTATAGTCCCAGTTAGCGATATAGTTATATGGGCCTTCATGCACTGCAGTCTGTATATCCTAGTCAGCCTGGAGTGCATAAGTGAAAAGTTGGGACTGACCTCAGTCTTGTATCCCAGATTATTGAACAGCAAAATGATCGGGTTGAGTTTCATCCGGATCATTGTGCCTATCTCTTGGGCCGTCATTTGAAATGCACCATCGCCTACCATCAGAACAACACGACCATAAGGACGAGCTACTTGAGCGCCAAGGGTTGCTGGCACGCTCCATCCGATCGATGCATAGGGAATTTGCATGTGGAGGTCCACTCCAGCTGGCAGTTGGATATGGCTCGCAGCAAACCATGCATCGCCGGAATCGGCAACCAATGTGGAGTCCTCCTGCACCAAACTCTGAATACCAGATAGCAAATTTCGCACTGTCAACGCATCATCGGAAGTTTTGATTTCGGCTTGGATGCTAGCGAGGTGACTCGGCCTGGAACTAGGAAGAGATTCTGCTGGGCGGATACTGGTGCTGTCAATCATTGCGGAGACCAACTTACTAACGCTTATCGGGGCAATCACTTTGCCTTCCGGCAATTCCACCCTACCATATTGGAAACTGATCAAACGGTGACTCTCCTTTTTCGCGTCGATGGAGGGAGTATGTATGTCCGACCAGGAGACTCCTAGCGCTAGCCAAAGATCAGAGCTCAGAACAAGTTTCTCTCCTTCGGGGTTGAGTAACCCTGGCCAGAAAGCGCCCCAATACTGGGGATGGGGTTCTGATATCCAACGCCCGTCTGGTTGGCACAAGACGGGGCAACCAAGCTTCTCAGCAAGGTATTGGATGGTATCTCGCGAAAGCGACACTTGTGCTTGACTTCCAAGAAGTAATACTGGTCTGTGAGAGGAGTTCCATAGATTTGTCACCGCCTCTAAGGCCTCGCCGTCTTTGTGTGTCTGGGTCGCCTCCTCTACCTTCGGGGTTAAGGGTATCGGGAAAGGACATGGGGCGCCGGCAATGTCGTTCGGAAGTTCGATGTATACTGGTAGTGATTGCTGAATACACTTAGTGATGGCATCATCAATCACATCTGTCGCGGACTCCGCAGTATCAACGCGTACTGACGCAGCTGTCACTCCTTGAAAAGCGTGAAGGGCCTGGTCCTTATTCGAGGGCGACGGTGTATGATGCGTTACTTTACCCCCGTTTAATATGCTAGTCGGTGGACAGCCCGATAGAACGATGACCTTAAGTCGCTCTGAACAGGCACCCGATATGGCGTTCAGGATAGATAGACCTCCGACTATGTATGGGATGACAACCGCTGCTGCTTTCACCTCCGAGGTACGTGCATAGCCGTCTGCAGCGTATCCCGTGTTCAGCTCGTTGCAACATTGAACCATTCGTAAACGTGGGTTTTCTACGAGATTATCGAGGAGGGTCAGGTTAGTGTCTCCTACATAGAGGTTAGTGATCCGATTCAAGCCGGTTCCTCCTAGAGATATGGCCTTACCAGGTACGACAAAGTAGTCATGGATTCCGAACTCCTCCATTCGATGTCCTATATAAGCCCCCACATTGAAGTCCTCCGGTTTGGCTCTCGCCATTATGGTCTCGCTACTCAGTCCGTTTCGTTATTGATAAGAAAACTTCAGATCTTCGTCTTCTGAGTAGCAGAGAGAAACTCAAGACATGTACTGCATCCATGGGACGATGTGTTGCCTCGATATAAGAAACGACTTCAGAGTTTAATAGCCAACGAATGTATCCCATCAAGGACATCTAGAAACCGGTTTTGCACGTCAAGAAGCCTCATGATCAAATACATGGGCCCAAGCAGGGAATGCCTCTATTGTTCCTTGACTACCCCAAGATCTGCGTTCATCATTGAACTGGGCCCTTGAAAGCCAAATTCTGCATAGCATTATGGGAAGACTAGTTATGCAGTTATTCTGGTCTGAATTGGGCCATCAAAACAGGATTCTGATAGCCTTTGGCCACATGCATCCGGAATGCTGTCAGATTCTACAAACGGATATATATATCCGCAATTGACGTCACTGTTCCATTGCCAATATGCTTGGAAAACTTGTATCCAACAGGATACTAAATCTTGACACATTTAACCTTATAGGCTCATTCATGACCATCCCTGTTATATACAAGTTGTTGTACCTTTTACTGCAGTGTCACTGCCGCTAGAGCAGAAAGTAAGACTCTGGAGATTGGCTACTTCTGGTAAGTCACAGAACAAGCGACGATTGTACGGAAGAGATGCTGTATTACTCATTTGTAAGCTGTGAAAAGGTAATTGCGGTGTGTTCAATCTAAGATTTCCCAGCTGTATCCCCTCCCAAGTAGGCTTATATGTAATGGTTAATGGCAAGGAAGGGAGTTTAAGATGTGGCATTTGATGTGGGGGTGAGCACGGACCACATGGGCTTTCTCTGTGGATTTCCCACCTGCAAAAGGGACACTTGGCAGTCAACAAGGATCGACTTGTTTTCGGTGTGCCAAAATGAGGAGTATGAAAAAAAATAATAGGCCAATCTTTTGGATCCCCCGGTCCCCAACGAGCGTCACTAGAGACTTGTGATCATGAGGCCATATGCCTGCCATTTCCTCTCTTTTTCTTATTCAACATCGTGTAATCAACTCTGTCGAAATCAAGTTAAGGGCTATAAAAGCCTGACTACTTCAACTCTTTACCACAGCCTGCATTCGACGACTACACAGTAACCAGTAAGACAGCTATTACCACGACGCCGCCATAATACGGGACAACCTGACGGTGTAGATGTATCTGGGGAATTTGACTCGATACCCATGAATTCCAATACAGAGCCCGCACTGCCCTTGGTCCGGACGATGTCGTCTACAACGGCGAATGAACTTTTGCAGAGAACTCGTTGCAGCAAGCCACGGCAATACTTAGTCGATGTCGGGGAGGAGAATGCCTCTTTCAAGAAGGAGCATGATATGTTTGCTGTGGAAAATATACAGCTCTGCCAACCCGACTTTTGATGAGGAAGATACCGTCCGGAATTAATAATTAGCTGGTAGAGGCGTATTGTTGTATTTGTATACTATAGGGCTTCATAGAGATACGGGTCTCACCTGAGGTCACGGGAAGGCGCCAAGCGCAGATCAGCAACACCAACAGAATTATTCTGCCCTACGTGACGATCATGTTTCTTTTCTTTCACTTTTTTCACCCCTCTTACTTTCCTCTTTTCAAATACTCAGGTGTCGTTTATATAGTACCGGGAATATTCTATATTTTCGCTATAATAGACGTCCAGGGACAAAAGATACACATCTTGCTTCTCCAACATTTGCCAGCGCGACCGATCCAATGGAACGGCCACCGAGAAATGACGTCACTGATAAGGAGCAGTGGGCAGCGACAGTGATTCAGGTACGGAATGCGTGTCTGTCGGGAGTTTCTCGCCCTAAACTGGTCGTCTCATAGAAAACATATCGCGGATATCGAACGCGACGAGAGTTGCAAGGCTGTGGAATATCGGCGACCACGCGTTGGGTAGAGGTGAGTCTGGACAGCGAGTGAAGAACTTCATTATCTCACAGTGATCTGCACCAGGCCGTCAAAGAAGCAGAATGGCGCCTCCTCCATCGTCCATCAGCCCCAGAAGCTACCATCGAGAACGATAGCTCTGCCCATGCTCGTCGTAACTGGCAGCGGGCTGTCAGTGTCGCCAAACGGGCGGGGGGTGACGATGACCTTGAACAGGAATCCGCTTCGCCCACTCGGAATGAGATACGGCAGTCCAGTGGTAACCCGGCTTCCCAGTCCGCACCTGCTCAGCTCGACTTGCCTCCAGGGACAACCGCGAAAATGATGGACTTGCAGTACTTCCTCGAGTTGGTGGATTTGAAGCACCGTCATGGCAGCAACCTTCGCGTTTACCACTCATATTGGAAAAATTCGACTACCGCCCAGAACTTCTTCTTTTGGCTGGACTATGGCGAAGGAAAGGACCTTGATCTCCCTCAGTGTCCCCGCGACAAGCTCGAGCGGCAACAAGTGCGCTACCTCTCACGCGAAGAACGGATGAATTATCTGGTGACTGTGGACGAAGCTGGGTTATTCCGATGGGCGAAAAACAATGAGCGCGTCTGGACGGATAATAGGCGGTTCAAGGACAGCTTGGAGGGGGTAGTGCATATTGATGATGATGCACCGCAGTTCCAAGGAAATACAGAAGCGGGTGACCCGGACGCCTTCTCGACCAGTTCTTCTTCGTCTGTCTCATCACTATCCTCCTCAGATTACGACTCAGATAGCGACATGTGCGCGAGCAAAACAAAGGAAACGTATGTGAACGAGGATTATAAAGCAGTCAAGAAGTTGAAAAGGGTTGTACATGTCAGTCCGTCGACAGTCCTCAGCAGTATAACGGGGAAGTCGTTGAAGAAGGAAGACATGTGGATATTCGTGAGTTCCTCGATCACTTGCATATACCCTCTATCCTTCCTAACGCTGGTGCCCCCAGGTTGCCGATACCTCCTTACGCTTGTATATTGGGATTAAGCAATCAGGGGCATTTCAACATTCGTCATTTCTTCGAGGTGCTCGCATTGCCGCTGCAGGTCTAATCAAGGTCCGGGATGGACAGCTTCGTAGTTTGGCACCATTAAGGTATGTTCCTCCTGGTCTTCAACCGATAGAAACTGCTAACCATACAAAAGTGGTCATTACCGTCCTCCTGCAGCCAACTTTCGTGCCTTCATCCACTCTCTCCAAGATAGAGGGGTCGACATGTCTCACGTTTCCATTAGCAAGTCCTACGCTGTCCTCGCGGGCATCGAGGGATACACCCGCACGAAACACAAAGTGCGTGCGCTACACGAGAAAGTCGACGATATGAAGCAAAAGGTCTTGCAAGGCCATCACAACAGGGAGAAGGGTCAAGATCCTGACCGCCCTCAGAATGAACGTGATTCTAGTCCCAGACATCTGATAGATAACAAACAACACAAAATCGAGAAAGGGCACCCCGAGTTACCGCTGCGCACAAAGTCCAGAATTGAAGCAGAGTGATAACCTACACATGTCCATTACATGAGAGAAGCCCTGGTGATATCCTTGTTGGATGGATATATGGCTTAGTGCCTGAAGAGTAAAGGGAATGCAATTTGGAATAGCTCCTTCTGCCTAACGGTACCAATGATTCCGACCACTGGTGAGCTGCGACTGTGTGTGGCGTCTTGCCAATTGTATTTCTCCTCAGCTGGTCGCCCCTCTACGTTGTATCACAGACTATCGTTGGTGGCCGAAATATCGCGCAAACATTCCCCTGTCCGGACCCGGGCCTGGGGAAACCCGCCTCACCATACAAGGTGAGCCTCATGCCTCCCCTTCAACAAATCCAACTGTTGTTGTCTGGACTTCTGGCCAAAGGAAAACTCGAAAAAAATAAAGGCTGGACCATGGCCCAGCTTGGGGTCCGTGAGTGCAAAACTGACGTGCAATAGGACCAACAGAGAACCAGAACATCCAGTATGGCATGCCATATCTTGAAGATTCGCCTTCCTGGTATCGATATTAATAACAAAGATTGATTAGCAGCTCTTGTGGTGTTTTACTGGCAACCAGAGAGAATGTCAGCTGCAGCACTGCTTAACGTTCACTACCTCAAGAGATCTCACATGATGCTTGGGCTTTCTATCCCTGCAAATGCCTTTTTTGAATATAGAGTTGAATTTACAGCCTTCTAGACTCGAATACTTGCAGGAGTAGCACGACCTGTCCATATCAAGCCGGCCGATCGCCGCCACGATGTTGGTGCGAGCTGCAACTCCCCTTGCTATTTGCGCATACTAGCCATAGAGCTTTCTCATACCCACATAGTATGACGTTAGCCGATACCTATGCTGTTCTGCACCCGTGCTGCTACTCTTTCTTCAACTTCTATCACAGCGAATGGTCCGCCTTTCGTCATCACCACCACGGACGATTGGTCCGGAACAACCATAAGTTACCTCTAGTCGAACTTGGATGCATCATGAAGACGCTCAGGAACTTACGACCAGGACGGATATCCGCGAAATATTTATGGGTTGCTAAGCAAGGTGTTTCACATGCCCTAGTATCTGGAATTTCAGGAATCTACGCTGATGGTTGCGCTCCACTGTACAATAGCCTCTAGTCGGAAGGTCCTTGCTCTCGGTAATAAGAATGAAAATAACCTCTTTCACGTATCGAGCAGTCTGGCTGTGCTTTGACATCTAATCTCTACATAGGGGAAAATGCCCATACAGGTATACATGCATGCAAGCTTGAGGCTGCCGGATATGTCATCTCGAGTGACTAGATAGGATCCAGTGAATGTCAACATGGCATGTCAGAGCCCATCAAACGTAATCGTTTGTATTCACCTTACCTGGGTTTCAGCCCTTTTGCCACCCTTCGGGAACACCTGTCCAATCCCAGAAGGATGAAGTCGTATTCACTACTTCAATCCCGCACCCGCTGCCAGATACTAACGCCTCTTTACGTCGCTCCAATGATGCCTGAAGTGCCCCCTCTTCGTGGTGCATCCAGATGACGCTTCCATGTCCCCATTAGGTATGTCTATCCTGGCATAGCGGCACGTAGCCATAGACATACGTAGTCTTCAAGTGGGAGCTTGTATGGATTCACTTAGCCAGATGTCCCTCTTTGCCTATATATAAGGCCTCCATCCCCCCTCGAAACGCTGCTCTTCTCTTCATCACCATCCTCTCCCTGCTACAATGGACATACAACCCTTTCCTACTTTCCTACTCCTTCTTATGAATATTCTCTTCTGATATGGTCCTGTGATACCATCCTTGCATATAATGGACATTGTCCTTTCCTTTGATAGCCTACATTCCACCATGATACCCCCACTGCCTTGACCATGATGTCTTCATTTCCAGCCACTTGCCTCTTCAAGTCATCCTATTTTCTCCACTCTCACATCGTGATGCCCCGCATGTACTTGTAGCCCCATGTAACCTGATTGTATGTCTGCATTGGGGTTCGTCGCTGTGCTGCTGACTGCACCAAGCCATCTTGGGCATCGGCACCACAGTCTGCTCACTACTCAGTGGTAAAGGCCTCCGGGCCGGCAGCTTGTCAACTCTGCGGTGCTTGATGTTTGCACAAGATCTTTGGGCATCCTCAACATGGCTAAGGTCACCATTGGTGAATACATTTATTGGTTGACATGGATAAACCACCGCAGTATTGCATACCGGTGCAGTGTCTGTTGTTTGTACGAACGGCCTTTGGGAAGCGTGCTCGTGCTATAGGATTCGGTCCTATCAAGAGTCACAGTATAGCTTCCGACAGGACAGATACAATCAGCAGTAGAACACGGCTCAGATCACCGCTTAGGTGATATTGCCTTTTGGCGGCACATTCCCATCCACTGCAAGTGAGAATTGCAGTCATCCCCGCGGTGTTCGCTTTCTTGTAACGAGCCATTTTGGTACGTTGCAATGAACAACACGGCTAAGGTCACCTTCGTGTGAATACAATTGTTGGATGGCAATGAACCGGAGGTTGGGCATTTGTAACGAAAACCACAATTTGCTGGAAGATGCCTGCTGGCTAACAGCATACTATCTCCTTTCGTGTTTCCTTCTCACCCTTCTCACTCTTCTCACAGCTGTATGCTGTTCATATGAGAAGCCTCGTGGATGACTTGATTGCAACTGGTATCTGGCTTGGCAGTGGGTGCAACAACACGAGACTTGCTACTCGAACTCGGCGATTCCGGTGGAGGATGTGTGAGATGAACTCGTTTTCTGGACTTCGTTTGAGGAGCTGACTATTTTGCACACCGCAGAGGCTGGTGGGTCTTGGCTATGAGATGGTTGGTTTCCCCTCGCTCAATGATGGTTGGCTGACACCTTGCAGGCCACTTGTCGATATGACTGTTCTGAATTGCCGCCGCCACCTTCTTCTCTTCGCGTCGAAATAACGCGTCTCATCACTCGTCCTCGTGTATCTCCATGCTCGCACAACGAACCTTCCCACCGTTACACCGCGACGGGAGTCACGCTGTCCTCTACTCGGTCGAGTCTGATAAAGCTGCAACCAAATCGTTGGCAAGAACAGTATGTCATCTTTCCAAGTCTTGCATTGCTCTACTAACCTCCGATACCCGGGGACAGACCTTACGGAGTCGACAACTCGAGAGGGACTACATCGTCCAACAAGCCGAGAGCCCAGCTACAATCCTGCAGATGAGAATGGAGGCAGCTGCCACCTTGCACCTTACACGGCATCGCCTCTCACCTCCACCGAGACGAGCACGGAACATTTTGACCTGCGCCAAATGCGGAGGAAAGGTGCTATGACAAACTGGGGATTTGGAACAAGAAAGAATCTGTGACGACGGAACTTGGTCAAGGGAATGTGGGAAAAGAACCGGGGAGCTGATCGGAGCAGGCATGTAAATAGCTTGGGTTGCCCTCAGAGATCTACCTGAGCAAGACGTCAGTGCCTCCAATCTATCGGGGTGGACGATGACTCAGATCTCTGGCTTGTGCACAATCTTGAGAGTCATACTATCAAAGTGTACTCACTCAGAAGAGACAATCAAACACCTCTTCCACCCACCACAACCTAATCAATGTCAATTGTAACCAGTACGTAGTTATGATAATCCCTCCACATCCATAACGCAGTCCCATTGGCCAGAACCTATCAAGAATAGGCCCCACTCAGATCTCCAAATTAATCTTATCAGACTCCCGCAAACCAGCAAAAATTCCCCTCACCACCAAACCACGAGCCCCCATCACCAATACAAAGAAACAAAAAAGATGTCCCGAGAAGCCCTCACCTTCCCCCCCTCCAACCGCACCTTCCTAGAGCCTCATCTCCCCCCTAACAATGACACTGAGCTCCCCAAACCCAACCTCCCCTTCACAACCCTCACATTCGCAACCTCCCTAGACAGCTCTCTAGCCCTGGCCCCAGGGACCCGGACCACCCTCTCCGGCCCACAATCCAAGGCAATGACACACTATCTCCGTTCCCGACACGATGCCATCCTAATCGGCGTCGGGACAGCGGTCGCCGATAACCCGGGGTTAAACTGCCGCATCGAGGGTGTCGGGGGCTACGGCGGGGAGGGATTAGTCGGCCAACCGAGACCGATTATCATTGATCCCCGCGCGCGATGGGATTTCACCGAGCAATCGAAGATCCTGGAACTGGTGAAAGAGGGGAAAGGTCGCGCTCCGTTTATTGTCACTTCTGCTGGCACGGTCCCGGCTGCTGAGAAGAGGGCGTTGTTGGAGAGCTACGGGGGGAAGTTCATTCCTCTTGAGCTCTTTGTTGATGGACAGGGGGAGAGGCAGTTGGATTGGGCTGCGGTGCTGGAATCTCTGAGGAATGAAGACTTAAAGAGTGTCATGATTGAAGGGGGTGGGACGGTTATTAATTCGCTGCTTGAACCGCAGTCGGCGCGTCTTGTTGACTCGGTTATTGTTACCATTGCGCCGACATGGCTGGGACAGGGAGGTGTTGTCGTTTCGCCGAGACGTAGGGTTGAGGGGGGTCAGCCGGTGCCGGCGGCGAGGCTGAAGGATGTTCGGTGGTATCCTTTTGGGGAGGATGTCGTGCTTTGTGGGAGGGTTTAATATGGGTTCTTGGGTAATAGGGTTAGGGAGTGGTCTCTGCGCAGGATGATTTAAGTGCCATGCACCATGGTGGTGAGCATGAGTGCAAGCCTTCAACTCCGGAAAGGCTGCAGTCGGGATGCTGAGGGAGACAGGTGGAATCAATATTACAATCGCCAGAAAGGTTGGGAATGGCATGATATGCCGATCCAATAAATATCTACCGAATATTTACAATGTCTATGCACCTATGACGATCAGTTCCACGTATACTCCCTCCCCGGATGACCCTCACGCAGCCTCGACCCAAGTCCATCCTGAAAGTAATTCTCTCTGGCCGACCCACCGTTCACCTCATAATCATCCCAGATAACACCTCTCCTCCTCAACTCCGGAAACAAATACTCAATCATATCTTCAAATGTCCCCGGAGAAACCGCATAGGAGAAATTAAACCCATCCACACCCGCAACATCAACCCACCTCTGCAGAATATCTGCCACTGTACTCGGAGACCCAATAGCCCGAGGATGGGCTCCCCCCAGCGCCAATTCCTGCAAAACGCGACGTTTCGTCCACTTCAGCCCATTGGAGTTGGGAACAGTTTTCGACCAGCTCGAGATCAAAGACTGGATTCCACCAACGGCAGTGAAAGAGAAGTCCTCGTCGTCGTCGAACTTGGATAGATCGCTGCTGGTCCAGCCGCCGAAGAGTGTTGCTACGCCTTCGAGATCGGATTGGGCTAAGTACTCTTCGTATTTCGCTTGGGCTTTCTCGTCAGTCTCGTCGACGATCACGAGAATGCCCGCGATGAACTTAATGCTGTCCGTTGGGCGGCCAACTTCCGCCAGGTGTTTTCTGTTCTTTATTGTTAGCTTGGTTCCTGGGGAAGGGGGGTTATAGCATCGTACCGCATGTCATCTACCACGGCCTTGGTTTTCTCCGGCTCCAGACCAGGTAGGAACATCACCTCGGAATGTTTGGCAGCGAATTGCTTCCCAGCGCTAAGTAGGTCCAAACGTATTAGCCCTCACCCGAACCTGGCAGAATAAGAACGGGGGATAGGAAACTCACGACGAAGCCCCCGCCTGAAAAAGCAACGGCGTCCTCTGCCTCGAAGCCGGCAACTGGCTCGCAGCCGTGCTCTTGAAATATTTTCCATGATGCTCAATAGCACGAACCTGGCGAGGATCACTGTAAACGCCGGTCTTAGGATCCTTGACGACGGCCCCATCGCGCCATGTCCCTTCCCACAGCTTGTATGTAAGCTCCATGTACTCGTCTGCTCGCGCATATCGTTCGTCGTGCGGGATCTGCTCGTCCATTCCGTATGCCTTCGCTGCACTATCCAGAAATGAGGTGACGATGTTCCATCCCACCCGGCCGCGCGTGAGATGATCCAATGTTGAGAATTTGCGAGCCAGTGCGTATGGCGACGTCTCGTAGGTTGTAGATGCGGTTATGCCGAAGGAGAGAGATGTGGTTACAGAGGCCATCGCTGAGATGAGGAGGCTGTTGGGATTAGTGACGGGTTCATCTTGTAAGGTTCCATTTCTGTGTTTTGGCTTTTCCCATTGTCACGTTTTCCTTTTTTCGTAGATAGAGAGTGGAATACCTACAATGGATCCCCAATAGGGAATTGCGCCCCCGATAACAACGCAGGCTCTCGATTCCCCGGACCTTTATACACATCGTAGATCCCCAGATGATCGGCCAGAAACAGGCCGTGGAATTTGCCTTTCTCCAAAACCTTGGCTAGCTCAATCCAATACGATAGATCGAGGAAATCACCGGCACGGTCCTGTGGATGCTTCCATAGCCCTAATCGAGACAATCGGTCAGCACGCAGCCAGAAAGACCCCAGTGTTGAAGAATGCGGGGGAAATGAGGTAGCTCAACGTAGCAGAAGTCTTACCAGGCGATAAATGCCCAGGCGAAAACATGGCAAAGGCATTGAGGATCCATGGTTTCTTTTCTGAGGTTTTCGTCATGTTGGATTCAATAATTAGGCAGGTCTGCGACAGAAAACGTGAGTGAGGGGAAGGGGAAAATATTTAATGAGGGGCAACAATGTACCTTCTTATATAATGGGATTGAATGTCGGCCTTTTGTCCGTCGCGTGTTTTCGGAGTGGGTGGTGATTGTGTTATTGTGCTGCGTGCTCACGCCATCGGGCGCCCATCGCGCTGTTCATTCGATGTCGGGAAGGTATCCGTGTTTTGGTGCGAGGTACCCCACATGCTGGGATATCATTATGTGGAATGTGATATACTGTTTGTGACTGGCGAAGAGGATTGATAAATAGTATGGACCTCTAGAGCTTTCTCCTTAGAGTTCATGAATGATATAGACCCATACAGGGCACGATGAGGAGGGCGAATGATAGCGGCAGGTAGTGCAGCTTGCCATGTCAGGTACCTTGTTACCAACCACTAGCATTCGGGCAATCAGGGTCCTCTTAGTAATTAAACGGACTTTTCTGTGCATATACCTTGTGGATCAATCCTGACGTAAGGATATTTTCCCTCCGAGGTATACGGATGTGGACAAACTACTGCCAAGAGACTTCCACGCGCACTTTGTTCCAGGGAAGAATTAGAGAACTCAACGTAAATTAGAAATACATACAATATTGATGAATCAAACAGTCGAACGGTACACGACTATATCTACCAACTCGTCGTAGCACCAATGTCCTCCCCAGAGCTCGGCAACAAGAAGTCGCTAGGATCAATCGTTCCATCTGCCTTGCGCGCTCCTTGCACCAAGGTTGCATCAACAGAGACAAAGCTACTGTTGTCCCAGGTGTCGCTACCATCCCATGAGTTGCCTGTGGACACCTGCTCGTCGCTCAAAGAAGTCGGGCTCTCCCCATTCGCAGCCGCGATATTCTTGCTCAAGGTAGACACTGCCGTGCCGAACTTGAAGCCCACCTTGGCATTGTTCCAGGCCGTGTTCCGGGTCAGGGTGAAGTCACCCGGTTGAGAGTTGTCGGTGAAGCCGTCCTTGGAATTTCCGAACGCGATACAGTTGGTGATAACGTGGTTGGCGGGCCCCTTGTCAGCATCGTCGCCGCCACCAAGTTTGTAACCATTGCCGTCGCCTTCGAATGGAGAGAAATCCCATCTGCAGTTATTAGCGTAATTCCAACCGGACGGACAAGAGTGCAAGTACCTGTTATATCCGTTGCCGTACGAAATGGTATCCTCAATCGTCACGGCCGACTTGAACTCCCTGCGATAGTTAGCAAATGCACCACACAGAGCATGAATGACAGCATACCAGAGGTCCAATCCGTCATCGACATTGTTCCACAATCTCGCGCCTCGAAGCACGTTACCCTCACCAGAGCCCTCCTTGCAGGCAAACCCGTCGGCACTCTCCCCATTCTTGCGCGGGTCCCGATTGAGGTACGAGTCGAGGTAGTAGACGCTGTTATTAGACGATGCGCCTTCGAGCTGGAAGCCTATGTTATATTAGCATGGCTCTCAGACATTGCATACACTGCATACCCGTTTCATAGTTCTCCCTCGTAATAATCCGCTCGTAGTGATTGTTAGAAGAATCACGCGCATAAACCCCATACGGTCCATTGATCAATTCAAGATCATAGAACTCCCAGTACTCGGCATCTTGAATGTGGAGAATTCCACGGTCATCATTGGGAAGCGATCCATCCAACTCCGCCGGAGTTCTATTTATCCTGGTAAGTCACAGAAAACAGCAGAGAACCGAAGAGACGCACCCCGGAAGTTCCTCCCCGTCAATCGTGACCTTCTCCCCCTCATAAGCCCGAAGAACATAAGGCGCAGACGCCGTTCCACTCTTCGTGATCTGAATATTCGTCGTCGGCGAATAAGTTCCCTCTCGAAGATAAATAGTCGAACCAGCCGTCGCTTTATCAACAGCCGACTGGATCGACAGAAGCGGTGCGTCGAGTGTTCCCGCAGCGGTATCTGACCCAGACGGGGAGACGTAGATATCGGCCGCCGCCGCACAGAGCGGCACGACAGCAGCAAGTGCGTATACAATGTGGTACCTCATTTTGCTCGCTTTGTGGGTTTATGACATCTCCCACAGGAGAAAATACTCGGTGCATATAAAGGCCTGCCAAGACTTCCCTCATTGCTGGAAAATAAAACCGGCGCGGAGATTACTTGTCTAGCCAAGCATGTCGATCGTTTCATTCCGGGAGCGGGCCTTTTCACCGGTGTTTCACGGTAAGGACGGGCTCTGCTCGGCAACGATTTTGTGATCGGTTAGAGATGAAGATAAATTGCGCCAATCGGTTGGCCGTACGGAATATGACTCCTTTCGGCACCTGGCGGATCGACTCGTGGAGGTTCGGGGCGTTTCCTTCACCCTTTCATTATCATCCATTTTGCTGATAGGCCTTGTCTTGGGGTTTGGTTCTACTTTGTGTCGTTTCAGCTATGCAGAATGCTGGGCATATATTCAGTGTGCCAAGCAGGTCGTCGTTGGCTTGATCTCTTGCCACGGTTAGGCAATGCACATATATTCGGGAGCGACATCACTAACAGACATCTGTCCTTCTTTCACCAAAGTCGGTTCAATCCCCCTGCTATATTGACCCTGTCCTATCTGTTTACTTTCTACATCAAGTTCCCCAAGAAATAGGTACTACTTGTACTATATTGATGGGAGTGCATGCCACGTGGTCATTAAACCCTAAGACAACAGCTCCCGCGCACCATGGTCTAAAATGCATGTTACTAAAATCAAATGCAGTGTCTAGACGCGCAGGACTAGAATGAAATGGACAGTTACAGGTCGGCCCTGCATGTAGTCTGTGTTTCAAGCATGGCATCAAACTATTGCTCTGGAGACATATGCAACATATAAGACGTGTATCTTTTTCATTTGACTAAACAATATGCCGTGTAACTAACAGACGACGCATGAATCGCATACCATGCCCAGTAGAGGGAGGCTTGTTCAATATCAGATAAGCCTTCAATGTAAACTTTATATTGGGATGATCTGAATCCTCTAATTGAACTTTCAACCAGGCAAAGTGTTTCAGTAGGTTTAGTAGCATCTATTCCGAGGCACTAGATGAAGTTAAAGCCGAATTACCGTACAGGATCGCCCAAGTATGTAGACGCTTGTCTCTCAGAAGGTCACGTATGCGTTGCGTGTGTTTGGGGTTGATGGGTCAATGATTTGGGGCCCTACTTGGAGTTATCGATAGATGTTATAGGTTTCTTTTTCTAATTTCTTTTTTTTCAGAATCGAAAGGCATCATCATCCTGTGTCGATGTGTATGCCGAGATAAACATCGGCTAGTTACTGCTGGCTCACTATTACACAGACATTTGTCAGATGGCCTAAGCCTTGTTTGGCCTAATACGTATTGACTTGCGCTGTCTTGATATACACTATGTCTTGTTGGGCATAGCTCACCCGGTGCAATAGCTCCTTTGTGATGCAAGCTTTTACCTTTTATACACGTAGTCACTCCTAACACGGAACAGTTGCGACCCTTTTCCGTTTCGCTTTTTCCTATTGCCTTAGTTTCATCATAAGGAGAAAAAAGAAGTAGACTTCCTGTGACTCTGTTATGGTTCCGTTCCGATACAGGACCGGCCACCCCTCGTACACAATACCCATTCGGTCAATTCCTTCAACCTCTTTTTCCATCGCCTACTTATTCTTACCTAGCTGGCAGGGTATTTACTCTGTATAGTAGATCTTCCGTTGCACTATGGAAGTAATATGCAGCCGTATACGATTGCCGAGAAGACAATATATAGACCAACCACATGACATATGGGAAGAGTAGATGAACTTCTACACTGAGATTTATAAAATAGAGTGATCGCTAAAGTCGGCAAAAGCACGGATTGATATCCAATACAAACTGCAGATGATGAGGTCTCGTCCGATACACCTATAAACCCCCAGTCGAGTCACCCCCCGCTGTTCTTTCCGCTCGATCCTCTCTTACCAGCTCCAAACACCGTGCCATCTTCCACTCTCCCGCAGTACCCAAGTGTTTCAAGGCAAGATTGACTAAGAGTTCACCCCAACCATCTAGCCACCACTCATCCTTTAGCAACTCCAGCGCGACCCCATAATGGCCAAGGATTACGAAAGCCGTCGGTTCTCCTTGCAGCAGAAGGTCAAGATAGCCCGCGTCCACCAACACAGGCCACGCCATAAGGGCGCCCGGGTCTTCAAGTGTAGTGCACCGCCTGAAGACGTCACGTAGATGCTCAAGAGATGAGGAAAGTGTGGGGCCCACCTTCCGGTCACTCATCAAATGGCTTGCATGTTGTTCGATGGTCTCTTGTAAACGAGCATACAGCTCGGGGGCATACTTTGTCGTAGCTGGTTGCCGTAAGTTGCGACCTGCATTGAGCAACTGGCGCATATCACCTTGCTGGATCCAGGGACGGGCTTGGCCCACTATTGAGCCTGCTCCGCGGACCAGCTTGAACACTTTGATCACGTCGGCTACTTCCAGCGTATCCAAGGAAGAGGGTGGGTGTTCCGCAGCATAGGCGAAGATAGCAACAAGACACGAAAAGGCGAACAGGGCATGGCAGTTTTCCGACGTTACATTACTGAGGAGTGGCGTACATAGTGATAAGGAGAGATCGTTGTGTCTGATCGCTGCTTCTGTGTATTTGCGTCGGCGCTCCGCCGGGCATTTGTGGCCGATGTGCAAAGCTGAGACAGCTAGAAGGCTGTGCATCAGGAACGGGTAGGATAGTGCCACATCCGGGACGGTGATGCGAAACAGGTCTTGGATTGAGCTGTTATGCGCTAAAGACGCGGCTGTGGTCGTGTGCCAATGGTGCAGGAGCTCGAGCTCCAGCAGTGGAATCGTTGGATTCGCTGCAGCGGAGTGCAACCCCGGACTGGGGCTGCTAGACTGCGGCGGATACTGTTGCAGTGGGTTTAAGGGCAACGGTGCCTGGCTAAGAAAGTTACAAACGATTTTCTTTTTTCGACAGGAACCACAACTAGGGCGAGCTTCGTCGCATTTGATTCGACGCTGTTTGCATTGAGTGCAACCGTGATGTGATTTAGTGTGAGACCGTCGCGAAGGCATAGCTCCTCTTTACTCCGATCAGTTCTAGAGGCTTTCCTTGTTAGGGTGACAGGTCACTCGCTTAAAGAAAGGGTGAGAATCAAGTCTGTCTAAGATCGAAAGGCCAACTTCCAACCAATATGGCTTATCGGGGTCGGGATGTGGAGACTGGAGTGTATCGAATCTATCGATAGAAGGCCATATCTTGGCACAGGCTTCGTAAACCATGCTTTCTCGGGTATGGTTTTCGGCAATGGGGATTTCTTCGCTTGCATTCTGCTGAGGCCATTGGTCCGTCACCGCATAGATGGGTCGTGGAAAAGTCTAAGCCCTGCTTGGCGATGTCGGCCATTTGGATGCTTCATGTCCACAACGGGGACGAGCGGCTGCTGCCTATAGTCAAAGGATTCTCCATTCCTGATTGTCTTGATCCAAGAGAAAAGCATTGGCTATTCTGACACGATACAACTTAAGGTTATTTCTAGATGTGGGTGTTATGAATCAATCCCCAGTAGACGGTGCAAGCACTTTACGTCTGGCCCGCTAAGATCCACAATTCGGATACGCATACGATGAACCATAACCCCTTTAAGCATCTCAGGCGTTCTTTTTGCCAAATCCGGTATAGTTTTCGAAGGTATGCTTATAGTAATCTGAGAGCTTTTCTTTTTTTAACGGCCCAGAATATGTGGCAGGGACACTCTTTGACCGTTTAAATATAAGCCTATTCAGCAAGCTCAATGAACTTCAGTCAAATTAGTCTACTAGTGATAGCGACCAGTTCACTTAAGGCAATATAGGGCAACATGACAGCGCTACAACCTCGCGACGGCTTCAAATTATTCTACTATGATCCATCCCTTGCAGCTGCAGTAATTTTCATAATCTGCTTTCTGGCAACAACGATATTACATACGTATCAGCTTTTTCGAACGCGAACGTGGTTCTTCATACCGTTCCTGTTAGGTGGTTACTGTATGCGCCGATCTGGATCCCCCCCTGGACTAGAATGCTGCAGGATTGGGCTAATTTGAACTGCAGTCGAATGGATAGGATATGTCGCACGTGCCGTGGCCTGTAACCAAACGCCCGACTGGACACTTGGGCCGTACATCGTACAAGCCGTGCTGACGCTGGTGGCACCAGCCTTGTTCGCAGCCAGTATCTACATGGAACTGGGCAGGATGATCGTCGTCCTTGGCGCAGAAAAGCACAGCATGATCCGCGTCAAATGGATGACCAAGATCTTCGTTGCTGGAGACATCCTGTCATTCCTCATGCAATCCGCAGGTAAGACGCACAATGACAACAGATACTTTGACCACTCGACTTACGCGCCACTCCAGGAGCTGGACTAATGGGCGTGAAATCGAAAATGGCCGAGAATGGACCGCACATTATCGTCGGTGGTCTTGTCGTCCAAATCATCTTCTTTGGCTTCTTCATGATATCATCGGCCGTCTTTCATATGCGGATCAACCGTGATCCTGTCGCGGATGGTGCGTCTGGCTTCAACTGGCGACGCCTCCTTTATGCCCTCTATGGTGCTAGCGCACTGATTCTGATTCGTTCTGTCTTCCGTCTTATTGAATATGCGCAGGGCAATGGTGGATATCTGGTCGCGCATGAGTGGTTCATGTATGTGTTCGATGCGTTGTTGATGTTCGGGACCATGTTGATCTTCCACGTGGAGCATCCTAGTGAGCTCAATGCTTGGTTGAGCGGCAGTGGGGTGGTCTGTAGGGGGATAATCCGGTTTGAGAGGATTGGAGGGAGTGGCATGATGATGTCCTAGGTCACTACTTAGCATACCTTGAAGCAATACATAATTAGAGGATGTTATCCCAAATGCCATTCTTATTCTTATGGGAGATATCCCGTAGGATATTGGCGTAGGACAGCTGCTTTCGTCCAAAACTTGCCTTCTTCTTTGTCCGTACCTCGCAACTTGTCTTCTAAGGTGTGGCCAAGTGCCGTTCATTGCATACAGCTCTTTCCGCATATATGGTACCCTCGAGGGGTGGGGTCGTGGTAGACAAAGTACCAATCTCAGTACTTGATGGAAGCCACAATCCACACTAAACAAATACTAGACCTTCACATACACTCTACTATCCAGCCCAGCTACACCCGCAACTGCTTTTAGCCCATCAGCAGGAAGTGATGACCCCTCATCGGGAAGGGAGGCCCTTACTCCCACCGGAATGCATCTGCGTGGCCGCTGCACAAGCCAAGCCTTCACCAGTCAGCAGCAATTGACAAGGCAAAGAAATGGTCTCTGCTCAAGACAATCAGTCCTATATCTAGTAATTATATGGCTATTCACTGGTATCAGCCTGAAAAATGTGAAGAAGATAACGGAGTTTGATTTCCGATCATGGGCTTTGCACGTGACTTGTAGCCATCATAGGTCCGGGGAGAAAAGTGAATTAAAAAGAGAATGAATAAATATTGAAAGAAAGAAAGAAAGATAAAAAGAAAAATATGAGTCTACACATGTTACAATTAAGGAGACATATCTCGCATAGTCTCCGTGCACAGCCAATCTAACTCCACCATCATATCAGGATCAATGGGAAACCCACTCCCAGCCGGATCAAACGTGCGAATATCCTCCTCACCAACAGGTACGCCAGGTTCACTTGAATCAGGATCAGCGTCAGTCGATATACGAGGCTTCTTCGAAGTGGGAAAGCAAGACTGTGATCGACTTTGCGACTGAGACACCGCCCGCTTCGCGGAATTATACGAACGGACCCGAGATTCCCATCGTCGCTGGAGACTAATTAGAAAGTTCTGTGCTCTTTTGGCACTCTCCCATGATATCCCGAATTCTTCCAGTGCTCGGAAGCAAACACTGAGATAGGCTGATATCTCTTGATCTCCATCATGTTTGAGGCTTGCTATCGTGGCGAAGATTAGCATTAGGGCTGCGGAGCAGGTGATGGAGACAGCTTGAACGTTCATGCGACGGAAAGTGTACTGGCTTTCGTAGAGATGAAGAAGTTGTGAGATGGCGATCGCGGATTCAATGCACATCTTTCGGGCGTGGACGTGGCCTGGACCTTGGGGCGGCTGAGGTTGGATGTATCGCTTCGAAATCCATGGGCGGTGGGCGTGGATGATGGTTTGGTGATATTGCATGCTGGTTTGCATGTCAGCATACGTAGATCAGAGCTTGAATTTGACTAGCTTACTGGAGAAGTATGATGTGAGGTAGAACAGGAGCATCTGTGTTGTCGAGATCAATTTGCAGAACTTCAGGAAGGTTAGCTTTCCATTTTAGGAGCCGGTCCGTTGTGTTCTCGTTCAAGCCCTGGAGAATATGTTTCGACACACGGGAGCATCCATAACTAGGCTAGTTAGAATGACAAGTCTTAAGACTCTACTCTTTATGGGTGTGGCTTACAGGACATGACCCAGAGGAGTCATGATTTCACAAAGCTGAATCCGATGTTGGCCAAGGAGGTCAACAGGGTCCGGCACGGGAGCCGCAAGGCAAGCAGGTGGCGGAGATGGAAGACCGTATGGCACCCATTTTCGGTCCTGCTCTTTCGCCTGATGGCGGCCAGGCTTGTCAACTGTGACATCCTCCATATTGACGCGGACTGGTCTGCCGAGGAAGAAGCCCCAAAGACTTGCAAACAAAGGGCATCAGTGAGCATAATCAAAGATTAAACGAGAGGTTGTCTTACTGGTCCACAGTGAAAGTCCCCCAAAACACGGTGCGGCGGAGCTCCGCCTCAGCTGCGTTAATTGACCCTTCAGTCACATAGTGGGCCGTGTCAATGTGTAATCCCAAATCAAAGGCCAATCGCATGGCCATGCCTATGCCGAATTGTCAACCATGAACTTCAGTAGCTGGTGATCGGATGCTTACCGCTGTAGAGCCACCCTCTAGAATTTCTCTTGCATCCAACATCGTGTGCGCTTAGTACGACCATCGCCTGGACAGTTGCCAGAGTGGGTGAGTCCAGCTCAATCTCCAGAAGCGCCTTCGCTCGATCAGCGAAGAAGTCGGAAACCGATCTAGGATAGGTGATGAAGTCGGGATGGTATCGCGGCTCGAATGCCGCTCCAAGGCAGCACCTTCGAAAGTTAGCCTGAAGTGACCCTATCATGGCGGTGGGCTCCAACGACTAAGTTCTTACATGGCATTGGTTAGAGCCTCAGAGTAGTAAGGCGTTTCCTCCATTTTCGTGCGCCACTGGTGCCTCGCTGGTTCGTACATGTCCCTATCGACCACTTGAAACAATGGATTATGCCAAGTAAAATAGAGGTTGATCAGGTGCTCCTCGAATCCCGCAGGAATTTCTTTATTGACACCCAGGCGATCTAACACATCAGGTCCGTCTTGTCGAACGGTACGATGGATAGTTAGATTGTCCGGCGTGGGCATCCTTAACAGATTAAAGTGGGACGTTGGGCCGTAGTAGCGCACATGGCCATCGGACCCTATCTGCAGGCTCCCCATTCTGTCGGATAACTGGTTCACTAGCTCCTCTACGCCTTCACTATCGCTGAGGCTGTCGTCCTTAGTAGAAGTGTCGTGTTGGCATCTTGGCTCAGTGCTTAGTAACTGTTGGATGGACAGTGGCAGTCGCGTCACATTAGGCCGCGGCTGTGCTATATTCTTGCGGGCCCCATTTCCACTGTCCGATTCTTTGGTCTGTGATACAGAGTCGTTGGTCCCGCATGGTGCCCCCGTTGGAGATTCTGTGTTAATCTCAACAAAGGTGTCATCACTGCAGTCTTGGAACAACGAATCGTCTGACGCTGCTGGTAGAGAGGCGACGGTTTCGGAACGACCTAGACCTTGTGGAACGTCTTTGGCAAGTTCTGGGAACGACATCAAGAATAAGTTCGGATCTATAAGATCAGGGTTCAACTCCTCGACGAAGGGTTGCTCCCCTTCACTATCTGGTGGTTGACCCTGATTAGCACTGAGGTCCGGGGCGTTCCTGGGACTCTTCTCGGATCGTTTCAGAGCCGACTGCACATCTTCCATTCCACGCGTCTGCAGTAAATGCCGTAAAGCGGAGTCATCCTCGTCAGGCATTTTCGGCGGTTCAAGCCCCTGGTCATTGATGAATTGGCATAGTTGCCCCACTCGATTCACCAGAAGATCGACTGCAAGTCGTAGCGAAAGCCTAGATAGGTCATATTTATGCATATTAGCGGACTAGCGAATGGCGAACTATTGATCGGGAATTAATGGGGCCAGTGTCCTCCCCGTCTCACCCATAACAAGGAAAAAGTTGCTACTTAAGGTACGTACTTTCGCTTATCAACTCCCAGCTGATAATGGCATGATTTACCTTTCACCTTGCAGTGTGAGCAAATGGGTTTGGTCCCATCGCACTATTATTGTGAGCCCCGACACTAACATGACTGACTGGACTTGAACCTGGAATCAGGTTTCCGGGCATACGAACCTTTATTTTACTCTCGCGACAGGCTAAGCAGGCTGTTGTAACATTTTTACGCTTCTGCGATTGCTTCGTGGGCGTCATATTGCAAGCTCCATAAAGTTCCAATTCTCTCACTAAAGAGTATGGAGGTATGGAACGAGGAAGTTAAGTGAAGGATGATGTCTGTTCTCGGGATTCTGTCTCCGGGGCTCGGCAAGTTCCCCGCGGTCCCGCTGCCGATCGGAAGGAAAATGAGATCATATCAGATCGACTCCGCAGCACTTTGGCGTGCAGGTGCGAAATTTATAAATACCGTATCAGCTAATAGTTTAATGCTTCAGTCCATCCTCCTTGAACACTTAGTGTGGTCTCTGCAGAGAGACTTAGTAAACAGCGGTTACATGCGATGATACGTTCGGTGCTGGAATGTTCTTTATTCTACATGGCCTGACCATCGTCTACTAGCGTTAAATTGGAGGACAGGCATGAGAAAGGAAAAGGTGGAAAGTAGAAGTAATGTGATAACCAAGAATAATGGGGCTTTGCTGCGGTTTCTTGGCTGAAAATGCCATGGTGCTATATGCACAATGAGATAGGGTTACTAGCTAGATGCCAGGACTCAGGATATTCCTATGACTAACAATGCATTTGGTCCACTCTAACTGACTATTCCACATTTGGTCGTATGTGCCGCTGAGATCCAAGAAATCGACTGAAAATTGTAAAGTTTGCCAAGTGCTTTAGGGCTGATCTCGTGGCGGAGCAATATCTCATCTCGTATAGCTCACTAGCCTAATCGCACGATAGAAGGTTCGCATTGGTTCATCCAAATGGCAGGGCTGAGCGGTGCATTAGGCGTCTTTCACGTCTAGATCCTCATGCCATTCTATTGGGAGCTTGAGGTCCGGCCCCAGGGTTGTGAGCTGTATCTTTAGCCCGATGGGGCGCCCTAATAACGTCAGAATACAAACTTGCGGTTTGGCTTCGACCCAACACCTATAAAAACCCTCATGTACTTTTGTGTGAAGTCATTGAGGTGTCTATTTTACTTCTATGCTTGACGTGATCCCTGAACGACGCAGCATGACTTTTCTTCTATTTTTCGGCTTAGCCGTCATAACTGCGAGTATAGCCTCGCCTGTATCCCAACCTCTTCCCACGGCTATCATTGATTCCGGCGCGATTATCGGAACAACCACATCTCTCCCTTCCTCTACCGCCGTCGTTAGAAAATACCTGGGAGTTCCGTTCGGTGCACCACCCGTCCGCTTCAGCCCTCCAGAACCAGTTGAGCGCTGGTCGACGGTCTACAATGCGACACACTGGGGACCATCCTGCATCCAGCAAATCGGTCAAAGCAGCAAGGAGCTCTTTGGCATGCTAGACCTACCCTCTCCGGCAAACGGAGAAAGCGAGGACTGCCTGAATCTCAATGTGTTCACACCTGACACTGCGTCGGCGGGATCTAAGGCTGTTCTTGTCTGGTTCTATGGAGGATCGTATCTAAATGGTGCTACATCTGTCAATCTATACGACGGCACCAGCTTCGCAGCCCACCAGGATGTCGTGGTAGTTACTGTCAATTACCGGACCAACGTCTTTGGGTTCCCTGGTGGAGATGTTGCCGCCACGGAGCGAAACCTTGGGTGAGCATTCATTATTCTGCAGTGCAGCACGAGACAATAATTTAACCAAACACGCATAGTTTCCTAGATCAACGTCTCGCCCTAGATTGGGTGCAGCGCAATATCGCCGGGCTAGGCGGCGATCCCTCCAAGGTGACCATATTCGGGGAGAGCGCGGGAGGTGGTAGTGTCGATGCTCTGATCACAGCGCCACCAGACCCAGTTCCGTTCCATGCAGCGATTATGCAGTCTGGCCAGAGTTCCATCAGCATGCCCTTGGGCGGTGGCCCCGAGAAATACGCGGAATCGTGGAAGAAGCTGGCGGAATTTGCGAAATGCCCTGCGGATAATGCCCTTGAGTGTCTCCGAAAGGCCCCTGCTCTTGAGCTCAAGCATTTTGCTGAGAACGCCAGCCTCTCTTTCGGTCCAGTTCCAGATGGCGGTGTTACGCTATCGGCAACCCCTCGTCTTGATCGGCTCCACTCACCAGAGGGCAATTCTTCCATCGCTCGCGTCCCTATTCTCATCGGGAACAATGCCGACGAACCGAAGCCTTACATCCGAGGAGTCAATGACACAAAGGCATACCTCCAGACGCTCGGGCTCGGCGAATATGTCGACATGATTTTGGAAGCGTATCCGGTAGGAGAACCAGGAACCCACAACGAGAACGACCGACTCTCCCTAATCGGTACCGATCTGCTTATGCATTGTCCCTCCAAGGTCTTCGCCGAGGACAGTGCCAAAGTTGGGATTCCATCTTACAGGTACTTCTTCAACGCCAGCTTCCCGAATAATGAGCCTTTCCCGGGAAGTGGGGCGTTTCATGCTGCTGAAATTGAATTTGTGTTCGGTACTTATCCAAAGGAGAATGCCACTCAATTTGAGCACGAAGTAAGCCAGGCCATGCAGAAGGCGTGGGCTAACTTTGCGAAGGATCCAAGCCAGGGCCCAGGATGGGACGAGGAGCCTATAATCGGCATATTCGGTGATGGGGTGAAAGCTGGGATGAGTGGCGAGGGAAAGAAACCGTTGACTGCAGTTAACTCCACGGTCATGGACAGGAGGTGCGAGCTTTATCGGCCGTTATATGATCAGCTGCTACTTTCTGGTTCTTCGTAGGAGGACAAGAAACTCCACTAATACAAGAGATATGGCAAAGAGGAGCATATGATGTACGTAGATACACTACGGGATACTCCATACATGAGAGTGGCACTGGTACCTGACAAGCAAAATCTCGGAAGAATACTTGATTCAGAGTGGTTATAGAGCTTGACAGTAATTTATTGGGCGCGGCACCAGTGCATAGAGTGCGGATTTCAAAAAATTGTTTGGTTATGTCCGGTATATTATCTATCGTAGTCTTCTTCCAAAATAGATCGAGTAGCAGGACGGAGTTCAAGGCAACGCCAAACATAGAAAGTTGAATTGTCATTTGTGCCCACACAAAACGCTGGGTTGATAAGCTTGATTAAAGGACCCGTTCAATTGGGGTGTACAACTAGGGAACTAGTGAATTCTGTTTGTTCCCTCAGCCTATATATATAACAACAACCTAGCTGATACAAAAGGAACACGTCAGGACACCACGCAGCATTCAAAATTGATATAAAAAAACATACAACAGGAGGGATTCGCTGGTGGTCACCCACCCAACTACTAACCTCCCGGCGTGTGGCTTAAGTACGGCTGAGCGGACGGGAAGCCCTGTTCTCCACACCCTGTGGTCGTATGTGCTAGTTTTGTATAGCCGTTTGACTTATGTTGGAAATCCATAACAGGCAAACTCATGATTTTAAGACGACGCCGCTAGAGCCGGAGTACGTATAGTAGAGACTGGTAGGGAGAATGCTTACACAACACAGAAGACGCTGGAGTGGATACACCGTTAGATAGGGTCTTGAGGTTACCTTCTGAGAAGTAGATAAGAAAGCCATTTACACACCGGGGCATATTTGGTAACTTGACTAGAGATTGGAGCAATCGTTCTGGACGGTCGGGTTTTACACCTATAATGGGTTAATTGCCATTCCGTGTTCATTCTTAGTCTCCCACCAGCCTTGGTTTTCACCGACCTTATAGAGCCTGCTGCAGTTTAAGGCCATATCCTTGTATGTAGGTGTGGTGCTACTGGGTGTACATGCTCATACAATTACTATGCGACAGTGTCGTTAATAACATTCATTGAGCGTTACTCCTAGTGTGTCGGAAGGGGACCGGGAAATGTGTCGGGCGTGTGTGCCACACCGGGATGCATCCAGCTTTTCGCCTTGAAGTGCAACCCTTCTGTTATACTGTAGGATAGAGTCGCTGCACGGGTACATGTACCCGGGAAACGCCCATCCCATCGCATTCACGCAATGTCCATTTTTTTTCCCTTTCACATTTTGCAATTACTCTTTTCCGTTCTAGAACGTTTAAATTGAGTCGGTCCCTGATGGCAGTTTGAGTCGGCATATCTTGGCTAGCTTTACATAATTCCACCCAGCGCTTTATCTGGTCGGCGAGCTCATTTAAACGAGAGTATGATGCACTCGGAAGCTTTTCCGCAGGCTAGAGCGGCTATTAAAACGATAAATGCATTGTTAACACCGCCTTAATCATCGTTCCGACATGGCGTAATTGTTTACACCTTAGTAACCTATCCTTCCGGCTCTGAAAAAAACCCTCGGAACGTTGCTCCGATGTGAAGATAGCCTGTGCGGTATCCACTGTGTGTCTACCCCGTACTTGAGACTAACCCATGTACCACTTCAGAGAGAGTAAGCATAAGAACCTATTGGCCGAGTCTCAAATGTGTGGACATACAAATCATCAGATCGGGTCCATATACTACACCTAGCCAACCCGGGAGCATGTACCCGAGTGTGGAGATGGAAGCTGCCGAATCACTGAGAACGCTGAACTTGTTGTGCCTTAGCCGGAAAGACATTGAATGACAAAATGGGAAGGTCAGAAAGAAAATTCAATCCTTTAAAAGCCTTCATGGAGGTTCACTGTCTGTTCTTCAGAGTGGAATATCCATTGTTTAACCGGCTTTATCCCCCCCCCCTCCGACTAGGATCAACAAATATGCCACTCACCTCGCACAGCCGTTCACTGTTGGATAGCTGTTCAGTACCCCGAATATCGATTGAATTTGCCAATCCCCAGGGACGCTATACCACAGGGGAACGAATCGAGGGAACAGTGACAATTACTGTGGATGCTGAAACCAGGTTCAGCGATGTCAATATCAGCCTAGAAGGTCCGCATTCATCCTGACTATTAGGTTTGAGCACCAGACTGACTCTGAGTTTTGTAGGTTCATCGCGAGTAAACTTGTTGCAACCCATAACCATTCAGCGGAAAACAGGTGCTTCTCATACATTTTTAACGCTCCGCCGACCTGTTGCCGAAGCAAAGTGCCCGGCTTCTCGTGTTTTCAGACCAGGAGAAACTTATCAGTTCCCGTACACATTCGTCGTTCCCGACCGGTTACCTCTGCAATCATGCAGCCATAGCACAACTCACACGGGTATCAAACAGGCACATACGGAAGCTCCGCCCACGCTGCATTTAAAGACCTTGTCGCAAAGCCTGTGCAAGATCTCCTATCTCATCCGTGTTACCGTGTGTCGTCAGAATTCAAACAATAATGAAAAGCCGGGGACACTCGCCAGTTGTACGAAGCCCTTGCACCTTCTCCCTGCGCATGGGGAAGGGGATTTTTTCAGCAGGCCTGAGAAGCCCGACGTGTATACGTCCAGTGCTGTGCAGGAAGTTAGAGGTCAATGGAAAAGACAGGCGCTCGGTCGACTGGAAGCCGTGGCATCTACACAGCAGCCAATCAAGGTTTCTTCACGATGTCCCCCAATCGACACAGTGACTACCCATGTTGCGGTACATCTTCGTTTCGATCCCGTCAGAGACACACTGCCGCCCAGACTTGCGAAAATACACCCTACCCTGAAACAGTCGACTCTGTTCAGTACAGAACTGCAGGAAGATTTTCCAAGTATCAATAAAATACTCTCTGACCAAATGTCTCGAGGGGCCCACGTTCAACTCACCTCCCTTCCCTCACAGGCCATCTCATCTATCCGATGGACGAAGCATACGTTGCCGCATCCTTCTAGGTCTTCCAGCTTTGAGCAGCCTTCTCGCTCCAGCTTCATAGGAGACTCTGAACCCTCTCACACCTCCACCACTGGATGTTTTTACACAGCATCGGTCATGGTTCCAATCACCCTACCGAGCAACATTGACCTTGTCCCGACATTTCACTCATGCCTTCTCTCTCGTATATACGCTCTTGAGCTTCGTCTTTCTTATCGTATGCCTGATGCACCTATCCTACGACGGGCGGTTGCGCTAGAGGTACCTGTAAAGGTTGTCGGTGTACGTATGTTGGATGGGAACAGCGATACCCTCCCGAACTACAGCTCGATTACAGAAGAGAAGCCGTCACGCATTGTTTCTCCGCCTATGTCATACTCTCTCGAATGCAAAGCATGGAGTATGGAAGATCCCAAGAGTGCTCCACAACATTTAAGTTGGCTACCATCTTCTGAGTGGCAAGAGGCATGCCCACCCCCGAAATACGACGATGTTGTTGCACAATCAGCGAAGTGGCTATAACCGCTTCTCATCAATACATGACTCCTTGGGAAAGCTGCTTGCGTGAACGGCTATAAAGGGTTGGACATACGTTGGGAATCAATAAAATGGTTTTTGAGTATATTTGACACAAAATCTCTGTACCTATAATGTCCTTTTACATACATTGTCTACGTATACATATGCCCGAAAAAGACCCAAGTTACACTTCCAAGCCAGTACCTTCTCTGGGTAGTATAGACCCCTGACTCCCCGAAGGGTCAAGACATGCCCATTGCGCATCGCAACTGTTGTATACTTTGCACAATACTTCGTCTACCAGATCCATTTTCTGGCTCATTCTGTTGCCGGCTATTGCAACAGCCTTGCAAGTGAAAAGTCCACTTCGTCACATGCACAAGGAACACGAGCCAAGACACGCTACTACGGAAAATTCTCCGTGTTGATATGATTCTAAGCTACGGCTGTACTGAATCCGCCCCGGATTTCTATAGGATCCGGCCCGAAAGTAGGGCAGGCTCGAGGCGGGCAGCCGGGCTTTGCAATTCCGAGTACCACTAAATCCAACACACGGTAAAACCTCATTTAGATTGCTGACAAATGACGATTCTACAGAGTAACTTTACTTGGAAAGTCTTGGATGTCTCAAACCGTCGTTTCGCAATCCACTTGGTGTGGAATTCGAGGATTCCAATCTCATGCTTAAAGCCACAGGATAGGGCCTCAAGCAACATGGGCTGCACTCTTGCATATTCCACTCTGACACATCCTGCCTCGCATTACTCTCATCACCGCTGGCCAAGCTAGCTGTTCTCCAAGCAAGGATGAAGAACATCGCTCTTTATGCTGACGAAACTGGCGAGCTCGGTGTTCGCCGAGATATACCAATCCCCCGGCCTAGCGAAGGCGAAATGCTGATCGAAGTCCTCTTTACTGGTGTGAATCGTTCCGATATCACCACAGTAAAGCTCCTGGGCTCTCGATCTCGGGTCCTTGGCAACGACTTCTGTGGACGTGTTCTCGATGTTTCGAAGCTGGCGGACACTGCCTTCAAACCTGGTGATATAGTAGCCGGGTACACAATCGCGAATTATGATCGGCCTCTCCGATACGGGTCTCACCAATCGTATATCTCCATCCCACCAGCGGGGGTCTTTACAGTCCCAGAACACATCCCTGCTGCTGATGCTGCGGGTCTTATGACTGTCGTTCAGACTGCGAACGATGCCCTCTTGAATCTGCACTTGCCTCTGCCATCAATGGCCCATGGACCAACGGAAGGAATCTTGGTAATCACAGGTGGCGCTACTACGGTTGGTATCGCGGCGATCCAGCTTGCACGTAGCAGCGGAATCAAGTCTATTATAGTCACCGCTTCACCAGGGCGCCATGAGCTGCTTGAAACCCTAGGTGCAACTCGCTGTTTTGACTACAGGAAGGATGGTGTTGTACAGGACATCAAGGCGGCTGTACAGGAAGCTGGCGCTGGACCGGTATTCGGTTTCGATGCAGCCGGTACACCTGAGTCTGCAAAGCTACTCTTGGACGCCTTGGCAGACCGCGACGATATTCATCTAGCATCGGTCTCTCCCTGGGCTGGAGACCGCTTCGAAGCCGTCCTGGGTGGTCGTGATTACGACGTGATTTTTCATCCGCCGGGTGCACCTGAGCCATTCGTCAGTCCTGCGAGACCAGCTGAAGCGGCAAAAATGTGGGACAGCCTCATGTGGGTACTGCAGCACTATGGAAAGGAATTTAGGCTGCCGGTTATTGAGGTCTTTGAAGGAACTGCAGAGGACGCGCTGGGGGAGATACAGAAAGTAGCAGATCAGGGAAAGTTTGGAAAGCTTGTATTGAAACATCCCCTGCTATGAATCTAAGGGAGTGAGAATGAATCTAGTTAAGCTAATGTCACAAGTTCCAAATTGAGTACCTGCCACTGCTAAACTAGTGTTCTCATCCCGTTTAGCAATTAGTAGCACGCTTTATTGAGCCAGAGTTCTGTACAGAGACTTTCTGGTCGACCCAAGAATCAAACGATACCAGAGTGCGAGGGAGGTCTTGGGTTTGGCAATGCATGGTGAACGTATCTCGGCGCTTTATGCATTTCCAACTCAATACCGAGGCCTGGTTGCGGGAGAACAGAGATTTTTGCATTTCGCAGTAAAGATCAGTAACTGTACCTAGTACTTTGCGTTCCTATTTGTGTTTTCAGTCTAGTCTTACCTTTCCAGGGAGCGTGGGCTGTTCAGTAGCGGATTAGTGTAAGAAAGGCCCCTGGCGCCAAAGCCTCATCAGCTCGCTCACCGCTGCACTACAAGGCCATTGCGAGAAATGCTGACAGGACTCCGGAAATGGGTTCCCAATCATCCATTGTAATACACAGTATAAAAGTAATGCCGCATCCCTTACATGAGCCATTGCTATCCAGGCCAAGGTCCATCTCTTTCCCTTCCAGGACTTCGCTCGGTGTTGATACGCTCACACTTCAAATCCGTAAACATTGGCTTCAAGGCTAGTAGGTGTTGATTGACACGTTAACCCAGGAATTAGATACTATAGAGTGAGTCTGTTGTCAGCCTCACCAAGAGAATCCGCTGACTCTGGGCTTCTCTCAGGATCGAATGATGATCACTCCTGCAATGACGATGCAGCATGTGCCAATGTATCATACGCCGTAATCAGAAGCCCCGGCGTCTCAACAACCGGTTTTCTTGCATCGTCGCTTCACGAGCCCGATGGTTGGCTTAGAGACAAATAGTGTAGTAAACTAGGAAGAGGAGCCACGTATGCGTAACGCCAGATGTCCTGCATCATACAACCCACACGTGGAGATGGAGCGAACAAATAACAGTGGATCACTCATTTAAGCCATCACCACATTGACAGAAGTGTATCCCAGCAATCGCGAGTTACCAACTTATCAACTAGTTTCGTCCTCTTCGTATCCAACGCTACCCCTCTCTATCGCGCAATCATTTTAACCTCATTAGGGCTTACCTGCAGAAATGCCAGCATTTGCACTCTCCAATCCCGAGCAGACACACGCCCTTGGCAACACTAGCATCCACAGCCTCGTCTGGGCGGCGGCAATTGAAACCCCCGTAGAAAACCATACTGGACCGTCTAGATTGCAGGATTTCCTATACTGGCGTACTACATCTGTGGCTGCGAAAAGTGAGGCCCAGTGGTATTGATTTGCCAACCACTCAGCCTCGCGCCCATAGCTCCATTTTCATAACTTTAATTGTATCAATATCAATATCTCAATAGGATGCACTCAGTGATATAGAAGCTCTGCAAAAGTAGAACGTATAAATCAAGCCGTATATCCTCTAGATGTCGGTGTCACACTAGTTCTGTCAGTATCAAGCTGAAAATCAATACACATCAAGAATTTACATACTGGGCCTTTCTTGAATCCTTTCGACTTTGTCCACTATGAGTCCAAATAACTCCTACAAAACCTCCGAAGGTTTCAACACCGCCCTAGGTGCCGGCTTGAACAGTACATGGTCTGGGGCAGATGCCGTCCACGGCGTTGTTAACGCTGGGGTTAGGATTGAAGGTGCTGTTGCTGAGCACCAGGTATATATCCCTATCCTAGTTATTCAACTCATAAATCAGATTGGCAGATAATTATGCTTTATTGCAGTCTCACTCACGTGGACGCAGTGGACCAAAGCGAGAGTCAACGAACAGTTGCAGAGAGCCCAGTACCCGGATGGCAAACCTAGGTTGATCATTCGGCGCAGTACCAGGCTGCAAACCCTGTATGTATTTGCTCTACCAGCTGTATCCTAAGCAGGGCTAATCTGATGTCGATAGACGCTGAGCAACCTTGGGAATGATCAGCAACTATATAATCGTGTTAATGGGGTATGTAGTATAGTTTCTCGTTACCTACTGGAAGGTCATAAGGCTCATGCTTTTGCTTTAGCAACGTTAGGGACGTGACTGAGCCCGGGGGGGTTGGATATTTATTCCTGGAAAGCGTCTGAGAAAAGGAGTCGCAGCGAAGAAATTCATTGCAATGCCTCTCTGCTTCGAATGAGAATACATTTCCCTTCATGTATTGACTTATCCGGCCGACAATTCAATTTACTTCAATTACGTGGATTACTCGATGTAGGAAGTGCATGCTCAGAAAATTGGTCAAAAAGCGGACTGATCGGCAAAGCGTACTTTCATGGTGTTCCCAATACATTAGCGAGATGTATCTGGATATTTTATAACCTTATTGCTGAGTTCCCCCTATTCTTATTCAATGATTAGATGATTTATAGTATGGCCGGCTATGCTAATGAGTATATTGTAGGTTTTGTACGATATATCAAGTCTAATAATTTATTAATTCAGTGCTGGCGGATCGGCCAACAACTCTATTCTGTTGCAGCTATAGCCATGAGGGTAGCAATCTGTCTTACTTTACTTCCTTTCACGGGTTTCCAGAGAGTTTATTCCACCATCCTCTATATATATAGTTATAGTATTTACCACTGTTGCAGGAGTCTTGAATCTCGCTGTTGGCATTTCCCAGTGCTCACCCGTTTCGTATTACTGGGAGCGATTGACAGCCCAGGGCAAATGTCATGATGATCTTGAGATGTTGGTTGTCTACATCAATAGCAGTGCAGCTATCGTATGCGACCTTGTTATCGGGATTCCACCTGCAATTCTGCTGCGAGATCTCAAGAAAGTTAGTCGCGAGACCAGGGTTGGAATTGTTGTTCTTCTTGGACTTGGCTGGCTGTTAGTTATACAATGCCCCGGACTTCTCCTGTCGAACACCCCTTGAAAAGGTACATCTTTTGATTCTGATTCTCTTTTTTCTTTCCTTCTTTCTTTATCACACCGTTCAGGCTACTCGGTGTCAGAAATTTATTCAGTTGACAATTCGCATATTCATGACATGAGCCACTGCGCACGATACTCATGATAGAATCTGGTCACAGACTTACTCGAGGGGACATGGATAGAGTTATAGGGACATTTTATGCCCCTTCAGGTGTTGCCAACGTGGCCATTTACCATGACTCTATGGTTTCCCTGCCAACCCATTGCCGATGCATGGCGATCCGGCCCCGCTACGATACTCACTCTCTCACACCGTCGTCCTATGAAGCAACGGGCGATGGTCAGTCAGTAAACGATGGTGTGGCTGTTTCTTCCTGTGCAAGAGGAATAGAAGATTTCTCGACCACATAATTTCGCGGGGCCCGGGCGGCGTCTCGTATAGTTGCTGCCTGAGGCTCGCGGGGAGCTCTGTTCGTAGATCCAAAAGTATACTGAACCACCTAATCATATTCCCGCTTCGGTTAGCCGTCGTACCGTTGTCCAGGGTGATCTATCGCCCCTCCTTTGCCATTTTTTGCGAGCCAGCGTCCCCTGCACCAGAGTTAACCCTCCCGATTGTTTCCCTGCTCTACCTTTCCTGCAATCAATTCGGAGGTCGTCGCTGGTCACCACGTATTTGATGACATAAATACTGTAGAGACGCTCGTTGCTCACCTGGACGACTTGTTTTATCCGATTCTTCGCTTGGTGCACGTTTTGGGAAGTCGCCTGTTAATCCTAGTAACCAGCCACGGTTCCTTCTACCCGCCATGGAGAAATACCAGAAAATCGAAAAGATTGGAGAAGGTGTGCGGCTATGTGATCTGAAATCCATTAGCACCGGCCTGTGGGTCCCGACTAACCCGACATTGATACTTAGGGACCTATGGTGTCGTCTACAAAGCTCGTGAGCTTTCTCATCCGAACCGGATCGTCGCTTTGAAGAAGGTCCGACTGGAGACAGACGATGAAGGCGTTCCCAGCACAACTATCCGTGAAATATCGCTCCTGAAAGAGTTGAACCACCCTAACATCGTGAGATTGTTTAACATCCACTCAGAGGGCTATAAACTCTACCTGGTCTTTGAACATCTAGACCTCGATCTCAAGAAATACATGGACGCTCTTCCTGTCAACGATGGCGGACGTGGTAGATCTCTCCCAAATGGCCTAAGCATGGACATGGGGCTCGGAGAAGCCATGATCAAAAAGTTCATGTCTCAGCTAGTCGAAGGCATTTATTTCTGTCACAGTCGTCGGATTCTGCACCGTGATCTCAAGCCTCAAAATCTGCTGATCAATCGTGACGGCAGTCTCAAGTTGGCCGATTTTGGATTGGCAAGAGCTTTTGGCGTTCCTTTGAGAACGTATACGCACGAGGTATCGTCATTCTGTCCCGAAACCCATCACCACATCGTAACTGATCGTACTGCAGGTCGTCACACTATGGTACCGTTCGCCAGAGATCCTTCTAGGTGGCCCCCAATATTCAACAGCAGTAGATATGTGGTCATGTGGTGCTATCTTCGCGGAAATGTGCACCCGCAAGCCCTTGTTTCCTGGGGATTCGGAGATCGATCAGATCTTCAAGATTTTCCGGTATGGTGTCCTGGCCCCATGGCATTCTTGTCGCGAGCTGATCTCATTTGTTTTCTTATAGCCTCCTTGGTACCCCTGATGAGGATTCTTGGCCGGGCGTTACTTCGTTCCCGGACTATAAGTCATCATTCCCTAAGTGGAAGCGCGACAAAACTAGTCCGCTTATTCCTGGGTTGGAACGGCATGGATTACGTCTTTTGGATGCCCTTCTTGAATTTGATCCGGCGCAAAGGATGTCTGCAAAGCAGGCACGCGAACACCCATACTTCCGGCATGGGCGGTCATAAAGAGTCGTTTGTAGGGAGTTGCTCTCTGGCAAATGGTGCTCAGTATGCGGGGCAGATTGTGAGGGACTGGAATAAAGGCATAGGCATGTCGATTTCAGAATATTTCTTTGCTTGAATCGATATCTTTCTGTCTTGCATATGCGAGTCTATAAGTATCGATATAATCAGCAAGGAAATACGAAAAGAAAGGGTATTTAAGAACAATGACGTACAAATTAATGTTTCACATATTTCATTGACGCGATTTAGCTCGCGGAAATCTCCGTCTCTATTAGTAGCTGGCTTAGGGTACCCGTCGAAGAGCTGCCGGTGGTAGCCGTTGACTCTTAGTAGCCGCCAAAGTCGTAAAGCGGCGACAGGTTCTACTCGTGATAAAAGTCAGGAGAAAGATAGAAACGTTACTGAAAAGTGAGACGGCATCTTCCGGATGAGTGACATACTGAATCGGTCATGGAAGCTTCTCAGACCCTCAGCTCAACTTCTAAGGGCTAAGAATTCGAGCCATGTCTCACTCTATAGCCACTGTACATTTGCCCCTTTCTAATGCCTGTTCACTCGCTATTGGAATATAATTTTGCCTTCCTCTACCTAGTTCCTAGCTGTCGCTGTTTGTAGTTTAGGGAAGAATAGCCATCTCTAACCCTATCTCTCCGAGCACAGTGATTGCAAATGGAGTTTACTCGCCTCGTGGGTATGTTTTAGATGAAACTTTTTTATATTCGTAAGTGCTCAGCGTAGATAAGTTAATTAAATTTGACTCCTAAAGAGCAATGATCGCGACATATAAGGCACCGCCAGCCAGCAGCCCCGTATTCGATTCCATCATCCCGTATAGCTGCACAATAAACGATACTACTATAAAACGAAGCCCGGGATTACCCAACTTATGACCCAATATCGCAACATATAATAATAAAGCCTTGATTTCCAGCATGAACTGAGGTGTAATATGAAAGTCCGTATATGTTAGTAATATCCCGAGTATAGTCCTCACCACACAACTCGCCCGTGAATTATCATAATAATTGAAAACGACTAGAATAGACCCTTGCACTGGCCCTATACGGAAGGCGATCCCCGAGATTAAACAGGACACTCAGATTTCGACCGAATGGCACCGCCGAGTTGATAGATCCATTGGGCCGGGAGTATCCCGCGGGAAAGCCGAACCAGGTTCTGAGGTTTACCTCAGGCATCAATATAGACTAAACTCTAATTTACACTGTTTCAGGAGGGAAGACCCTAACTAGTTCTTTTAAAGGTAAGTAGGGTTTCAAGTAAGGTAACATTCTCGAACACTGCCTCTCAACATCTTCCCTTGAGAAACACTCGAGGCTGAGAAACCAAGATCTCTGGTATATATTGCATATTCTAGGGAGATGAGCCAGTTCCTTATCTAAGATTCGAAAAAAAACTAATCTTGCAAATTGCTCCCGCTTAGTTAAGCATTGCTCTATGAATTTTTCGTTCTGGCCACACGTGGAGCCCTTATCCGTGGCGTATCGGGACCATGGGTCTTGAATCAGGGGAGTCTTGGCTGTTTATCGTTCAGAGTTGCATCAATGAGTATGCAGGACGGCTCGAGTGGAGTGAAGACGGGATACGGGAGCAAAAATGCATCACGAGGCCATAGGCATCTATTTCAGTCGCTCGTATGAGCCCCCTGTTAGTGACAGATTCCCTATCCGCCGTTCGAGGGTTCCGTCTGTGTCCCTTGGTAGCAGTTGGGAATCAGTTATGGGGCCGGTGGGTCTGACATGGTTGTTGGTGCCTTCTTCCTGCATCGATTGGGAGGCGATCGGCACTACAATGGTGAAACATGGGACGACAACCTACCGACAGATCAATGGAACGTAATGAAACGACTGGAGCTAGGTCGGTCAGGGACAGCCTGACGAGCCGTTCAGAATCGATATAAAAGATTGATCTGCGGTCGCCGAGTCGATAGTCTTCTCGAAACCCAACGTCCTTCTTTCTATCTCCCATACTCTCGCTCATAAGCCCTGGTGGCTGTCGATCATTGCTTCTTAGTCAATCTTTCGCATCTATTTCTGTCTTTCTCAGCCTTACCAATTTTTTTCTTGCATCCCAGCGATCAAAATGCGTTTCTTCCAGACACTCGTTGCTCTCCCCCTTATCGCAGGCGCCGTTGCCAGCCCTCTCGAGACGCGCGCTACCCTCGAAAACTGCAGCCCTGAGGGGAAGCAAATGATCGATAACGCACTTGCCCAGGCGGCAAAGATGGCCCAAGCCGGCGCGAACCTCATCCGCACTAATTCCGACTACTCGGCCAACCTCTTCCAGAGCTTCTTCAAGACCAACGACGCCCAGTCACGCAACCGTGTCGCGGGCGTCTTGGACAAGATCGCCACGGAGGCCACGAACGGAAACCAGGGTGTCGTGAGCTACTACTGCACCCCGGAGGGCATCAACTGCGTTGACAGCCACGCTTTCACCATGACGGCCTACGGCGAGACGGACGGATACTACGGACGTATCCGGACCTGCCCTGCGTACTTCACCAAGTTCCCCGCCTGGTCGAACTCCTGCAGTGTTCTAGATCAGGCCACCTCCAGCTTGCACGAGATGGCCCATACCAAGGGCATCTTTGGTCCTGAGACGTATGGCTATGATGCTGTGCATGGCTTGAATGCTGCTTCTGCTCTTGAGAATGCGGAGAGCTATGCTTTCTTCTCCAAGTGTAAGGTTTCCCAAAGTTTCCACAGAAAATATGATACTAATCTTTCTTGCAGCTGCGTTCCTCAACTGCGATATTACCAACTAAGCAGTTACCTTTGAAAACTAAACATGCATCGTGGAGCGATTATTATCGGGGTTCAGGTGGTGTCGGCAGTGGAGTCGGGGTTGTATTTGATTATCTGTGTACTCAGCTCTCATTCGTTTCGTCACAAAGGCGAGGCAGGGTGGCCTGGCATCCAGCCATTGTAGTATACATTCACGAGACTCCTATGTCTCAGTACAAAGAAATTCTAAAATATTCTATATATAATCATATTCAGGGAAGGTTTAAACCTCTGACAATCACGTTTCGTCCCAATCGCCCTGTGGATACCATGCACATACTTTGTATATTGTTACCTCTGCACTACTAAGTAGGTTTGTAACTGCCGGAAGGAGCCGAAGCTTCCGATTCCTCTCGGGATTCTATTTAAGGATCTTGGCTCCGCTGGTTCATCGTGTGTTGGGGATCTGGGTTTGGGGGGATGGAGTCGTTAGGGTGAGGTAGTATATATTGCTAATATCTATCCCCACTGTCAGGGGTCCTGGAACAACGCTTATGCACAACCATCGGGTATATTGAAACAGACGACAAAGGTAGATATCATGGGGAAGCGAAGAATTTTGGTGACGACAAGTTGCATGGTTGTGTCACTTGATCTTTATTTAACTATCGCTAATTTTAAGGAATTGCGCTCTTTCACTTAATGGAACGAAATATATATAGTAGCGGAAGGGGTCTCCGGATGGCACCACTCTTTTTGAAACTTGTTGGAATTCGACATTTATTCAATATATCTTAGTGCGAACTGAGCCTCGCAATGACTATACTAGGTAAGTGAAGTAAGACTGTTTAATCCGTTGCCTGAACTGGCCCGACCTTACAGAAATGATACTGAGCGTTTTTTGGGGAGGTGTTTTTGTGTTGCTGCCTTTTTGGGTTTAGTGGCCCACTGGGAAGTGAATGCCAGATATTTCAGGCTTTGATAAGGATTACACGTGACTGACAGTCACAGGAGTTACTCCAAAGGAGGTGCGCTATTCCCGGATAGGCAATGTTGACGCTAGGCAATTTCAGGCACATTGCACGCCAACTTGGGACTTACTCGGTAGTAACTCTTTTGGGTCTCATTCGCTAAAGTCCTTAGCCTTGAGATATTGAAGAACTACGGAGTATAGCGAGCCGTATCGTGGGACAAGGTACAGCTCCCAGATCCATTAGGACAGTAGCAGAGGTAGTCGAGTAAAAGAATAGTCAAGGACAAGGGTTTAGGATAGCGTTCAACAAGCAAGTTTTATAGAAGAATTCCGATGTGACTTAGTAGAGCTCTTTCCTGGTGGCTGTTGAATGCGATGTTTACATCGCTATTCTTATGACCCCACATTGACTGAATAAGAGTCGTCCCCCACTGCCCCATTGCAACACGTCGCCGTAGGCTGGGTATCAGCGATCCGATCTCATCTCATGATATATGGGTGATATGTTGGACCTCAGCGACCGAGGGTGGGGAGTCTAGTATGGAAAGAAGCGGAAGGTAGATGAGGTTCTAGATTAATGCGGGGGAGTGGAAGGGTTGTGATGTCGGCTTCAATCCAAGTTCCTGATCCGAAGACTGATATGAATGTGCAATGACGATTGGGTGGATGGGGACTCTTCCGAAACAGGCATAGTTCGTGGTGGAAGGGAAGATTTTACCATTGGAAGATAATGTGGGATAGGGCTAACGCTGTCTGCCTGAACCCTCAGGCTGGAGCCGGGTATGCATCCTCCGTACTGACCGCCCAGCGGCAGCGTGACTGAGAACATAGATAGAATGCGAAATTTGAAGATGACGATGAAGAACATACATTCAAAAATGGTATTCGATTAAATTCAAATAAAGAAAATGAGGTGAACTGCTCGTGTACCGCACGAGAGGAGGAAGAACCATACCGTCATGGCAAGTTGGTGATAGTCATGTGATCTTCAATCACCTGACCATCGACCCCGTTAAGCGAGACTTGGCAGAAATCGGAATGCACACCAAAATTGCCCATCCTCACAACCACCCGAACAACATCGCAGCTTTCGAGGTCGACAACTAATACGCCAAAATGGGTCGCGTTCGCACAAAGACCGTCAAGCGGTCCGCCAAGGTCATCATTGAGCGTTACTACCCCAAGCTCACCCTTGACTTCGAGGTCAACAAGAAGCTTTGCGATGAGGTGGCCATCATTGCCAGCAAGCGCCTGCGCAACAAGGTAAATCTCATCCACGGTCGACACAGAAAAGAAACATCGAAACTGACGAAGGTTTTCTCGAATAGATTGCCGGATACACCACTCACTTGTATGAATTCCCGTGTGCCTGAATTTACGAATATGGACTGGTCTCGAAAGAAAGGAAACACCCCCGCGACTAACCCGACTTTTTTCAACTCAATAGGATGAAGCGTATCCAGCGCGGCCCCGTTCGTGGTATCTCCTTCAAGCTCCAGGAGGAGGAGCGTGAGCGTAAGGATCAATACGTTCCTGAGGTCTCCGCTCTCGACTTCAGCCAGCACTCCGAGACTGGCAAGCTCGATGTTGACCAGGAAACCAAGGATCTCCTTAAGAGCATTGGTGTATGTGATGGACCTCTCTTCCTTGCGGATCCCGGATGATGGTGGCTAACGCAACCAACCACAGTTCGACTCTATCCCTACCAACGTCATCCAGGTTTCCCAGCAGCAGGTCTCCGACCGTCCCCGCCGCTTCGTCCGGTAAATAGATAGTCGTGCAGGATGACGGATAAGGGAACACCAAAAAAATGACATGAAACGGTTGACATCCCTCAGGGAATGGTGGTGGTGACGATGCTACTTTCAAGGATGGGTAATGGCGTCAAAAGACTTCAGGAATAGTTACTTTGGGGAAATAGGTTCCGGGCATCTTTAGGATGAGAAATGATACGCCAGGCCTTTTCTCTCATTTCTGTCATGTTTTAGCAGTTCTGTAAATCGCTGAATTGCACCCCTGGGCAAAGAATGCTTCTTTTGTCACGATCAAGACATCTCGTCCCGCCACCATTCTCTTCGTGCTCTTAGATATCCGGTCAATATGAGCCATTATCCACGAAGATAATTGTTTTCCCATGTGTTTTCTGTAGTTCGGTTGAGAGACTGGTCTTCACGTCTGGCTGGTTCCAAACGTGCCCAAGTACCACCTATCCATAGTTATCGACGTTGCATCCGGAGCCGTGACTGCCATGTTACCAAGACCTCATTTGAAGAGCGATATCATGTGCTATGTACTTCGACAGTGCTGTAAGCTATCGATTTTGGCTGTAACGAGCCAATATATGCGCAGTATGATCGATCAGGACTGCGTATATGCTCACCGTTTAAGCGTTATGACAACCAACGCACATATCTTAAATATATATAAATATGTGTGATGGACGACCTGACTGTTCGCGGTATCACTGCCGCTAGTGTCCGATCCAAATGTGATGGTTGATTTTTCTCCGCTATGAGGGCTTGATTGAAAGCAATAATTTTCATTTACTCCAAGATAATCTACTCCGTACTATTCCTTTCAATAGCACCGTCTCTTGTCTCCTCCATGGCCTTCAGATTTACACTTTGCCTGATTTGGGTCTCGGCACGTGCCAAGCTTTGTCGCGGAACATGTGACACGCAGATCATGGTTACCTAAGCCACTCTACGATTGTTATGCTTCCTCTTGCCTTGATAATCTTCTGTCATTAGTGACATCTTCGTATTTATCTATAAATATTATATTGCTGATGATATATCTGGCTATTAAACAGCCAGACCGGTATTATGTGTACTAGTTTCCTGTTCGTTGATTATCCGCGATGGGTGCTTTAGACAGTCTGCGAGGGCGCATGGACTCTCGGTTCGACCACAACTGGGCTCTTCATCTCAACCGGCGTGTCCGTTTTTGGTTCTGAACGCGTCTTCAAGGATACCGTTTCAGGGGATAATGTGTCATGTGCTTCTCTCTCTACCCCAGACGGTGTCGGGGTACGGGTTTGTGGTCGCTCCTCTTCTGCGCTGACAGGCGTCGCTGCCGGCTCGTTGGGTACATTGATGATTGCGTCGGCAGGTGGTTCAGCGGGCAGTGAGACACTTGACTCTCCATGCAGTTCAGCCGGTAAATGACGGGCATTTGGTTGAACTCCCTCTGGAGACAATTCCGCTGGTGATTGATTCTCAGGCCCTGTAGGCAACTCCAGGCCCTGGGGGACCGGGTCCAAACTTCGGGTTGTCGGCTCTGAAACGGGAAGCGTTTCCCTTCTTTGGAATGCGTCTGATTGTAGAAGCTGCAGGAGAGGCGTAGCCTCGGGTGGAGGTGGTATCTCTCCGCTGAGTAACTGACTCACACTGACCTTGCACTTATAGAGTTTCTTGTTTGCATGCCTTCGTTCCACCATCATGCCCCCTTCAACGCTAACACCACCGAATAACCCCTTGGTTTTGGAATAGGCGTACATCGTTGCGAAGCCCTCCATATTAGCATTGGTAGTGAATTCGGCGTTCCTCCCGACCGGCCCGAACGCAAGTGAGATGTTCGCGCCCAAGGTCAAGCTTCCCATTCGTAAAAAGGAGCGAAGTCCGGCATCGTCGAGAATAAAGACGAAATCAGTCAATTCGAATCCCCATTGACCACCGAATCCGACCCCGGCTAATGAAATCGCGGACGGGGCAGACCAGCTGCCGTTATCCAGTCGTGCGATGACTAGGCCGGACCCGAAGCGGGCAGATCCTAGCATTCCAGCTTTCGCTACTGTGCATATTGCCAGACCCTAAACAAAAAAAGTCAGAATGTTTGTTTGTCTATCACCAGTTATTGTATGCCGTGCCTACCTTGGCATTGGCGAGCACCTTTCCCGGGAGCTCTTTCCCAGGGTTTCCGAAGTGTGGTGCTTCTAAGAAGGATTCAAGAATTTGGCTTGCCTTCTTGCATTCGCCTATTGCGATGTCAATCATTATCGAAATTACATAACGATACTCCGCTGGTGAAGGCACTTACTGCGCAAGGAGGCAGGTAGCGGGTTGTGCAATCCCCTCGGCATGTTAACGATCACTCTGGTTGCTACTGAACGTACGTTCAATGTCCGATTGAAAAGCTCGCCGGGTGTTTGTGATAGGGATTGTCATATTAATGAGATGCAATTCTCACGAGGCAGAATCAAGGGGTAAGGCTAACGTCGCGTGTCTTCCTGGCTGTGAACATTGGCCATAGCCACCCGTATATCGTCTTGGCTTCGGCATCATCTCCACAGTTCTGAACTGTTTGGGCTTAGTGCTTACGCCAAGATACGAGCTAAATTCTTAGGTTTCGTCCTGCAATTTTCTTCATCCAGTTTCGTACCCAGCACTCTCTCAAATCTCTGAAGTTCAACATCGGTAGTTGTTGTCTACTTTAGCGCATAAACACTCAACATATCCGCTCCCCTCCCTGCCTCGTATGATCGAGCAGGCTTTCGATACTGCAGCCTCCTAAACCGACCTGGTAGCTGATCGACCCGATCAACCTCAGCCTCTTCCCCAATATTCTTGAATCCGTCACCTCCCCGCGCCAGAAGATCCCAATGGACTCCATTGAGACCCCAAGGCGGACCAGGCTGAGTCGGATCCTTGTACATGGGAAATTCCAGACAAACTAAGACTCCGTCGGAAGCCACCACCTGGCTCATGCGCGCTGCCCACTGCGGCCGCATTTGTGGGTGCAAAGCACAAAGGAACTGCCCCAGTTAGTTTCATTCTGAAGATATCACTAAGATATCACCAATATGCAAATACCGTATAATCGTAGACCAGATCAAACTTGATATCTCCTTTCGCTGAGATCTGTCGCTCCCAGCCGGGGTTGAAGAAGTCCCCTTCCACAAAAGAAGCATTGCCCGGCGTCACTGGCCCTGTCCATCCTAACCCGAAGTTGTATTCCTGAGGCCGTTGCATTTCAGACGCCGCATATGCCTCCGCAGTGGCTACACCCGTTGCTGATATCTCGAGTCCATAGGCGTCGAAGCCATGCAGGGCGAGCATGATGACGTCATAACCGCGCCCACAGCCCTGATAGTGTAGATTGGTCATTAAACTGCATGGAGAACATCGAGAAGACGAAGCTCATACGGGAACGAGCGCCTTCTTTCGCTGGCCGTCTGGCCTCAAAGGCTGGAAGATAGCGTTATCCTTTTCTTGCTCGATTAGATCAATCAGTGCAGGGGAGGGTTTTCCCCGGTCCCAGAGATCGCTCTCGTTCGAGTCCCAGAGGGAGGACCAACCGGATCCGTGTTCCTCTAACGGCCTGAAGCAGTTAGTGATCAAAACCCATTCAGATATCGTGAGCAAAATGTTTGCCTACCGGTCTTGAAAGTGGCCGATGAGTCGGCCTTGCACGACAGGTGTTGTGGGTACTTGTGTGGAACTCATTACGACTGAAAAAGCAAAAGGCAGATTTCTCTAATGTGATACCTAGTGAGCTTCCATGATCAGGTCTCGCATGGCCTTTTTATACATACGCTCATGGGGGGCGACATGAATCGGAGTCTATCAGTTTGACCTGGAGGGTGTGGAAATGTGGGTCGGCCGGCTTTCCAATCTCTCTTGGCAAGCCTATTTCGGTCAATGAATCACGGCGGTGATCGCCGACGGCGTTTCGGCGTTTGGAAGGAGATGCACCATTGCTTATAGGAAGAAAATAAGCTCTCCCCATTGCTACCAGCTTGGGAACCGTTACCACCATCTTCTTCACCCGCTACAACATACGGTAATATTCTCACTATCAGATACGACTGGTCCTCAATTGAAAGCGAATGCTATTGCGATATGCTATATTCAACGCATCTCGTTCAATCGCCTATGCCGCCACCTGTAATACTGCACGACCAGCCAACTGACCAGCATTCAGCTTCTCGATCCATGAATCCAAGTCTTCCAACTTCCCCTTTGACAGAATTGGCTGTTTCCGACTTAGCATGCCGAACCCGAACTCGCGTGGGAGAAACTTACATGTACGATGCCTCGCGCCGTAAAATCAAGCGCCTCCTCTACATCTTTCAAACTCCCGGTGATGTTCCCGACGATATTTAATCGTCTCAAAGCTATAACAAGCGGAGGTGCGCCCGCTAGAATGGATGGATCCTTAGGTAGACCAACAACCACCATTGTGCCACCGGGCCGGAGGTACATGGGCGCCCATTCATAGACGGTCTTAGTGGCAGCCGTCACGACCACGCCGTGTGCACCGTGTTTCGTGATTCGCATGACCTCATCCTTTAGGTCCGCAGGAGCTTTGAATTTCTGGAAATCAATGTATGCTTCGGCCCCGAGCTTCTCACAAAGGTCCCGCTTCTCATCTCCGCCGTCGATGGCGAGGACCCTCATGCCCATTGCGCGTGCATACTGGATAGCCAAATGCCCCAGTCCGCCTCCAGCGCCGGGGAGCACAAGCCATTGACCGGACTTGACGGCAGACCTAAAGTCAAAGAGTCACGCCAACTCCCACACATCAAACAAAAGAGCGCCAGAATGGGAGTACATACCTCTTGCAAGCCGTATACGCAGTAACACCGCCACACATAATCGGACCGGCTTCCTCATCAGAAACCCCATCCGGAATCTTGGACGTATACCTCCCATCGACAAGACAATACTCCTGGAACGTCCCCGGCGCCGAAAACCCACTATTAATCTGCTTCTCACAATGCACCTCATCAACCCCATTGAGACAGAACTCACATTCTCCACAGGTACTTGCAATCCACTTACGCCCGCCCGATCACCGACCTTCCACCGCCTCTGCATGCCCTCGCCAACGGCGACGACAACGCCCGCCCCTTCGTGTCCCGCGATTCCTTGGCTCTGGGGGAGCATGGCCACACCGAAATCCTTCCAGTCGTCGTGCAGGAGGGACTTGTCTGAACCGCAGAGTCCAGTCCAGTTGATCTTTACCAGGATCTGGCCCGGCCCGGGTTGCGGGACGTCAATGGTCTCGATGGTCGTCGTGGCAGTTTCGCCTGTGCCATGACGGACGGCGGCTCGTTGGCGTGTTGGGATTGTCATCGTGAGAGTTGGTTCAACATACACTGTACATACACTGTACAAAACACAAGAGATATAAGACAGGATATACAGCACAATTCCTACTCAATACCCTTCAACAAAAGATTGGAAGAAATCAATCCGTCAGCAACAGTAAAGGAAGGAGTCAAATGAGGGGCAACCCTCACCACAATCCCAGCTATAAATACTCACCTCCGCACCACACACGTGAGACAACTCTGCATATCCTTCGACAGGGATACGGATCATGCTGGCGTACTCTCTCCATAGATATCGTCTTGTCTGCGAAACCCCGGGCTATAATACAGCACTTAGTTAACGTCTAGTAACCGGTGCTCCACTTGGCTTGCATCTCATCCAATCCGCTTCCATGGTGACCTGGGAAAGCGCCGTTGTGGCGTCATCAGGCGCTGACTTCTCCGCACGGTGGATCTCAATGAGCTCTCTCATTGGAATTGGGATTGGCTGGGCGTGGAATTGGTTTTAAGTTATTTTTTGGGGTTGTATTTTGATAGATTAGGGCTGGGGTTGTGCATTGTGAGGTCTTTTTGGTTTTGGTTCCGGGGCTGGAATTGGGTTAGAAGGTTGTGAGGGAAGGCAATTAGATATCTAGAGTCTGGTTTTCCGGCAACTTAAACTTATGAACAGAGTGATTAAATAAATGTACCCATGTTGTGCACGAAGGAAACAGTTGGCAGTTCACATGCGTTTCCCATAATAGGGCTACGTTACGGAAGTTTCTAGGGATAAGCTACCAAACCAACCCCAGAGTCTACAGCCATATTCCAGACCAGTGATCCAATGTTCAATGATGCGACAGTGACTCAAGCTCAGTAGTACGAGCTATTGCCGGAAGGAGAACCGTGAAATCATACCGAACCTTAATGGGATATTTCCCTGATCTAGATCATATTGTCGCAATAACCCACACAGTTCCCAATAAGAATTAAAGCGCTCCGTCCAGAGACCTGGAACACCAGGCTAGACCATCCCATCTTGATAGAACCTGCTTTTACCATGCATGATGACACTCACTCAGCTTAGTTAATGAAACAGGACAGCGCCTGGCCATACTAGTATCTGGATAGATATATCGCATGACGCGATGTTCCTCTGCATTTCACTTGCTGACATCTTGGACAGCCCACTATGAGTCCTGATGTTCAGGAGTACATGGTTGTTCAACTTATGCAGGTTTCGAGGAGAGCTGGCTTGGACTGCTTGTTAGTAGTATGGGTGTTGGGGGCCTACTATAAATCTGCTGGACCACCTCGCTTGTAGGGTTTAATTAGTTAGTCGTTTGATTAATTGATTGATTAGACTCTATATCCATACTGAACATGGCTGATCAATGTCAAGACGTGACCCCCTCGGCTTTCGTCCCCCGGCCTTTGAAGGTAGTGGTTATCGGGGCAGGGTACGTTTGTTTGTCCATCACACTGTTGTGCCAACCTCGTACTCATGAAGTAGTATATCAGGAATACAATTCGCCCATGAAATCACAACACGGATGTCCAACATCGAGCTCGAAATATACGAAAAGAACCCCAAACCAGGCGGAACCTGGTATGAGAACCGATACCCGGGGTATACATTCTCCCACAGAACAGGCGTAAAGAAATAAATAACAATGTCTAATCACAAACCAGATGCGCATGCGACGTACCCGCACACGGATACCAGTATAGCTGGGCGCCCAATCCATGCTGGTCGAAGGCTTACGCGCCCGCTCACGAGATCTACGCCTATCTTGAATCTGTCGTTGACAAACATCACCTTCGAAAGTTTATCCGTTTTAATCACAGGTGTATCTCGGCGGTATGGAACGAGGAGAGATCGCAGTGGACTACGACGTTTCGGGATGAGAGGTCTGATGAGGAGACTGTTGTCCAGTCTGATGTTTTGATTTACGCTGTGGGGAGGTTGAATGACTATCAGATTCCGGCGTTTGAAGGCCGAGATAAATTCAAGGGTCGAGTGTTCCATACGGCGGCGTGGCCGGAGGACGTGGATATTCGTGGAAAGCGGATTGCTGTGCTTGGGAACGGGGCGAGTGGCATTCAATGTGTGGCTGGCCTTCGGGAGGGTATGTGGATTCCCTAGACTTGGAGACTAGGTACACTCACTGTGGTGGTAGAAGCAGGAGAGATTCTCAATTTTGCACCACACCCGACGTGGCTTGGGCCTGAGCCTTTCGTTGAGAATCGTGAATGTAGGTCCTCTGTCCAAAATAGTATGAGACAGAGATGCTGATTAAATGTAGATGACGAGCAGGAGAAGCTCAAGCTTTGGAGAAACCCCCAAGCTTACCACGACTTCCGAATGGGAATAGAAAAGGCGATGTTAACAGCCTTTGCCTTCCTCTGGAAAGATACCCCCCCGAGCAAAAATCTTCGCTCTCGTGCGGAATCATACATAAAGTCCAAAGTCGAGGATCCGGAACTGCAACAGAAACTGACCCCAGACTATACCCCCGGGTGTCGTCGATGGGCCCCTGGCGAACAGTACATCGCTGCAGTACAACAACCACATGTCAAAATAATAGAAGACCATGTAGTGGCTCTGACAGAGAATGGGTTTCGCACTGCGGAAGGGGATGAATATGAATGTGACATGATCGTTTGCGCAACGGGGTTCAGTGTATATAACCCACGCATTCCTGTCATCGGACGCAATGGCATCACCCTCGCTGATTGCTGGGGCTCGGAGGGCCCGTGTGAGAGTTATATGGCCGCGACGGTGGCACACTTTCCTAATTTCTTTGGTTTGTTTTCTTGTACACGGAGCCTTTTGGGAGGATCTCAAATTGACGATTATCTAGCATTCCATCCACCCAACTGCCCAGTAAACGGTTCCGCATTCCCCGGAATCGAAAGGACAGCAGATTATATCGTACGAGTCATTCATCGTCTTCAAACCGATCGTCTCCGGTCTGTGAGCGTGCGGCCCGAAGCCCAACGGGTTTTCAACAGATGGGTTCAATCCCAGATGTCGGGCATGGTGTGGTCTGATTCTTGCAAATCATGGTGTATGTTTCACATCCCTACAAGCACTATGTCTGCTAACCAACATCAACATAAGACAAAAATAAAGATGGGAAGATTATTGTTCCCTGGCCGGGAACTACCAACCACTACTTTGCTGCTACGGAGATCATACGCTGGGAAGACTTTGACTTGGTGTTCGAGGATCCAGCGCAGAAATATAAGAGCTTCGGGAATGGAGTGACGAAGGACGGCTTCAAGCCGGACTCAATACCTTGGGTGCAATCCCCGGGTTATCTAAATTGATGCTGATTTCTGGGTAGCTACATTTGTGTATCAGGTCTTTGATAGCCTGCCGTATTCTGTGCGCATTATTGTCATAATTACTCACATATGTACTGCTCTATATTGTCATGTCACGATTGCGTATAAGCTATGCTGCATGTACCATTAAGAACAATGCTTCTTTTAGTACAGTATCATCTCAACGTCATATAACCCTCACAGGTAATAGGGCGCATAAACTGAGGTCAAGGTGAGATATAAATGAAGTGATGGGAAACGAAAACATCTTACTTTAGGCTAAACGCTCGATATTTCATAAATCAATACATTTGAAATCACAACATCGTGCAACCGGATATGAAAATAAAATGGCTTTCAGACATGAGCCCTCCCCAGATGGCATAGCAGGTCGTTACTCCGGCACAATGTTCAAGGACGCACCTACCTTCCAGCATCATCTCCTCCAACAAATCTCGGAAATAAGACAACATGGAGATGGCTTTCACACTGACTTGGTGTATACGGATATTGCTCCTTCCTGGGCAGAATCCGCGTACAGCACACTTGAAGAAAGAAGACTCGTATGCTTGTAAGCTAAAGAGCTCCTCATCATCATACGCAATTTCAATCTAAGGTCATCGACTTCATCAAAGTAAATCATACAATCCAGTAACCCAATTCCTTAAATTACGTGCAATGGCAACTCCACTTCACAACGCCGACCAGGAGTGGTTTGCCCGTTCACGAGAGATATGGCTGAGTACCGGTGTTCTCAACGCGGTTGAGCGGAATATGCTCTTAACCTCAGCAAACACAAGTAGGGTTCTTACTCATGAGTTCAGAACCGCCCTGAACGTTCGAAGAATTTAGGCTTACCGGCTACCCACTTACGGGAATGGAAAAGGCTCCGAATGTTGGAGTACAGCTGAACGGCACCGGGCTACCGAGGGTGGTTTTTGAGTCGGGCTTCTTGCAAAGTGGGGAGAGTCTTCGGGATGACATGCTCGATTGGTTCTTAGGTGGAGGGGGTGCTGTCCAGGCGGTCATTCTGGTCAAGTGGAGACCGTCGCAGGCTCGTATGCATATAAGGGGCGATGTAGAGCTGTATACTTTAGGGAGGGATGGTATGCCCCGGCTCCAAGAGTGCCAGGTGAGAATGAGGCACACCGTGTTGCATTTTCTTGCCGTGTTAACGATATCTGTAGCGAATTTACCCGAGGCCCCCAGGACCAGCTGGCAGACAGACACTTCGCCTCACACGGAAGATGTTCTTTGGGAATAATACTGGACCAGGGCGCAGCCCCAATGATGCTTTCTTGATGGAGTTGGACCAGTTGCGAGCTGTGGCAGCTATGGTAATGCCCAATATGGGCTATTAAGCGGCATAGACAGCGGAATATAAGGATGTTCGGTGTCATAACAATGAAGAGAGATTTTGAAATGTACTGGTATCGTTCTGAAATATGAATGCCTGATATTGTTCGTTTAAACCTACGGAGGAATCGGAAGGACCCGCTTCACTTGTTAGCACGACATGTAAGGCTGAGCAGTTGTTGTCTCCAGGTCAATTTCCACCTCGTTTCCCATTGCGCTGGAGCTGTGTACTCTATTGACACTGTCTCGATATGCGACACAAGACTGACCAATTAACAGACCCAGTTAAACTTTGGGTGGTATATCTGGTCTTCTGTAACGACTTAATGACCCGAGTGATAATCTCTTCCGGGCATATTACTAGAATCCGCATTGCCTCCGCTCATAGGTTTGCTTAACTTGATAAAGAATTGCATACAGCGCAGACGAAGCCGATACTCGTATGCACGCAATGCTGTAGAGGACACGATCTCGGTGTCGCAGAGCACTGAAGTAACGGAAGAGGTTAAGGATTCTCTGATTCAAGGATGGCGTGTGCTTACTTTCCCTATTCCGCCGTCAGCTATTATCTAGCATGATGTATATGCGTACCTATATAGTTTAGAGGCACCTAACTAATATTATCTACCTCTGGTTCGCAGTTGCCAACAAAGGATGTCACGTAGGACTTTAGATGTATGGAATTCGTAGCCTGAGCGCTGTGGTGCTAGCTTGATACTAAACGAGGAATACAGTCATCTCGTTTGCGATACCAGCGTGGCTGGAAATTAATCGGCAATGGCAATGACTCGCGGGCCAGAGAGTGTAGTCAATCTCTTTGTGAGCTGTCGCGGATGAATGCTCCATAGAATATATCTAGAATCTAGGAATACTGAGGGGGAAAAAGCCCTTGACTGAATTGTATTGTGTTCTGCAGTTTCCACCCGCTTTTACTATCAACCTTTCTCTGGCCTAAGCTCAGATCTGAGAGACTTTCTTTTGAATGCATCGTTTCTACCTAATTCGGCACCCTTCATGAAGGGTGCGATTCAGGTTAGTAGGCAATTCCTTTACTTTCCTATTGGTTTTGACTATCCCTCGATGCAGATCTCGACGGATCGCCGTCCAATCCCCGTCTAACCCCCATTCATCTATGGAATTAAGGCTAGGACATTGAGGGCGCAACGGGGCAGTGCAAGCGGCAAAGTGGATCCTGAAAGTACTTGACTAGTGAGAGTAGTACTACTACTGCGCAGTAGTAATCACCGACCACTATGCAGTGTGTGATTGGCTTGTCCACTTCTCCGCTTGTCCACGTTTCCACTTGTCCACAGTTTTTTATGCTTGTTCACGCGAGTTCACGCGAGTTTACACATACATGTTATACTATTGAAATTCCAACGTGTACCTGATGATTGATCTCACTTGTCTCTTTGAACAATCCCAGAAGTATTACTCTATATAAGCATGGAAATCATGCTTGGTTCTCCCTCTTTTACCACAGAAATCTGCCATTTCTTTCCTCCGACACCTTCCAACCCTAAGATAGTGAAATACCTTGGATCCACTTTGCTTGTTCTCACTGCTCATTGGTCAAACATCTGCCTAATCTACTGGGACCGGACCTACTATTAGCAGTGTGATCTTTGCCTATCATTTACTATACCCTCAAAGATGTCGGATACTGCTCTTTCACCAAATGCTGGCTCATTTCATCATGTATTCCCTGATGGCCTTGGGCACAAGCCTACCAATCCATCGGGGCAGAACAACCTCGGGCTCCTTGCGAGTAATTTCAATATGGGGCCAGTGCCTCCCAACCCAGCGGTCATGCCAGATAACGTGTTCCACTGCCCACCATGGCAACCGTTGCACGAGGACTCCGTCGGTGCTCGATCCACCTTATACCATGATTTAGAGGCGGAGACCAATTTGCGGATGCCAACAAGTTTTCAATCCGATCTAGTCGCTACCGCTGGATATTCGTATGGTCATTTACCCAGCAACACAACAATAACCCCTGTCCCCATGCCAGTTGAACACCAGCCGAGAGAGGCACAACAGGAGACTCGTGCGAAGAATATGCAAGACAGGTATGCTAATCTCATCGTTGTGCCTGAAGGCCATGGCCGCATTCCTGACTCATCAATAGTGGAAGGAATTACCGACCTGTGCAGAGATGTAAATGGGAGGGCTGTACGTCCACAAAGATTTTCAACCGCGAGGCCGACCTTGTGCGGCATGTTCGGACCATCCATATTGCTCCTCGGTCTTATAGGTGCAATGTCGATGGTTGCTTCAAGTCCTTCAATAGGGGTGATAACCTCAAGGAGCATATGTTCAGGGTTCATGATTGTGACTGTTAGTGAAATCGCTCTACTTCGTGGGAAACAGTTATTTATGATTTGTTACATTTTCGGGGTTTCTCTGTCTCTTGCTACTTTGCGACGGCTTTTGTTTTTAAACTCAGAGATTTCGGGGTTATCTCATATATTCACTAGCAAGTCTAGAATGATAGATATGAATTTCACTAGTATCAACTCGACCTTCACGGTAATGAATGTTTGGGTCTTGGCGTTGTCAAAATATGGTATTTCTGGCAGGTTGCTCCAGAATTGTTTCGACACCGCGCAAGCCCCCAACTGTAGGGCTTTCTGATTCATTGGTATAAAATTAGTACATCTATTGAACCACGTCAAGTCTCTGTATGGAGATTTGTAATGCAACCTTACCGTTGTGAGGGGCATCCTTGCGCATTGTATATCAAGAGCAGGACGAACTATCGTGCTCAATGTACTGTAGGACCAAATTCCCCACAAAGTGTGACTCTGGATATTGAGCTCTCCTTCTAATTGGAGGATGATATTGGAAAACCAACCGGCTCCGTGGTATGACTACCAGTAATTATGATCTCTCCCTGCGTAATGGACAGGGTGGGTACCAGTATAATCAGAGCGAAACGTTTTCTGTTCCCTGCATGACGATGGGGTTGTGGGCTGCGGGTCGTACGAGCACGGACAAAAATATAGGCGTGCTGGTGTGTAACTGCCGACATGAGGGGAGAAGCCCTTCGTCGGTAGATGGTACTTTTGACTGTAGGAATCCACATTTCATGTCACCATGTAATCGAGTTGAGACTGAAATCCTGTATATAGCAACTCCTACCGATGGAGCGACATCCTCTAGCATCTCCCGGCTTCCTTAACCTCTTGCCTGGCTGGGTTCCTGGGAAATACAGGCACAAAAGGCATCGGCATAGATTATGGTGGTTGGAGCTCTAAGTTAATGCAAATAATCCCCGGATGCTTTTACAATTACCTATTCTAAACTGTTTCCCTCGTGGTGTCAACATGTTGCAACCAATGATCATGCCGGTTCGGCAGGCTAACTGTACATGATACCTACCACTGGCTACCACGTTGTCTTTGCGTGCCTATCACATTTGATAAATGCCTAGAAATTTAATTTGACGCGTTCTGCCGTCGGAGGTCCATGCAGCTATCCGATGTACTGTACGACCTATGTAGCCCGATAACACTAAACCGTGAATATTGACAAATTTATATGGTATGGGTTGGTCAAGGAGCCCTAGGCTATGACTCACTTGCTGTAAGGGCCCAGATGGCTGGGGATCAACCTGGTATGGTGCAGTAGGAAGACTGGTGTTAAATGGCTCCTACTGGCTGCTCTCCTCCCGCAACGAGTAGTGATGAGCTGTCTTGTAGGTACCCAATGATCTACTCTCATTAGCGGAGGAACAACCGTGTTTAAAAAATGATATTGGCATTTACAGTATATTTTCCCTCAGCCCGTAAGTGGAAGTATTTGCGCAGGCTACAAATGGCCTGCGCCCTAAATACAATGAAGTTTTGCTGTGGGAACCTCATGTGTGCTGCCTGCATATGTAAGCTCTCATAGACCGTCATGCTTGTTCTTGGTCTCAACCTATTCACATCGTTAGTTTCTCAATGGTCAGGATAGTACAGTGTTTGTATAACAGGGGAGGAAGAAGTCGACACACCATTTATATTTGCGAGAACATAGCGAAAGAGCCTTGGATGAAGGGATCCTTGAAGCAAGGCCACCGTGGCTGACTTTTGCAAATTGCCGCCAATCCGAACAGCTGAAGTGAAACGTTACACAACTCTCGGGGTGCCAGAATCAATCCACTGGCAGTTGCGAGGGACCGGGTGGAGCATGCAGGCACCGAGGCGTGAGTGTTGTATGTCACACGAGGTAGGCACATGCTTTCTGTTGAAGGATGGGCTGTGCATGTATGGGTGTGGCTTCGACAATCTGTTTTACCATCTTGATCCAGACTGAATTTCATATAACCCGATAGTTTCCCACCACTGGTGTCATAACACAGCTCCTCATTATTGTCAGTTATACTTGCTCAGAGAGATAGTGTCCATCTGCTAACCAGCGTAATCTTATTTTTTTCTCCTTGCGAAACCAGGTTCATGCAACCATTCGATTACTTATTTAATTCTCGAACTTCACATATTTCTATCAGGCTTTGACAATGTCCACTGGCCAAAAGTCATCACTTCCTCGGTCCACAAGCACTTTATCAACCTCTAGCCCTAACCCAGATCCTGTCAGCCTATTCCTTAGGGACAGTAATATCGACCTGTTGCCGGAAGACTCTGAGAAAGGGCTCTGGTCATATCAAGAATGGCCCGAGTCACATACCGTACCCTACAGCCCTTCCATGCAATCCCACGTTACATTGGATGACTTGTCTATGACCCCTTGTACCGCAATGGAATGTGAAGTGGAGTTTGACTTCAATGCTTTCATTGACGTTGACCTGGGATTCAGCCAGTCAGCCCTGGACTCAGACGTTTATCCCGAATTCCAGGCCCAGGATATAGTCCTTGAGAATTTCAGCTGGGTTCGTCAAGGAAATATCCCCTCTCCTGGTTTCGGGGATCACCAGGATGATTTCAATTCTAATTGCCTCCCGAATGACCCGTTCATTTCAATGAGCTCCGCCACGGACGATATCCTTGGAACTGAGATCTATGCCATCAATGCTATGGGCAGAAGGTTAAGCCGAAATCTCACACTCGTACTTTCACATTCCACGCTAATGAAAAAATAGCAGCAGAAAGGCCCGTCGTAATCTTAGATGCGAATGGGAAGGGTGCAAGAACAGCAGGCAGTTTAACCGTCCCGCAGAATTGAGAAGGCATGTTAGAACCATTCATGTTTTCCCGAAAGCCTATGAATGCACTTACGCTGGTTGTCGCCAGCTTTTCAATAGGAAGGATAACTTGAAGGAACACATGATCAAAAGACATAAGATGCCTTTTTGAGAGTCCAGGTTCCTCTTGGGTCCTGTTTTCTCTGTTTGGTTGAGCGTGGTTTTTCTTGTGTGGTGTTCACAGAAACTACTTCACGGAATGAAGCTCTACATTATTGGCACAATAAGTTGTAGAATTCAAAAGTTACTCTGTTGCTTGGATTGGCAGTACTGATTGCATAAAAACGCAAAACAATTCCCATTAAGGCAATGTAGAAGGGTAGTGCTGTTACAATAAACCCAACTATTGAATTGCTTAAACAACCATGCGCCCCTCATCCGCATCCTTTTTTCTTTTCCCCTTTCCTTTTTTCACAACTTTAAACCGCATAAAAAGAATAAAACTAGAATACAGCTAACAGACTCAATCGTGCTATGCCACCACACTACAGGACATGGATCTTGAACTTCTCATAGGAACCGATGTAGCTCTGGCAGTTAACAGTTCCGGCACCGCTCGGTCCACCCTGGCCGGCGACATTCTCCATACGAAGATAGGCATTCGGGAAATGCGCAGAAACAATGGCCTTGGTACCATCGCTCTGGTTCTCGAAGCGGAACTTCTCCCAAGAGTGGCTGCCCCACCTGGTAGTCTTTGAGTCAGTATCGATACATTCAGAATACAGCAGGGGATACGCACTGGCAGTTAACCTTTCCGGCACCCTGGGCGTAGGTGTCTCCAGATTTGACGTCGGAGCCGTCCATGCGGAGGTAGACGTTTGGGAAGGCAGAGGAGAGGATAGAGAAGGTGTTGTCATCGGGGTGGTTCACGATGATGAGGGTCTCGTATGAGGCAACATGGTTCTGGACGTTGACGGCACCGCCGCCAGAACCGGTGTACTCGGTGACTCCTCGTCCGTCGATGCGGAGGTAGGATCCGGGGAACTTCTGGGACTCGATGCTGACACGCAGCATATTGCTAGTGGAACCAGGAGACATTGTTGAGCTTGGGAGGCTAGATGATGCTTGGAAGAGATCTGAATGCTATTGGAAGTGCTTGAGTGGGTAAGGCCTGTGTGCTGCTAGAAAATAAGGACTCTTAATGCTGGGTTGAACGCCTCTATTTATGTTCAAGGAAGCCGTTCCTAGCCGTATATGATATCAATAACAATGCAGTATGCTGACGTGGATCATACAACTGCTGTGGTCAGTGGCGCCCATCCTTCTTCCACTGCTGACGGCCACCATGCAATTATAAGGGAGCTGGCTACCTTTTCCTTTAATTCTGAGACGAGCCTTGCTCTTACACCGCTATGAGACCTTTTGATGGTACCGGAAGTCCGAAAATGATCACCAAAGAGCGAATATCATATGAATTTAGGGCTTTACTTCCCCACTTATCGAGAGTCTCGATTCTTTTACGTCGCTAAGATCCTCCCTCGGATAGCCGCAGTCCAATAGGCTGTAACTTCTCCACCCGCATCCTATACTTCCGACAAATGAATTTGAAATGGTTGAGAAAGCGACTACATCAGGTTTACAACACTAACACATGAAAATTGGACTACAAATGTCATGAGACTCTGGATGGTGGAAATCCAATGAAACGCGCGGGGTAACCTTCCTTGCGACAGTATTACACCAAACTCCGGATTTAAACCAAATATCAAAACAGCACTGATGGGTAGCTATTTTGAGGACACGATATTCATGGAATTACCAATACCACTCCAGTACTACCCAGGCTCCGAACAAATACAAATAAAAAATAGAAACAGGAAACGAAAAAAGCCATGAAGGTCCATCCTATGTGTCATGATAGCTACTATGATGTTGCAGTGCAACCTAGGACCTGTACAATGCGAGACGACCTGAACATGATTTCAGACAATTTCTAACATCAGTCGTCATGTGCTTCATTCACATCTCAGTTTATATATGCTGTTCGTGTATCTACTTCTGCAGGTGCTCCTTCGCCCACTCATCCAAGTTGCCATAAACATGAAGCCAGAGAGCGGTATGATCAAGATCCTGGTTCCAATGATGTCAATAAGTCCATTCAACAGTTAGGATATCTTGGATAAGAGGGCAGGACTCACATGTGTGCGAGGGTCGGCATCGACTACTCGGAAGGCTTTGATAGCGGCCTCGCCTGCAGTTGGATTGATCCCCACCCTCTTTGCAGCGTCAATGCCGATTGTTAGATCCTTCACACTCAGCGCAGGTGCAAATGCCCTTCTGTAGTTGTTGCTGGATGGGGCATCGGACACAAGGCCAGGGACTGGTTGCTCCAGACCCATCACCCACGAGTTCGCAGTACCTTCCCTGATGCACTTAAAGAGGGCGTTCTTATCAATTCCATGCTTCAGGCCAATGGCCATACCCTCAGTAGCAACAAGGTTGTTCGCGAGAGTAATATAGTTGTGGGCAATCTTGGCCACCTGCCCCATACCAAGCCCACCACAAAAAGTGATCGTGCTCGCTTCCCCGACAAGTGACAGGGTCTCAAAGATACGCCTGCCTACCAAATCGGTTTCTGTGGGCTCTGCGTGACCGACCATGAAAGACAAGGTTCCTGCATTTGCACCCCACATGCCACCTGAGACTGTGGCATCGACAAACGTACCCAACCCGGCGTTAAAGATTGTCTTTCCGAGTTCCTGGGTGGATTCAATCTCAATAGTACTGCATTCGATCAAAAGTCGACCCGAGTCCTTGGTGGCCGCAATCACACCATTATCTGGGTCTAGATAAACCTTTCTTACTTGAGGCCCGGCTGGTAGACTCGATAACACGGTTCCGACCCTCATGGTCAGCTCCTTCGCCGAGGATGTGACTTCGATCTTGCCAAAGTGCCCGAACTCGTTAATTAGGCGCTGGATAACTTCTTGGTTGAGATCAAACACGTAAAGGGTATGGGAGGATGGTAACTTCTTGCGTAAGTTGCTGGCCATACCATACCCGATAATACCCAAGCCTGTTGGGGTCAGCCGTGCTAATGTCTCATCTATTCTGCTGGATTCTTACCGATTACACCGTACTCGGTTGCCATTGTTGACGGGTGGAATTCGTGGATGATCGGTTCTATAGAGAGACCGGAGCTGTAGAATTGGCGAGATGTTTGCTTGGAAGGAGTTGCTAGCTTTGCATTGAATGGGAATTAAGCCACGGAGAGGATTCCCAGCTTTATTTATGTCCTGTCTAGAAAGGTCGTTGTCAAATTGAGATTGTGTTTACTCTGAGGGTTATCCGCCCACGTGAGCGGCGTCGGGCAGGGCTTCTGTGTGAACGGCCCGAAAGCCGTGACCCTCGGGTGCTTATACCAAGTTCTCTATTGCGTCTACCATGTAAATTTTTAACAAAAACCGTGATCTTATAATGCGTTTCATGTATTCCGTTCAGCTCCATATCCTGCTGAACTCTCCCTCAATCTATTATCATTCCGTTGATAAACCTCCACTTGGCGGACGCTACTGACCCTTATTCCACTACGAGGATATAATCAACACCAAGAAAGCGTTAGCCTTGTGTTGAGTTACAGTAGCTATGAAGACAACAACATTACAGAGTGAAATACATACCTTTCACTCGGGTCGGCCACAACCTGAATCCTCCTCGAACATATCCATATTCACTACAGTTGACCCCAGCACTGCAGAGCCATTGGCTACGATCCATACCACCACGCCCCAGCAGCTCGACGACGCCATTGCATCTGCCGAAGAAGCCTTTCCATCATGGTCGCAAACTTCCCCAGCACATCGAGCTGCTATCTTGCTACGAGCTGCAGCGATTCTAAGACAACGTAATGACGAGCTAGCGCTTACTGAAACCATGGACACTGGGAAAGCATGGTCGGAGACGTCTACTGTCGACGTTAGCACCGGTGCTGACGTCCTTGAGTACTACGCACACCTCGTTTTAGGTGGCCTTCCAGGGCAACACACACGCTTGGGATCCGATGCGTATTTCTCGACGAGCCATGAGCCTCTGGGTGTTTGTGCTGGAATAGGCGCCTGGAACTATCCTCTTCAGATTGCTCTCTGGAAGTCAGCTCCCTGTCTTGTTGCGGGGAATTGTATGGTATATAAGCCGAGTGAGGTCACACCTCTCCATGCAAATACCCTTGCTCTGATCTATATGGAAGCTGGACTGCCACCGGGAGTCTTCAATGTGGTTCATGGTGATGGACCCAGTGTGGGAGCCCTATTGGTGGCTCATGAAGGTATCGCCAAGGTGAGCTTTACTGGCCAGGTCAGCACCGGCAGTAAGGTTGCTAGCGAGGCTGCCAAGGGCCTAAAGGGGATTACGATGGAACTCGGAGGGAAGAGCCCCCTGGTGATACTTCCAGATGCTGACGTTGAGGAGGCAGCTGATATTGCAATGATGGCCAACTTCTTTTCAAGCGGTCAGGTTTGTACGAATGGAACCCGTGTCTTCGTGCCTGACACCCTTCTCAGCCGGTTTGAGGGGGCCTTGATCAAGCGCTGTCGCGAGGGGATCCGTATGGGGTTTCCGACGGACCGGAACACCAATTTTGGTCCTGTCATTAGCGATGTTCAAAGGGACAAAGTCAATATGTATATCAAGCATGGGCGTGAGATTGATAGGGCAAGGGTGTTGTATGATGGTGCCCTTGATTCTCAGAAAGACTTTCCATCAAAAGAAGGCTTCTGGGTGCCCCCTGTTATCTTTACCGATTGCACGGACGACATGCGCATTGTCCAAGAGGAGATATTTGGTCCAGTTATGAGTATTCTACCATATAAAACTCAACCTCAGGAGGAAGAGGATTGGCTACATGACCTGATACGACGGGCAAACAACTCCCCGATGGGGCTTGCAGCAGGTGTTGTCTCATCTGATGAGGGATTTGCTCAACGTATTGTTCAACGAATAGATGCAGGAATAGCCTGGATCAACACGTGGGGTGAAAGCCCCGCAGAGATGCCTGTCGGTGGCTGGAAGATGAGTGGCATAGGATTGGAGAATGGCCAGGAAGGCATCCAAGCATACCTTCGGACCAAGAGTACGCTGGTGCGGTGTGGTAGAGGTTCTTGCGGCAACGTTTTCACCAAATCCTGAAGCAATTCTCTCCAATAACATGAGCTCTTGCTGCACGAAACTTTGACTCAATTACTACTCTGTCCAAGGTTCCGCTGACTATTGGGAGTACTATGGATGGATTGTAAATTTGACAGGGTGTGAGTGTGTTAGATAGCAAGGCTCGGGGCTGATTACAGAGAATACAAAACCTTCATGCAATGTGCTTTTTAGTATCAGTTGCATGTCACCTCTTAAGACACGCCTTGTGTCATAATCTGACAATTTGTCAATGGGGAACTCCCCCGTCTCATGAAGTAAATTTGACAGCTGAGTAGGGCTAGAGGTTTCGAGTCAGCTGATTTCCTGTATGGGTAACTCTCTATTTGGCCCGTGGACTGTGGGGTGTCGCCAAATATACAATACACCCAGGTCAGGCAGGCTTGAGTCTGAGAATATTTCAAGTTTATGTATGATTATGTATGATTATGTTGAAGTGAATGATAGACATCTCTATCTCCGGCGAGGATTGCCTTGAGCTGTCAGCATATAGCAATAACTTTCGAGTCTGCCTCGTCATTCCTCAGAGTCCATTTTCCACACGTCTCCAACCCGCAACCCCTCTGGGAATGGATCCGTCGCATCTAAAACAACCTGCTTGAAGCTTGTAATCCAAGCACTGCCTGTCACAGAAGGATAAACGGCATCATAATTTCCGACCTTGGTGGTTCCATGAATACGGCCGATAAACTCCGTCCCAGTAATGCCATAATGGTAGAGGGGCTCGCCATCAGCTAACTCGCCTCTTGCATGGAGAGCTGCTAACCGGGCGCAAGTGCCAGTGCCGCAAGGGCTCCGATCAAGTCGTCCAGGCGATACAACAACTGTGTTAAGTGAGGCTTTCCCGTCTTTATAGTTTGTAACGGGGTCTGTAAATTCCAGAATGGTGGCACCGCGGATTTGCGGATTTTCAGGGTGGACCGGGTCGGTCTGCTCTGCCATAGCACGCTTGATGCGCTCGCCAACTTCAACGATATTGGCTCCTTGCGAACTCTTTATCTTGATCCCCACGGAAGCAGCATCTACCAAAACGAAGATCATGCCGCTGTAAACGATATCAACCTTAACAGTACCGAGTCCTGGGACCGTGATCTCCTTATCAAGGGCAAAGGCAAAGGCCGGAACGTTGTGAAATCTGACTCTCTTGCATTTGCCGTTGCTGCAGTTGGCATATACAGTAACCAAACCAGCTGGTGCATCCAGCTTCACGACTGTTTCCGGCTCTTCCATGGGGATTATACCAGTCTCCAGGAGACATGTAGCCGTCGCGATGGTGTTGGCTCCGGACATAGGTGGGTATTCTTCATGCTCCATGATGATGAACCCAATGTCGGCTTCGGGATTGCACGGAGGGAGAAGAAGGTTGTGACACATGGCAGGGCAGCCGCGGGGTTCGTTGAGCAGAAGGTTACGAAGCTCGTCATTGTTCTTCCACACGTACATCATTTTCTCATACATGGTTCTTCCGGGCACATCTCGAACACCTCCGACGACTACATCACAAGTTTCCCCGGCACAGTGAACACCGACGGTGTTGAAGCTGCGTTTGAACGGCATTTTATGTAAGCGAAAACCGAGTTCAAAGCGATAACTAATATTCAATAGAAGGAAGAGGAGATGGGCTTTCAGGACCTCGACGATGAGTTGGGCGAGTAACTTAGGAACGGAACCTAGACCAGGAATGAATGGCGCATTTAAATGGCCTGCCCTAACGCTCACGTCGGACGGTCGAACAGAGGGGTATATCGGCTAGCCACCCGAGAAGTCAATCTTGAAAGCTCTAAGTCTAGGAAGTTTTTCTCATGATTAGGAGTATGGGGGCGGATCTTGCTACCGTGTCACTTCCACACCTGGACTGAACTCGTCCATTTGTCCCTATAGCATGTAATGTTTGATAACGTTTAAGCCACTTAGCACCGAGATGAGTCGCCCGCTCAGGTGACCGGTATGTCGAAATAGTTTGGGTTGGTAATACCCATTTGACTGGAATAGGCATCCTGATCCATCATCGGTAGTATGCGAAGGGTCCAGCTCTATAGAGATGGCTCGGGCCGGATGCCGTGTCTCGGCAACGGCATGGGGGACTATAAATACGCCAGATGTCATGAGCAACAGATTCTTTGCATACGCCGCGGCTGTTGCTGCCGCATACTCTTGCCATTGCTTTGTTTTGTGTGAATCTGAATAATCGCAAATGCCTCGGATAAGTATTGATCCAAAGTCTTGCTGGTTCCATCTCAAAGCATAAGACCCCATGTTGTCTTGCTATTCGATCCCGAGTTATAGCATCTTTCATGACCTGGCTGGCAGAAGCAATCAGACCATAGAAAACGTTTGGCTCCGTAGTGGGCCCTTTCGTCCGTTGAATTGTCATATTCATATCGCACAACCCACAGGATAGTGTCGAGATATCATGAGTGTAATCTGCTTTGAAAAGGAGGTCTTGGTCCTCTCCGGGGTAGGTACACCGTGACAAGGGCGGATACTCAGCAATAACTGCAGATAAGTAACTATTAAGTCGACTCCGGCCTAGCATCTCCTCAGACTGCACATTGCATAACACTATCAAGACCACAGCTGGGGGCTTATTCAAAGTGCCCGTCTGTCCAAACTTCCCGCCAGCCATGGTCTTGCCATAGTCATACTGTACCACGCCTCCGGACGGGCCAACTGGCTTGCTAATCACCACATCGCTAAGGCGTATATCGTTCTCCTGACTTGGAACCCTTCCACTTATGCTAACCATCAGGTCAAATCTCATGGTTTTGTACGTGGATAGCATGTCTTTGGCCACACTTGGCGCAGAGCTTGTGCTGTACACACCGACTGGCAGACAGTATGACCGCAAATCTCACCTGGTCGTCGGGGGATTGGGGCAGCTGTGGATGATTTAAATCCAACATTGACTTGGCTGCAGCCATTTCCAGCGGCAGGGAACAAATCCATCCTACCGTGTAATCCTTGGTGGGAACCCGTCTTGAAGATTACTCATCCTGTGTAGACGCATCGGTCTATGGAGAAATAAAGATAATACACTATATAATCGATTACTTAAGAGTAGCCTGGTACATACGACCACAGGGTGTGGAGAACAGGGCTTCCCGTCCGCTCAGCCGTACTTAAGCCACACGCCGGGAGGTTAGTAGTTGGGTGGTTGACCACCAGCGAATCCCTCCTGTTGTATGTTTTTTTGGTATTCTTTTTTCTTACCAAGCTAGACTGGTTGGCAGAACGCATTGACTTAGAAGGGTTAGAGATAGCATAAATCAAAGTATATCTAGTTAGGGCTGATCGCCGGTATTCAAGTGCACGTCGCCTGAACCCGGAACAATCGACCAACCGTCCGCAGTGAACAGCAAATGCCGGTTCCTCCTCATCCTCTCAGGATCAACGTATACCTTCATCGCTACCGAATTTGTCCCTATATTGAACACACGAAATATGATATAGATGTTCTCTGACCCTCTGGATCCCGATGCGCCTTCAGAAAAGGATTGCATCTATTTTCAGTTAGCAGCAGATACGTCCCCTTTCTACATGCGATACGTACCCGCTCGTATTGGTACTTGCTCATGTAAAAGGCCGTTTCGCAGGAGGAGGTAGTGGACTTGACTTCTAGGTAAAAACGAGGTCGCTTCCCCGCCCACAATTCGGAACTTAAGTAGCCTTTTGCGATGAGGAAGGAGGTCAGGATACCTTCGCTGTCGGTATACACAAGGTCGGCTGTCTCACGGCCACACCATGGTTGCAAGTCGATGTAGTCCTCGTGAAGTTGAATGTACTGGCGGATGGCGCTTTGCCAGTTTTCTCTGGAGAATCCTGGTAGATTTGGGCGGAGACGGGATAGGACTTCGAATACCTGTGGATGAATGAGTCTATCTTCTTGTTTCCAGGGTTATGTCTGAGGCTTTCATGCTGCTACTCACAAATAGTTCACCAGCCGCACCTATTCGTTTGTCTCGCTCGAGCTTCTCTAGCGAACGAAGGTGGCCGGTATTGCCGCCTTGTTCGCGGAGATGTAGGTTCTGGAACTCACTGAGGAGTGGTGTATCGATAGAGCCCCGAGTGGGAAAGATAAACTGGCGCGCAGCTGAGATAACGTTCTCTAAGATGGACCGATATTCTATATCTACGGGCGCAGCATTATAGGTGGGCATGGGGGTCGTCAGGAGAGAGGACGGTGAAAAGCTCCGGAAATTAGGCCTGGTCCTTGACGATGGCACAGTTTCTTCTCCGATTTCACCCGACACGACTGATGGCGTAGGAAAGGTTGCACTGGGTGTATTTGATTCTGTGCCGAATTGGTTGCTATAGCCAGATGCTGCATCGCCACTGACCTCTTCCGCCTGACGGTCGTCGTTGCTGGTTGTCAGGTCGATATCGTCCTCTTCAGCAACTTCTTCGATCTCAATACTCACAACTCCCGCTCGATCAAGGGTCGCGGCGACATAGGGAAGTGGAACTTGTAATACTTTCTCCATCACGTCCAACGCTCTGTCAGGAAAAGGCGCGCATATTCTTGTGGTTGGCTCTGTCATGATCCATTCGAGAAGAGCTTTCGGTATTCGGTCCACAAAGCATAGACATTGTGCCTTTTCATCTCGTGGCACGTATATGGTCAGATCAGTATCGGTTTCATGCAGATGTAATTCACTTCTCGATACTTCCACCAAGATATCTTTTCCGTCCTGGTTTAGATGCAGTTCAGAGCTAATCCCATCCGTGGCACAGACCTTGATTTTTCTAAGAAGCTCATAGAAGCCATCCTCACTCTTTAGCATTCTGGGGCTATTGTAATGTGCAGCGATGCTGTTATTTTCTGCCATTAGCTTGTTTCTTTATATTCGACGAACTAACGTACCGCAGCAAGCCATACGCTCTAAGAGCTATTTCTCGATCTTTTGACACCAGAGATTGATGGGAATCATTGCCCACCCTTGAAATCTCTTTGACAGAAACGGACAAATAACGTCGTTCAAGTCCAACCCAGTTTAGAAAGGGCTCCAGTCGATGTATGTCATTGACACTAAAGTCGAGAAAGTGGGCCTTTCCAGCAAACCAGTCGTACAGGTGTTTACGATCCGCGATTGAGAATGCTTCGTCGCAGCTGCGGAGCAGAGTCTGGCCATTGAGATCCCGTACGGGGAACACTTTCGCATCCCGGATCGACTGACTATCTGGTACTTCATCGTCTGTTTGGAGGTACTTATTTAGTAGCCAAATAGTCTCCTTAACTTCCTCAATAGACGCAGACGTGCTTCCCTGGTCGACTAATTTCGTAATCACCATCTCAAGCGTCAAGGTTTGTACACCAATTGTGTCAACAAAGAACTCCTCCAGACCTTCGTATTCGTCGTTCAAGGCTATCATCCCGTCGATGTTGGTGGCTTTTGACCATAGACATTCCGAAGGATTATGCCAACCCCATGAGCCATCCTCATTCTCGTGGTAGATAAGGTCATTTTCATAAAACGATTCCCTGCAAGCCCTGTCATCAGCCACATCTTTCTTTGTATTGCGGCGGAACGTCCAAAGAGCCTACCGGATATGTTCAATGTCTTCTTCCATCTCCTGCGGCAATAATCTAGCTAATGAACGGTATAGGCTGCAAACATCGCCCTCTTCCGCCCGTTCGTTATGCTGGCTCCACAGTACCAGCTCATCTTTGACGTCCATCGCATCAGCATTGCGAATCCCCAGGATATCTTTAAAAAGTCTAGCGACGAGGTCGGTATCGGGAATGTCGCTATAGAGTTTATGAAGAGGGTTGACTTCCCAAATATGCTCTGGGGATTCCCATCTACAGGATTTCGGGTTATCCCACCTTACAGAGTGCCAAGGCTTGCTGGCCGGACGCGGAACATAGACCAGGTCATACTTTTCAAACACGTTTCTGTAATTGAAGTTAGCCTCATCATCGCCTGAAAGATTGAGGTTATACCATCGTACCGGATCATTTTCCCTGTGATATCTGGGGTTACGGACTCCCGCCATCTCGTGTATAGCCGATTATAGAGATCAATGACTCGTCCTATATCCTGAAGCGGAGAAGGGCATGGGTTTGCTTTTTTGATATAACGCAAGATGACGAAAATGAACCCAATCTCAGACTTGGGATATCCGAATCCTAGGGCCTTGGCGACAACAGATATGTCTGAAAGTTGTGTTTGATTCTCTGCTACGACAGAGGAATCCAGCCACGGAAAAAACTCATCATCATGAAGAAATTGCTTCGCATACTCTAGATGTTCGGTGCGGATGTATGTTTCGCCAATGGGGTGCAGCCTGCCATCCTCACAGGGGACCTTGACTTGCAAGAGCTTTTTGACCAAAGCTGGATCGGCCAGGACTTTGTCTCCTCCACTGAGCCAGTAACGTAATAGAAAACCAAGAAATTTCGCTGGGTGGGCCTCACCAACGTGCGCGCATTCCATACTGAGGCTGCCGTCTTCAACCAAGGGGATCTCATCGCGGATGTTAAGCACTTCTTGTAGCCATTTTTGCCACGTGCGACTTTCCCCGTCAGGCGTCTCTGGACTGTTTTCGTTGATATAGTCTGGGTGGAGGATGTAACTATGTCCAGAGTAACCGGACTCAGGTTGTAGTAGCTGCTGGGCCCCGTACTCGTCATGGCTGGGGAAGTACAATCTGCTTGCCTGTATTGATGGCAAATTGCCTCGATGGTCGCAGATGGAGGAATTCTTGTAATATGCAAATTGATCTGTCTCTGGGTCAAGGTGAGCGGTCTGGTAGAGGAAAGCTAGGTGTTTTCGAGAAATCCCTAGATCTGGAATATGCTTGTTAAGAGAATTGAGTACCCAACGACGCACATCAGGCACCTCGGCCTCTTCAACCCCCATTACGCGGAAGAGCGCCTTTCGCCTTGCGTTAAGCTCTGCTGAGGGCTCTACTAGGCATACACCTGTTGTGGGTGGAATCTGATATCGCGCGACGAAGGAAAAGTATATTCTAGGGCCAAAGACTGATATGGGGGTCCAAGCCCCACCCGCAAGCGGAATGATCTTAAGCCTTCTAATTCTGTTAGGATCCTTGGTGCAGGCTTCAATTAAGATATCCGCGACACGAGTATGCCAATCATCAGATGTGTCAGGGGCGTGCAATTTAGATCCAGAGCCTTGATCCAGGTCCTGCTCAAGCCTTACAAGAAAGTCGAACATGTGCATCCAGAAAAGGCCATAGTAGTTCAAGAGATCTAAATCCTTGGCTTTATATTCGGGGGCAAGATATTGTTCGTCCTGTAGGTCGGGGAGTAAATACTCCCCATCTCTGTCAAGATAGCGTGATCGGGTTCGCAGCATAAATGGGATCTGGCGTATTTGGCTATGTGTTCTGGTCCACAACATTGCTTCTTCAAGAAGGCAGACTCGAATTCTGTCTACCAACCTGCCCCAGAAGCTATCTTCAGACACCTGTGTACTCTGTGGCAAGAACCGCATCCATGTGTAGCGAATGGATGGATGCTGGGAAACACTCAGGTGAGACAATGCTTGGACAAAGGCCTTTGCAATGAAGGGTATTAGAGCAGCATTACGAGCAGATGAACGAACAATATCCTGACGACTCGCATCCGTGACAAAGTCGGCTTGGATCAAGAACTAATTCATGTTAACTTTCACCGCTTGCACAGGCCAACCATGAATCACTCACATAGAATCCCATTTTCCGAATGGGGAGGAAGGCGTAGACGTCTTGTACCTCGATGATCGGCGTAAGGTCCGAGCACATAGGAAGAGCAACGACCACATCTGATGTAGCATAGGCATTGCTCTCTATTTCACTCTGTGTATAGGTACGGTTTTCGCTCTTGGGAAGGTGGCATGCTCTTTCAGTTACGATATAGTAATCTTGCCTTGTTTCTCGAACATTGCCCCCTTCAACAGTTTGCCGTCGAAGTGTGGTCTGCCGATCGCCACGTCCAGGCTCTCGAGTAAATATCGTTGAAGAGGTCTCTTCGCCGCGATCATTATAGATTTCCACTCCAATCCGCCGAAGGTTCTTCATGAATAGAAGGAATGTCGCCTGGAGCTCTCGAAATTGCTCTAGTGTGGTCTCGTATTGGCGAGAGAAGCTTTCATCTGTGTTATGTTCATGCAAATACAGAGTAATCCGTGTGAGGTGAGGCTCAGGGATCTGCTCAGGCTCTTCCCAGACGGGAGATACCATTCCCATTCCGGAATCGCCAGGTCGGTGCTTGAACGAGAATGAATACTCGTCCGATTGAATATGAACTTTCCAGGCCACCATAAAAACAGACTTGAACCCAATCCCCTTTTCACCGATATATCCTTGAGCTCCCTGCTTGGAGCTCTTTCCCACACTACATATTGCAGTCAAGTTTTCAGGAGTAAAGCCGTCCTCGTTACACTCTAGCACAATCCGTTTGGGATAGACGCGAAATGACACGAAGGGTATCTCTCCGAGTGATTGTGCCATATAGTATAAGTTGTCATCCGCATTCTGCAGTAGCTCGAAGACAAATCTGGCACTACTATTGTAGAGGTTTTTGGATAGTCTGTTTAATGTCAGATTAGACAGGCACACAGTCAGTTAGATGGCTGCATACGTTATCACAGAAGATCCGATCATCTCATCTTTCTTGAGCATGGCATCCTCGACCTTTCGCCGTACCTCTGCCGACATGGTGCCGAGGACAGTCTCGTCAAGATAGCCATGCTCCACGGCAATTTCCTCCACTAGCCGACGGGCACTTTCCGTTCTATACATATCTGATGCTAGACTTGATGAGAATTGAGTGTCAGAGATCGGGACCGTTTCTGCCCAGGTAAAACCGGCCCATAGCCAGGTTACCGGAATGGTGGCCAGAACGAGGGGGGAAGCGTTCTTCTTAATTGCGGAAAGGTGCCTTGTTGCCCCTGGTAGTTAATACCCTGGCGCTCCCCACTTATCACGGCTAGCGTTATGCGAGTTGACTGCGGCGGAACGACTCCGTAGAATTAACCCATTCCTCATTCATGGAATTATAGGCCAATCGACGCGCGACGGTAAGCCAGCCTTCTACGGCGGACTAGCCCATGCTAACGAATATTAGGTCACATCTTGCGATTTTCTGCCAAAATAGTAGCGTTTGATAGAAAGCCTCGGCTACACGCACCCTTGAAACATTCAGTGTCTGACTTGCCCCAAGTCGTGCTACCACCACCAGGGATTGGGATCCTGGCCTAGGGCTCCTGGGGGACTGTTATCTCGGAACTGGACCAGTTGATCATCCGGAAATGTGAATTTAATTTACAGCATATCGTTTTTCAGTGTAATAGTGCGTCGGTATCGGTAAAGTTTGTAATATTGTATGCATATTGTCCATGAGCGTTATTTAGTCCACCGGAGGTAATGTGTTTAGTTCACTTTGTTCTGTGAGGTCCTGACGAGTGCTGCGTAGTAGTTATAGATTAATAGGCCTTTAATAGGCCTTCCATGCTGTCTGGGATTGAGAAACCTTCAAGCTTGTGTCTTCCTAATTCGTCTTCCAGTCATTCCAATAATGCTTGCATGGACCATGTTATCTATTTGGTGGATGAGCTAGACATACGCAGGGTAAGCTTTATAGCTTTGCCACACGGACTGACTGATGTTTGTAAATATCTAGGCCGAACTATCGTACATTGCAATGAGGCCGTGGAGCCATGACTCCCTGGATTCATTGGGCTGTAGAGCCAGGAGCTCCTCGCTAGAGGCCTGAACCTCTAAAAATTGATGTCCATCACACAACCGGATTTGAAGCCTCTCCTGGTAGTATTGGTCCATACACTGGCCACAGAGATCGATATCAGGACAGGTTTGACACACAAATCGTCCTTCTGTGACTGGCGCCGTCTCTTTACAGAGATCGCACACCGCACCATCTGAGAAGCTGGGATCGACATTCGCATCGTACAGAAATGCCGTGCGGGCAGCGGAGACATCACCCATGTAGAGCAGGCATTTCCCTAGCCGATACGAGACCGACCTTGCCTCCGTTAGGGCTCGGGTGGCAAGGGTGGTGATGCCCTCCCTCAGGGCTGATGTCCGTTTCTCTTCATCGAGTGAAGGAGCCAATAGGGGAGCATCTCCTATTAGCGTCTCCAGCGTCGGCGGATGTCGAACCGCCCAGTCTATGGAGGAACGACCGAACCAGTCCAGTTGCAACCGATCGGCCCCCAAGGACAACAGGAACTCGACGAGATCAGTCTGTCCAGCCGCCGCGGCCGCGTGCAGGGCGGACGACCCATCATAGCACGCCGTCACATCCACGCCACTTTCCACTATCAACTCAATAATGTCTCGGTGACCCTTGGTCGCAGCCTTTGACAAGACGGTTCCTCCGCACCAGCATGGGCGGAGCCAATCAAACTTCTGCGCATTGGCCGCGTGCAGAAGAACCCGAAATGCATCAACACCTCCCTCAACGGCAGCATAGTGCAGGGCCGTATGGCCTCCGCTGCGATGGAGGGCGCCTACTTCAGCGCCAGCATCCACCAGCAACTGGAGGAGGTCTTCCTGACCAGTCCAGGCAGCCAAATGCAGCGCCGTTTTTCCATCCCCGTGGGAGACGGAGACATCTGCCCCCATCTCCAGAAGCAAGCGGGCGAATGCAGTACATCCGTAAAGGGCCGCTAAATGAAGGGCCGTGTTTCCTGACGCATCCAGTGCGTTGATCGCGACGCCTGCACGACATAACGAGGGGACGACGCTAGGATTGTTGCCCGCTACGGCCGCATGTAGGACGGTTTGACCATCCGGTTCCAGTATGCCCACTGGAGTACTGTGGGCGAGTAGTGATTCCACGATCTCGACCGTCCCACAGTACGCGGCTAGATGGAGGGCATTATTACCGTTCGTTTCGACCAGATTCACATCGGCTCCGGCTTCCAGCAGCAACTGGACGACCGCGGCTCGCTGATATATCACCGCGGTCAATAAGACCGTGGTTTCCTCGTCCCCGCGCACGTCCACCGGGATGCCCTGCTCCAGCAGAAATTTCACCACCTCCACACTGCCCCCGGCGGCTGCGTGGTGGATGGCCGCATCTCCCCGCTCATCGACACTGGCGATATCGGCGCATGCTGGAGCAGGAGCTGGACGGCATCCATGTGTCCGTGTGACGCCGCGATATGCAACGGGAGCAGGTGCCCCCGGCGCAGGAGATGCACGTCGCATCGAACTCTAACAGGAGGCTAATCATTTCGCATCGTCCCTGATACGAGGCCAAGCGTAGCTTGGAGTTGATCGCCTCGTGGATCATGGGAAAGGCCGGATGGTCCCGGGCAATGTTGGCGCCAGCTCGAGAAGAGTCCTAGCCACTGATTGATGGCCTAGCGTCACGGCCGCCTCCAAGGCGGATCCCCACTCCCAGTTCTCCTTCGATGGGGTGGTCACATTCCCAGCGCCGGACGCGAGAAGCTGGCGAAGGACTAGTTCCTGGTCATGGGCCACCGCCCATTGGAGGGGCGTGTGGCCATCGTTATCGGGCAGGGAGATGGGGACGCCAGCTTCCAGCAAGACCGCGACGATCTGCACTTGCCCTGCTGCCGTCGCATCATGAATGGCTGCTCGGCCATCGATGAGTCTCGCGGGATCGGGGTCTCGCCTCACGAGCTTCTGAACGCAGGCGACTTGGCCCTGTGTAGCCGCCCAGATCAGGGGCGTGTTGCCATCGTTCCGAATCAGCGTGGGCGCCCGGTCATACAGCTCCTGCGACAGGAGCTCGTGAAAACGATGGGCTGTCTGGATGAGGGCATTGAGGTCCGAGACGCTGAGATGCGACGCCACCCCCAGGATGATTTCGCCGGGTTGATGGACAAACCACAGGGTAGTAGACGATGCCATGGTAGTATGAAGGGTGCGAAGGTGCAATAATGTCACGTCCACCATCCGACACAGAACACAGGACAGGGAGGGTGGACGGGGTGTGAATACGAGCTGGAGGGGGGTGGTGGATCTCATTCTAAGCCTTCCATTCGCTCGCCAGCCACAGCTAGAATAATGATCGACATGTCGTGCCCACTGGGCAAGTCGATCTCTCGTGATAGATTAGGTATAGAATCAGTTGATAAGGCCGCCTCATCTGTGCTCACTCGGTCTACCGTCGGTCAATCACTCTCCTAAGCCCTTCGAGAACCGTTCCAACATCACTTGCTCTGTAGATTTCCATACCTGCTCCATTGCTGTGAGCTATGGGCCACCAATTCTGCCCCAGTTCAGAACACCCCTTTACAGCCCTGCACACTACTCGGGCCATTGTAAAGCCCACCGGCATTGGTCTTTGATTGGAATAACTCCACTCCTCACTCTGAGAAGATAAGCCGTTCGTGTCCCGAGTTACTTTCCTGATCCCCCACAGGAATATGCGTTGTGGGATTCAATCTAAAAGACAATGGAAGCCACCTGACTGCGCTTTCTGGCCCATTATGGTTGAAAAATCACGTCAGCTCTATGTGCATACCACCGCACCCCTCGCATTTATGACCACCCGTAGATGCGATCTTATCGGCTTAGATGTAAGTTGAAACCCCTCTCGAGGGCCAGAGATCCATCCGTAGCTCGAATCCCCTCTGAGAGAACCCCAGCTGGGCACTCAAGGCCAAGGCATCCGTCTGCACGCGGTGCACCCAGAGCCAATGAATGTTACCTTCCCTATACCGACAGCCCTATGTTTCTCAGCAAACAACGCCAATCGGACCCAATTCTTTGATATTGACCTGTTGTATGTTTTTCCCGTCTTATTCTTGTGAAGTTCGTGCTGTCTCTTCAATCCTTCGTTGGGTTCAAAAAGATGACATCATGTATCTGTCGTCCAAGAAAAGCAGGGCTGGCTCCAGAGAGAATCACATGCTCACACTAGGCCGGAAACCTGTTAGCGCTGCCGAGTCAGTGCCCCCCGTGCTTTCCAGGTGATCATCTTTAACGGACATGGAAGCAACATTGAATCTCGGGCTCCATATTCAGACAGTGCAATACCTATCAGTACTAGTCGCAGCTCTTGAACCCTGGCGAGGTTCTCTGTTTTTTGATAAACTCTAGTTGCAGCCCCCTGCCATGAATCTCTAGCCACGACCTGGCCTTATCTCTCCCCTTCTCCTACCGCCTGAACTGTGGTGATTGTTGCCCTCGATATACATCCTCTCGATACTATGTCAGCAACTATTTGTTCTAGGGTCGTTAGTCTCGATGAGCTAATTCCTAGGGCCGTCGATATTGAATGCGAAGGTATGAAAACCGACAGCTCTCCTGGGCAACGTCACTCTGTCTTACATCACCTGCTGTTGCTGTTGCTGACGCATGCATTACTAAAGAAAAGGACGTGGAGAAACTAATCCCTTGGGTATTCCAGTACTCTGATACTGCAGAGGAAGATTGCACCATGTCTTGGCCAGAAGTGGAGTACAAATTTAGACATTTCTTTGACGAGGTCTCTTCCTACTGCGCCGAGTTGAAAGGACAAGAGTCTAGTGGTACAGGGGTTGCAAGTGTTCTCAGAGCAAGCGAGACGGTAACCTTACTCACAAAAAACTGGAAAGTGTCCGAGAGAGAATATTTTAAACACTTTATAAGATGGCAGGGTGTGATGTTGGGGATGTTGATGAAGACTATCTATTTTAGTCTTGGTATCAAAACGCAAGACCCTAACATCCAGTGAGTTGTTAGTCCCTGTACGTAGGTGCACACGTGGCCTTTGTATTAACAATCCTCAAAGGTTTGCTTTATTAGGACTTAAGCTAAAGTATGTGATTGGTGGTAAACAATTTATCGCTAGAGCGGAGGGCGCAGCTACCGTTGACGGCCTACCAATTATCTCTTACACTGGTGTATGTACATGTGGTCGAAATGACTACTTTTCTTTTTTCTGTAGTTATCCTTCTAACATTTTTAGTGGTTCAGAAAGCAGACTTGGAGTGAATTCTTGGGTGAGACGCTTAGTGTGATGCTGGGGCAGCTCGCCAAAAATCTCAGTATGCAGACTGGCGGCGCAGGTTCCCGGGAGCAGGAAGTATTTGTCATTGGCTTTCACGGGCTTTATCTTCACATCGCCCGTGGGCTTTTCACAGCCAGTATGATTTCTAGGGTGCATTCGAAGGGATGCTCAGAGAATGAGGTTTTTGAATTGAAATTCACGCAGGGCTACAACCTATGTTCCAAGAAAGATTGGCTCGAAGCCACACGTGCTTTGTCAAGATTGTATCGATACCTCTTGAGTGGAAAGGCAAAGGTCGGTGCTATTCAGGCATATATGCAACGGGGTCCAGATACTACCGATGCTGTGTAAGTTGTTGTTGCTCTCTTTGACCGATATTATGGCTCTCTGAGACCCCCATGTTACAAAGATCTATAGTATGCTAGGAAGGACATGCGGGTGAATGCCTTAATAAATGGATGCATATCATAGGACTTGGTTATTTGTGTTTATAGTGATTTTGTAGTAGATGCATGTCACCAGTAATCCTCTATAGTGGAGAAGGGTATATAATTAGACATTATATAGGCAGTATTCATAACATCGATAGTTCTATATACGCTCACCCACGCATCTCACAAGATTATCTCAACAGGAACCTCAACTTTGGCAGCGCGGCCTCCAGCGACCTTTTCCGTGGAATAAGATAGAAGAAGCTCCAAGATATAAATGCGGGAGATGAAGCAAGATTGAAAAGTTGGCACAAGATCGTCGTGCTTTGGAACGGAAACTGGGACAACGATCGATGCCTTATATGATGTTTCTTCATTCTTGGAGGTAGGCTGATAACTCAGCAGGGAAGACGAAATGCCGGTACTGGATGATTGTATTTTGGTCCATTGCGTTGATGCAATATCAACTGTTGGAAGCGTCAGAGGTTGGATGTGGTCCCCTCGGGCTAAATCATAGTTTTGGTCCTTCGTGAATGACGGATACTGTTCCTGCGGCCCTGCGTGGAAGGATGTTACCGAGTTCAACTTGGGATAAACTTTTCGCAGGCGAGGGGGAGGTTCTGTCCCAACTGCGGTGAATCTAAGGGCTAATTCTATCGAGGTGTTGACCTGGCCGGCGGCATCAATTCGACGGAAAGAAGGGCGTATGGGCTCAGCAGGTGAAGTTAAGATAGTCAAGTGGCCAGCACATTTCCCTCTCCAGCCACGTCTAATTCGGAGCACTTTTCGAGATGTGAGCGCATTGATGGCAATGTCGCTAGAGCTACCCAATGTACCAGAGGGACGTATCTTGACCGGTCGAACAACGTTGGCTAAGCACTTTTTCGGGTTGGCTTTACCGCAGAATGGCCTCGGGATGTTCACTCGGATGTTGTATTTTATAGAAAAGCATTCTGTGTCGCTCTCTTTGCACATTGAGGGCGGCAATTTGGTGTGAGCATTTTTGATGCCTGTATCATCCGCGTCGTGATCGCATGCCGTGAGCGGCAAACTTTCCGGCACAATGAATGTAAACGGGAACTTGTAGCACCAACCCGGCTCTAGAATCGATGCTGGTTGATATGAACCCTTCTCAATCGGATTATGGAGTCTCATAAACGTATGACGACCACCGATAAGTGGCGGCCCATTAATGCCTCCCCAGGTCACTATTCTCGATATCCCTTCCAATGTGATCTGAATATCCTCGAAGGCGGTTTTTTCTGCCACTGTGATAGTCACCACTCCTTCGATCTTATCTAACGTCGTGAATACGGTTGGGCGACTATCCTCGCGCCGGCGATGTGAATAGACACCGACACCTTCGAGGAGGAGCTCCCGGTGCTCAGTGCACATGAGCGTAAGAGAGCTGGGATCTTGGCCATGGCCGTGTTTCTTCCACCAATAAGAGTGAAGGCAACGAGATAGTGGAACACGACGATTGTGAGATAGTACGTCCTTCTTGCACTCGGAATACTGCCTGATAGTCGTCTTCAAGCTCGATCGAGAAGGAGAATCCGGGATGCAGGATATGCTATCTTTTTCTAGTATGACGGATCATCACTACCTGCACGGGAAAGCTGGGGTTGATCCGTGGACGGTCCGTGCCGGGCCGGGGGTTTCTCTGCCTCCCGGACCGCCCTTCAGAGGTATGTACATACATCGAGTCAAGTCTCTATATGACGTGCTTTTCGATTAGATCTAGACTACTTTCTCCATATATCCATATCCACGGAGACCGTGACGAACTCCCCAATCACATGGCCCGGACGGCTATACTTCGGTCGGTCAATTGTCGGATGACGCCGAAAACCGAACGGCGTAAAGGTAGATTAGTGGGTATTCATTTGTTGGAAGCGGATAATGCACTGATATGTAAGCATAAAGAGCGAGTCTATGCCATAGGTTGAATGGTCTTTGGTATATCCATAAGTTATACGTTCATATACTTCCGGGGGATGGTCGGACTATTTTCTTATTGCTCCACCAGGAATGACTGCATCTCGGCAACATACATTAGTACATTGGCTATGAACTTCGTATTTATAAATACAGTAGTGTGGCCATGTGTTAGAGTTTGTCAGTGCCTGATCGTAGGAGCTACCCAAATCCATGTCAATTTGTATTGTTCAATTATGTGCTGTCGTTGAACATGGTACTATGCCAGTAGAACCTCTCTAGTTTCTCCGTAAGACAATGATTCTATGAACAATTATGTAGATAAGCAACGGGTGTAATATTCCAGGTTTCTGTACAAATACAGGTACTATATGCTCCAATTTCCACCATAGTTTACGAACAAGATAGCCCATAAAGAATTTAGTGTCTATCGAGCTACCTCCCAACATCCCCATCCAACTGCTGCAACTTAGCCATTTGCCAATATTTCCCTCCGAGCTTCATCAACTCGTCATGGCGGCCCCTCTCAATAATGCGTCCGTGGTCCAAGACTAAAATCTCATCGGCATCAACAATCGTCTTGAGTCGATGGGCAATTGAGATGACGGTCCGGCCTTGCATTGCCCGCTGGAGTGCCTCCTGGACTAGTGCTTCCGAGGCGCTATCCAGCGCAGAGGTTGCCTCATCAAGCAAGCTAGGAAGAGTCAGAAAATTACATATATAAATAGGATCGTATCTTACAAAATCTTCGGTCCCCATAGAAGGGCCTTGGCGATGGCCATGCGCTGGCGTTGGCCTCCGGACAGAGTCGATCCGTTGGCCATGACTGGGCTGCTCAACCCTTGGGGGAGGGATAGCTAGTCACGATCAGATTTGAAAATGAAATGGGCGACCTGTAGCTGGTATGTGGATAGAAGACGTACCACGAAATCAGCGAGTCCCACATCCTTCAGAGCGGCCATGATCTCCTCGTCTGAAACGACTCGCTCGTCACTCTGCAAACACTCGCGCAGATCTTCACCAACCAGACATGGATTCTGGTCGACCAGTGCCAAGTACCCTCTGTAGTTGTTGAGATCATAGCGTTCAATAGGAGCTTGCCGCAGCGTTATCCGGCCGGATTCAGCAGTGTAGAACCGCTCTATCAGACTAACCACAGAGCTTTTGCCACTGCCAGTGGCTCCGACAAGAGCAATAAAGCTACCAGCTCGGGCGCTGAATGTGATATCCTCCAGTGTTAGTTGGGATTGTCGATTTGGGTATCTGAAGTTGATGTGCTGTAGCACCAAATCCTCCGTGGTATTCGGCACAAGGACAGTGGTATAGCCCTGCTTTGGGTCATTGTCTGGGAAGGTTCCTGGAGAACCATCGGGTCGCATTAACTCCGTCAGTCGAGAAGCAGCAGCATGAGCACCTGCAATGTCTGGTGCATGAGCAAAGAGAGTAGCGGCAGACTGGGACCCCCAAACCGTGGCCGCGAAACATATGAAAAATTGTTGGATGGTATATTCGCCCGACGCGATGAGACGGGTACCGCCATACCAGAATACGAAAGCAATACTCAGTATCCGAAGTGACGTGGTACACGCATGCAGGCCAGCAGATATGACCCAGTACCAGTGTTGCCTGTCTCGGTGGCTTGCTCTTTGGAATGATTCTATAACGGTGGTTTGCAAACCGAGTATGGTCACTGTTTTGATAGCTGAGAATGCTTCATGCGCAATGGTCACGGCGTTTGTGTCGCGCTTCACGTGCTTCTGTACCTGTGCCTCGATATAGTATTGCAGGAAGCTGGACATGGCTATCAATGGGACTGTAGCCATTGCTGCGACCCCGAGCTTCCATCCAAAGATACATCCAACTATGATCCCGGTCGCAAGCATTACGATGCTTTCGGTTACCAGTCCGAGCGACGTTCCTGATACACCGGTTATCTTCGGAGTGCCTGACGAGAGGAAGCTTACCATGCTTCCAGTAGAATGACCCTTGTTCTCGAAAAAGATAAGGTTCTTGAGCAGCAGTGCCTTGAATAAATACGACCGCGCTCGGAGGTGCAACTGGGATGCGGACACCGCAAAGCAATAGTTTCGGATACTGTACAATAAGAACACAACAGCACCATGGTAGAGGTACAACCGGGCCCAGAAGTAAACATCGTGCCCTCCGGTACTTGCACCAGGGCTAATGATTGATATGATCCCATTGCCGAAGAAGACCGCTTGAATGGGGTATGTCATTCCAGCCAGCCCGCTGAAAATGATACCCGTAACAACGTAAGGCAGCTCAGGCTTATTTAAGTGCCAAACTTGGTTGATGCTGCCTTTCGGTGATGAGCTCGACCATGGATCATCCTCAGCTTTCTTCGGGGCATCGTCGACTGATATATCCCTCGGCTTAATTTTGAGATAATTTGCAGAAGACAACGACTCTTGAGATTCGTTGCTCTGTCGGAGTGCCTGGTGCTCCACTAATTCTCGGTACACCACAGACGTGCTCATTAACTCCCAGTGGGTGCCTTGATTTAAGATCTGGCCGTCTTTCATGACAATTATCATATCGGCATCTTGGACTGTCGATAGCCGATGGGCTATTATCATGGTGGTTCGTCCGTAGGCAGCGCTGCTCAGAGCCTCCTGAATTTCCTTTTCGCTTTGACTATCCAAGGCAGCAGTAGCCTCATCCAGTAGTAGGATCGATGGCTGCGATATAATGGCACGGGCAATTGCGAGCCGTTGCCTCTGTCCACCAGAGAGACCTGACCCATTAACCCCTATGATGGTATCGTAGCCGTCGGGGAGACTGTTGATGAATGAATGGATGTGCGCGGTCTTGGCAGCCTGGATTACTAGTTCTCGAATTACAGATGGATTCAGTGTCTGTTCCTGTATGAGAAAGTTACTTCATACAAACCAATGGACACTGGCAGACATACCTCGGTGGTAGGTTTGGGCAGCCCATGAGCAATATTCTCAAGAATCGATGCATGGAACAAGGTGACATCCTGGCTGACGTACCCAATCTGAGACCTCAGCCACGAGACATTCATCGCATCAATGGGGTCATTATCCAGCACAATCTCCCCGCCGATGGGAGAGTATAAACGTGCCAAAAGAGCGAAGACTGTCGACTTACCAGATCCCGATGGTCCCACCAAGGCGACAGTGTGGCCAGCAGGAACATGAAAACTAATCTCTCTGAGAACAGTTTGTTCCGGTCGCGAAGGATAAGCAAACCCTACATTGTCGAACCAGATCTCTCCCCGAACAGGACCGTATATACGTCCCGTAACTGCCATGGGATTAATTGGCGAAACACGCTCAATAACCGAAATGACCCGGTTAGTTGATTTGCTGGCCCGGGTCACATCGACGACATACGGCAACGCTTGACACAGCATCCCGCCTGCGACGACTGTTGCATAGAGGATGGACAAGGCCTCTGAAACCGTACAGAGTCCCTGGCGGAAGAGGCGATCCGCCTGCCAAAACTAACCCTACTTATTAGCAGGGCTTTTTACATACTCGAGTCATACGTACACCCAACCCGTTAGCCCAGTGCAAGATCGTAAAGGAGCCTGCCACTATCACGCCAAAGATTAAACGCTCCCGAAAATCCAGAGCAGCCGGCTGCAACAACATATCGTGATACTTTCTCGCATACCGTTCTTGGCTTCGGTAGGCAATAACGCTCCTCATAGCATTGAGGACTTCTTGGGCCAAATTGTCCAGTTTCACGGAATGGGGCAAGCCTCTTTGCTGTGTCCCGCTTAGCCAAGACCCCATTAGTCCCACCAGGAGAATCATGGCAATCGGCTGCGATATCATTATCGATGCGAAGCGTCGGTTCTGGATAAAGGCGCAGATGATGGCAACAACAAAACCCGATACTCCGGAGATAATGTTGCCCACCTTCTGCGAGATGCCCGTCTGAATTAACTTCATGTCCTGGTCGATGCGGGACGTGAGCTCTCCTGTGCCGACGACATCGAAGTACGCCATGTTCTGCTGCAGCACTGAAGAGAGGTACCTTTGCTGGAGACGACGTGCAATCTGTTCCCCGACTGCATTGAGCCCCCATGTGCTGATCATAGTGGAGACGAAGGACCCGATCGCTGATATGTGTCAGATGACATGACTGTTGAATTAGTCTCGAGTCCCATACCGATGTACACCAGGAGCAGGGTGAGATGCTGAACCCGGTCGCGAATATCCTGTGGTGTTTTCTCATCCCCATTGATGAATTCACTTGCCAAAGCCCCGAAAACAATCGTGACCAAGGGCATTGCAGCCCCGGCGACCACTGCGCAGCTTGCCGATACCAGCCCTGCGCAGATCAGCGGCGCGTTTGCATATCGGAAGATCGAGAAAAGGTTCGCCGTGCTGGGGTCTATGCGAACCTGACATTCAATGATGTCGGCGGCGCAAGGCGTACTAGAGATCGGCGGGATTTCGCCCAGCAGAATCTCCTCGTCCGACATCATGTGTCGTCTTGAAGCGCATCGAGCGCAGTGTCAAACTTGCCTTGTTGTCTGAAATGAATGACTGGCAATGACGGGCATGTCATGGTCACGTGGATCATAACATTCCCAATTCCTGGCCAGATGTCAAGTATTTGGGATGGCTAACACGCTGGTGATCGATGCACCACATCTTTCTACACTACCACGGGACCGTACTGCTCTTGTTACCGATTTATCTTTGCATAATACAAAAATGATAGAGCATAACGCCACAATTTCCATTAGATAGCCCGAAATCCTGATAACTATTCAACAGCATTTACTGACATTCCCCGCACGCCATACAAAGTCCATTCTTAGATAATACCACTGCATTGTCCCTAAAGCTTTCGAGAGGGATTCTTCACCCTGATGTTTTAATGTGGAAGGGCCCATGGATCTAGGCTAAAAGGGGGCATCATACTTATACTACGAGCCTCCAGAGCAGACGGAATTGCAAAAGCATTCCCATAGCCTCGGAGTACGTCTTGCCCGACGGGCTTTCATTATATGGAATGCTTGCAGCATCGGAGACGTCCTTTGCCTGCACCTCGTCGATGTCAAGCAAAGTCATCAACTGTCTGTGGATGGAAGGCCATGCCTCAGATCGCGTCTTAAACAGCAGCCACCAGTCACCTGCAGCATCCTTGCCAATCACCCTACAGACATTACGGGTGGGGTACAGGCGGCAATGCTCAATATCGTTGATGTAAGACGGTCTGCCCAGTGCATGAGGCCTGTCACTGAGAGGCACGCCGGGGGCAACAACGGCAGCCGAGAAGTCGGTTTCAAAATACCTGGCTTTGTGCTGGTTGGTATGGGTCATGAAGAGCAGGTTCGAATCGCCGACAAGCGGTGGAATTTGCATGAATGAGTCTCGCTGAATGGCAGTCATCGCTTCGACTTGTTCCTTGGTTCTGTGCTCCATGAGCGCCTGCCGATTCTTACGCGCCAGGGATGCCAAATTATTATCCTCGAGGACCTCGCTCGTCTTGTGCACCGTGTAAGAATTGAAGAATGCATTGCCGATGAAGCCCTTAGCGCCGGCCGGGAATGACTCCTTGAAGAGACCCCATACATTGAAGGGGCTCATGACCATGACGGTACGGCCGGGCGAAGGGTTCAGGGCCGTGACCATGGTCTTCACCCACCATGCGGAGACGACATCAGGCTCGCTCACGAAGGGCACGTCGGCTCCCTCCGGAGTCGAGGCGGCCAGCTCCTCTTGCGCGTTTTGCCTCATCCGTTCCACGCAGTGTCCCGGAACGCGGATGGGATGCTCTTCCTCCTTTCGGAACCAGAAAAGTTCGAATAGGTACCGGAGCCCAAAGAGCACAAGACTCAGTCCAGCAACGAGCCGTCGGAAGTGGCCATAGTTCTCCCGAGCGACTCCCTTGCCCAAATTACCCAAGGGGTCCTGGTCAAAAGGAACAAAGGGCGGCACATCTTCCTCCCGGTCTTCGAGGACAGCTATCCATGCCTTGAAGAAGTTGGTCCGCGCGACGGCGTCAAAGAAGGTGTGAAGATAGCTGACCGTCAGAAGCGTGGCATCTGGAAAGACAGCAACATGGACATGCAGCTGCGGACGGTCGGAATAGATCCAGTCCGCCAGCTCTCGGGGGCTATCCGGATGGCGGACTAATGGAGCAAACTCCGCGCAGGATGGCGACAGGACAGACTGGTCCTGGCCGGTTTTCGGCAGCCGCGCGCCCAACGGGTGTTCATTGATATTTATGCCATACTCTTGGGTGGTAAAGCCGAATGCGGGGCGGGTGCTCTTGTCGTACTCGGCCGGTATGTGATATTCGAGCTTTCCGTTGTCCTATATACCGCATTGCTATGTTAGTCTTGTGGGGCAGGTTGTGGTTCTCGAAGGTCCATACATTCAGTCGCAGACGAGCCCCCAATTGACCCCAGTCGCCGATTTCCATCAGCCGGTCCAGTGCGCCCTCGAGTTTTGACGCATCAAGGACGTCGTCAAAGCGGAAGGTAAAGTCATGGGAAAGACTACGTAGATAGTGCAAATCATCCCAGTACCGCAGAGGGACAATTCGATCGGTAGGTATAGTTGCTGGCCGTGCACGGCCAAAGACAGAGGAGAGACCCATTGCTGCACCTTCCGTGGGGGATTCGATACTAGTGTCGTCTGGGGAGGGGTGAGTATCTTTCAAATACCACCTGCTGAAGCTCTCCCTCGTGTTAATAAATCATCAAGGGGTTTTGTGTTCCTCTGCTACGAATTAACCCTGGCGTGGGACAATGTTGCGGGTACCCCTTGCTTCTTCATACGATTCTTGACCACTCCATATGCAGTAAAGGATAAAAGAGCGGTATGCCAGGAAGTGGGACATGCATTCCAGTACTTGCTTTTTACTACAGGAATAATGCCTCGTATATGCATGTTTGCTATTAACTTAAGGAACTGTCTACACACTGCGCTCACATGGCCATCTTCAACCCAACCTAGCCTTGAACCGCCCGGAGATACCGGCCGAGTGCCATCACCGGAAAATAATGTCGATAGTAGTCATAGCCCAAGTAAAAATGATTTGGGAATCCAGTGCCCGTGTACACTGGCTCAGGCCAGGTAAATCCAAGACCTTGCTCCGGCCTTTGAGAAGAGACCAGCCATCGTATGCCACCTTCAATCGCGATGTCGGTGGGGGGAAGATGAGCCAGTAACCCCATAAGCGCCCATGCAGTTTGCGACGCCGTTGATCGTTGCTCCTTTCTCTTAGAGTTTTGGTACGACAGCAAGGACTCACCCCACCCGCTGTCACCATTTTGCTGAGACTTCAGCCACTGCAGAGCTGGTTGCGCCAAGTTGAGCACCAGTTTATCGTCCTGAGAGAAGTATGCCAGACCACACAGCGCATGACTAGTCCCGTAAATGTAATTGCACCCCCATCGGCCGAACCAGGATCCATTCGGCTCCTGTGTAGAGGCAAGGTATTGGATAGCTCGTCTGCACGCTGCACGTATTGCGGGAAACAGTTGGCACAGCTGGCTTGCGTTGCCTTTTTCTGGGGCCCGGAGAATCATCAGGCCGAAAGCCTCCAGGATTCGGCCGGTGATGTCTGCGCAGGAGGTGTCACATAGACTGTCCATGTCGCTGAACGGGATTTTGTTGAGGAATAACTTATCATTCTCCACATCGAAGGCCGCCCACCCTCCGTCGGGGTTCTGCATGCCCAGAATCCATGTAGCTGCGGCGATCACGGACGTGGAATGACACGATCTGGCGTCATGTTTCACTTGCGCAAGGATGATCGCTGCCGTGTCGTCTATATCGGGATAGTGGCTGTTTGTGTACTCGAAGCTAAACCCCCCAGGCGCAAGTTGGGGCCGGTACACACGCCAATCTCCGCGGGGTTCAAGCAATTGGCGGTCTCGGATCCATTGAATCGCGCGATCTACGGCCGGCTGGTTGGGTGACCCGGCATCGCAGAGGGCAATTGACATCAGAGTCGTATCCCATACGGGCGAAACGCAAGGCTGGACCCGTTTACCTTCTGCATCCTCCCAGGCGAAGTTCTCGATCGCCTGGATGCCAAGACGGACAGGGGGATCGTCCAGTTTGTACCCTTCCAGCATGAACGCATACACACTGGCATGCATGGGCGGGAAGATTCCGGCCCAGTCGCCGGTGGGCTCCTGGCGCTCCAGAATCCATTTCATACATTGCTGCCGTGCGTATGATCGGAGCAGAGGGAATGAGCGAAGTCCGTTCAGTTGATAAAGCAGCTTGTCCAGGATACTGAATGTCAGCCCAGTAATGTCGCCCTGGGACAGCAGTTCCCAGAGGGATGGACCGTAGGGCACATTTTTGCTAGCGGGGGCCCGCCATAACTCGTCTAGATAGTCATTCTCCGCCGTTATTCCGTTTGGGAGCGCGTAGACAGGCTGATGATGGCAGATTATCAAGAGAGGGGCAATGGTGCCGCGGGCCCAAGATGCGAACTTGTAGATATTGATTGGACAAGTGGCAGGGAGCAGAATCAACTCCACAGGGAGCTGGGGTATTGCCTTCCATGGGAACAAGCCGAAGGTTGCTAGGAAAATGCGAGTGAACACGCGAACCTTGGCAACCCCGCCGGCATTGAGAACGAAGGCTTTGGCTTGTTGCATGGCTGGGGTGTCTACGCTCACCCCTAATATTTTCAGCGCGAGATACGCTTCGGTGGTGGTCGAGACATCGCCTGGAAACTCGGGCGCTAGACCCCAGGAGCCGTCGCAGTTTTGCTGAGAGAGAAGGTAGCGACCATAGGCTGCACCATCAGCTTTCAGGTCGAGGCCCAGAGCCTGCCGGAGAAAGATATATTCGGCTGTTATGGTGGCATTTGACCTCATCTCCCCACACCAATGCCCATCGGAGTGGACCACATTATATGTATAGTCCATAGAACGTCGTAGAGTTTGCTCTACCTCTGGAATTAACTGCTCTCCTTCCTTGAAGGCATCTTCGAACTCTCGATATCCAGTCGTCATTTTTTGGCAGTCCTGGTTGGGGGTTGATTGATTGTTGAGAGCCCTTCATTCAGCCTACGGATAGAGATCTAGGAAGTTCGCAATACAACACCTTGTCAATATATGCCAGATATGGATTTTGAATCCAAGCCTGCCTAGTGATCTGACTACTGAACTTTGTTTGCTTCTGCAACTGTCTCCTGGTAGGACAATCTTATCACTGCATAATTACTTCCCCGTTTCCTGCCACTCATTTGGCAAAGCTCCGCTTTTTCCTTGCTTTGCAAAAGAAAGTATGAAATAGCGCTGCACTTGCAGACCGCAACATGCCCCTTGCATGTACGCAGTGGACACATCTCTTTTTCTGTGACAAAGACCTTCCTATGAGACCCACAGGGTTTCGGAGGGTGCCATGATCACAAAAGATCCAATGCGTAAACGACTACAGAGTAGGGCACGATGTCTTAACAACCATAGAATACCCAGCATGACACCTCAGGCAAAATGATGCAACCAGTTGATGCGCTCGGACCAGTTGTTCTCTCTAAACCCCTTATACTGACTGTCGCTGGAATAATTCTGCTTCTATTAGTGCGAAAACTACATCGGACTCTAAAGCTGCGAGGGCTGGAACGACTCCATGGCTGCGACAGGCTACGCAGTGAAAATGGGCGTTTTTCGTACGATTTCCTTGGCATCGCCAAAGCTCTTGAATTAGCATTTCATTTCAAGCGTCGAACCTCCCTTCCGTATACCAATTCACTGTTCAAACGATACGGGGAAACCTATGCTTCCAATGTCCTCGGGTATCGGCTCATCTTCACCTGCAGTGCAGACAACATCAAACACCTGTTGTCCACAGCATTTCCCGATTTTGACAGCTCTCCACTGCGAAAGCCCTTATTTGAGCCTATCACCCCACATGGCATCTTTACTCTCGATGGCGCGGGATGGAAGCAAAGTCGAGATCAGTTGCGCGGTCGGCTTTGCAACCTCCGCAGGATTGTTGACTTGAATCTATGCGAGCGCCATTTTCAGGCTTTTCTTCAGCACGTCCCACCCAATGGGCAGGCCTTCGACGCTCAAGCCTGTGTCTTTGCTCTCGCTTTGGATATGCAGACCTTGTTCTCTCTAGGGGAGTCGGTTGATGCCCTTAGCCATTTTCAATCCAAGGAAAAGAAGCAATTCTTGGCGGATCTGCTTTTTGTCAAGGACAAGATTGTGCAGGATGGTTTTCGCGGCCCGCTCCGTTATCTCTATCCCAAGCGACGCTTTCTTCAGTGTTGTCAGAGGGCACGAGAATACGTGATGGCTCATGTCGCTCGCCAGCTCGAAGAAAGGAGTACCATGAAGGAAAAGCCTGAAAAAGAGTTGCTCAGACGCAATTGCCACAGCGAGGGAGCGGAGACTTCTCTGTTAGCAGACCAGACACTGAGCATTCTGCTCGCAAACGACAGCATGAGCACCACCCTCTCGGGTCTTTTCTTCTGCCTTTCCAGGGATGAGCGTGTCGTCCACATGCTAAGAGCAAGCATCCTTGACACCGTTGGGTTGACGCCCCCGACATGGGGCCAGCTCGGATCTCTGCACTACGTCCGCTGGGTTCTCCAGGAAGGTGAGAGATAAATCTGGTAGTATTGGCCATTAGCATACACTAACACGATAGCTTGTGAAGTAATGAGACTCTTTCCTGCAGTTGTGTTCAACGCCAGGGTAGCCAACAAGGATTCTACGCTGCCAACTGGTGGTGGAACTCATGGCAACTCCTCAGTTCTTCTTCGGAAGGGCGAAATCGTGGTCTTTTCCACCTGGGCGAGGCATCGCCTGGGGAAGGACTTTGGCGAAAATCCAGAGGAATTCTACCCCGAGCGGTGGGAACATCTAAGTGCAGAGATGACTGGCTTTATTCCGTTCAACAAGGGGCCTCGAGCCTGCCCTGGTCGTAAGACTTCTTCTCCGAGTATTGTGATGTTTGCCTATTTACTGACTCCGTTGCAGAGCATTATGCTATGATTGTGCTCACGTACATTGTGACTCGAATATTTCAGACGTTTTCAACAGTCCACAATTATAATTCACAAGAATGGACAGAGAGGATTAGTATGACGCTCGAGAACGAGAATGGGGTACTGATTGGTCTAAGCTAAATGCCTCCATTCATGCGATAGACGTGTACTCCTTTTCTAATCCTGCTTGGGCTGTAGTATATGCTTCATACAATCCACAGGAATGTCATCCTAGATGATGCCACAATAGATGCTGGCCTAGTTTAAACAATACCAGGAAGCATAACAAACCTCTTAACCTTGTATTTGCCCCCGAATTCCTCACGGTAGCGGCGCTCCTTCTTCTTAGCCCAGAGCCCCATTTGTACACTTCCAATAATGATGAAAATGAGAATGCTCCAGCTCAGCCCACTAACCAGATAAATTCCCATCCAAGAGATAATCTCAAATAAATAGTTCGGGCAGGTCACAACACCAAATCCAAATCCGTGTGGTACACCACGCTCAGTAGTGTCTGGACGGCGAAGATCCCGAAGCACAAGGTGGGTGTTCAAGTTCGCCAGTTCTCCAAAGGCAAATAGTGCAAGGCCTGTGGGCAGTAATACAGGATTGCTTGGCTCCATATCAGGCCGGATGATCCAATAAGCCATATTGCAGGTCATCACGCAGTAATAGCCACTGTTTAGGAAAACTTTGCGCGCCGGCATTGTGGCATTACTGAATCGGTGGACGAAGATGGACTCATACTCTCGTTTCACGAAGTGGATTGTCAACAGCGCACAGAGCAGCAGCTGAAGGCCGCTCGGTTCGGTGATAGTATCGTAGTTGTAGTACAGATACGGGCGTAGTGGGAAGAGGAAAAGCCCCGGGATCAAGATTGGGCCGAGGTATTCGGCGATGAACACGGTGCGCCACGAGATCTGGGGGCCTGAATGGGCAAGAGACAGGAGTATCAGTCTGGATCACGCTGCAGCTCTCATGGCGTGAGCATACCAAGGTCCTTGACATGAATCAAACTCTGATTCTCAATTCCGACCTCCTTTATGGTAATCTTCTTGGAATTAGGAACCAAGGTCCAGTCGCTTCCTTTGGTGACCCTCAAACGATAGATGGATAAACCGGACGCTTCAGCAAGAGCATCGTAGAGTTCCTCTGTCGAGGCATGCAGAGCAATGTCGATGTCCTGTGGAAGGCTTTTTATTGATCTCCCTGTGTCGCTATTTACTAGCCACTCGGCTGATGGCGAGATGGATGGACTTACCCCTTGGGTGAGAAACCACCCTGATTCTGGCCGAAGTCATTAGTCTAGTTGGTAAACTAACACCAAATCACCAAACCAAGACCGATAAAGACGATATATTTCCCACAGCCCAATATTCCCATAATATTGAGGGGAAATAAAAATACAAAATAGGGACGCCAGGAAAGGGCCGAGAAAACGATCTGTTATATCGTCACGTGATCACCCATGCATGGGATGCGTCAATCCACTGTGTATGGTTTCTTCTGGGGCCCAGTAACCAATAGTATATGTGATTTCAATTTTGACATATACAAGCACGATAAGCCAGCCTAGGCTCACAGTTCAAATGCTAGATACGGATGTCGTGTAACTTCAAGCTCACTCCATGGAGTTGAAATATATATAAACATAAAGGGATAATATTATTCATATTACAAGACAATCTATGAGACTAGACTCCATGAAGAGGCATAAAAAAGAAACATATATGAAACGGCGGCGACCAAGACCTCATCTGCTATATAGGACCCGGCGAGAATACCAATAAGCAGTAATACGCTGGGATATACACATCCCTAATGCTCCAAACATCAATCGGGATCGATGCCCCATTTCTCAACCACGTAGAGTCCAGGAAGGCTAGACGCCACATGCACGATATTTGTAATCAACGTCATGATGAAGCCATTGCTAAGTGGACATAGTTTAAGATGAATGTTCAGTTATTGAGCTGACTTCGTTAAAAGGGAATATATTCGAGGTATAATATCTATGCTACTCTGCTTTAAGGAAACCAAGGAAATCCAAATGCCAAGAAAATGCTCGATCTCATGTTACGTGGATGTGCCAACCATGCCCAATTCAACTTCAAGACCACTTCGAGTTCCCACTATAGCTTCGATACAGGCTGCAAGAGATGCTTCATCTCAGCGTTTGGATACTCAACATTTTGGGATGAATCAGGTCGCTCTCGATCCCAGGCCCATTTCTCTGCCAATTCGGGCTCCAACTCGTCCTCAAGCATTTGTACGATGTATTTGCCAAGCACGGGGAAGAACTTGTAACCATGGAACGAACCGCAACTTGCGACGTAGAGACCCTTTGAAGCAGAGTGTGGAGAAATGATAAAATCGGAGGTAGTGGTGAAAGCGTCCCTGTTGAGTGTTACATTCTCATCGCTATGTTAACTATTCGTTTGAAAGGGTACTCACCAGCAAATTCGGTGTTTCGTCATCTGCCAATCCGCACTCTCAGGCCCATACCATAGATTCCGAGACTCGACAATGTCCTGTTTAAGTGGCCCAGGAACCTTCCACTGATTGTAATCGGATTTAGGAGGGGGTGAGGAGATATGACGGCCAGGTAGCACTTCTCGAGTGTTTGTGAAAATCTTAGAACCCCACCACTTAAGCTCTCCGTCCGCAGTAGGAGGAAGGGTACCAATGAAGGGCTTGCCTATTGACTGTTAGCGGCGTTCATGCAAATGTCATTGACGATCTTACCCTCATTGGGGGTGTAGCCTTGGAAGCCAACGGGCATGTCTTTGAACTTCTTGTACTGTTCCTTATTGAGCTGTGCCATTCCTGTCGTAATGCCAGCGGCCAGAATTCGCTCTTCAGCTCGGAGGCCGGCATTGCCGCTTGCCGCAGCGGACCATTCCAGCAATGTGGGCGTGAAAGCGCCAGCAGCGACGATAACATGTGTGGCTGACAAAGTCTGTCCTGATTTTGTCTTGACACCGGTACAAGAACCACGACCATCGAACTTCAGCGTGGCAACATCAGCAGTCACGTACTGGACGCCCAATTCAAGACACTTTTTCGTGACTGCGCGAAGAGCATCTCCAGCGGCGGCCCAACCACTGGCCCTGTTGATCAGAACCTCCTTGACACCGGTGTAGTCAGCGTTGTCAAAAAGTCCGCCGTAAAGCTTTCGGGCCTCCGCGACAGGCAGGGCAATGATGTCGTCATTGCGGCCGAGCTCCTTATGGTTGGTGATGACGGTTTGCGCATAGCTACTGCGACACGTCCAGTAGACGCCAGTCTGGTGGAAATAAGGCTTCCAAAGGGGATCGGACTTGAAAATGTCCTGTGCCTCTAGAGCTAGTCTGCAGTAGATCTTGTCATCGTAGTCGGCGCGGACAACCTTGTTCCAATCCCACGAAGCTGCCACACGAGAGTCGGCGTCGTATGCATCTCGGTCCACCAGGGTTACCGACGCATTGGGATACTTCTGGATAAGATGATAGGCAGTCGACACACCAAAGACACCGGCGCCGACAATGAGGTACGAGGGGTTGCGTGAGGTCATCTTGAGGGCGATTACCGAGCTTTCTTTGGGAATGAATTGAGAGTCTCAGCAGCTCTTTAAGACAGGGGGAAATCAAGGAACTTGTATTTTCAATTGCTGAGAGCGAATTGCCTGCTTATCTGTCAATTGAAGGCTTTAAAGCTATCCTAGTTGACTGCTCTGTCGTGCGGGGTTGTATGCGGAGTTCTACTGCTATCACTGCTTAAGATAAAAGGAAATGCGGACCGCCTACGGACCGTCTACGGACCGTTTGTCTGGTAGTGGCGAATCCCCCAGAGATTGGATCGATTTTATATAGCGTATGCTATGCCTATTTCGGGCTTACATTCCTGCGGGAACTTTTAGCAGTTTTGGGTTCCGCCTTCCATCGCTATCACTATCGATAACTGTGTAGACCGCCATGCAAAAGGGCTCTGTCTTCTATCTTCGAATTTTTGATATACTTACCACATCTGGCCATGTACATTATATATATCTATTGATCAACAGATCGGTATATATTTGTCAGTTTGAACGATGATTTATTTAGATAGATATTATTTATGTCAGACATATAAACTGTTCCGGGTAGAAGATCTGTTATAGGTAAGGGTATATAGGCAAGGCAATCTCAAGGCACGCCGGAGATAATGAATCAATACTTTTATCACTCTCAACCCATGAGGTGTGACAATTAATTATAATATGGGTACTAGTTATGCATTAAATATTTAAAGATATGCTCAATGGGAGTGAGGGTCGAGATATACCTGATAAGCTTTATTGGGCTCTGGCAGATCCTGTCCTTCATGCTTCAAGTGAGCCAGAAGGGGTGAAGATAAAGTGGCAAGGACTATCTATATATACCAACCAACAGGCAAAAATTAATTTAAAAAAAAAAACATACAACAGGAGGGATTCGCTGGTGGTCACCCACCCAACTACTAACCTCCCGGCGTGTGGCTTAAGTACGGCTGAGCGGACGGGAAGCCCTGTTCTCCACACCCTGTGGTCGTATGTACTAGTCTGTAATATGGATAGGTATATATACCAGCATTAACATTAAAATAAAGGACAATATAACCTTCGGCAGTATGACATAAAATCGAGGGCGTCCTTCATCTATAATATCGTTGCGGAAACTGATCAGTGGAGAAGTTGTTAGCTATGGACAACAGGCACATTGGGAGTTTCTGTCTGAATGGCGTGCAATAACCTCATGTATATTTTTTTCATGAACACTAGCTCGTTCGGGAGTACCCTGGTGCCAATACCAGTTTCACAATCGCCATAGTCCTTGCAGATGCTCCTTTACCTTCAGACTTGGCCATCCCAGATGGGCTTCCGCATCGGAGAGCAAGTCAAGTAAGATCTTAGTTTCTGTTGGATCATCGAACAGTTCTCCGATTACCGCAATGACCAGCCCGGCGGCAATCCCTGCCGGCACAAATTCTGGGTTGGACATGGAGACCCCACAGATCACCCGGACGCTGTCCCGGATCCGTTCGTCGTTGCTGCATCCCATTCTTGTTTGTCGCATTCGGGCAAAGCAGCTCTGACTATTGGAAGCAAGCAGAAGAACGCGCGCAAGTTCGATGTGCTGACGCGCTGCAGCGTGGTAATCATGAGCGTACCACATATGAGGAAACGGATTGGATGCAGAAACTCGATCTTGGTAGTAAACCGGCCGGAATGACTCCGGGCAGAGACGTTCCCAGTCTTCAATGTATTCCATCAAAGTAGACCATTGAGACCTCGATGATGGTGCATCATCGCCATATGCGAGATCTGTCGCCTTTGCTGCATGAGCCATAGCTCGAAGGGCCCACATCCTTTCGGAAGTTGGCCCCAAGCCTGTGTCGATGTTACAGTGATCTACAAAGTTGCCAACTGGTCGCTGAGTGACATTAGCTACGTAAATCTCTTGTCGTAGTATGACGATGAATGCGGCATCTGCGAAACTGGAGTGAGAGACGTGACCTTCTCTGATGCGAAGAAGAAGTTGGGCGGACAGTGTATGGGTGCAAATCCCCGCTTCGGGTGGCTCTTCCATTGCAATTAGTACGATCTGGACTTATATTTCCGCATGGCAGAGCGGGGCATTGTGGGTCTCAAAGTACCTGTCATCTCCTCAAAGAAACGGAGAATTACTGCGGAGGCTAACATTGTATCTTCCACTGCTTTTTCATGGTCATCTAACGCAGCTATTAGCCTTACAAGGCAGCGCTTTTGGTATTCATCTGCGATGTGGCTCTGTGTCTTTAAGGATTTGCTTTGATGCCGAGCAGAGACTGCGAGAACAGCATACAGAAGCGTGATATCTGTAGCAGTATTATTCGCAATGTAAGTGCGGAAGTGCTGTTGCGGGTCACAGTAGTCAAACTGACCAGAGGGTTCTTGTTAGCAATTGAATATACTTGAATATGACCGACAAACGCTTACCCATGGAGCGAGCGTTCTGAGGTAATATTTGAGGAGAGACGCTTCAGACTTGGACTCCAGGGGCCAGACAAGCTTGGCCCCATGGTCCGGAACGAGTTCGTCTGATCGGATAGATGTCTGGTCAGGAGTTCAGCATAGTGAAACCACGTCGTCGTGAAGGTCTACCATGCCTCTCCGCTTCCAGCTGGGGATGACTGGTTTCCCGCCACTTCACCATCTCCCTGTCGATCACTGGTGGTTGGTCGTGCTACCACTGGCGTACCAGCAATGCCCATGCTGCTGGCCTCTACGGAACATCCTGGTACCGAAGAGTCTCGGGTTATCTCGGTTTCTAGGATATTGTTCGTGGCGGAAGCAAATGACCCTGGAGAAAACCGAGCTATGCGAAAGATTGTTCTCTTTTCACTGGTACATGCTGCCTTAGCCTTTTTACAGCTTAGGCAAGGTTGATTTCCTACGGTTCGATTACCTGTTCTCGCCTCAGTGGAAAGCGATATCATGAAGCATGAACTTGAGCTTACAACGGGTGTGTCGTACTCGACAGCGGTCACTTCCATGACTCGATTAGCATTGTGCTACTCTTGGTCCCGATTTAACCGGAGAATTGAGAGGAGAAGTATACCAAGCTTGATATCGCGGCAACCTTGACATATCCATACTTGAGGTATGACGGGTAGATCGGATGGATTACCATAGAGAAAGCACTTGAGAAAGCAGCAGGGGAGGATATGCCGATCGGGGATGAAACCGGGGAGGGAGAAGAAGTTCGAAGTCCCCCGCATTTAACCACCGGGCATCGGCTCTCGGTCAACCTTCCCGTGTCTGGTACCCCCGCATTACATGCCCTATGTAGACTACGTCAACCCTATCGGTGCTTAAAACCAAGATGCTCAGTTCAGCTATTAGGAAAGGATTTTGCGGTACAAAGATGTCGAGGATTGCTATTAGATAACGGTGTAATATAATCAAATCGAGCAAGGAGAACAAACGAATCATGCAAGACGGATAGAGCAGAAAGGATATCTGTGTACCTAGACCGAGTAACCGACACTGTGAGGTGAATATGTTCCCAAGAAAGTGGAATATTCCGTCACTGCTGATATTGTCTCATTCTAACCCTGCCCCCGTAGCCTTACCTTCAGATACAGCGGGCCAGGGTTCATATTCAAGTGCTCATAGCTACTTTGTTCCACCGACGGGTCGGCAAGCTCAAGGTCGTAACGATTGATAATGGACGCTACAATGGTAGTTTGCTCCAGGTAACTAATGTTTCTACCAATGCAGCCGCGGGCACCTGCACTGAAGGTGATAAAGTACGGCTGCAATTGCTTGCCTGCCTCGCCGAGCCAGCGCTCAGGACGGAAGACCTCCGGGTCGGGGAAGACGTTCGTATCACGATGTGCGACGTACGATGACATTGAAACGGTAGTATTTCCTGGAACCCACTGTCCAAGAATCTCGCAACCCTCGGGGGGTGTCTTGCGGGGCAGATTAAACGGTGTCGGCGGTAGAATTCTCAAGCTTTCGTCCAAGCAGGCTCGGAGGTAAGGCAGGTCTTTCACCTTGTCATATGCGATTGCAACCTCGCCCTCGTCCGCCACTGTATCAATTTCCTCCCGAAGGCGCGAGAGTACTTTTGGATTCCTAAGTAAGTTATAGATTGCGTTGTTTATTGCCACGGCAGTGGACACGGAACCAGCGTTAACTAAGAGGTGACTCTGTGAGCTTTTCATGTTCGCAATCGTATTATCAGAAATAGGTGTATTTACGCATGATAGATATTTCGGCCACAATTTCTCCAAATGGAAGATGGTTAGGACTTCCATCTTTTGATTCCATCAACGCTTGGAAGAAGTCATCGAGCTTCTCGCCGTCATGATACCGCTTCAGTCTTTTGCGCACCTGGTGGACCACAATCCCATCAAACCCTTCACCTGTAGATATGAGGGCTTGATAGCGAGTTGGCAATCTCTTACCCCATCTGACCAGTGATTTATACCACCCGTATGCCCATACCAGCTGTGATTGAGCCTGCAGCTGGTTATGAAGAGAGCCCCGATAGCTGACAGAGCGAGTACTACCGTCGAGGGATTCCGAGATTGTAATGTCATTGCCCTGACCCAGGAATCCAAGATTAGAGTTTAATCCAATATCTGCGATCGCATCCATGGTGAAGAAGTTGGACCAAGCCCGCCAATCAATGATATTCGTCTCAGTGTCGCTTGAACGCTGCTTTCCTGCAGGACATCGTTTATCAAATTGATTGCACAACTTGGTAATCTTGTCCACTACTTTGAACTCCCACTCCTCTAAATTTTTGAGGGCATACGCGCTCGAGAGAACCTTTCGCTTTCGATGATGTTCTTTTTTGTCGACGACATCGGCAAGGTTATGATGGCTCCCGGAAAGCAACTGGTAGAAGTCGTCCTTGATACACTTGGTGGAGTGTCCGTACATGTCCTGGCATTATTTCACGTCAATGTTGGAAGTTTTCGCAACAGCCATCGATGTCCGTTCTTGACGCACCTTGATCGCCCTCACATCACCATATGAAAGCGCATTAGGACCGATTCGTAGGACAGGATGCTTGCTATGCAACCCCGCTAAACGCCGGGAGCGTGCCCCCCGGGCGCTTTCGATCATATAAGGGATGTTGGTGACTCCCGCAAGCAAACTCATAGCAGGGTACCGACGTAAGCCTTTGCGATCCAGAAAATAAACCACAAGCGGATATATTATGAGGTGTGTGAATAGCAGCGACGCTGCCAGAGCAATGGCAAGAAACCCATACATGGTTGGCGTGTTGCTTCTGAGTTAGGACGAGCTTGATTGCATGTCATGGTCAAAATGACTATACTTATAGCCCCAAGGCTGACATCGGTCGCGTGACGCAAAGAGAAAAAAGCATGGTAGTAGGTGCAGGACTGCTACTCTACATCTCCGAAAGGTTCTCGGGTATGTAATTACGAAGTAGATCTCTTCATGTTCTACCCTGCCAGCTACAAATCAAGCATCTATACACGGATCGTATCCACGTAATTGGGCAACTATACCAGATCAAGTATGGATACCCGTTTAATGGGTGCTTTACCAAATCCGGAATCCCGGTCGATGGTTCGTTTGAGCCCTAACCGACTCCGCATTGCGTTAAGTTGCAACTAAATCATCAGGCAGCGTCTGCAGCATTGGCTATGAGTTTGTAATGCTGGGTCGCCTGCCACAGCAGAGTGGCCTTTCATAGCTGACCATGTAAACGAACACAGTGGAGTGACGTGGTAACGGCCTCAAGTTAAGCCTTTACTTCGACTAAGCTAGTACATACGACCATAGGGTGTGGAGAACAGGGCTTCCCGTCCGCTCAGCCGTACTTAAGCCACACGCCGGGAGGTTAGTAGTTGGGTGGGTGACCACCAGCGAATCCCTCCTGTTGTATGTTTTTCTTTTTTCCTTATTTTTTCTTCTATAGATATAGCTAGTATTGATAAAAGTGTGCAATCTGCAGTAGAAGTATATGGATTGAGCTTAATGACATAAGTTCGAGGAGGTGCGATAGAATGCTTCGCTAGGTAGACTATCTTCTTATGCGAACCACTTCCATTCACGCATCGCCAAACCGGGGACATAAGGATGCCTTAAGCCTGACAGACAACTAAAAATTCTGCTTTCATTACTCAAGCTGCCTGTTCAAAACTCGTCCTCACTCCACGTGCTCGACTTCACCGTCTTCCATCTTCATTGAGCCGTGCTCCTTCCTCATTTGTATTTCCTCGTCTTGATGCTGAATATGCTTCAGAGGCCGCTTGGTAGAAATAGCGTCAAGATCCCCCGTGATAATGAGGGGAGGATTGGAACGGTAGTACGCATCAATGTCTTCCAGGGTACGATTTGCAGCCAACCCCCGGTTAGCCCAAAGAAGGGGCTTGATGTACTAGCTGAGCTTTCTGTCCGAGTAAACATGATGGGAAAATGATCAACTTCAAGAGAAGTTCAATTGCTCAGCGAATACCGTGGCGCCTTGGGCACACAGGCGTTGATGGGGCTTTCTGTTAACATGATCTCACGAGCTGCACCATAAATCCTAGACAATTGAAACGCGGGGGTCTATAACATGCGGGGAAACGTCATATGGCTACGATTGAGTGAGGTATAAAACAAGGCGAAGTTTGCAGCTTGATTGTTGCGCCGAACGCAAAGCCCTAACCGACCCATACACGGGCCCGTCTTCTGCATGGGGAACAGTTACCCGATCCGATATACGATGACTCTCTGGTATAGTGAATCTCGCTAGCCAAATAACGACTAGAGAGCTATACCCAATATGCTGGTGTGGCTGTGGATCTAAATCACAAATATATGCATCCGAGCAAAACCCGAATTCTACATTTAAGAGAAGATGTAAAAATCACGGAATACAAAATCTTCTATCTAGTACACATTTATCGCAGCATTATGATACTCCATGGAGAATCTATTTCTAGGATGAATTCAGTATAAGTAGTCCCTCCTTGTATACAATGTCAAAAGCAATTGTAAAGCGTTTCTTTCTAAAGGAGGGCTAGGGTATAGCATACCCACGCTGGGGAGATTACTTAACACTAAGCTATGATTGCGGAGTAAAGTGCTCAAGATTGGTTCTCAAGAGTAGTGATAAGACTATCGCGATGCATCTAATCTCTAACCCCACACATCAAGTTGCCATTTCCGCATGCGCAATTGCGTCCCCTCGAACTCGTGCGCTTGTGTCTCCGACCAGTTCTCCCTTTTCTGGATTATCATTAGAAGCTCCTCCCGAACACTGCCAGCCATATTGACTGACCCGCACATGTATACATTTGCCTTTCCATCACACAGTAAATCTTCCGTTTCCTCGCCGTACGACCTCACTTGATCTTGTACATACCCATCTCCTTTCTGGGAGTACGCCGTAACGAGCCGCAGCTGATCACCAAAAGCACTCTGAATCCTTTGAATTTCGTCTCTGTACAGATGAGTTGTCTCATTCTTGCAGCCGTAAAAAAGAAGCATCTTGCCCACTTTTCCGTCGATCTCAAACTTGCGCAGTCGATGGCGGAGAAATCCCATAAATGGCGCAATGCCAGTTCCGTTCGCGACCATGATAATGGGCTGCATGTTGGAAGTCGGGGGCTTGAATTTAGATTTCCGCAATGCGCACCACACACTGGTATTTAGAGGACCAGCATTGTCTCGCGCGTTTGATGATGATGACAGCGATTGCTGCATCTCGAGGAAGAATCTAGAGGTCAATCCTAGTATCGATTCTTCAGCGCTGAGGGTGACCTCTTTCATCGCAACGGTCAGCGTGATTTTTCTCGGACTGACAGCAGGAGCAGATGAAACTGAGTAGTATCGTGGCTTAAGTGGATTAAGATTCTCCAGAAGAAAAGACAGGGGGATCTTCCAGGTTCCCCTTGGCCCCGCAGCAGCAAGGAGTATAGATTCCAAGTCGAGGCGACGCATGAGAGACAAGCGTCGATAGTTGCGAGCCATCTCATCCAATGCAGCCTCGGAAGTCTTACTATCTGCAAACTCCTTCAGAGCCAATATCATGTCTCTCGACGCGAGGCCTGCAATATCCAGGTGGTGTTTGAATAGCGTATGGATTGTGATTGGATGTGGCCACAGGGCCTTGATTTCCGAGTCTTTGCTCCTAATTTCCAAAGGTCGATGCATCTCAGCATCATCTATTCCAAGAATTCGACCCAGTCGCTGTACTCCCTCTGCTCTGTTCTCAGGCCAGATTAGGAGATGATCGCCGACGTTGTACTTGACTCGCGGCAGATGACTGATATCAACCTCGATGTGCAGCGCTTTTGTCTGTGCCTGCGGTGTGAGGTCTGTAATTGATACAATGTTGGCTGAGTAGATTGCTGAGGCTGATGCTCTCAGTTTTGATCGGTGCCGAAGGTCTATCGGTTGGGTTGTTGGCAGGTTGTCAGTGAATGACTCACACGCAACGATTTCCAGCGCAGACTCATACGGCCTCGGTTGTTCTTCGATTTGACAGCGGTCAACAAAGGCTTGCTGGAGCTGAGCGGCCCATTCGGAATAGTCTCCCCTTGTTTGTCCATTCGAATCGTCCGCCAATGACAGATCCATAATAGCCGTACCTCCAGCTTTCTCGAGTGCATTCTGCACCTTCTTGGCAAATTGGTTGTAATACTTATAATTACGATTGCCCAAGCCTAGTATGGCAAATCGCAAGTTTGCAAGGCTTGCTCTTGTAGGTTGCTGCTTTGGTAGCTCCTTGTCTAACCACTCATCGAACCGGATGGCATTATCTGGTGGGTCTCCTTCTCCATATGTTGACAAAATGAAGAGGACAATCACGTCCGAAGGAACTGTAGATAAACAGTCATAGTTGTAGTCAGAAATATCTGCGACTAGGGCTGCTTTCGAGAACCGCTGAAAGATCGTGCGACTGAGATATCTGGCTAGTTCATATGCTGTCCCTGACTGTGTACCGTAGAAAATAATAATGTCTTTGCCCTGTGTCAAATATAATCAGCCCTTCAAATTAAGTGAATTCTATCAGAGTACCCACCTGATCTTTCAAAACTTGGGTAATGTTTATGTCGGTGGACGACTTCTCTTGGGCTTTTGCTCCTTGAGGATATTCGTACCAAATGTGCTGCAAAGGATCCTTGTTGAAGAGAGAAGAATCGAGAAGAAGTGTTGCAGCTATCAAAGAAAATAGTGTAAGTGCTAGAAAGTCGTCCCATTCGGCTGCGCTCCAGGCATAGTGACTACCAGATAGGGTATTCACAGGGTGTCGAAGGATCTCCATAGTAGTCTGCCCAACAGGGCTGAGGACGGAAAATTGAAGGCTGTTATCATAGATCTCTGGGCTACCGACTTTATAACCACAGAAAACAAGAATACCTCTCCTGTTATTGTCCATAGAGAGCATATATAGATGCATTTCGCTTCGGTAGAGGTGAGGGAACTTCCGTATCAGGTAAAGCGTCCGGCGCTCAGGTAGGGTGTGTATACTGAATCAGGCATAGTCGCCCGATACCCTAAAAAGACAGAAATGCAATAGTTAACCTACAATTCATTTATTAGTATCGGCCAAAAAGGCCAAATCCATTTCTTGACGGATTCCATATGTCTCCATTCCCTCAAAGAAAGTCTTATCTCTTTCGCAACCCACAGACACCAATACCAGCTCCATGTTCCAGGATCAACCAGCATCCTGCCCTTCGTGTCACGCAGATCTACAGTTAGGTGTGTCCAGCTCGCTCATCAGAGTATCGAACCTATGGCCCCAGTAGAGTCGTAGAGTCCGTCATTGCATACTGAGAAAGCCTCGAGGCTCGCGGACCAAATGGTGTGACGACATTGGGGCCATAGACCAATTTCCAAAACCGCTAATTGACTCTCTGAATGCCGATACTTCCCAGCCAGCCACAACAGGAGGGAAGACCACTCGGTACGGTGAGAGGATTTAATGTATGTATATATCTAGTTGGAAATGTGGGACGACAACACGGCGAGGGGCAGCATTCGCTGTTAGAGAAAAACGATATAATATGTTTCATAGAACATAAGTCATGCTATTAAGATTTTGCTTATTACAATATTATCCGAAGTTATTCACCTGCTAGGCTATGCTGCGTCGTTCCTCAACAGTGTCCTATAACTCTGTGGTACGCAAACTCAGCCCGCCTTTCGGTGTGTTGCTAAAAACGACACGTCTTGAGCGATAACCCTGATCACCATCAACTCTAATTAAAAGATATTTGTAAATAACCTTTTGAATCTGTTTCACCGGCAGTGCCAGTTGGCATGCCATGTTTGATCTTTTAAATGTTCCCAGCTGAGATATTTCTATGGAGATTCAAACGCTTTGTTCTTCCATCAATACATGTGAGGATGATCGTCCCAGGATTAACGATACTGTCAAGGCTCAGTGACATAGTCGATGTCGAATTACCTCGTTCTAAAACAGGGTGCTCTATCTTTAGAATCGCCCGGTAGGTTAGAGAGTGGCCAAGAGGTGTGCGCACAGAAACAGTTTAAGTTACCTCAAACATCACGAAACAAACTTCTGATCCTGAGAGGGCCTCAAGCCTTGGAGTTCCGTAGACTGACTGTCCCGGGAGTATGCCTGGTTGCACCTCGACTTTAACAATTACTTTCTCTTTACCGGGCTCTCCATTTGCGTACCACACATCGCGGCAGAATATCACATCCTTTGCTGTGCCAGCTGTATAGTAATTCAGTCCCAGCTGGCGAAAAATATTCGCAATTTCAGAGGAGGCTGTATTTATTGCCAAAAAGAAATAATAGAAACAAGGAGCAGGATTGTTATACTGTCTAGTGCTCTTAACGCCCAAGTCAGTAGTCCCTCTATCCAGATTGTTCAACTTTTAGATATCCTGTTGGAAGCCTACTTTGCCATGTAGGTGATGGTCTGGATCTCCTCTTCTCTCATCCGCATATCCTCATATCTATAGGGAGCTAGGAAATACTTAACGACCCCACCTGCGACAAAATATATATCCACCCGGCCTAATCAAGTCTGACGCAAACACGAAAATAACCCAACTAAAACAATAAAAATGACGTAACCTGCCACCAAAGCCCCATCAAACAAACCCGGTTGAAAAACTCTACCCTCCACGAGACCCTCCATAACAATGCCAATGTTTAACCCCGTAGCACTTACCCCACACACACGGGAGTAAAACAGCAGAAAAGCCAACCCGAACAGCGGTACCCCGCCGCCGAAAAAATCCCTCTCGGTACCCGTGCGCTAGACCTATTCTGGACAATGTAGCCTACGCTTGGTCGGGCCGGCGGGTCACAATCTGGCATGCCGCGGCCCGTCCGACGACTGTGTAGGCTATGTTGACCTGATTGGGTATAGCGTAACAGGGGTAGGGCTCTGGGTTACATTCATGGAGGGATGTTGGTGACATATACATTTTGTGGTGGGTTTTCAGGGTGGATTTTGTTAGTAACGTCGGGAGAGGAATATTTAAAATCTGATGAGTTTGGGAGGGGTTTCTTTGTTTGATCCTTGCGCCTTTTTTCTTACGTGTTGCTGAGAATTACGAAAATCAACCGGGATTTATACTGCAGTTAAGAATTGCGAGATTCGGTTCAAAGAGAACGCAGAAAGAAAAAAGAGTTCGTTGTATTTAAAAATGGCCTCAAAACCACAAATTTGTGTCATCGGGTCCCTCAACATCGACTTCGTCACATATGCCCGGCGGTGTCCCGGGCCTGGCGAAACGCTGACGGGATCCTCCCTGTCTATCGATGCAGGCGGTAAAGGTGCCAACCAAGCGGTTGCATGTGCACGAGCGGCTTTCAGTTCTAAAGCCCGACAAGATGTGGCGGTGAGCATGATCGGAGCTGTCGGTGCAAATGATCCATATTATCCGTCCATGTTACAGCCAGCATTAGAAAGGTCAGGGGTGGACACCACGGGGATCGAGCAGAGGACAGACTGCCAAACGGGCTCGGCGACTATCATCGTGGAAGAAGGCGAGCAAGGGGAGAATCGCATTGTGGTGGTGCCGGGAGCAAACCATGATGGAATGAATGATGTTGATAAGATCCTTTCCACCGTCCAGACACAATGTCCTGCTTCGCCGCAGGTCGTGGTTCTGCAGGGAGAGATTCCCAGGTCCACTGTGATTGGTCTGATGCAGCATTATAATCGGACTGAGAATCCAACGAATGTTGTTTTGAATATTGCGCCCGTATATCCGGAGGGAATTCCCCTGGCTGCTCTATCCGGCACAGCGGTCTTGATCATGAATGAAACGGAGACTATCCAGATGGCGGAATCGATTCCTGATTTCCCCGTGACATCTCAAACCGAAGCTGACCTGCAGCCGGAGTTGTTGGCTCCGCTTTTCCACCGGGTGGCTAAGATTCCCATCGTTTTAATCACGCTCGGTGCGAAGGGGGTGTTCTTCTCGACAGCAACTGGCCGAAACGGTTCTGTTCGCGGCGTGCATGTTGAGAATGTGGTGGACACCACCGCCGCTGGAGATACCTTTGTGGGGTACTTCTCAGCTGAATTTGCAAAGTATGCTGCCACCGGACAGCCTCTCGAGGACTTTGACGCTTTGATCGAGTCTGCCGTACAGCAGGCGAATCAGGCAGCCGCCATTTGTGTGCAGAGAAAGGGTGCAATCGAAAGTATCCCATTTGCATATGAGATCACAGGCCGCCAATAAGATGACGCAATACCCACGGAATAAAATCAAGAGCAAATGATAACGAATACTTTACCAGTCACTCTACCGCGTCTTCATCGTATTGTGAAATGTTCCAGCACGATCGCAAGTCGTCTATCTCAGAATCTAGCTTAATTCCAGTGGTGGTAGCAATACTACCAAGTAGGTCGAGTAGGATTGATTGCTGCGATGTGTGGGTCATCTCTGGTGCTATGGTAAGAAGACTAGCGATCAGGATCGGATCCCACTGCTCCTTGAACGCATTGCTCGTAGCAATTCCTGTGATGGCTTGCGCGTGCCAGATGCGCGAGGCGAAACGTCTCGGACCTGCGATCGTCTTCAGTAGCCTTGGCCTGTGAATAAGTAAGAGGAATGAAGATATGTGGTAGATAATGTTGGCCAAAAGGGCAAGAGGTGACGTGTAGATAAGAATAGGACAAGATGAGCAGTTCCCAGAATTAATCTCATCTGCCTCCACACCACGAATGTCTAGAACCGGCCGCATCTCCACATGGCGGTTGTGGTACCATTCCTGACAATTGGTCCAGAGAGACGTCCATCGTGACGTAAAATCCGTTTGAAGTAAGGTGTGCACGGCTAGCTGTCCTCCACGTTCGGGACTTGGGGATACTGTATCATCTGGCTGAAGGCCAGGGACAAAGTGTCCGCTAAAAGAAGCAAAACACGCAAGAAGACCCATTTGGACGGTCGTTGTTGTGGCACTAGGGGGAAAGGGCCATCAGGTAGTAATTGGGAGCGGTATGACATCAATGGCGCTTTTGCACTAATGATGCCGGCAGCAAGATCTTCGGTACAGGTGTCAAGTCAGCCTTGCCAATTTGTTGATGAAAATGGGATAGCGTACCAATTCGAGAGTGGAGTAGCCACCAGGGCTGGTTTAGCACACCCTGTGGGGTACTTGCAAAATCAAGACTACTCAATCCACGAGTACGAGCTCGTAGAAAGTCCCGCCATTGTCGCGGATGGGAGAGGAAGAAGTCGTGCAACATCAAGAGGGCTAGTCCCATTGACTTGATCGGATCGTCCGCGAGGGCGAGTCCACGTTCCGCCTCGTCCTGCAATGTAGCACTCACACCGATGGCGTTTCCATGCCGCTGAAGTGAAGAATGAGTCAAGGCAAGCGCCATGATGGCAGCCAACAGTGGTCGCTCAGTTTTTGCAAGGAGCAATGCCTGGATCTCAAAACCGCAGTCGGGATCTCCGATATCAATCCATGGGGCCAGATGGTAGCGAAAGTAACGCAGTAGGCCAATCTCATCGACTCCACTGGTCGGGATGGGATGAACCGGGTTGCTGGTGATGGGAAATCGGGAGCTAGAGCTGCAATTGCCCGAAGCGTACGCCAGAGCCCGACTCTTGGCAACGGTACCCCGGTTCTGTTGGAGCTGGGAGGCAGTACTAGAATCCGAAAAAGTGGACTCCCGGGAGATATCGGCATCCACGCCGGAAGGATATGCAGGTCGGTTGAATTCTTCACTGTCGACATGCTCAGCAGTGGCCTGTTGAGCCGGTTGTTCGATGATAGCGCTTTGGGAAGCACTCGCAGGCGGAACTGGTCCCGTGTCAGTCCCCTGGCCATTTGTACAAGGTCCACAGTTCGATGTGATGTCTGACGTCGCTGGGCGGTCATCAATAAACTACCAATCCATCAGCAGATGCGATGCCACCGAACGCATGAAGCCACCCTACTTCGATCGTGTTATAATTTAGCCTAGTAGCCGGCCCTTTGGGGGACTGGATCCGTGGGTTTGGCACGGATACAAAGGTAAGATCGGCGCCATACCGACACGAAAAACCCTTCGCCTCGCAATTTTCACAGCGAGGTTTTCCTTCGTCGCCTGCGAAATCATGGGGTCAGCGACCGGATCATGAAACATGTGGGGAAATGCCATACACTTCCTTCTCCGCCGACGACATGTCCAACATCCCGTACGGACACGTTTTTGTTTGGCCGGAGTTGGTCTGCTGGGCGGCATAGCGCGTTGACGGTGTTGTTGTTGTCTGCAAGATTATGGAGAAGGGTCGCCGAAAAGAGGACGTCGAGCCTCCGCACCCCAAAAATGAATAATTGTCCGGAGTGGGGCCCGGAGGCGAAAAACTGGAGAAGCATCCGGACGGACGACGGACCAGAGACTTTTCTTGGCGCGACTTTTCGACTAAGGTTTTACATGCCCCGCGACACGCAACAATGGTAGCAAAAGCCGAGCAGGAAGTGCTGTACCATAACACTGCTCCTCCTCCATAGCCTCTCAGCAGGCTCTTTATTAGCCGAAATAGAGCTTAACACCGTCAAAGTTGATTAGGGTGAGGATAGCAACGGGTTAAACCCGACTCAACGCCGTGCCAAGCAGCAGTCTCACCCACTAACATGCTAGCAGAGATGAGCTTGTCCCTTCGTCCCGACGCTGGGGCTTGACTCACGAGGGGGGAAATTATTACCTAACTTTAGCCCTAATGCACCACGTGAAACCAGGAAATGAAATCGCCCGATCGTCCCAATTTGGGAAACAGAGGCTCCAGACCCCTCGTTGTAGAGAAACAACGTGCGTTCGGCAACATGCCATCGCCAAGGTGGCGGCAAAAAATAAGCCCCGAACTCTGCAGTCTCCATAGAAAGTTAAATTAAAAAATAAAAATAAAAATAAAAATTCAATTCATCGTGTCACCTGGCGGAGAAGGTTTTTCGGCCATTATGGGTCACTCCGTGAGTGGATGGAAGATCAAGGGGAAAATGGGACATATATATTTCCCCAGATCCCACACGGTCCCTTCCCCGGAATGTCCCCCGGACTCATCCTCCTTCGCTACATGAAAACCCCTTGTCACAATGGCCGTCGACATGTCCTCCGAGCGGGAGGCCAATGACTTCCAGCATGTTCAGGTTGTCAAAACATCGATGTGGCGGTCCCTGGCGAATAACCCCAAGGTGCTTTTTATCGCATTCTTTGCCTCGTAGGTTGCCTTTGATATCAATAGCATCTTGCCCACCGAACTGACACACGATTTAGCTTTGGTGGTTTTGAGTATGGCTACCAGCAAGGTGTGCTGGGACAGTCTTTGGTCATGACTCGTTTCAAAGAGAACTTCCCCTCCGTGGTGGACTCTTCCACAGCCACCGGCTGGTTGACTTCAATTCTCCAGTTGGGCGGAGTTGTCGGGTCCTTGTCTGCAGGTGTTTTGGGAGAAGTCTTTTCACGAAAGTACACCATGTTCGTCGCATGCTGCTGGGTGATCCTCGGGAGTTATCTTTACGTTGGTGCCACGAACGGCAATCCGTCACTCTTGTACGCCGGACGATTCTTCACGGGTGTAGGAGTCGGTCTGTTTAGCGGTGTCGGCCCCTTGTACAATGCCGAATTGGCAGCGCCCGAGATGCGTGGGCTGTTGGTGTCTTTCTATCAATTTGCCACCATCCTCGGAATCATGATTTCCTTCTGGGTGGGTTACGGAAGTAACTACATTGGAGGTACGGGCGCGACGCAGTCGGACATGGCATGGCGCCTGCCTTCTATCGTCCAAGGTATCCCTGCCGTTTGCCTTGCCTGTGGCATTTGGTTCATGCCATTCTCTCCCAGATGGCTGGTCAAACAGGACCGGAATGAAGAGGCCCTCGCCACGCTGGCCTGGATACGAAAGCTGCCCCAGGACCATGAGCTGGTTCAGGTGGAGTTTTTGGAGATGAAGGCTGAAGCTCTGTTTGAAAAGAGGGCTTTTGCCAAAGCGACACCCTGGCTGGCCGAAAGAGAAAAGAAGAGCGTTTGGATGAGCCAAATCGCACAATATGCGAATTGCTTCCGGACCATGGGCAACTTCAAACGGGTCTGCACTGCATGGCTGGTTATGTTTTTTCAGCAATGGAGTGGTGTCGATGCCAGTAGGTCTCTTTTCTCCCAGCCCGCTCGCAACGCTGCTAACAAGACGTACAGTTATTTACTACGCGTCTAATGTTTTCACCAGTCTTGGACTTACGAGTGGCACTGTTGCTCTCTTGGCGACTGGAGTGACTGGCGTGGTCTTCCTCATCAGCACGATGCCGGGCATGGTATGGCATCGAAACCCCAAATCCGTCCACAATCGCACATTTCACTAATTAGCACCAGTTGATCATCGACAAAGTCGGTCGAAAGCCGATGCTCTTAGTCGGCTCGTTGGTGATGTTACTCAGTATGGTAATTGTTGGTGTAATCGTGGCCAAATTCCGGCACGATTGGCCTTCTCACGAGGCCGCGGGTTGGAGTGCTGTCGGTAAGTACCCTCATTTCACCTCCATTGTTACTAGCTCTACATGAATCCAGATTGGGCTAACTAAGGCAACAGCACTTATCTGGCTCTATATCGCCGGCTTTGGTGCCACCTGGGGTCCGTGTTCATGGACTTTGGTTTCGGAAATCTTCCCTCTCTCTATTCGTGCTAAAGGTGCCTCCATCGGAGCGTTTAGCAACTGGATCAACAACTTTGCCATCGCCTTCTTTGTACCACCCATGCTAGAAGCATGGGCATGGGGCACATATATCTTCTTTGCCGTGTTCCTGGCCGTTGGCATGGTCTGGGTGTGGTTCTTCCTACCGGAGACCAAGAATGCGTCGCTTGAGGAGATGGACCGGGTTTTCAAGAGCAATACCGGGGAGCAGGACGCCGAGATGCTGCGTGAAGCACAGAGAGAGGTTGGCTTGACCGCATGCCTCGAACGATTGTCCAAGGGGCCGATACCCACCGAGAAAGATAGTTATGGGTCACATCTCGAGCAGGTATAAACCGGGATAATCTGTGAGGAGCTTCCGGTGTGCTCACGATATTGGAAATATATGTATAATGCAATACTAGACGTTGAATGATGATGACTTGACCATTATGAATATTGGATCGATAGCATCGCTCATTCAGGACCGAAGCTAATATAATCACTTTCATGCATTAGTGCCATTTAACGTACCTCGGATAACCGGGCAACTGATGTTTCTGAAGCCAGAGCCATCGATCATACGTCAGGTGTGCACAAATCGCCTGCTTCATAGATGTAACCTTTCAATACGTGCAGGTGTGAACCCTTGCACATCCAGATGCGTTCTCGTAACCAACGGAGTGTTGGCTGTTTGCGCAGCAGAGAGTCCCATCGCACTTGAAAAGAACCAAGGTTCACGGTGGTGGCAACGGCAACACCTGCCTACTCAAATCACTGATAGAATCTCGTTTGTCTCATAGCCCCAGACTGCTTCAAGGTCCCTAAGTCGCCACAGCGCCCCCCATCCTGTGGTTTGCTCGATGACTTTGAAGAGCTTAGCCACAGCTATGTGTTCACGCCGATGGCTCAAAAGCTTCCCAGCAATGTATAAGGACTGAATAGCATTAATGAGGTTACCCGGGTGTGGGTTGGTCAGCGAAATGCCGCACACCCTCCTTGCATGCCAAACTGAGGAGCCTAGGTGACTGGAGGAGAGCAATGCGGTAGGGGGTCTGATCTCCAGCAACAGGATACAGGCCGTGTGATACAATTGATTACTGGAGATAGCTGCCTGATGAGCATAGAAAATCTCCGGAAACATTCGATCTCCCTGCATGTTGGTAGACTTGGTCGGGAGAATTGCTAGCGGCCGTTGTTCCAGCCAATATTGCAGCTCGTCCCACAGTCGGTTCCATTGCTCATGGAACGGTCGCGGGTCAGTAGTGTCGTATTCCCCTAGCTCTAAGTACCTTGTGCGCCTGCACACTAGATCGCATGCTTTGGCGCACAGATATACGGCCCAGTTTGCGTGCATATCTGGAGTTAGGCGGCTCTGTTCTAAGAATAGCTCTCGGACTCGTTTTTCATTATCCTCAATACTTTCGGACGCCTGGCCCAGAGATACAGTAGGAACCCACTTGTCGAGAGGAAGAACCGTCCTCTCTGCACCGTTTGAAACGATTACTCCACACAGCTCCATGCGGACATAGCACCAGAATACAGCCTGTAAATGACCTCCAGAAAATCCGTTTATATTGAAGCAATCAAATAAAGCCGCACAGCCATCCACGTGACGTCTCCAGTCTTGTGGACTGACGGACATTAACTCCATGACCGCTAAGACACAGGCGGTCACCAGCACATTTGGATCCTTTGCTTGCAGGCCGGGCGATACCCAACGGATTGACTCCTGATAGAGCTCGAGGCTGTCATGGCAGTTGCGGAGACCCGCTTTCCTTTCCGTCTGCCGGGCAGAAAAGGCAAGGATGGCGTAGAATAATCCGGGGGATTCTCGCGCTAAGATAGGAATGTGGACCCCAAAGTGGCGAGCCTCGTCAAATTTGTCGAGATAAGGTGCGCATTCTGTGATCCAGTTCTTCAGATAGTTTATCAAACGAGGCTTGGGTACGGGAGACCTCGCAAAGAGATCTACGTCATGTCGGAGCTCGGAGAGTACGGGCTCAGTTGTCGCTTGGACGAGGTACTGTTTTGGAGTGGCATCAGAGACAGCTGTGAAAAGAGCACTTCGGAGCTCTTCCTGTAGTTCAAGAAAACGTGGATGTGCTGTGTAAGAGCTCTCGGATAGGGAATGTGTCCCTGGAGACAAAATCATTCCCTCCCCCGTTGCTTGATGAGATGAAGCAAGGGGATCCATTCTCTTATGACCTTCGATGGGATGAACATGGTCGGACTTTTTGTTGCTGCGAATCACCGGAGGAAACAACCTCTGGCCCAAGAAGGTAGGCGGTCAGCCAGGGATCCACCAATCCCGATTTGGCATAGTACCAGAGTATTGAACCATGATCATGAATCGATAAATATATATATAATCTTTCACTTCCAAACAAATGGTGTAAAAATAGTTGATAGAGGTAGATTGGTCCTTTGTACAGATCGAGCTAGTCTGGCGAGATGTGTTAGGGCTGGAGAGATCAAGAGCCTAGCATAAACAAGCACTCAACTTAAGCTTCTGCTACATATGTACTCCGTGTTTGGTGCAATTCTATAGAAGATTGATATGTATTCCATGGAGCAGGTTCACTTTCCCATCCATTGATCTTATCCAGCTATCTAAGATGCTTTGCAAGTTAAACCATTACTCAGAGAAAACTAGTACATACGACCACAGGGTGTGGAGAACAGGGCTTCCCGTCCGCTCAGCCGTACTTAAGCCACACGCCGGGAGGTTAGTAGTTGGGTGGGTGACCACCAGCGAATCCCTCCTGTTGTATGTTTTTGAGGTTTTTTGTTCATATATTATGTATATATATATATACTTATCAAGTGTAGGTAATATTTGTAAATGTCTATCTATGTAAGCTAAGCGAAACTGAAATGATTGTGTAGGTAGGGACGGGCAGTGCCTACTATATATACCCACCCTGAAAATGGCGGTCACGATGTAAGAGTATAGTGTTTAAGTACTTATCCAAGTTCAGATCACTTGCTTAGCCCTCTTCTGAAGAAATCCTACTCACTGTCTCACCAGTAGCATGTGGTCTTGAAGTAAATTCAGAGGTGGTTTCCCAAGTTCCCACCATATCAACTCTACCCAAGGGAAATAATATAAAACAACACTTATAAAATTACGACAACAGCAACAGTAGAACATTACGTATCTACCAAGCACACTTAGCCAAAATTCCTGTTGGCCACCTCCGGACCGCCGCTTTACGCAACTCATCCAAACACAGAATACCCAGCCCAAAGGCAGCCGGTAGGAAATAATGCTCTGCTGGAACACTACTTGTATCCAGGACCTCCTGGAAAGGGGGAACATATAACCAGAAGATGGCCATACAGAGAGCGAAGGCAATCGCCGGGAAGAGGAGCAGATTCTGTGTGTCTTTGTTGAAGGCCGGAGGATGCTGGAAGATGGATAGACGGCGGGTTCGCACAGCCATCAAGTTGAACCATTGCCTGGAGGGGTGTTAGTTGAGATTATACGGTTATAAGAAGTAGAGATGGTGGGTGAGACGGGACGTACATAACGACCAAGTTAATGAAGTAGATCGAACTGGCCTCGTTTAGGCGGGCTTGGTAGTAGTCTGGGTCGACGTTGGAGGGAACGGCTCCGAACTTGAACCATAACGCTGAAAAGGGTATGCCACTGCGCTCAAGGTACCAATATGCCATGGCGAAGGATGCCACACTTTCCAGCATACCGAGAATACCATAAGCGTGGAATACTAATTTCCAATTCACGAGACGATCGCGCTTTGGCTTGCGTGGTGGACGCAGGAGAACGTCGGCTTCCGGGGCTTCGTAGGCTAGAACTGTGGCGGCGGCACAGTCAGTGAAGCAGCTATTTACCATGAGCTTGGGTCGCCTTTGATGCGTTTGAACGGAAGTGGGCGCTTACCAGATAATTATCATGAGGAATGACGAAAGGACCTGAGGAAGGCCAAACATGACATTGGTGAAGACGGGCCAGAACTCGGAGAAGGACCCGGCAGGCAGCAGGTAAACGATGGTCTTTTTCAAGTTATCAAAAACAACCCGGCCGTACTGTACAGCCTCTACCACTGCCGAAAAGCTGTCGAGAAGAACCATGTCAGACGCTTCAATTGCAATATCAGAGCCACTGCCCAGAGCAATCCCAATGTCGGCGGCCTTGAGAGATGGAGCGTCATTAACTCCATCTCCAGTCATACCGACAATCTCATCTCGGGAACGGAACTCCCTGACAATGCGAAGTTTCTGTTCTGGTGTTGTTCGTGCAAAGACAATTTCCTGATATTGACAGAGCTGGTCCCACTGACAGTCATCCAAGGACATAAGCTCAGGCCCACTCACGACGATCGCGGGTGATGGCGTCGATGGGGGAATTTTCTCAGCTACTTGAGTAGACCTCTGCAGCGAGGCTATAGTATCAACTGCGCCTTCCGTTGTGACAATGCCGCATTGCCGTGCGATAGCTAGAGCAGTGAGCCCAAAGTCACCGGTTACCTAGTTATGTGCAATTAGTGACCGAGTCTCGATACGATAAACACACAATAAACAAACCATAAAGATTCTAATCCCAGCCCGTCTCAGGGTTTTGATCACGTCGGGGATCTCTTCCCTTGGAGGGTCAACAATGCCAACCAGGCCCACCAGAACTAGACCAGTCTTTGCTTGGTTCATCATTTCTGACTCAAATTCACGAGAAGATGGATGTACAAGGATTTCCGCTGCTCGAAGAACTTTGCGAGCAAGTAGAATAACACGTCTACCTTTGCTGGACCAGTGGTCTTTTATCTCGAGCATTTTCCTTCGCACATGGTCATCAAGTGCCACCACATTACCGTCCGAGCCGATGGTGTGCGTACACCGTTCAATCAAGATGTCCGGGGCACCCTTAATTGTGAGTAAACCGTCACTCTGTCTGAAGTGCACTGCTTCTGCGGCCGAGAGTGCTAGCCCATATCCGTTGGGTTGCGCCACATTAAAAGTGCGGATCATGAATTTGTTTTTGCTATTGAAAGGCAGTTCATAGCTCATTTTCCACGTCTGGCGCAATTCTGAGACAGACCCTAGACTCTCAGAGAATCTGAGGATGGCTTGATCGGTGGCATCGCCATATATACGTCTCTCAGCCAGAGGAAAGGTTGAGGACGAAGCATCGAACTCGGCTGCATTACACAGAGCGGCTGCAGCACGGAGTTGGTGGACGCCAGATGTCTTCCCATCCACCACCATCCGGTCTCTTGCCGACTCCGGGCTCAGAGTAGAGGTAGATATGGCACAATCAGTGACAAACATTTTGTTCTGTTGAGGGAAGTGTTATTCGAAAGCCTGATAATCAAAGAACAGAACACTTACCCGTGTCAAAGTACCAGTTTTGTCGGAGCATATAACAGACACTGCACCTAGGGTCTCTACTGTCTTTAGTGACTTGCAAAGAATCTTATTCTTGCGCATGAGATTAGCAGTGATAGTCAAGCTAGCAGTCAACGCAATTGGCAGGCCCTCCGGAATAAACGCGATCGCGATGCTGACGCAGTCAACAATCAAGGTAGGAACATTGATCCAGTCAGGGTGATCGACTCTGAGCCAAGTAGCCCAGACAATAACCACAACAATGATCATGGTCAGCATAATGAGCACAATCAGTAGGACAAACCTCAGGACTTCCTTCTCGAGAGTTGTCAGGCCCTTTTTGGGCTCGTTCGTTAATTTAGCGATACCACCAAAGACTGTTGAATCAGCCGTGGCAACGACAATTCCCTTTGCAGTTCCTGAAACACAATGGGTTCCCTGAAGGCCAATGCAATGTGTCTCAAGGTAGTTATCGTCGGTCGAATCCACTGTTCCATGAACCGGTAATGACTCGCCTTTGAAGCGTTAGCAAAACGATTCAGTTGAAAATCAACCAATTGAATTTACCGGTGAGAATTGACCGATCAAAGCTTGCGTCGTTCGAGACATCGATAAGCCGCACATCAGCGGGTAATTTGTTTCCAGCTTTGAGATAGACAACATCCCCGGGGACAATATCTGGTCCATCAACAGTGACCTGCGACCCGTCTCTCTGCACTAAGCAGCTTTCCGGCAACATGGCGGTGATAGACGCCATAACACGGGAAGAGGACCAGTCTTGCCATGCATTGAACGCTGCCTGGATAAAGAATACAGCGAGCAGGACAATGGCTAGAGCCAAGTTTGCTTGAGACGGTGGTTGACCAAGGGGCTTCCATGAAATGAAGACCAGAACACATCCAACGAGAAGGATTGCGCCGAAACCTTTGAAGAAGTATCCGAATATCTGCCAGAACCATTGATGAGGCAGAGCAGCGAGGGAGTTCTTGCCATATTGACGCAGCCGCCTTTGAACCTGCTCGGACGACAAGCCTTGGGATGCATCAACCTGCCAACGTTTTTGTAGCTCTTCTACGGATATGGTGTGCCAGTCGAGGTTTGAGAGATCTAAGTATCGGATATTAGGTCTGGCAGATCTTCGACGTGCACAGGTGTATATTTGAGTATCAGCTTACCAGTTGCGATTTCGCTCTTTGCCTGAGCAGCTTTCGTACGATGAAGAGCTTCAGCCTCGTCGATCTCAAAGGACCTTTTTTGTTTTGATTAACCGTCTTGAAGGAAGTCGTGTAGGGTATTGGAGAGCTGTATACGTACACTGTTCGATAATGGATTGGCAGGGAAAGAGAAGGATCAACAGTGGTCCTCGCTTTGAGATTGCGACCAGAGTGTTGAGAGCTGTAAGAGGCAGAGCGATTCAGTCGGTTCAAGCGAGGCCGCTCGGTGTCACCGGATTCCTCGTCGACATTCTGCCAGCGCAGATGCGTCGCCTCTGCATTGGGGGTTTTCTCCTCCATGTGCGCAATCTAACACCTAGATGGTGTATATATTAAGGTGAAGCACAGTAGCCAAGGGAAAGCAACACCAACTGAGGAGTATTCTGGCCAGAGAGTCTTCCTCGGCCACCAGTTGCATCCTGCTTTAAATATGCATGTCCGTGCAGCCATGTGGAGATGGCATGGTCAGCGCGTGGCCTCGTGTTGGGACAGCGGCGGTGCGTCATTAATGTGTTAAATGAGTGGTTTATAGAAGCTGGCAAATGCCTCGAGCGGGTGGAGAGCTGGCGGCCTACCAAGAAGCAGTTTAGCGTTAAGGGAAACATTAATATGACGGCCTAAGAGCGATTTGATTACCCAATCGGGGTTTGTTTGAAGCGCCACCGATTTCTTTGGATGGGAAAAGCTCGGACATATCCTGTCACGTCTGAGAGAAATATGCACTTAAGCCAATGGAAACAAAACGTTTATAATTAACATCCTAATTGTGTGGATGAGAAAATGTCCTCACTATACTTCATTCCCCTTCGTCTTATCACAAGGTCGTCAAGCCCTAGCCGATCGGGTCGGCAGAAATAGAGTAGTCAAGAAACACCAAGCAACTTATAATACGTAAAATGTGGATTCACCGGAAATTGAGAAGCTTGATCCGCAAGCGAATCTTGGCATAAAGTGGCCCTTGAGCAGCAAAGTGGATGCTGTCATAACTGGCTATCTCTTTGGCTTTTTCTGTGACTTGATCCCTCTGGCATGGCTCAGGTCGTACAGGAGAGCACAGTAAGAGCCAATATGTGTCACTTCCGAGAATGTTCCCACGTTTGCGTTATGGTCAGGTACATTACATCATCAATGTGTAGATTCGCCCTCTCTTGGATCGGTCAATTGCGCCCGGGGCACAAAAAAAGATACCCACACAGTGTCAGTGTGTTCGTTTTCGGCTTGTGAGATGCTTTCTACCCTAGATGTCAGAAAGAATGAGTTGTAGAAGTGCACCATGAGCCAGCCTCTAACAGCAAGCTCTATAAGAACCTTCATAAGTATACCAAGGTATGCGGTATCGATTTTCTTCTGCCAGTGGCTTACTAGTGCAGAGGTTAGCCTTGCACATTCACATCTGAGATGGCTTTACAGTGCCGACTTACCGACCATGTTCGTTTGTATCGGTTGAATACTCATGGCCATGGATTACTGGAACATGAGTGCACAGACTTCATCACATCCGAAGCTAGGTGATTCTGGTGGACTTGCCTCGTCAACGGAGGCAGACGAACGGCTGGGGTGATCCTGCTCTCTGACTCTATTGTTCCTTGAATGGGTAGCTGGTTATCTCTGTACAGATAGCCAAGACGTGGGTTTGGAGAAATAGAGCGTTCGCAACTGCTCCTTAAAGTAGTGTGTTGCTGTTGTTGATCTGTTGCAAACGAAGTTGGTCTTGGCAGTTGGTTATGAACTTCCACCGAAGCATTAAAATCGACGGGTACATCGACTGTTCGAAGGGCAACAAGACCACTCATAGTTGGGGTGGCGTTTGATGTTTCATGAGGCCGAGGTGCAAGTGGTAAACACGCCGCGTTCACACGGGAAGAAACTGTGCGCGTGATGTTTTTCTAACCGAACCCGGTAACCTCAAGTTAGCTTCATATCTATTTCGCTAGGACCATATGGTAACTCCCAAATTCGGGCATAAGGCAGGACCCAGGCAGAAACTAGGGGATAACTACTTCAGAAGGAGCTTTCCTCTTCTTCACCCTGGAGCTTTGCTGTAATTTGTAGTGCTCCTTCGGCCTCGGACATGGGGCCTCTTTACACACAGGACAAGTGACAAAAGGGCGACCCTTCCGATTGATACGGATTAATGGCCGGTCTGCTACTATTGTCAGCATGTATCCGTACAAAGGACAAGTAATGAGGATGGGAAGCAAGAAACACGATTCTGTACCATGGTGCTCACACGTACTTACACGGTGCCCGCGAACGCAAGTCCCGCAAGCCCACTTCACACCGTCTAACAACATGTCCACTAGCTTTGCCGGAGATGAGTCACATTGACAGTTACCTCCGGTTGAAAAGGAGCTAAGGTACAGTATTTATGTCAACAGGAGCGGGAATGAGAGAGATACTAGTGACTGATTGACATTCCGAGGTACAGAAATTGACATCACGACAGGCCTGAAATGGGAATAGCGAAAACCTTAACTTATTTGCTTCCTGACTGCTAATTGGACTTGACAAAGACGAAGTTATCGGACTTAAACATACTCGGCATAGGGTGGTCGACCTTGTATTATTCAGGGCAATATACAGTATGCGGGATTTTCCTGCGCTACAGCCCAAGTGTTTCATATGCTGGGAATCAGCAAGAAAGTGCCTCATACATTTATACTGAACTTCCCATCAACGTCGATGTAGGAGTCCAACCTACAATAAATTTGGTGGGGCTCATGCTGTGTTGGAATAAGGCAGTGGCAATGGAGTGTCCTAGATCCACTTGCGGATCGGATCGCCTTTGTCTCCGACAGCGCTCACCTGATGTTGCATAACCTAAAGTCTGAGATGGTCTACAATCAACGGCAATCCTATAGCGCCTTGAAGATGAAAGTTCCCTATGTTGCATAACCTCGAATTCATTCAAGTCCATTCCAATTCTACTCCGACACACGGGTCTATATCCATCGCGGGTGCTTTATCAGCTTCAGTACCGCATCTATCTCTCACCTGTAGGAATAGATATAATACAAATTTCATTCCTTGTTTATGGGGGTGATTTCAACTAATGCATACTGGGGCTGTTCCAAAGTATGCGCGTTAAAAGGTGCATTATACATGTCTATGGCGCGTGCTGTACCCGGGAGCGTGGTTCTAACCACCCGGGAAAGCATTTTACGATAGTTAAATCGAAATGGATGTTCAATTAGTGATTAGCTGAGAAACCAGTCTCACTTGTCTGCTTCATAACCCTTATACCCAGACCATGAGACAGCCCCCTCCACTAGAATACAAAGTACGTTGCAATAGCACCATCCCGTTGTGGTTACAATCAACGATGGTCTTGGTACTTAGTTGAGAGGTGATTCACGAAAGCTTGCAAACAATATGACATAGCAAAGAATAAACACAACAGTCGCACTTGACACAACGTCGAAAAGGACTGTCGGTCAGCTGGCACCAAGGCCTTTGTTGAGGGCGACATGCGCCTTGCGATGAGCTTCGCGTGCCGGAGGATCCTGGCCCTTAGGGAGAGGTTCCTCTGCACTAGGCGGGTCGACCGTGTATTTAATATGATCACCAATAATCATCGCATTCGATGCCAGGTTGCCGATTAAGCCACCACTGTTATCGGCATACTTGGAATGATCCTCCAGGCCGACAGCATTCAGTAGCGCGTTATTCTGCCTTCGGTGGAGATCTACTTTGTGATATTCCGTGGTTAATGAATATTTCTAGTCTAGCGGTCGGAGCCTACTAACCTTGGGCAATCCCACTTGTCTCCTCAATTGCGGGCGCTGCCAATGCTAGGGTGCTCGTCACCAGAATGGTGAATATGGATGAAATGTCGGTCCGCATGGTGAGCAGTCTCTGAGCCTTCTAACTGTCAATAAAACCGGGGTGTAGTTTTTTGCCAAAGCGAGCGTGGAGCAAGGTCAAGAATACTTATGAATAGACAATGGCCTAGATTATATACCGTTAATTTTCCAAAGTGCAAAAGCTAGTGTATTTATCAATCCCGACCGTTCACAAGCAAGCAACAAGTGATTCGAGCGACGAGGCTTGGTAGCATCGTCCCTTTTCTTCTGCGTGGGTCCATTTTTCAGTCGTTTCAGGGCAAACTCTACCAGCTCCAAAAATGAGCCTTTCGCCCTACCATAAACTTGGCTCATTCTAATGTTCGAACTCATCAATGTGAAATTGCTCCTTGGTTAAAATAGCACATAAAGTAAAAATAAGAATAGAGAGAGCAGCAAGATGTTGTCATGATCGTGCAATGCGATTTGGATACCTGCGCACCACTAAATTTGGTTGTTTCGTGACGACCAGCCAAAGCTTACATGAGGTTACATCCGATGTTGTGCGATTATTGAAGGCCTCGTACGTGTGAAACGGCACCAGGGACAGTTATGAAAAATGTTAAGGGTTGATCAATTGTAGGTTACCTCGGGTTCCTGGAATGGCCACAAGGCAACTTGCAGCGTATTTTGCTTCAGGGTTAGATCCATATGATGCAAATACGAAAACCAGCTCTACTCTTGGGGATACAAGTTAACACGATATCAACGCCCCTACGCATTGGACAGGTTGGGACGAAAGAGCAGGGGAGTTATAGTCAGACTTCGAATTTTGTAAGTATTGGCATCCTATTGAGTAGAAAAACACTTCGATTGGCATTGCATCACAGTAAAATGCTCTGCAGAAGACGGTTGATTCCCCCTGAGATATTATACCCATCTCTATTCATGACTCAATGTATCCTGGATAAACGCCTCTTCTCGCGGTCTTGGTTTAGACCCTTTATTGTTTTTCCATTTTGCCTCATCATTCCCCATGACGCTGATACCTACCTAAGGCTATATTTCAAAAGTATATAAGCAGGTTGGGCGATTTAAGTCATAGGATGACTCCCTATAAAGTCCCGTATCTCAAATGTCTGGAAATTAAAATCGGACCCACCGATTGATCGTGAAAAGTGGTGTTTATATTGTGCAAGGCGCATGATCTATTTTTAGTTCCTTAGCCCGACGGGCGAAATACATGGGTAAACGAGTAACCAGTGACTCTTATCCACCCATACCTCAAATACGCCCGACTCTTATCAAATGCCGAGGGTCTGATGTCCGAGGAAGTTGGCCCGCGCATCGTCGGGGGATAGAAGCACAAGATATACCAATAGTGATCGCCATGTTGTGGAGCTTGTCTTCGAATATAATGTCTACTTGTCTACACCCTACTCCAAAGCGTAAGGCTAAGCCAACACTATCTCCTTCACCTTGGGGCACCCTCGACATATACCTTCTCCTAGAATGGGAAATCCTGAGCGCTGTGATCACCTTGCATGTCAATTCCTCAAGTCAGGAAGTCAAGGTCAGCAGCCCTACAACCACCGCACACGAAGATCACCGAAGCCTTGAGTTCACAGCATGATATACCAGATCTAGGCTTCATCCTGAATCTCCTAGTGAGGCTCCGTGAACCGGGGATATGTGTGACAATGGAGGTATTTTGCTAACAGCACGTTCGCGTATAATCAACACTCTATAATATATCACTTCGATCCTTCCTCGGTTTGATCACAAAATGCTTAAAATTCGTGCGACACCAAGTTAAGCACCTGTTCGAACAGTGAAAGTCAGGATGTGTCTCCTGGTGAAGATGGTTTAGTCGAGAGAAATGTCCTTCGTCAAGATATTGTACAAGGGTAGTGGCCTACGAGATACCATGACGTTTGGAAGTGGTGAGATGGTAATAGGTATGTAGTGGCTACACACGGAGGTTACGTTATACGATTAGAGGCAGGTCTTATGAGAGAGCCAGGGTAAGTTATAATGGATAATGAGAATTCTAGTTACTTAGCTTCCTTTCAGACATAGTTTCATACGGCGTTTAATGTACAAGATAGTTCACCAACTGGGCGGAAGGCAATACTTGTACCAATGCATCTCCGTATCAGCATCCTTAAACCTCTCAATTTTGTCAACCACCCCATCTTCACCAATCTCCCACTCACCATCCTCCACCATCTGTGCCCAGCGTAGCAGTACCTTGTCTAACTGAACCATACCGCGATCACCAAAGCCATTGAGTCCAGACTGGTAGAGGCTCTTGTCATCCCCTTTAGGATGGGATTCGATGTCGTCTATGTCTATCCCTGTTTGAGCTCCATCGCTAGTCCGTGTCCATCCATTTTGTCCAACCTTAAAAGGTAAAAGAAGATAACATGTGTTCGAAAAGGCACGGGTTGTTTTTGAATGAATGCTTTCGATATATAGTCCTGCCGGGAGCTCTGGGATATTACTAGGCGGCGGATAGGATGGTGGAGGGGGTGGTGGCAAAAGAGGATGAAGGTCATGGCCAAGGCCTTTCTTGTTATCTGTATAGAAAAGGAGTAGGGGTAGTGATGTTGGATCATTTGTTGGGTAAGAGCCGAGGTAGGGCTGGGAAGTGAACTCTGAAACAGTTGGTAGTCGGATTCCAGGTGCAATATAGCGAAAGGGTATTCTTTGTGGAGCCAGGCCCGTCAGAAAGTCATATACGAAGGTTTCTGGAGGTATATCAGTTGATGTAAGCAGGCATTGATCGGACCAAGGATTGTAGGAGTTAGTTGCTTCACGGGCTGGCTGGCGGGCCTGAATAGTGTCAAGCAGCTTTTGCATAGCGGACAAGGCTTTATCTACATCGACTTTGGTATATGGATGGAGAACCCATGGCTTCATAACCCCAGGCCACATTGGAAGGCTAGGGCCCATCAGGGTGACTTTTCCTTCGTCAATCATCTCAAGATATGCATCGAGAATAACCTCCAGTGGCTTGAATCCCCAGCCCTGGATACACATTGGAGGCTCCTCAAAAATATAGCCTATGAAGGCTGCCAGAGATTCTTCCTGGTCATACCTAATATTACTCATTAGCTATATTGCATCTCATGAGCAGCAGGGCGTCGGCTCTCCTACACAATGCCCCTTTCGTCACCCATGTTATACCCTGTGGTACAATAGAGCCACACGAACCGACCGGGATACAAATCCTCCACAAGAGTCTCGAAGAAGGCATCAGGGGCATTGAGACCACGGACCCAGTAAAAGAGAGCAGGGCTATCTACCGGACCCTTAGGTTTACCCTTAGGCTTGACAAAGGCCAATTTCAAGAACTCAACAAGAGAAGGGTCTAAGCTTTCCGAAATGTTCTGTGATGGAGAAAAGTACTCCCACCAGGTTATATGTGGCGATGGACAAGATCCTCTCCATGACAGGTGATAGAGCTCATTATGTAATGCTGCGCACCGCTCATAATCCATACGGCCCAGTTTCCGCACTGGATTCGATGGGGTGATGCGTGGTCCCACTGACATCTTCAATAATCTGACAGTAGGGATAGGCTGATGGCAGACAAGTAACGGGAGGGAGGCAGGCGATATATATGTGATTTTGTCCCACTTCTTGGCAAAGCTCGCGCTAATCTGTGCGATGTTACATTACAATTTGTTCACTTTTGCTACCCATTAAATGGAAACCCCCATGAGTCTCGTGCCCGTATCCATGCTCCATAGACTAGCAACTCTACTATCCTTAGCACATGACAAAAGTTGAGTACCATAGGCTGTACCTAAGTTCTATAATCTCTTAAGAGTTAGTACCAATAAGAAGTATTTATAAACTGCACGTCGGCCACCAAGCGTCCCCAATGTGAAGCCCCAATATACCATTGCTGTTGACTGGATAAGTTCACAGCTTATGACAATCGCCAGAATAACACGAATCTCGACCACAATACTCCTCCGTACTTCCGCAATATCCAGCTACCGAGCAACATTTACCAAGTTGAGTGCCAGTGCATGTCTTGTTCCCGGCAAAGCTGGGCCCGCATTCGCCGTTAACACTTGGACCTCCACTATCATCGTCACAATTGCCCGAGAAACATAGACCAGGTCCGCAAAACTCTGGCCCACTCCCACAATAACCATGGATAGAACAGCACCTGTGTCATTGATTAAGTTAGCCTTTAATTGAATCCGAGACAGCGATGGCCGGGGATTGAACACGGAGATTGAGGCAGGGGGGTTCCTACGAGCCGAATCTTGGATTGGTACACGTCGTGTATTTGCGATCAGGACCGCAAGTCCCATCTTGGGTTGCAGTGTCACCTCCTGCATCGCACGCTCCGGAGACGCAGTTTCCTGGACTGCAATACTCTGATGTGTTGCCACAATATCCGCCTATTGAGCAGCATCTACTCATGGTATAGTACGTCAGTAGTCATGGTCTTACGTTGTGCTCGGTCTATCTTTCCGTGTAACTCACTTTCCAAATGAGCTTCCTTCACAGACGGTGTTCCCATGGGATGGACCACATGTGCCATCTTCTGATATCCTAGTTTTGGTAACTGGGGCAACGCAAACATCGTAATTCAGCCATAGGTTGGTGCAGTTATTCCACAGCTGCCGAAAACAACCTCAGTTAGTTTTATACATTCTGTCATCTGGATATGAATCAAACTCACGTAGTTATTCATAGTCTGGAATTCAGTAAATGTAATTCCACTGCGACCGGTTAGTACGTTTAGCGATAACAAATCGCAAATAGAAAATGCTTACAAGCGTAGAGCCACCGTGTTACACTACCAATGTGGTCAGGGTGAGCACTTATATAATGTTAGGGTAGGCTACTCACTTCATCACCAGCAACAACCTTGTAGTACCGGCCGCAGTCAGGGATGGTGCCAGGGCGTGTTGGCTCTGCCGGTATTGCTGAACGCAGAGAATATTATTTAGGCTGTGCAGAGAAGAAAAGTGGTGGCTAGGGACGCATTACCTGTTGTATGATATGAGCCTGCAGTAGTAGGGGCGTAGATCACGCCAGAAGCTTTGAAAAAACCACCAGGTGGACTGAAAGAACCTTGTCAGCATGGTCCTTTTCTATCAGGAAGGCAAAATAACGTGCAGAATTCCTTACCCTTTGCAAACGCGTTGCGAGTTGTGTACCCAGCTACAGGCCCCTAGGATGTTTGGATTCCAGCTTAAGAATTGCGTCTCGGATATAGGGAGCTCATCAGTGGAATAGCGAGCTGCTAGCTCTTCACTTGGATAGTGTTAATGGAGAGAAAACAACGACAAGTCATAAGTGGGGCCATTCTCTTGGTGCTTCGAGCATTCTTTGGCTTACCAGGTTGTTTTACCCCATATAGTGTCAATTTCACAAGGCTTAGGCAAGCACAAAGGGGTGTCAAACTGACACTGTTTATCCTGTGTAACATCAACCACCGTCCCTGTGCTCACATTGTACTTATCGGATATTTCGCGGCAACCCATCCAGGAATCGGATGGTTCAATCAACTGCCCAGGACAGCTCGTTGGTGATGGGAGAGGGGTTCCAGTGGCAGTGACTGGTACGGTGCGAGTTGAAGCAAACAAGGTAGTTTCGTAGGTATTCACGGGCAGCTTGGTAGAGCAATATTCCTGTATTGTGGAGTATTGATCGAGAAGGTAGTCCGTATGCTCGCCAGATGGGAGCAGGGCCGACATAAGCCGCTGTCTCCACATTTTAATGAAGCATTCGCTACATAGCTATACGATCCCTTGTCAGTTTTATCATCTGTTGATAGATTGTGAATAACAGTAACGTACGAGGTCTTTCTCGTAAAGCTTAGTTATATCCATCATATCCTTCGTCATCTGGGTCGTAGAGAAGTCCGGGTCTAAGCATTCCGGGGGTGGACCACCCTCATACTCATAGTAACACACTTCGGATCCCATCTAGGTAATGTTAGCTGACAATTGAAATATTTATAGTTTAGCTGCTGATGTTCATACCGGATATAATCACTACCCTGCCAGCTCTGTGAATCCACAAAGCACCAATTTGATGAGCTAAATGCAGGTGTGTTAATACCTCTTATCAAGCATGTGCAACATCGCCCCTAATAAGTATCACCTCACCTATCCTTTAAACATACTAGGTCGTGCCCTTCTTTCCATGCCGTCGGAACAGTCTTCGCGAGCATGTAGACATCCCCGACAAATACCGTCTGCCGATCACAATCACGGTCTACAGCATTAAGCCAAGAAGATAGAGATGCCGCACATTCCTGGGTGCACAACTTTGTTGTATTCTCCGTAGTCCAATCTAGATCCAGATTAGATCACCCATGATATTATGTTCACGACAACACCGCTGAAGGAGAACAAAACTTGCAGTATTGGTCGGGGCCCTAGGCCGCCATGCTTCCTATCGCTTCGTCGCATATGATCGTGGTGTTTCTAGAGACGGATGAGCTCTGCGACAAGGTTTAGAGGTTTAGAATCCCGTACAATGACTTCAGGCATTGTTCAGAGAGCTCGAACTCTTTCTTTAAAAGCTGCCCATCCAATCCAGCATATACGTTGAAGGACCCTTTCACGACATGCAGCAGGCTTAGACAGATGAGCCATAGTCCTATGATTCTAGCCGTCTTATCCTGATATACCATAATGTAAGGAAGGGTATTTGTTGTCTACTACTACTTGGACTTGCGCTGAGGCAATAACAGGGGACTTATACAAGCTGAGAGCAAAGATAGCACAATGAAAGGGGGCTACTGAGGTAATATTCGAAAGTTCCTCGGTATGTCGTGGAACGGATCGTGACTCAATGGTTTGATTTCAGGTATTTACGTAAAGCTGCATCTTTTGATAAGAACATCTTCTAATTGCCTCATACGATATTCACATCTAGACCTAGAAAGTTACAAATTTGTCCGCTTAGTACAATGCCCCAATCACTGGTTAAAGGGGGCAGGGGCCAATAGTTGCAAGGGCCCCATTGTTGAAGCTCGACTCGCTACCCAAGACTGCATAAAGTGAAGCTAGTATCTACGCTAAGTATCTGCTAAGAAATTTGGCCAGTATCATATATGAGGGCATCTCTACTGGTAAGCCGATTATGGCCACTGCGTGAACCACACGATTCGGGCTGTCTAGTATATGATCTGTCTATCTAATTATTTCGATTAGTAAAAATCATCTTTGTCCTCTTTTTCTCGTCCTGGCTTATTGAACGAAACCTTGCTTGATATCTGGCGACTTCTTCTATATCCAGGTTAGTCTAGTAGCGGCCACGGTCCCATCCACTACGCGATGTAACGATAAAGAGTCTTGGCACCTCAAGGAGGCGGACTTAATGCATCCCGGCTGCTACTGCAAGTTCTCGATGTAGTACCATGTTGTTTTAATCCGCCGCAAACAATGGTAAATATCTTATGGCTCGGTTCAAGGGGGCTGGAGGAGTAAGCGGGCCGAATGCGAAGGCGTATAAATGTACCTAACCGTCATAGAATGCAAAATTAGTCTTCACTTTTGTATCACTACATGAAATATGCACTCCCTCGCCATTAGATCCCTCTTCGCAGGGCTTCTGGTATCGCCTTTTCTACTGACAGCAGCAGGAGAATCACAGAATGCAAGTACTCCGTATCCAGAGCTTTACGCAGTACACTCCGATTCTACACCCGTCTTCCAGAATATTACCGGAAAGACTGCCAATCCATTGGTCCACGTCCTCCAAGGTGCCGGAGTCGACCGAGTTCTTGAAAAACGCGACAATGGACTCCCGATTGGAACATGTGCTCCAGGTACACCGTGCTCTAATGGAGCATGTTGTAGCAAGGTAGCTATGCCTCTTTATCTATATCTTTTCTTTCATTGCAATAAGCACTTGGTAAACTGACAAATCCGTTTCCCTTAGACCGGAGTATGTGGAATTTCTCCGGATCAGTGTGGACAGGGTAACTGTATTTCAAACTGCGATGCGAAGGCTGAGTGCGGCCAATATGCGGCTGCGGGACATACTACTTGTCCAATCAATGTCTGCTGTTCTAAGTTCGGCTTCTGTGGGACAACAGAGGTATGTATATGCACACGAGTAGAAGGAAAAGGTAACTTGCGCTCACAATGCATGGTTAAGGAATTTTGTGCCACTGGCTGTCAGTCAGGATTTGGTGGATGCGGCCCTGCGGTCAAGCCTTCGTGTGACGGACAGAGTGCAACGCAGCGGACAGTCGGTTACTATGAGGGCTGGTAAGTTGGATATTGAGAAACCCCATTGTTCTGGATGATACTAGCATTGTATTTATGCACAGGGCCGCCACAAGAGTCTGCGACAAACAGCTCCCATCTGATCTCGATGTCAGTGGTTTGACGCATATAAACTTTGGTATACCGTATCCATTCCTTCCAGAGACATATGGGTGGTGCTGATAGACGCGGCATAGCATTCGCCTACTTCCATCCTAGTAGTTTCGAGATTTTGCCTATGAGTGAAGAGGATATGGCGTTATACCCCAAGTTCACGGCCCTCAAGGAAAGAAAGCCGTACGTGTTTATCTGGCCAACCCCTACCCTCATTGCTTCGTGCATCTTTATCTCTTTGCGCTCGCCAATACTAAAAATGTGCTGACTAATGTTTAGATCTCTGAAAGCATGGATTTCAATTGGTGGTTGGGCCTTTAACGTACGTCTATTACCAGCAGATCTTCGAATCACACAAAGTGATCATGATTAACACTCCCAGGACGCAACTAACGCCCCTAATACTCAAACTGCATTCAGTGATATGGCGGGAAGTGCCGCCGGTCGCCAGAAGTTTGCACAGTCGTTGATTAATTTTATGGCCACATGGGGTTTCGACGGGGTTGATCTAGACTGGGAGGTACGCTTTCGCATTTTCGGGCGAAATAACGCCCCTGCTAACTCTGTACGCTCAGTATCCGGGAGCGGATGACCGTGGTGGGATTACAGCCGATACAGCAAACTTTGTCCTTCTCTTGAAAGATCTCAAAGAAGCTTTTGGAGGTCAATATGGTTTAAGTGTCACCTTACCGGCCTCGTACTGATACCTGCGATGGTTTGACCTTCCATCGATGCAAAACTATCTTGACTTCTTTAATATCATGACATATGACATTCACGGGGTGTGGGATTCAAATAACAAGAATACAGGACCGTATGTTCGTCCCCATACCAACCTGACTGAGATACATCTTGGCCTCGATCTCCTATGGAGAAACAATGTTGACCCTAGCATGGTGAACATGGGCATCGGGTGGTACGGACGGTCATTTACTCTACAAGATCCGCAATGCAATAAGCCTGGGTGTATATTCTCGTATGGGGGAAAGGCTGGAGAATGCACCAAGTCATCTGGTACCCTGTCAAACGCGGAAATCCAGCGCATTATTAGCAAGGACAATATTGTGCCTACCGTGGACCGAGAGGCGGGGGTGAAGTGGATCACATTTGACTATGACCAATGGGTGTCATACGACGATGGTGAGACTATGCAAATTAAGATGGACGTTGCAAATCAGCTATGTCTGGGTGGAACTTTAATCTGGTCCCTTGATCAGGATAGTTTGACTCATACTAGCAGTAACGATCTCGCTGGTCTAGGCCTGGCCAATGGCGTTTCTGCTGAGGAAGCAGCATTGGCGAAAGAGATTTTGAAACAGGCAGGCAGAACTGTCATTGTCCGTAATACATGCCACTGGTCAGCGTGTGGTGAGGACTGTGGACCTGGATACTTTGCGCAAACGTATGCTAAAGGTCAGTCTGTGGGTATCCGCCGAGAAACGGCATGCCCTGGGGATGAAGTGAAAACGTTATGCTGCGCTACAGGGACAAAGATTGGCACTTGCTCTTGGCACGGATGGAGAGGCGTCGGTATGCCCTGTGTCTCCAATTACTGCCCCAACAACATGGAAGTGATTGCAGTAAATAGTAAGTTAACCCCGAGCCACTATTATTGACAGGAACTGCCCAAATATGCTGATGCCGTGAAACAGCGAACTCATACCAGGATAGGTCCGATGAGGGAACAATCTTGGATTTAACATGTAATGGTTTGTTGTCATCTCATTTCTCCTTACTGTGCAATGTAGATTCGTTGGATGCTTACATTGCACAACAGGTGGTACACAGTCATACTGTTGCTCTGGCTTTGTCTCTTCCCCTTATTTGGACTTGAAACGCCAAAAGTCAATTTAAAGAAAGTCCATCAATAGCCACCCTGATCCAACGTGTTCCGAAAGCTTTAACACCCTTGATGTACTTTTAGGTATGTAGGTTGTTGAATAGACGAGTGGTTCAGCTTTAGGGCACTAATAACCTGGCGTAGGTGGACTGGGGGCGATCCCTGGGATGATGGCTGGAAGCCTTTTGAGCTTCATCATTGGAAATATATGTCCAAAGTCAGACAGTACCGGCTCATCAGAGGAATATGCCGGAATGATCGCCAATACAATCGGACAAGGTGCCCTTGGACCAAATGGGCGTGATACAAGAGGCGTCCCAAAAATCGAAATTAATCTCAGCCCTAAGAAACCGCCACAAGGGAAACCTCGTCAACGATTGCCTGTGCGTGGGCGATATACAATGGCCCAATACAAGAAGAAGAAGGATAAAGACTGTTCCGTCACTTACACTTGTGAATATGGGCATGGCTATGATGAGGTAACCAATTCACCCCACACAATATATGCGTAAGCAACAGTCTCACAGTCCCATGGGAATAGGTATGCGACAATCAGCGCTGCGCAATCGATAAGGGCCTTGGTGGAAAGACAATCTATCATAAGCACGAAGGCCCGAGGCCCGGGGAGACAGAAAAAGACAACTGGTCATTACTGGACAGACGACGAGAGTACTATACGCTAGCTAACGCCAAGCCTTCGCCCAATTCTCGTGGCCGCTGTGAGGTGTAAATACAAGGTGCCAATATCATTGCCCTCAGAAACAAAGATTTGCTAAATAGGCAACGCTAGCGATGAGTTTCCCATGGCAGCTCTCGAAGAAGGCATTGACGGCAACTACAAAGTGGTGCGATTGATAAACGGGATTGCAAATGGAAAGCAAGGTTAGTTAATTCGTTTCAGTCCAGTGTATAGCTTACTTGACATGTTGCAGCACAGGCCATGGTTGGAATATGTGGGTATCGGCAATATATAACCCATGCTATCGCCTTCGCAAAGGTTTGGGTTTGCCACCACCACCACCAATCACTTGGGCATTTGGCGCATTCCCTGAAGGAGACGACCGCGCCTCGGGGTTTGAGGAGCACTTCATTAAGGCTTATGGCGTATGTCTCCGTACCATCCAATGTCTTCGGATTGGATTTCTACTGATATCGGGTGCTCTTTCTCTGCCTTGGTAGCTTGACTCACAAACTAGAGAAAGCCTGTGCTGGGGTACGTTGAACTCTCCGCCCTATCTCTGATCACCTCTCCCGTCCCAGTCCAATTGCACCCAACAGCTCTAATTTGTATGAAATGTACCAGCTACCTACACGTATGCAATAAACGATGCCACATACATCTCGACTGTTTCCGACCAAGGGTTCCGCGCCAAGCTTGATGACCCGTAAGTCAGCTACTTTAGGACAAAGCATCGACCCATAAGCTAATGTTAAATTCTACTTAGGATGTTCAACCCTCCATATAACTGGCCTACGTTTAATCACTATAACAAACCCCCGTCATCACCCGACAACCTTCCAAAAAACGTATTTGACTCTCAATGGTGGAAACGAGAGGTTGCGCGAAGTGTGCTTCAGAGGGATCTACCTATGTCAGCCATCTACGAGGCCGAAAAGATATCTTTGGCTCGAGATGCCCAATCTAAGGCGCAATCCTCAACCCTAACTGCAGCTGTGGTCGACCTTTCCTACGAAAATGACCTGGAAAGCCAAAGGCCGTCTCTAAACGATATTCTGGCTGAGACAGGTACTGTGGACATGAGTACTGCAAAATTGGAAAGACGAAAGCTTCATTTGAGGAGACATCAAATGGGGTATAACCATAATCCATAGATTGATGGTGAGGGATTGCACGATATAGTTTTCACCCCACATTAGGCGAAATGGGACTGTACTGTAATGGGACCTGATTGCATACGGTTAGATGCAATGTGTCAGGGTGATATATTTCGTTGTCTAACTATCGTTGGAGCCACACTGACCATTGTGATGATATGTCAATCAACGTACTAAAAGATAGGCTGTACTAATCCTACAATGATCTTTGACTACTTCTTCTAGTTTCTCGTTCAACTTCCTTTATCTTTCCTTATCAAGGTCTAACACAGTGCTATACAAGCCATATGGAGAACAGAACTACATTGAGCTTCTTCAAGATTCATGTACGTGTGTTATAATGGGTAGAACACATTCGTGGGGGCTTGGGCAAATTAGCTAATCTATAATCCGCCGTACATCAGTATGGGTCTTATATACCGTATCATAAATACGCCTGGCTCTTATCGAATGCCAGGAAATTAGTCCTAGCGTCGTGGAGCAGGGGATGGAAGCTCGGGGTATATCATATACCAATGGTGCTGGTCTCAGAAGTACAACGCCTCCTTCCTATCTACTATTCACTATGCCACAAACTACGGCCAAGCCAACATGACGCCCCTCCACATTCTATACAAAGAAGTTAGAACCACCTCCTCCGCCACCTTAGGGTACCCTTCTACTGGACATATGACTGCAGGGCACCATTCAGCGGAAAATATAAGTCCCAAGTAAGTAAAGCTGTCTCTGAACGAACCCTACGTTCCATGGTCTGGTCAATGACAAGGTGACTGTATCCACCCGGAATCTTCATGTTTATCGTTAGCCCGGGCCGGCGTTGTAAAGAAGAGTCGGCTGTCTGCCTAATTATTTCTTTGATAAGCAGATCTACACCCCGAAGAAGTACCAGTAAAGTATACAAGATCTGGTTATTATATGTTGGTATATTTACAATACATTACAAGGAATAACAATACTCGTAAAGACACCAATAGGTTAGCCCAGTTGAAAGTTGGGATTACTAAACGAGCCAAAGGAAATACAATATAAATTGCCTCAGAAAAGCTATGGAAGACTTAGCTATATTATCCTAGTAGCCATAGCCGTGCAATCGACCCATAGAATCCAAGTCTGAATTCACAAATATAAATAGCAGAAGCAGATATCCCAACACTGTATATCCTCATTGACAATTTGGCATCGAAACCCTTGTCAACTGTGAACCAAGCACAGAATAAAATACCATGCTGCAATACTTGTATGCAACTGCACTGAATAATTCACTACACGTAGAAAAGACCTTCTGTGAGATAATCTTAAAACTAAATAAGAACACTACGGGTCATGTCTGTAGTCTGAATCTGGTTCAAAGGGTTCGGGAAAATATCACAAGTGTTTTTGCCCTCATATGTCACTATGTGTGCTCTCGCGCATCCGCTTGTCTGCGCGCAGAATTCAGCAAATTTGTCGAAGCTTTGAATATCCTTCTTTTAATGCATATGAGTGTTGCTTCCGACAGCCGACGAAACTGTACATTTGTTAGGTAGATATCTCTAACGAGAAACAATGCAGTGTGACTAACCTGTATGAGCATATTTGACCTTGTACTTCGTTGATCCAACGGTATAAACCTTGTTTTAGACAACGCTCGTACCTATTCGAAGTTAGGAAACAACGATCTTGGATGAGGGGCATTGCCTTACAAGTCCGATTAACCAGATCTTTGCATTTCTCCAGCTCAGAATCGCATCCTTCCCCCTCAAGTAGATACTCTTCCGGCTCCTCCCTATGATATGCGATCTACAAATTGTTCCCCGAAGTCGTGAGGGACGCTCAGAATCACCTTTCATCAGGTAGCACAGCTTAGAAGCCCCATTCTGAGCCGTCCAGACTGCACAATTGTGTGAACTAGCCACAGTCGTGTATGTCTAAGGAAGGGTCTAACGAAATTTGCCAGTCGCAACCCTGGTCTTTGCAAATATACGACAACTAGGTGCCACTCGAGCCAAAGGTACTCTATTACTATCACTATAAAAGTGCACGGTCACTGCAGATGAGATGATTCACCCGTGCCGAAGGCTGGCTAAAGAGGCCCACATGTTGCATAAAACTAGTCGATTGTGGGTCTATGCTGAAAGATCTCATGTCTGCCCGTAGAACCTGAAACCTCTGCAAGGGATGTGGCACCAGCCCCTAGTGGAAGGACAAGGAGAACACAGAACACGACAAATCATCAGCCTAAAGCACACTATCACTCACCAGAACATTACCATCAAGTTAGTCAGCCAGAGCAGAAATCCAAGAGACTAAAACTGGGCAGTAGAATCTGCAGAAAGAAAATACCAAATCACAAAAGAAGATACAGACTTCAATCCCAGATCAAAGTATAGACTCTATCTCCCTGTAAATTATATCCTGTAATTGCAGCCGCAGCAATAGTAAACACCCTAAATAGCTCCTCGACGCGATAATTCCACAACTCTAACAAGAACTAATACTCCCTTCTCTAGAAGCTAAGGCCAAACCAACACCATACCCCTCCAGGTTCTATACAGCGAACCACCTCCACCTTGGGATACTTATCTATTATATGGCTCACAGCTCCCTGAGAAACCCTCCAACCGCCGTAATTGCCTTGTGCGTCGGTTTCTTAAAGTTGGTGCTCAAGGACGCCATATGTCCTTCCTTAGCTGCTCTATCCTTGTCGACGAAACAAGCTGTATCCTATTTTTGTATCTGTAGGTATTAACCTCAATATATACTTCAACGAAGGCGAGATGGCCGAGCGGTCTAAGGCGGTTAGTACCACTATATCTTCACTTTCTTATCAAACAAATAACTAACAATCTCTCAGCTGGAGTAAGGTTCCAGTCTCGAAAGGGGCGTGGGTTCAAATCCCACTCTCGTCAACATCTTTTTTAAATTTTCCCCTTGTTTTTTACTTGTTGCTACTGTTCTCGTTTCGCGTCTAATATCTTATATTTTCGCCTTTGCAGATTTGCATCCACCGTGATATATACTTACGTCCACAACTACAACACTGCTCTACATAGGCAAACCACAACATTAAGTTTGCAAACACTTCGGCTATACATGGAACATGGTAGGGTACGGCAAATAAAATGAATTACAAAAATCTCCTGTTCATATTATGGATATCAATCATACTTACGCAAGGCTCACTGTGGTGTATCCTAAGTGCTGAGGATAACGTGTTACACGGGTCAGACATCGAACACGTTATGCCCGGGATACCACCCCTACGACTCGCTCAATAACCTTCACCACACAAACAACCTCTTCTATGGCAGACGGAATCACATACCCCTTTTCATGGGCCTATACTATGGGTAACTAGGGGAGGTGGGAAACAATGTTCACAGCCGAAGCCACACCTTATTGATGGGCTACGTAGAGTACTGCCAGAGGAAGATGGGAACAGGTCTCGCTACGTCCTTGCACTTGATTCTACAGAAAAGCCGGAGGTGCCTCATTATCAGACCATCACTAAGCTTACCCAACGAATTTTGAGTGCCACCGAAGTTATTGATACGGAGTATATTGAGTCTAGCGGACTTTTGACTATTCCCCGATTAACTGTTGATCCTGTTCTAAACAAAGCTGTTTCTGACAGGGGACAAGTAGTTGCAGAAACGAAGCAGAAATTCGGTTCCGGTCCACCACTGAAGCTGGATGTATCCTTACCCTGCATGTTAAATGGGTTCAGATTTATTGAGGACTGTTCTGTACAACGGTCCTTCGGACCAAACGATATCGAGATCCAAAGCAGATCGGTTGGGATCAACTTTCGTGACTTACTGGTGTCATTAGGCCAGCTAGACTCCGACCCAGGTGGACCTGGAATGTGCTGGTATTGTCGTCCGTGTTGGGAATTTACGTAAAATGATCAAGGTTGGGGATCGCGTTGTTGCGCTGCATCCTTCTGCTTGTTCTACGCTTTTATGCATCCCAGATACAGGCCCTGTCGCAGTTATTCCCATAAGCATGTCATATGCAGATGCAGCTTCCATTCCAGTTAGCTTTGTTACATCGTAAATTGCACTGAGACAACTCACCTACCTGCAGAGCAGAGAGCCGATATTAATCCACTCTGGGGCTGGCGGTACTGGGCAGGCCGCTATTCAGATCGCACGATACCCTGGTGCAGAGATATCTACGACTGCAGGGTTGGAAGCCAAAAAGCAACTGCTCATCGATGCGTACAGTGTTCCTGAAAATCATATTCTCCAGCCGGTCGATAGGCTTTGCAAAAGCGGTAATGCGAAGAACGGCTGGTAAAGGTGTTAATGTAGTATTCAACTCTCTATCCGGTGATGCAATGCTGGCTTCCTGAGAGTGCATTGCAGCATATGGCCGCTTTATTGAAATCGGAAAGCGGGATATCTTGTCGAATAACAACCTGCCCCTCGGCATGTTCGTTGAGAATACCATGTTCAGGGGGTTCGATTTAGGGGGGATGATGATGGACCGCCCCGACCTCTGTTTATCGGTTTTGCAATAAGTACTAACAATGATGTCAAAGGGTCTTTTTCGATCTGTCCAACCAATTACCAGCTATGGAATTAGTGAGATTGAGGCTGCCTTCAGATTCATGCAGACAGGCAAACACCAAGGAAAGCTGATAATTGAATTTCAAATTGATGACAGGGTCATGGTATGTGCAGCATTTTAAGCGGGTCTATAGCTGCTAACGTGGTACAATAGACCGTTCTAGATAGAAAGCCTAACTTCACCTGCGACGGTAACGCAACATATGTCATTGCGGGTGGTCTTGGTGGTATTTAGCGAAGCATCGCAGCCTGGCTTGTAAGTCACGGCGTCCGCAACCTCTTGCTCTCACGTTCAAGACACGAAAGAGCTGAATCAATACATTTCATTAACTCTTTACTCTTACAGGGTGCTAGGGTTATTGCTCCAGCATGTGATATATTTAATGAGAACGCCTTGAGTACAGTTCTTGAGGAATGGCAGCCTCAACTACCACTTACCAAGGGCTGTATCCAGGCTGCCATGACATTATAGGTTAGTCAATGTAATCCTACCTATATCCCTCTCATTTCTAACATAGGGTAGGAATGCACTTTCGAGGATATGTCATACAAAGACTGGGAGGCAGCAGTAAAACCAAAGGTTCAGGGCTCATGGAATCTTCACTGTCTTTTGCCCAAGGGAATAGAGTTCTTCATTCTACTCTCGTCGCAATTAGGCATCATTGGCGTCCATGGTCAGACTAACTATGCCGCGGGAAATGCATTCCAAGATGCTCTCGCACGGTACTGAGTGAACCTGGGCGAAAGGACTGCATCACTAGACCTAGGCCACATCACTTATACTGGAGCTGTGGTAAGCAACCCGACGCTTTTGCAAAGATGGCAGTCAAACTCAGACTGTGCACCCATAACAAAGACTCAGCTTAAGGGCTAAATCGACTGCTACTGTAGCCCTTTGCACGGCTATGAGCTAGATTGTCAGCCATTGATCAGAGTCTATCCCAGAGTCGGAGAAAGAGGCTTTGGGATACACACGTACTTAGAAAGACTACTCTTCAAGTACATGACACTGGACGTTACACAGTCACAAGGGTTGGGCAGCCGAAGGTAGAACTTCCAGCTTGAAACAGCCATGAGAAATGCCCAGTCTTTTCCAGACGGTAGTCAGGCAATTACAAGGGCTCTGTGTGCTAAACTCTCCCGCGCGTTGGCATTGGACGAAAAGGAGATTGATCCAGATAAACAGCTAAGCAAATATGGGGTAGGATTGCCCATCGCTGTAGAGATTCGTACGTGGTTTGCTTCGGAGCTGAAAGCCAACATTGCTATCTTTGATATCATTGGCAGTACGGTTGCGACAATTGCACAGTTAACAGTTAGCCGAACTAAACTTCAGAAGGGATACTCTGCGTAAACCAACATGTTTTCCTACAACTTGGCTGAACAGCAAGAGTTTGTTTTGGCTCTTTTGCATCCCATGCTTGCTTAACGTCACACTTGTATTGTCCAGATGAATAAATTAGATCCATCTAATACAGTTCACCAATGCGCTGATAGCATGAGACTGGCATCCTGGATGACAGGTCTTTCTTTCTTTTTGGCCTTCGGTCATTTTCCATCAGTTATATCCATGCAATTAGGTCTCAATGGTAGAGGACAGAGTTAAAGATGCGACTCTTCATATTTTGCTCTATCTCGGTAAGGTGAGATAATCTTACGTGCGGAAATGGTGGTTGGAAATCGTACAACTCGGAGTTTACAACTGAACTTTACCTCTTCTAGTTCATCCATTAGCATGAATTTTACTTATTAACGTCAGTAAGCATGTGAATTCGAAACCCTAGGTCCTTACAATTTGCGCCCCTTCAAAAAATAGTAATTAGTATCATTTTTCGAGGACTCGCTCTCTGTTAGGGTTGGGCCGATCAGCTGCCAAGACCGTACTGCGGAAGGAAACGTTACGCGAGTGTATCAAGCGGAAGGAAGTTTTACCCGATGCAGTATGTATACAGCATCTATAGAACATCTATATAAACCCGCCATGAGCAGTTACTTCTCTATCCATCAACCAGCAGTCAGAAACATTCTCCAAGCTTTCCTCACTTATACTTCTCTTTGAAGACAAACAAATCTACAAAATGGCTCCTCTTCAGCTCGGTGTTGTCCTCTATGACTTCCAGCTCGTGGACGTCGCCGGTCCGGTCGACATCCTCCTCGCAGGGTCCAAAACCATGCTAAGCCACCTTAACCGCGATAAATTCGTCCCAGACGAGATGGTAGACCAGGGCATCGATATCAACTTCCACTATATTGCCCCGACGATGGACACCATATCCCTCATGAACGGCTTCAAGCTGCAACCAACCACCACCTTCGAAGAATGCCCCAAACTCGACGCAATCCTTCTCGGTGGACCTGGTCCTGAGTTCTGGAACAACATCCCCGACTCTTACCGCGAGTTCCTGCACCGCAAGGCCGAGGAGGTCCAATACTTCTTCACCACCTGCACTGGGGGCATTGTGGCTGCCAAAGCCGGCTTACTCCGCGGTAAACGTGCCACAACCAATAGCGAATTCCTTGATTACATTAAAAAGGAATGCCCCGACACCACCTGGGAAACGGCTCGCTGGGTGATCGATGGCAAATTCTGGACTGCAGGTGGTGCCTTTGCGGGAATTGATATGTTCGAGCATTGGCTTGAGGGAAGGAGGAGCGATGCTGTGACTGCTATGGCTCGGGCGAGTCTTGCGTATCAACCCAGAGATATCAATGGTAAAGAGATTTCGGGAGAGGGGTATCGTTGGACGATTTAGAGAAATGATATTGCTTGCGCATTCTCAATAGCTGATTGATATATGAATGGAGATTTTTATTCTGTGTAACATGCAGATGCTAGGAAGTGCCTCATGTGTAGCTGATGTTCCCGGGAGCACCCATCCATTCCTCGGGCGATAGCTCTGATAGAAACTCATTAGTGAACAACATCTCAAGGTCAATCTCTATGTCATCAGCAGGAACAGAGGTTTGATATGCATCCCAGAACTCTGTTCCTTGGATACCAGACAGAACAGGACATCGCTGCATGCCGCGGCGCGGTTCAGAATTGACAGTTAAGGACAGGCCTTGGTCATAGGGTGCAGCGAGAGGAAGAGGACAGAGTAGATCCAAAACAGACTTAAACAGATAGAACATGTCAGGAAACTCGCCGGGATTCCGGCCAGATTGCGAAAGTTTTTCCATACGATTTGCCAAGCATTCCAGGTATCTGGTTAGGGTCCGAGACTCTTCTCCAACTGCTGCAACAATGCCTGGTAAGCCAGCTGCAGCTGACAGAATTTCTGTTGAAACACGTATAGCTGCAATTAGACGGTCCCATTCGGCAAATGAGAACTGGTGATAGTTCGATGTAGGTACGGATATGAAGTAGTCCAAGAAGGCTCTTGCTTTGCGCATAATGGACTGAAATTTGGGAAGGTCAAATTCTAGGAGTGTCGGCTCCAGGCGGTATATGCTTGCTTCCTCTAGTAACGAAAGAGTAAGCCGTGCAACAATAATCGAAGCTGAAGCATGAAAGTATTAGATAGATAGCCCTGTGTCGTTCAGATATGAGAACGTACGGGTATTCAAGGAGGGATCTGACGTAAGCCGACTGTCTGCTGGCCACAAACGATCTGGCTTCTCAGCACCTTTGTATGCTGCTTCTATTGCCATCTGAAGCCGAATGCAAGAGTATATCATTCTACCTCGGGAGTACTCTTCCTGGGATAATCGAAGCAGATAGCCTTTTAGGTTGGAGGAAAGGGTCACCCTGTTGTCTCGTTTGCTTCCTGTTGCTATGCTAGTTCACGATTGTTAGAGACCCGAGTGGCCACTTGCTGATCTAGTACTTACACGGAGGAAAGGTAATAACAGCCAATACAGGCATTCAGAGCTTCGCTGCCACTTAATGGTGATGAACGGTCGACTTCTGTTTCTGTAATATTCTCATCATCGAACCCTAGGTCCTCCACCATGCTGATAGCAATTTGGAGATACTGGTAGGATTGAAAGCTTCGTGGGCGCAGATGCATGTTGTACCTATCGAACGCTCCTTAGTCTACCCCGCCCCGCTTGCCCTCTTCCTGGCAATGCTCACCATGCAATATAGACAAGCAACCCTTGGAGGTAGTCCAGACTCTTCTCCCCAGCGTTCACAACTCGATCAGCCAACACGGATCGAAATCTGTTATCGAGGCTCCTCAGCAGATACATGTCATCTGAGGATGCTGCAGTAAGCACAGCAAGATAAAGGAAGCGATGTTGCGCGGAGGCTATGTTATCAGGGAGAGTTACAAAGGGGAAATAGGAGCTCTTGGCTCGGAACTTGCTTAGAAGTTGATCAGCCTTCTTTTGGTCAAGCACCGGGGGTCGTAGCGCCATGTCGTCAGCTGTATGATCTAACGAAGTTCTAGATGATTGCTGTCCGGAAATATCGAACTTTGTCTCAAATATTTGACGATGGACGTCTACAACATTTTTGGGTGGCGGAGCGCTCGGCTGAGCATCAAACAACCCTGAAAGAACATCGCCTTCCTCTACTTTAGGTTCTCTTGTGTCTTTGGCTTTGTTTGCGGCGAACCGGCATTCTAATTTCAGGGTTTGGCATCTAATTGGAATTATTAGACTGTGGAGAGTTGATGACGCAGGCTTACTTTACCGTCGACATGGCATTTGTGGGGTTTCCCTAAGGCAGCGCGTCCTTTTTAGTTTGCAGTGGACACATGCCCATGAAGTCCTAGGTCTTGGGCACATATATTTGTATTCTGAATCCATGAGGGTTCCTTTCTGGATGAAGTTGTGGTAGGATGATCTGGGAAATCGGAGGTTGTGCTTATTTCTCAACAGTGGGGTCGAGACAGCTCTTGGCACTACTCGCCGTCTGATGTGTCAGCTCGGTATAAATGCAATGCGGAGCCCAGAGGGGGCCAGTGAGATTCAAGATTTATCGAGATGTTCCAGACATCATTGTGCTATGGGAGATCCTTAAACTAATGCTGACGGCCCTATGTCCGTAAATTAAGTAGCTTCAAACCAGATTCGGCAACAACGGAGGATTCTACGGCTGTTACATGGTCTCCAGGAGGATCTCTGTGAGCCGTTAGTTAGGGTATTGAAGAACACATTGACATCTATGAGTCACACACTTGCTCGCATCCATTTCATGCCAAGGTACTGCAGCAACTTGACAAAGATCTCTCGTTCTCGGGTCCATCGGCACTTGTCGACACTTGTCAAGTTAAGGGAATCCATGACCTTCATAATAAGCGCCAGCGTAGTTATTATAAACGGCGATAGAAAAGCAGGAGTATTGCAGCTTGAGGTAATAGAATTCAGTTCTCTCATTGCCATTTCTGTTAGTCGCTCTGTGCACTCAAACAGCTTTTCAGACCGCTCTTTCGAGTTTACACGGGTACTGGATTGCATTCGCTGCTCGTAGAAATAGGCGTTCTTCAGAAGCAATGCACTGATTAACAGAGCAAGCCTCAAAGGTCAATATTATTCGTTATACACACACTGGATGTCGAAGAAATGACTTACGCTAAAATCGTTGCAAGCTCGTTATGCCATGCTGCGTGGCTCGTATGATAGTTTTCAAACTTGGCCCTCGAGTATTCTAGCCTTTGGCCGAAAGCTGTGACTTGTTCTATCTGCGTCTCCTGGAGCTCTTTCGGTTTATCACGATGGAGAATTTTGTGAAGATTATAAAGAATATAAGTCGCCTCGGCCTCATCTTTGAAGTGGCCCAAGTCTACCGTCATTCTATAATCATTACAGGGTCTATAATTGCATTCATTGTGGCACGCACCTCCTATGTCAAAAGGTTCAGCTATTGGCGAAAATTCCCAAGGTAGATGCCTACCAGCCATGTCTGATACTATGCTAATATGTCTGAAATGCAGTCAGCTATGCAATTCTTTTGTAGCTCTAATCAATGTAGACGCACTTATCTATCGTGTGGATTCCCCAGATAAGGGACATGTTTTCTTCCGAGTAGGTTTCTGGCCCGGTACCTTGCAGGCTATCGGTTGCATAGGGTGACAATCTGAGAAGGCTGGCCATCCTGGCACATCCGCCAATTGTAAGATATTCTTGGTCTCCAATTACTTGTAGATGCTCATAGAGCGCTATGCAGAGGCCAGCCTGGAGTAACTCTATGGAAGGGTCGTTCAAAGAGCACAACAAGGAGTAGTGGTATTTGCAAACCTGGTAGGCCTCGGAAACCGGACTCAGTGAAGTGGGAGGACCGCCGGGGTGGGAAATTGAGTCTTCCGTGAGCAGAACAATAGCGAGGCTCAGAATTGAAAACGCCCCATGTGGTTTGAGTTCCTGTGCTGCATGAAGTCTGTTCGAAAATCTCTCTTGAGAGATAATAGGCAGAAAGCTGCATAAAGTACCCAAGTGCTTACCAGCTATATCTAGCATGGTGATATTTTTCTTTTCCAAAATCTGGGACACATTGGCGGATGCTATAACTTCCATATAGAAAGGCTGGAATAGACCAGGAGAAAGCTGCCATTTAATAGTCTTGGTGTCGTGTGTCAAGGCAGGGCTTGCAGATGCCCGCTGCTGCTTTGCAGGGTCGCATACTTGTGATTCAAGTTTTTCGAGTCGGTCAAACACATTTTCAAATTTCGTGGCAATATCTGCAGAAGGACTCTCAAGAACCCCATCGAATGCACAAGTCAATGAAAGCCTATAATTGATTAGCAAACGAATGGCGTTCGGCCAGGGTGGTCGAAATAGAATAGTACCGGGAACATCGTCCACAGATAGGCTTAGCCCGATCACACTTCTTTTTACTGGTCTTGCATTGCCTACAGGTCCGTGGAGCCGTGTGCGTGGCCATTTGAGAGCAACACTATAGAAATCTCTTCGTTTAAAGGGAGCACGCTTCCTGGCTGTTGAGGGTCGTGAGGCGCAAGAATTTGATTCCATTCAAAAGTTTATAACCCAACCGCTGGGGCTAATCGGGATTGGCGGCCGCCACCCGACGCCTCCGACCAAACTTTACTCATCATATTGGAAATCATGTTTCCATCTAGATAAACAAAGTGCTGCAGGACTTGTTATAAATATGACCCTACTTTCTTCACTTATTGGTACAATTTGAAGTCCAACAAAACAATCGGTCCACTCTTCTACTCGATAGAACAGAAATCATATTCTCAATGACAATGGATCACAAAGTCTACCTTATTACAGGTGCCAATAGAGGTGAGAGTATTCCCCCGAAATCGGTTGGCCATGGTGGTTTCGTGCTGATCTTTCAAACTAGGGATTGGTTTGGGCTTTGTAAAATTCTATCTTTCTGGTCAAGATAACGTGGTCATTGCCTGTGTCCGGCCATCTCAAATCCGAGCCATCTCTCTTCAATCTATTCCCACTGGGCCCGGGAGTCGGCTTGTTGTTATCCCAATGGAAAGTGATTCGATCTTGTCGATTGCGCAAGGTGTGCACCTGATCAAGGAAAATGGCATATCAAGAATTGATGTTGTCATTGCCAACGCAGGAATATCTCAAGCAACTTGCCCTATGTCCTCGGTCGCACTGAGCGACATTCAGCGACACATAGAGGTTAATGCGTACGGGCCTCTTTTTCTGTTTAGAGAAGTCCTTGAGCTTCTGAAAAGCTCCGATGTGCCGAAGTTCGTCTATATTTCAACGTTTGCTGCATCAACAGGTTCTGTGCAGCTTATGCCTGACGTTCCAATTGGAACGTACGGTGCAAGTAAAGCCCTCGCCAACTACTTTATGCGGAGATTGTCACTCGAGAATAAGCCAATATGTATTTTTTCGCTTGCTCCAGGGTCAGTGCCTCTTACATTGTAGTGAAGCGGCAAGCAAGGAAGGAAACGCTGACTCCCTCCTCTCAGATACGTCGCTACGGAAAGCGCTTTGGAGCACGCAAAAGATCTTATTCCTCACCAGGAAAAGCTGCAAGCGTTCCCCTTGATTTCGACTGCGGATAGTGTCTCTCAGATGGCCGGGCTTGTAAGCTTCTTCCAGCATTTGTTGACCAATTCTAATGACTGGCTGCAGATCGAGAAAGCGACCACGGAGAACACGAACGGGTGCTTCCTTAACTACACGGGGGAGGAGATTCCATGGTGACCAACTGTGGCAGCAGTTTTGCCACATGCCAAACATTAGAAATGTTTGCAAATGTGGGTCAGATACAGTGAAGTAGGGATAGGTTAGCATGGTACCTGAAATTCAGTGCCAACTGTTTCTCAACCCTCAGCCAGTTCGGATAGAATAGCGAAAAGAAATACGTTTTCGATCGTCACTTTCAGCATCGCGAATACAAGGCTCTATTCAGCATTTATGTTGGAACTTTGAGTTTGCGGATTTCTTCGGAGATCATATTTCATGGTTGTCGGTCAAGTAAATATCTATTTTCTGAACAGAGGACCTGCCCACTAGGTAAGAATACGTAGGCAAAGCGGTCAGAAACATCAGAGGCAAGCAGTAGATACTGTCAAGGAGGAATCCCGATTATTGGTCCTCTACTCTTACTAATGTATCGTTGATTTATAGCCATGGGTTCTCTAGACTGAGGGCTTCAAAATTCTATGTACACTAGTAGGCAAACATGCCTTAGTTGAAACCAGGTGAATACATAGTCCGAGTTCTCTTTTCTGTCGCCGATTGTCCATACGAGGGATAGGGTATGCTGTACGGTCACCAGGTCGAATCGCTACTAGAGTCGCTAGTTGAACCTCTTGAAAACGCGCCCTGATAAACACTCTAGTTGTGGCGCGAAGATGAATGGGACAGCAAGGGGGGAAAGGCAGTCATATCTAATAATGTATGACATAGATATGCAACTACTGTGCGATCTTCTTAAGGCCTCGCTGGGGTCTCAAAGATAGGGCGAGGGGTGTCACATGTCAATTATGCTGTTATTGGGTGGTCCATCTGAAACACTCCTTGCATATTAAGTCTTGGGTTTTATATGGTGTCGATGACATGAAGGTATCTGCTTAGAATTCAGTCTTCCCAAGCGTTGCGAGGATCGTTGTGGTACTACGGAAATATGTTCGACCATCAGCCCAAACGCTCCCTGGAATAATATTCACGAGCAGCATCTCGATGCCTGATGACTGGCTGATCTTTTTTGCGGCGTAGGTCCCAGGCATGGATAATCACAGTATGGAGAAAGTACACTCGTTTCTATGGGGGAAAAAAACATTCCGGGTGTCTCTACATACGATATTTGACAATACATTCTACAGCTCGACCTCTGTCTGTCACTAATGCAGGACTGAGAGCCACCTTTCGTTCCCCTGGGTGTCAGTGTGACTGCGGATAGAAGGATCCTATATCTACAGGATGTTGCATGCTCGGAGTTCAAACACAAGGTTTCCATGCTAATGCTTTCAGATTGTTCATTGTGGAATTCATTGTATAGTTAGGACGTGAGGCGTTATACCCGGGCCTTATCACTCATCCATCGGTAAGATTCCTTCTCGCCGAGAGCAGATCAAGGCGAGAATAAGGGGCGCTGGACGTATTGCGCGAATTTCTTTTGGACAGGCACTAGAATTCCAGATGCGTGGGGCGTGCACCATGGAAGGCTTTGGAAGCGTCTTAAATTGATTTGGGCACATTAGTGGCTACGCTAGTTCGAGATCATAACCATACCATTCGAGCGCATTTTTAGTCTGGTGCACCACTTTATATTGTTAACCGAGGATTGGCTAGGGTTCATGTTCCATCCGAGCTATCGTGGTTACTAAACCGCCATACCAATACTCCGGCATTTGGACCCCAGGAACCGGGAATTCCTAAGTTTGTGAATAGGGCCAGTAATCTTCTGGTGTCAATCAATGTCAAGAGTGAACTTAATTATATTAAATTAATCCTGCCAGGAGTAAGGAAACCTCGTTGCGTCGCAACGTGACCGGGAATTAACTGCACATCCAATCGCTGCAAGTGGAGAATAACCGGCTACGATTAGAATCTCCACAAGGTTGATAACTACATCTCATTCATGAAGCGAGTCACTAGTCTAGGCTACTTTTCTCTTAAGTACGGCCCTCGTCAGCCACAAATTTTACTTTTGCCCGTCATTCTCCCACTCCGTTCCTGTTCCATTCCAGCTATCCTTGTAACAGATTTCCCTCTCATTATCTGAAATTGCAAGGAATGAGGGACTTCGTGCCATCCACTCTTGCCACCTTGGCTGGGGCAGTTGTGGTGATGGGCGCTCAGGGTGCTAGCGTTGTCACTGCATCTCTCTCAGCCGCTGCAACCACAATTTCCCCAAGCCCACCACGCTGTTTCCTGCGGAGGCGGTACAATTAACGAATGACGTTCTTGATAATGTATCGTCAAGTATTCGGAATGCAGAGATATCATATATATTCAAATTCGGGGATCCTTACACCAACTCAACTATTCCCAAGAAGAGTTCACGAAGCTGCAAGCTGATGCCAGGCGACGATTCCTGGCCCAGCAGTCTACTCTGGGATATCTTTGATATCCTGCTGGGCAAACGCTTGATCAAGACAGTACCGCTGGCAGCATACTGCTACCCGGACTGGCCGGAGTATGATGCAGATAAGTGCGCCAATATTACCTCGCAATGGGCCGTTTCCAATCTCCAGTGAGTGATTTTTTTCCCGCAATGGAGCGTCTATCTAAACTGGTGGCAGTATGGACGACCCAGCTTCTATCATGATGCCCCTGTATGAGGGTAGAACCTGCATGGCACCTGGGTGGAATTACACCAACACTTGTGAGTTGGGTGGGTACCCAACATACGTTGTCAATGCGTCCACCGTGGCTCAAATTCAATTGGCCATCAACTTTGCACGTAACCTGCACCTTCGCCTGGTGGTAAAGAACACTGGACATGACTTCAATGGCAAGTCATCCGGTAAAGGCGCTCTGTCCATCTGGACACACTGGTTGAAAGATAAGGCGTTTTACCCTCAGTACATCGCTGCCAATGGCTATGTTGGACCTGCCATTAAATTCGGTTCTGGGGTTCAGGTCTGGGAAGCTTATGAGTATGCGAAGAGCCTCGGTGTTAGCGTCGTTGGCGGAGAAGCTGTTACTGTCGGTCTGGGAGGTGGCTACACTGCAGGTGGTGGTCACTCACCGTTGAGCAGTATGTATGGCATGGCTGCCGATCAGGTTCTTGCTATGGAAGGTATATATAGAATTCACCGCCATCATCTCCCTAGATACTTGGCTAACCGTTTGTTCCGTAGTTGTGCTGGCTGACGGGCGCTTCATCACTGCATCCTCCACCGAAAACTCCGACATTTTCTGGATGCTTCGTGGTGGTGGCGGCAGTACCATCGGAGTTGTTACTTCTCTGGTTGTTAAAGCTCTCTCAAGATTGCCAACCACCACAGTTACGTTCAACTTCACCATCAATGACGCTCCCAATGTCGATGCGTTCTGGAAGGGAGTTGAGTCCTACTTTGACAATTTCGAGGATTTTGTTAACGCCGGTACCTACGGCTACTACTATGTTGGGGCGTCCGCCATTGAAATTGGTACTGACTATGCTGGGTCAACCGACTATTACTTCCGCATGCAGTCTTTTGTTGCACCGAACATGACTATCGCTGAGACAAAGGCTCTGCTTGCTCCATGGTATGAGGTTCTTGATAGCCAGAATATCACCTATACACCATGGTACAACTATGCTGACAATTTGTTCGTCCCCTTCTTCCATTGTAATTCTTAACTTTCAGCTAACCTACAAATCGCTAGCCATGACGCTTGGGTTGTCGCGTTCCCTCAAGAATTCGCCGGAGGTGCTGCAGTCAAAACCGCCTCCCGTCTGATGCCCCGTAGCGTCTTCCAAGACGATACTCTCCGTAAACGTACATATGCCGCGCACAAAGACGCTACTGAAAAGGTATCCTACTCTTATGCCCCTTATTCCGCGGATCAAACTTCTAAAGCTACAAAATAGGGTCTCTTCATCGCCGGATTTCACATCTCCGGAACTGGTATCGCCGTCGCTCCACCCAACGACACTTCCGTCCTCCCTGCCTGGCGTGACGCTCTCGCTCATGTTATTGTCGGCATTGAATGGTCTAATAATGCCCCTTGGGAGACAGTTCATAACGCCTCGCTAGCTGTCACAAGCTGGATGGATGTCCTGCGTGACATCGCCCCCGAGTCCGGCGCTTATATGAGCGAGGCTGATCTCCTTGAACCCAACTTGCAGGAGGCCTTCTATGGAGTCAACTACCCGGCTCTATACGCACTGAAGCAGAAGTATGACCCCACTGGTCTGTTTTTTGCGCTAACTGCTGTTGGTGCGGAGGATTGGGAGGTCAGGACCATCGACCCTTTACCCTACTCTTGGAATAACAATGGACGACTTTGTCCTGTTCCCTCTTAGAGCTCTATGTAGTAGAAAAGCCTGAAGGGAGTGTTATGTTATGTATTTATGTTTGTCTATATTGGGGGGGGGGAGGCTTAGGTGATCTGCTAGTGCTGCTTGATCGTATGATAATTCAGGCCCGGTCCTCCAAACTTCTCGGACAGTCGCTGGGGGCACATACTCTAGAGTATGACATCTTTACATAAGAGGTTGTAAACCTCCCCTTAAAATGAGTCCAATTTTGTCTTCAAAAGTTCGTCAACTCCCTGTGGAAACCCCGGCAAATGGGAGGTCAGAAGTGCCATGGTCATCCGTGTCCTGTGTAGGGCACAGGGTCCCTCGAGTTTGAAATATTTTTTGTGCAAGAAATTTGGGATTGAATTTAAGTCTGGTTTTCTTATGTTGATTTGATATGTCTCAACAAAGAAAAGATTTAATGTTAATGTCCACCACATTTTATGCCTGCAAGCAATTAGCTGTATTTATATATAACTGTGCTTTATTTTACCAGGGTTACAGCGTTTTTCACTTTCGCGGAAATTTTCAAGTTGCGGATCATAGTCAAATCAACATATTATTCTAAACTGACCAGAACCTATCATGAATCACAATTCTTTATAAATACGATACTACGGCGACAGTACTGTTCCTGGTGCGAAGAGCAGAGTGGTAATTGAACTATAAGTGTATAGTGCTATATAGTACTTTGAAAGCGAAAAACTGGTACATACGACCACAGGGTGTGGAGAACAGGGCTTCCCGTCCGCTCAGCCGTACTTAAGCCACACGCCGGGAGGTTAGTAGTTGGGTGGGTGACCACCAGCGAATCCCTCCTGTTGTATGTTTTTAATTTTTATTTTATTTTAAAATAAAGTATTGTTGTTATTTATCCGTTGTTTTCCGCCGTTTATTATACCAAGGAATCCTCAGATGATAGAAAGGAAATCATATAATATATTAGGGATATATATAAAGAAGAGCGAGAACATCCTCAAAGCATACTTCGGACAGACCTCACAAACCCACCAAAATTGCCACCTCTGCACTGCGCTTATACCTATATAACCTTGTAGTTTTGGGGCCGTAGGAAATATCGCAACTGAACGTGCTCATGCCCCTTTGCCTGAAAAAACCATTTCTCCAGATTGACAGACACAGCACTGCTACATACGGTCACTCGCACACCAGGAAAACAACGCCAGCTGCATGCCTCCGGCCAGGCAGCGACTAGCATAAATGTTTGCGCAGCAATTACGATCACATGTTGTAACCAGATCTGGATACAAGGCTAGTGTCCTGTGGCAAAGTGGCCTTGACAACCAGACATGCATCACGTACGCCTTCGCACAAGGACGAGCCACAGTTGCCTTTTGCATACGATGGAACATAACGTCGCAATTCCTAGTGCCATTCACAACAGAGAAAGGAATGCGATCTGGCCTACACCATAGTCTCACTTCTTGGAGACGCCGGTGTTGCTCTGTGGTACGGGCGTCTCCAGGTCGATCTGGGTTGGGAGTCGAATTGTTTGTGCGCAGTTATTGAAGATAAACAGCTATTCAAGAGAATCGAGTCATCGGCTTAGCCGATTCGCTGCTTCCGCCTCACCCACACCTCCTTGTCGGTGCTGTCGGAAGATTCGTCCTTTGCCTGAGGGTCACGTAATTGCACTTCCCATATTTTCAGCTTGTAGTTGCCACGGTCTCCCTGTCCAGAAAAGAGATCAAAGGACCAGCCATGTTTGGGACATGTGAGTCCCGCACTCAGGGTGATGCCAAAGTCTTCAATGTCAAAGAGGGTGCCCTGTGAAAGTGGGAACGATGAATGGGGGCATTGCTGGGGAGGGTCAGTTTGGGGTATAGACTCTGTCTTTGCCTCACTTACATGGTCAACAGCATGGATCTTCCCCTTGTATCTGAAGATAAGTACTTGCTCCCTCAAGTCCCCTGGTAGGTCAATCTCTGCTTCGACTGGAGGGCCGACGTTTGTCTTCGGGATATTGAAGGCTTTGCAACTTGGGGCAATCTGAGAGCACTCTTTGTCCAATTCAAGGTCGGGGAATTCGGAAACAAATCCGACCCGGTGCCAGGCTGCTTGGGACCGTTGTACGAAGGGATTCATTGCGGGTCTAGTAAAAGGAGGCTCGCTTGTTGTGTTGGCGACCTCGGAAAGCGCAAGCCTGGCTGATTGTTATCGGAAAAGATAACACCGTGCACGTGACAGGTTATGCCCTGCATAACCTTGGGCACCATCGCGAAATCCTATGGTTGATAAGCGTTTAGGCACGGTATTATCGGGGTTATAATTTTACCCGGGTCAGGTCTGATCCTATGCCTCATTGCCTCGGCCCTACTCCGTAGATAACTTGAAGCGGGACCCATCAACCCACCACATATGTCTTAAAGAAACACTTAAGTGAAGGTAAAAATAGAAACCACGGTAAACCGGAGAGCGCACAGCTCTTATGTAACACTGCATGAACATACTTTCGAGCTAGCGCATGTCATAAGATAAACTCTAGGTACGTGGGAATCGCTTGTATGTACAATAGACTTTTTAACATTAAGCAGCCAGGCAACGTTTGTATGAACTATGTACATACCGTATTTTAATGATTAATATTACTAAGGACGCATGGACTGTTCTCCATCATAACCTCGATATTTTTAATTTTGCGGAGTAATCGCTCATTCTCGATAAAGAGACTACAGCGACACATCCGTCTGGCTCTCTAACACAGCTGTGAACAATTCAATTAAGTTTGGTAAGGGTGGTAAGGTAAGCACAGGGAAATAGTTGTGGATTGATAATGGCTATGATGAGGCACAGGAACACTTACGTGCGAAGAGTGTTCATGGCCTCTCCCGGTCCTCTGGAACACCTCTTGCTTCTGTTACAGTTGGTCCAGACAAGAATCCAACACCACCTGTAGGCCGCGATCCATTCCGAGATTACTCGGAATTGTCTCTCCACCAGGTTATTTCCAACCCTGGAGATGATACATACAGCACTTGCTTGATCCAAGTGGGGTTTGCTTAAACTCAGGTTCCTCTGCTATGCTTGACACCCCTCACTTTGCTGATGATGTCCTCCTGGCTGGTCAAATTGTCTAAATATTGGTCGTTCAAAAGTCCAAGAACCGAAGAGAGATTTCTAATAGCTGAAGAAGGCCGGCAATTTTGGCGGCCCGCTGACAGGTGTCCTGGAGGGCATGGATGTGATTACTAGTTTGCATCGAACTACTGTCACCTGGTCCACACTATCAGCCTAAAATCGAAGTATATACGACAAAAAAAATAAAAAACAAATAAAAATAAAATAAATATGAGCAGGAAAACGGAAGGGAGAATATTTGGTAAGAATGTCGTTTGGAGTCACCAGCTACTAGTATGTTTGGATGGCTTGAACTGAGCCTCAGTATTGCGAAAGAATATACGTAGTGGCTGCGACTAGCAAAGAAAAGCCCCAGCACTGAAGTCTCAACCAACAGAAATAACTTCATCAAACATCTATCTGAATTCCTGATATCGATCCATTAAGCATAGACAGCTTGAGAGGGTACAATGTGTTTATGGATATGACCATTAATAACAATTGCATGCAATCTCTCCTGTTTCTGCAAGATCTCCAGATCGGACAGAGGGTCTCCATCCACCAGAATCACATCCGCATAGTACCCTGGTGCCACCTTGCCCAATGCCTCTGGGTAGCCCATCATATCCCCTCCCCACGCAGTTGCAGCAATGATGCTCTCCATTGGACTATAGCCAAACAAGTCCACCAGATGTTTCAGATCTCTGGCGTACGTCCCGTGGGGAGCCCAGGCAAAGCCATAGTCACCGCCGGGCATGACGCGAATTCCCCGCTTGTGCATCTCTTGCATCGCCTTGCAGGCTGTGTCCACCTCGTACTTCAAACCTTTCTTTGCTGCGTCTTCCGCGGTCATACCGTACGGAGTTGCCTCGCCAGTGCATGTGGTATAGAAGAAGTTCAGAGCTGGAGCGACCCAAACATGTTCCTTCCTTTGCTCGAGCATGTCCATTCCTTCTTCGTCGATGAAACTGGCGTGATAAATAACGTCAACCCCAGCTTCGAGGGCAAACTTGACAGACTGAGCACTTCTCGCGTGTGCACAGACACGTTTACCCCGGTTATGGGCCTCGTCTACTGCAGCAACTGTTTCTTCCAGAGTGAAATACGTTTCCGTGCTCGGCATTGTTGGGTGGATGTCATCACCACTCATGCTCAGCTTGATGTTGTCCGCCCCGAGCATGATAAACTCCCGAACTTGCTTCCGCATCTCGTGCGGCCCGTCTGCATTGCGCGAGATACCGGGTACAATTGCTCCCCCGGTGGTTGTAATCTCCGGTGCGTTCGCCAGGGTGCGTGGACCTGGAATCATACCGGACTTTATGGCACCTTTGATAGCGATGTCGAGCCGAGGTTGAGCTGATGCTGCGCCAAAACACATCGTATACCCGCAGTCGAGGTAGGTCTTGGCCGAATGAGCTGTCGATAGGACATGTTCTTCGAGTGGCGCGCTGGTAAGCCCGTCCAAAGTAGGTGAATTATTAAAGCTGAGATGTGTATGGGCATCCATCAAGCCAGACATTAGCGTTTTCTTGCCTTCGCCGTCTATCACCAACGCACCGCGGGCGGCTGCGTCGCTGACATTGCCCACGGTGGTGATACGTTCTCCTTCGATTAATACGTTCCCATCGTAAGGAGCCCGCCCGGTGGAGTCTAGAATACGGACATTTTTGAACAGGATCTTTGACAGATCTCCTGGTTTGTGGTTGTCAATGGTGATATCGGCAGGCGTCGGCCGGTAGGGTTGGTCAACCACAATGGATCCCATGGCTATAAGATATTTTGTCTGAAGAAGAACGGTAAAGCCTTTGTAGCACCCAGGTAGGGTGAGATTTATTTGATTGTCACATCGAATTTTGATTACACATCGTTGCAGGGATCAGGCGGGGCTGCATTTAGTTGCATGGACCGACCTCGCGAATTGTGCGTGAGGATCTCCACAGTGCCTGGCACTGCCTATGATATTAAAACGATTTGTAAAATTACTTCTCAGGCTTCCCTTTCAAAAACAGCCATGTGTTGTGTTTTGCGCCATGAGCATGCTTGATTTGCTGACAGCTTGGCTGGGCCCTAGGGGCTTTATCTCTATTCTGCCTGGTTAGAACTGCCCGAAAAATGAGGGATCGGCATCAGGCATCAGGAAAAATATGTTTCTGCCATAATAACACTCCGTGGCTCTTAGAATCCCGTAGTCCTTTGGCACCCAAGCTATATTTTGCCGGAAGTGAAGTGGATTCTGTTCCGGTTAGCTGGCAGCTCAGTTCGCTTCACCATCGCGTTACTGGGGGTGGATTAGGGTTTCAGGGTGAATACGATATATAAAGCAATAATAATTCTTAAATAAAAGGGTCTTTTAGTATTATACAACTAAAGAAATTACGTCCTTCCCTAGAACACAAATATCACTAAGCTATAGTCGCTGCACTTAAGTATCTATGCCTCTTCATATCCTGTACTTCCTAGTACTTATCTTCCTCTTTCTTATTTTTCCCTATCCTGGATATTAGCATCATGAAGTCTCTAGATATTGTCGTTGAAATTCTGTTCTCCGAAAGCTATGATAGCCTGGTCCGTGACACCTCACAATGGCTACGGTCTAGTGGTCAGGTCAAACTAGTGATCATTGCTGAAATAGAGGGGTCCAAGCATTGGTGCGACATGGATCAGCAAATGGAGCAGTTTAAATACACTCGCGACTAGTCTGTCGCCAAATGCGGAGCTGAGATGTTGTAAGAGATCCACGACATTGGAAGTATAGCAGATGAGATTCAGGATTCCTCGCCCGCATGCAGAGGAGAAACCATAAGTTTAACCTTCAAGATTCCACATTCTGGACCATATTCCTAGTTACGCCATCGTGCCTCAGAGGCCTCTCCAACTACGACAGATATGCTTAGTGAGGTTATCCCACGACAGCTTCCATAGCAACTCACGTCTGAGCGAAACAAATCCATCGGGATGGTGTTTGATATGACGGTAAATGCTCGATGGCGGAGAGATAGCTCACGGTACTATGGTGAACTGCATGAAGACGTATAAGTGGGGGGAAGCGCTGAACTATTGCACCGTCTCTAAGCTCACCAAGGTCGATGAGCAAGCCGTCCGAATGATATAGCTGTTCAATATAGATTAGCAGAGAATATAAAGAATATTGTTAGAGATGTTTCTAGGCCCTTAGTTTGCCTTGTTGGTCCCTTTTCTCCCGACAAGATGCAATGTGACTCTGATCTAAGCATGGCCTCGCGCACAACTCGATTATGGCAATGACCTAATTACCCTCTATATGCTGTGGAAGTCTCTATCTAGAATGGACTCGTATACGCTTGCTTCAAACGCAGACTGAACAGGTAGAATTGAAAGAAAAGAGCGAGTGTGAATTGCCTGACCGTAGCAAGTGTCAAACTGAAGGAGGATCCAAAGCCCACAAGCCTGTACCAAGATCATCTACCACGATATTGAATTCAATCCCGGCTTTGTTAGCAACCTCTCGCAGCCGGTCTTCCTGGTCGTGTCTGAGATGGGTATAATTCTGATCCCAGAGACGTAACGTGATGCGCTTCAGAGACGGCGTATGCGCCTTCCACTTTCCATCTTGGAGATAGGACTCCAGCAACAGGATCGCCCGGTCTTCTGTCCATTCGAAATCATAAAAGCCCCGTAAATCGTCTCGCAGGCATAGGTGGGAGAGTGATTCGGGCAAAAGAGGCCCAAGATCGGGTAACTCATCAGAATACCACCCTAATAGCATGGCCGAGGGAATCTCGGCCTCTTGAAGATTTGTGAAGCGAGTAAAGAATTGCTGAAATGGTTCGAAGGCTCCACCATCCGCCTCATTCCACTCGCGATCACCTAGATTAGAGGGGTAATATTCCACTCCGAGGGAGAGTTTCTCTAACGTCCGGCGGACCGCCTGCAGTGCCTGCGCGAAGATGGGAGAGTCATCTAAAATCGGCTCACCTCTCCAGGCAAAGGCGAGTGCAACGTGGAGACTTTTGAGATTCGGCGCTCGCGAAAGAAGATAGTCCATGTGATGTTCCGTAGCAGTGCTTCTGGCTACAATGAGTGTTTCCAGATTGCTAAGGTCAAGGTCCGGCTTGATTTCCTGGAGGCCTTCAATATCACGCAGCCAGATATTCAGATGACGCAGGGCGGGCAGACAGAACCAGGCCATAAATTGGCGTGGGTTGTAAGGAGGATATCCATCGGGTACCTCGTCGTCGTCTGGCCGCTCGTCCTCAGCGATCGGGACATTTGCACCGTACTCGACCGTTTCAAGCCGATCAAACGTTGAAAACACTCCGGTAGGGTACAATAAAGCCTGCTTTAGCATAACACCTGGATATCCGTCCCACCAGACGAACGAATAATCCAGGCGCAGCGACTTGATGTTTGGTAGCTGCGATAGGAACACGGTGGCCAACGCATAGATGTTTCCGCCGTAGATAGCTATATGCCAATGATTGAGGTTTGAAAACCCGGCTCGTCGCACCAGATCCATCGCCTGGTCGGTCAAGCCTTCGAATTCGTGCCTCTCGCTTTCCCAGTCCACCGGGTCCTTATCTTTCCACGGGTAGCTGGACCCCATCATGCTCACATGCTGGACATATGATGCGTATTCGGGATCCTTAAAGATGATCTGCAGCAGCTGCAGCACCTGCCGTCGGGGTCGGTTAGTCCAGTCTATCCGGAGGTCCCGCAAAACGAAGGGCGTGGATGACGCCTGCAGGTCGGCGCAGCTGGCCGCCAAGGACAAGGCATCATCCAAGGCAAGATGATCCAGGATACCCACTAAGCAGTCCTGGGGCAGCTGGGAAAATGGGCTGTGAACCATTAGCTACATGCACATGCACAAGGATCGAGATATTCCACCGATTGCGCTGCGATGATGGGCAACTGGCATCCATCGTGAACGGTCGCACTGAGAGTGGACGGACCAAGCCGGATAAAAACAATAATACTGATGGTGATGATGATGATGATGCTCCCTTGACAGAAACCCGAGAAGTTTTCCAGGCGACGCCCAAACAGCCACTAGTCGTGGGGCCGAATTGTGGACCGCGTAGGGGGACGATACGAGGGCCTTAAAGGCATGAAGAGGATGGAGTTAGAGAGGAAATGAGAGAGATTGGGGGCGGTGCTGGATTTTATCTTTCCATTTTTATATAAGATCATCATATGGCCAGTTAGGGTTTCCCGCTCTTTTTCTCCTATGGTTTCCTAGTCGTGTGTTACAGTTCTGTAAATAGGCAACGACAATGTAGTCGCCCGGCACTCTGAGCTGCTCCTCGAGCGATCCTGGGCACCCCAATTGTTGATGCAATATATGGTTGGAATGTATAGAGGATGAAGACACTGTTATTTGACTGCTTGTCTGTAGGATTGAGGTTCAACAGAGACCGCGGTTATTTAGTCATCTCTTTCTACCTGAAGTATCATATGTTGTCTCAGGCATTATTATACTTCTCTGAATAAAGAGAAAACTGTGCAGCATAGTTCTGTAAAAGCGGTTCTTCTGAATAATAAGATATACTGCGCCCAAAGAGACTCCGGTAATTCTATCAGTTCTTATCATTATTCCTATCTCGATCAAAAAATCTGGAAACTAGAAGTCTATATATTTGACAAGAAAAGAATATAGATGTATAATAGATTAACACCCGTGTCATAAATCCAGATTATCGAGTCTGGTCAGCTTCAATGCTTGATTACATTACTCGAGGAGCTAGTATTGGGGATGTAGGAATGGAAGTTGGGATATAAGATAGGGATTAGAGTTGAGACCCAAGATAGCCAGCCTGGCCATTCAGTATAGCCAATAGAGGATTAGCTCGCAGTAGCTTCACAAACGTTAATTAAAGTTGACTCTCTGGGAAGCGTATTAGGTGCGGTTCATGCGCCGAGTGAATATCTATAGAGCATGATACCAGAGTACCAAAGTTGACTTGGTATTGAATAGTGGAATATATAGGCAAGGAAAAGCTGACGATAGATAGATATCCTTGATGCACACTTGGGAACACTCGACTAAACTGCAACGGCTAAACTTACACTTTGCCAGTCTCCTGACTGAACCTCACCACACTGGATTATTTGCGTTCTTAGCAACTTAAGCATTCATAATAGCTGTAGAACTGCTGCGTTATCACGTAAATGGCCAATCTACAGACCTTGGCAAGACACTCTTTGGATTTGAGAAGGTTGATATCAATCAGCCAGTCGCAAAATCAACGTTCGATCCCGCCCCGACAATCGTAAAATATACCCACACCTGCCAACACCCTGAAATGAACATGGTAAAAAGCGTCTAAAAATATTAGACTGGCCAGTGGCAGGACCGACGGTCAGATTGAACTCCCCGACACTGCACCGTTGGTATATCCCGATTTAGATTGCGCTGCAGCACGGGCGGTGGAGGACAAGGGAGAGGAGGCTGAGGGGACTCGAGAGAGGATGAAAAGCGCAGGAAGTTGGGTGAAGGATTACTTCGATAGAAAGGCACAAACCTCATATGTGAGTACTACTTTATTGATCTTTGTCGACCCTAACTTCGCTAACTGGAACCAGAAAGCGAAAAACCCAGGGTCCTCTCTAGCCGGTCCGGAGTCAGGACGCAAGGGGTTTGTTTCACGCTACAACGACCCGAGTCACCCAGTGAATAATGGACAGCTTACCTCGGTGCTCACTGGGGGCCTGCTGGGAAGCAAGCTGGGCCTAATTGAATGGGCTACGAATTCCATCAGGGAATCACAAGAAGCCAAGGGGAATGCCCGTGATGAACCTCCAAGTGAACCGTTTAAAGAAAAGTGGCAGCGATGTCAGTGTAAGAAGAAGCCCGGCCTGGCTAAGAAGGTTTTGTAGCAGGATGTGCTCTACTTGCTTATTGGCAACATGCCCACCGAGGAAGAGCTGCAGCAATCCATTGCTCAGCTAGAACATCTCATGCAGCAGACTAGGCAGAGTGTACCACATCAAGCATCCGGCTGACTTTAACTGTGAATTAATATAGTGTAACATACAAATTTCACATTGTTCATTAATAATACGTTATGGCTTAGGGCTTTGCCTAGGTATCGGAGCATGTATGTTGGTATTCAGCTGATGTACTGTGGGCTTGATAGAATTGTGGCTCCTGCTTTGGTCACTCTTCAAACCTGAAATCCTCTCTATACTAGTTAAAGTCTAAGATTACTACTATGAAGATATGGAAGATGGATATTCTATGAGGGAATCTTGAATGTTAGTCTCCGTATGGTTTCCCTCTTCTCTACGCGAACCAGGCAGGTATATAGACACCTTCGGTTACCTTGGATCTCCTTCATAAGCTGTTTCAGATGCAAAGAAATCTGCCGAGATATGTACTTCCTGATGCCTTGTCGTCCACTGAGATCGAGGGTCTGGTCTTCATAAAAAGCTATACTGATAGCTCTTCGTTAGAGCCTAGCTTATCATATACACTCACTAATTCGGATGATAAAACCAAGTTGAGCTAGTAAGAGTGCAATGTAACTATCGAGTCGTGATAGTGATTGGTTGCGAGGAACTAGAATGAGCATCTGTTGTCCATTAAGCATGTATGTACCTTGCTGAAAAGATGTACCAGGCATTTGCGATGTCCTTCACCCTGGCCGAGATCCTTTGCCAGATCATCATGAATCCCATCGGCTTTTAATGCTCCTATCGTCGACGGGTCAAAGGAAAGATAGCTGATGCCGCTTTCCCAATACTGTGACCATTATATGATCCCGGAATCTCTACCGCAATCGGTATCTCGGTCAAGGAACAACTGCGACAGAGATACTCTTCGAGACAAACACACTTCCATCGCGATTGTTTGGCTGACGCGGAGGTTGCGTCGGAGATACGCTCAGTGTCCGTCTTAGCCGGTGAACTTGGCCCAATATCCCAGGCATGTGAGCATGTAGGCACGGCAGGTGTGAATTCCTCAGTCGCAGCCTGGTCATGACCTCTGTTGTTCGCATCATTGCCCAATCCGGGTCTTGCGAAAGCGATGCAGGAATAAAAGTGAACAAATAAATAAACACACAATGTTCTGTCTGATCGCACTCTCAGATCAGTCAGCCAGAAGAGGCCGCGGAGAGGTCGCAAAGTCATCCAAGTCCTGTTGGGCTTCTGGGGAGCCAACGTCCATGAGCGGAGTTATTTCATCCGAAGGCCCCTGTGAGGAAGCAACAGCCTCATCTAAATACCCCGGTCTTCTCGGAGATCCCATATCGAGTAGGGTAGCCATTTCCTCCGAAGTCGTTTGGTCAGCATAATTCGAGGCCGTCTCCTGAAGATGACACCACCTCACGAACCAATCGGCGTACGCATCTTGGGCAGCATTTGTCGCGTAGGTTTCATTTACCACCAGAACAACCTTCCTTACGCCATTCACATCGATCTCCTGTTCTGAAAGGGCGCCGAAACGAGTCGCATATCGGGGTAGGGTGGTGGCTTTTCCATAACCAGCTTCGAGGGCTGACATCAGTAGCTCCTCTTCCGCTAGATATTGCTCCTGTTGCCAAAGGCGTTCTTTTCGAGCGATGTCGACCAATATACGACAAGCCTATGCAGAGTTAATCTTTCAGCGTGAGATTCTCCCCTCGATGATTCCGTGCGGAACGTACCTGGACTAACAACGCGACAGCACAGATGAAAAGTACCGCACAACAGAGGGTCAAAATACACTTATCATAGGTTGACAGTATTCTATGCGAGCTTGACAGAAATCCATCGTCGTCCCATTTATCGTGCATCCTTCCATGGTCCGCCGTCGCACACGCCACATTGGAGAAGGACAAGAAAGCCAAGAATCGGACAAGCTTTGGAGTGTGAAGGTTCGTCGGCCCACTGAAGCCGAGCACACGGACCTTAAACAAACCCATCTATGACCTGAGATTCTCACGTATTTGAGACTATTAATCATGCCGATTGTGCAGGAGTATCGGGAGGGGTAACAGGGAGCAGTCAAAAGAATTTTTCTTACTCGTGGTACTCTTCTTTGAACCCCGCGCTAAGAATCCCAGTCGGTAATCTTTCCCAGTAAAGAATATCTAGCGGACTTTTGTCGCCATCCTCCGTCGGAACGGCGAGAACTCCTTCGGGTTAAATCGTAATAAGTCCTCATTGACAGAGAAGAAATGCAGATCGGAGAGCCAGTCAGACAGCTCAGGAGCACCCATGTGCGAAGACTGACTGGTTGGTGCCCCACCGGGCATGCGCAGCCACTCGCGCATTAGGGTTCATTTTAAACTCGCTGTTCGGAACCTCGCTTGGCTTAAGATTTCACTATCGTCGGTAAGGCTATCTGATAAGTCAAGACGAGCCGGTAGACTTGTCTAGCTTCCCTCTAGGCTGTCTCCTGTAAGCATAAACATCGAGAACGAATTGTTATCCCGTGGAGATAGACTTGGTATCATTCATGGCCGTTTACTACTCCCCAGACCCTCTGCGGAGTCTGGAGATGACCGGAGTTCTGGAGAAGGGGTACTCCGGAGTTTACCCATCACTCCAGTCTAGGACTCTGTCGGCTAAGTACGTAGAGTCTTGACTGTGCTGGACACTCTGGACACCGTTGGCCCGCTCCGTCTCCACTTTCCGGCCCATCGTTCCAAATCGACCCATACTAACGTAAACTTAGCTCACCACGAAAAGCAGCTAAACTAGCTCGACCTCGACACGAAAGCCAAGCAGAGCGAATCAGATGGCCACGTGCACGGTTCGACTGCGACTGACTGACTCGACCGTCAACCCATCCAACTCGTCTCTCATGCACCGTGAGTGGATACCCCAGAAGTCCCGTAGAGCTCGGGACTGATTCCATGGACTCCGAGATCAGGTTTAGTCCAAGAATGGCAAGTGGGCATGTGCTGGACTTTGAACACAGCAACCAGAACCCTGGCATCGGGGGGAAATTCGTCCGTTTCTGTAGGGGTGTCAAAGGCGACAGGTGTATGCGTCGGCTACTCAAGGTATACCCTCCCTGGTCCCATAATAGGAGTACGAGGTGGTAACTGCAGCTAGCCACAAGCTCTTTAACCTTGTTCCTCGTTGAAATAAAAAGGGAAGAATGTCCTGCTGGATCAATGCAAACTGAAATATTCGCCTCTTCCAAGCTCGCCTACAGCTAAAATCCCATTTTAACTCGTTGCCTTTCTTTCATTCGCCGTCTCTAGCCATGGCTGTCAACAACGCTTTTCTCTATGCCGCCACCATCGGTGATGCAACCACAATTGAGAATGAATATCTCAGAAATAAAGCAATCCTTACTGCCAAGGATGCCAATGGTCGGACAGCCCTCCACCTAGCAGCACTCCACCAAGATGTGAAGGTCGTCGAACTACTACTAAACTATGGGATCGAGCCATCAACGGCCGACAACCGGGGCCAAGCCGCATTACACATCGCAGCCGAGCTATCCTCTCTCCCCGTTGTCGAGCTGCTCCTTAAGAGAGGTGCTAATTGGTCGATCCGAGACCATGACGGCAATACGCCACTCTCCTACGCCTACCAGCAGTACTCCCTGGACGTCCTGAGCTGTTTCCTACAGTACACACCGGCCTATCCCACCGAAGTTCCCTGTGGCCTGACTCCAGAAATCGTTCTTCGATCCTCCGCGAACAGGAAATGGACTGCTCTCCAGATAGGCGTCAACGCGCACGGCCGCTAGGTTTTGTGGAGCTATTCGGTAAGTGGGAATCGGCGGACTTCTGAAACCGCTCCACTAACAAATGTCCCAGAGCCATTTGAAAGCAAAATAACATCCTTCGGAAACTGAATATTTCCGACCAGCAAGTGACGATCAACTCACCGGACGACCGAAATTATCGCTCCGTTTAACTGAGCGCTCAACCACCATGAAAACTTCGGCCTGTACGAGAACGTCGAACGGACGGGTATACCGTGTTCAAAGAGGACCGATTCCACGAAGAGACCCTTCGACAAGAACGTGGAGAACATCATGATCGGTCGGATCCAATGGTCTGCCTCAAGACTCTATTCTACTCATGGGGCAGAACCTCGTCTACAATCACTTTTCAAGACGACATGTGATCAGGGATGGTTGACAAGACGGACAGTGATAACGGGAGATTTATGTATGTTGTCGTCTATCATTATCTCGGCGTTGAGGATTTTTGTCGGGGGGGGAACTCGCTTCAATTATGTTGTGGGTACGGTGGGGACTCATCTCGGGGAGATACGATTTTTGGTGGTTTTTAGGTATAAGCAAAGCAGTCCTATTGGGCCAGACTTAAATAGTTTCATTACCTTCGCCATATTACAAGCATTTTAGCCAATCAAACCTTGCCCAGCAACAGCCTAAATTCGCTAGAGTTGAACATTCGAGGCTTCGAAACCGCGCCAAGCATCGGAACAACAGACAAGATATTTACTGATATAACTATATTCGTTTATTGTCTAGAAACGAATCATGAGTGAAAAATGATATGCTGTAATTCAATGCACGCTGTTGTCCACAGGACCACAGGTGTTAAGTAAGCTCCAACCAGCATGAGCATTGACCCATTAGGGCATGATCATCATAATCGCAGGGGCAGCACACATTGCTCGAAAAGCGATACCAGAAGAGTGAGCAATGGGCAAATACTGCCTATAGTCGCGTAGCTGGAGTGAGTTTATAACAGATGGAATCACGAGCGAGCTACGATTGATACTCTAATACTATAATTACTATACTAAGTTATTAACCGCTTAGCTCGGCCACTAAGACCTAGTATATATCCTTCTCTAGATTCGGTTCTCCAATACGGACAAGGCTGCCCGTCTCCACATAATATGTCTATCATGCTATGAAGCTTAAGTTATTTAAGTTTTGTCTTTCCTTTTTAAGTGTCGGACAGCAAGCCTTGCAAGCATTGCTGGCCCACAGCTTATCGCGCACAGACTTGTGCATCCATGGTGCTGGTGTCATTATCACCGCGCTAAAATATCAGTCAAATAGGATATACTATCGACATTAACGTTTCACTTGCAAGCTCTTCCACCAGTTTCTCCACTGACAGAGTTACGGGAAGGTGGTGCGTGGCCTGTGAAATCAGGCAATGGTCTAAATTGCCTTACTGAACCAAGACTCGAGCCCTAAGTTCGTGACACTTTAAATCTTAATAGCCCCCACAGACATACGAAGAAAATGCGGGGACACTCGGGAGATAAATTATACTTCAAGGATTTAAGGTCCGGGGCCACCAAAGTCAAAGAAATAACAGATCCACTTCAACCTCCCTAGTACTTTGGTCTATCTACTATAGCGCACTCCCCGGCGCACAGGGACTGCTGGCCGGCATTTAGTCTGTCTAGAAAAGCAACCTTGCCGTATATGACAAAGGGTGGTGTAAAGCTCCGAGAATAAAAGGTCCCGTCCTAACGCGAAGCTCTCCGTTCATTCCAGATGCTTAGGCTCCTCTCAACCACATCAAAGTAACTTCTACGATGCCTTAAATAGACCCTCGCATTCTTCCATTGCACCAATCCTACGTAGTCTCTGCTCCGAAACCATTCAGAATAGTTCCACGTTCCAAATTCCGTCGTTTTTCCCTCCTCACAGTTTTCATTTAACATGGAACAAATCACCAGGTTGACGGTACTAATTGAGAACAAGTTACCCTTCCGCATACTTTGAACATTATTCAAAGTAGCCCACTTCTCGAGGCTCATACTCTGCTCCGTCACTATCTTCTAGTTCAACAGATGCGCTCGCAAGTGATCCGGCAGACATAAACCACTATCAATTCCTGTTGCGGCTGACCAAAGGGCATCCTTGATTTCAGCTTCATGTCGCCAGATCTCCACATCTATTTACTGTCAGTTAGATTCTACCAATCGACAAAATACACGAATAGCCCAAAAAAAGTGCTTAGAATGCCTCGGAAAACCCATGAAATCCGCCCCAAGACTGCCATGAACCCGCTCGGGGAACCGAAATTAACGAAATGCAGTTTTACAGTATAGTTACTGCTAGGTTTGCCACTTGCCTATTCGCTTTCAACACGGACATCGGCGCTTTCCAATGACAAAGAGCCTACGGGCTGGGAGCCTGTTTTATCAATGGACTCTTTTTCATCGACCCTTCCCCAAACCTTCTGCGGATGTCGGCTAAACCTCGTGCCAAGAGTTTGTGGAGATTTATTCGGAATTTCCAATATCGCCGCTCTACGTCGGCGTCTGCGCGCGGACTGTTGAGTTGCTTAGTAGAATAAAGCAGAGAAGCTCCACAGCTGTGATTTTATCCATATCTACCGGACCTCGAGGGTATGTGCAAGAATTATTAAGTCAATTTGTACTATCATCCGATAAATCAAATGAGCCAGCTAACAGAAGCTCATGGCACAAGAGATTTACACATGGAGATAAAATCACAGAACGAGACCATGGAGCTGCAAGAAAGGAGTCCACCCCAAGAGACACCAAATGAACATATTTCCACCCAAAGCTCAAAACCAGAGGAGGTGAAATGGAGGTACGCTAAAGTTCTCAGCGCCGGGCTGTCTTTCTTTGTTGCCGGTATCAATGATGGAAGCTTGGGCTCTATCATTCCCTACATTATCCGCACCTATGGTATCGGTACAAATATGATAGCTGTGCTGTAAGTTGGTACCATCCAGCCCGTGGTTACTCATATTCACGCAGCCTAGATACGGGACAACATTCTTCGGCTGGCTCCTCGCTGCTTTGACTAACAGCTTTCTGACCAACCAACTCGACCTGGGCTGGATACTTGGTCTAGGCGCCGTAATTCAAGTCCTTTGCCATGTTTTGCGCGCGTGGCTTCCCCCTTTTGGCCTTTTCGTGGTGACATTTTTCCTGGCTAGCTTGGTCAGGCTTATAATGACACCCATGCGAACACTTTTGTTTCGTCTCTGAATGGGGCGCATAGGTTGCTGGGCTTCATTCACGCTATGTACATGGGTGGATGTCTAGTTGGCCCGTTTGTGGCCACTGGTGTCGCGTCAGCAAATACGGACTCGAAGTGGTATTTATTTTATCTCTTCCCACTCGGTATAGGTGTAGCAAACCTTGTACTTGTTGGTGTATCATTCCACGATCGAATGCGTCGGAGGCAATCCCAGACAGCAGAGCCCTACGTGCCAGATCAACGTGCCACAAATTCGGCGATGAAGGAGATGAAAGATACGCTCGCCACGCCCGCCGTTTGGCTGCTCAGTCTGTTCTTTTTCTTCTTGCTTGGAGCTACAATTACAACCGGGGGTATGACTTCACTCTAATGAAACACATCCTCTCTTCCTGTCAAACTGACTGAATCTAACAGGGTGGATGGTCGAGTTCCTCGTTAATGTCCGTGACGGGGATGTCTCGAAAATGGGATACGTGCCCGCCGGCTTCTACGGTGGAGCTTTTCTGGGACGCCTTGTCCTGGCTGAGCCAACGCATAGATTTGGGGAACGAAGAATGGTATTTTTATACTCGATACTCTGTGTGGGATTCCAGTTGCTCTTTTGGCTGTAGGTTCTCCCTCGTACATCACTCTTGTGCCCCATCAATGCTTATCGACTCATGAAAAATCAGTGTACCAAATATTATCACGGAGGCCGTCGCTGTGAGCTTGCTTGGGTTCTTCTCTGGTCCTATTTTTGCAGCGGTACGTTTCCTTTAAGCTGCCCTCAGCTTCCACGCTCCTTAAACGCTCACTGAAAATTTTGTTGAAGGGTATTTCGGTCGGAACAAAGATCATCAAAGCTGAGATACGCTCCTCGGCGCTTGGTAAGCCATCGCTCTCGCTCTTTCCTGACCGTGCATAGGCACTGACCCGTACAGCATTTGTCTTCGTGCTTGGACAAGTAGGAGGTTCGATCTTCCCAGCCTTCACGGGCATCATTGCCGCGCAGAAAGGTGTACAAGTCCTGCAGCCTGTTTTAGTGGCACTCTGGGTTGCAACAGGTGGCAGCTGGTTGATTCTGCCCAGAGATCTGGAGCTCCACCGGGACTAGATTGTGACAGCAAAGGCTATACGGGTTCGTAGTTCAAAGGAGAAACATGTTGCCGTATTGTAGTTAACACCCCACGCATACATACCACAACGGCCTGTGGCACCCGTGGTCCCAGACTGCTACTAAGTCCCCCAGGCCTTCCTAAATCTATAGATTGTCTATAGCTAAATAAGTATAGTATGTCTTTGTAGTGGATTTTGTTTCCGCAGTCAGGTATTCAATATTTTAAATCCCGTATGAAACCCCACATCCAAAGTCACATACTCAGATTGAGAATAGAGAGGTTTGTCGATAATGTCCTGTGGGTGATACCCGAGTCTCGACCGGCTATTATTTTATTGTTTTATTGTTCTATGCTGCTTCTAACTCGGCTTTGTTCCCGTTCTTCCCGAAGTCGCGTTCCGATTGGTCACCCAATGCAAACGCCACGCGAACGACTCCTGATTGGTTGTTATATTTAAACGCCACGTGACTTTGGGTCCCTGCTGTCTCTTCACGTGTTGCTCCTGCTTTCCGTTTCTGTAGTCTATCCTCGTGTGTTCTGATTGGCCGACAAGATCAACTAAAAATAAACCGAATAAATAGAACACAATATTGCGCAGTGTAACGGCGGTATACTAAGGTATAGGGGACCCCAGGGCATTCTGGATCGACGATCCAGAATGATCTGACCTTGTAGCCTTGTGGAATGCAGGGCCCTGGCCTGGCTGCACCCCTTACACGCAGCCGCTCGTCAGAGATGCGGGCCAGCCGGTACCAGGGGCAGGCCGCAGGTCTGCCCCTAGTAAGCAATCATTTCCCGCACGCGTGATTGACCTGGATTCACTTCGCGACGAAATCTTTGCCCTTCGAACTGTCTCATCATCATCATTATCATCATCATCATCATCATCATCATCACCATGACCGCCCCTGCTTACCTCTTCCTCAAGTGCGGTGCATTTGGTTTGAGAACACTCGCCAGGCTTTATGGGCAGATTATCTCCAGACCCGATGCTACCTGGCGCATACCCTCAAGAGATGTAGACCGGACTATCAAGGCCCACGTTTACCAACCCAAGTCACGCCGGAAAGATATTTCCCTCCCGGTGTTGATCAATTTTCATGGCAGCGGTTTTGTGATCCCAGCCCATGGTAGCGATGATGACTTTTGTCGCCAAGTCAGCCAACAGACCGGTTATTCGGTGCTAGATATCCAGTACCGACTAGCTCCGGAGCACCCATTTCCTGCGGCCCTGGAGGACGTTGAGGACGTCGTAAACTGGGTGAGGACTCAGCCGAAGAAATTCAACCTGCAACGCATCGCCATGTCGGGGTTTAGCGCCGGGGGTAACCTGGCTCTGGCGGCCTCGTCCACCTTGTTTCCACCGGGTACCTTCCGTTCGGTCATTTCGTTCTATCCCAGTGTGGAGTGCTTCCTGGATCCGGATAATCTAGTTGCACCTGAATCTGGAGGGAAGCCTCTACCGCCGTTTGCTATCCGTCTATTCAAGCAATGTTATCTTCAATCTAAAGTGGATGCGCGAGACCCTCGTGTGTCGCCTGCTCTGGCAGACCCGAACCGATTTCCAACTAATGTGCTGATCATTTCCGCTGGATATGATAGCCTTGCACCCGAGGCCGAACGACTTGCTCAAAACCTCCAAAAGCACAGCACTCGATATGTTGTGCATAAGCGAATGGAAAGGTGCGACCATGGATGGGACAAACTCGCCAAAAAGGGGGGCAGGGGGTGGGAGCTCAAGGAGAAAGCTTACGCTTCAGCCATCTCCATGCTTTTGCGTTAAAATCGAATGCAATACAACTGGCTGATCAAGCCTATATTCTCAATCCTCCCTGGGTGAGTGTATACGTTATTCCCCCCACCCAAGAAAAGAAGCAATAGGAGCTAATTGTTATATATGCCTACCTCGTTAGTATGTCTAATTATCTAGGTTCCCTACGAGACAATTAAATCTGGGCCTCGTTAGTTTTATGTCACAGTATGCACTGTGGTAGTTCTGCCAGGGAAGAATCAAAGCTGTAGTACCTTGCTCCTTTGTTTACATACTATCAAGGCCTGGGGTTGATTTGTGTGACAAGCGATGATAGCCCCGGGATTTTACAGAGACTTGACAGGGAGCACGGCATCTACTGCAATGGAAGCCTTGTTGAGGCAAGAAATGCGGGCGTTCAAGGCAATGCGATCAACCTAGATTTGCAGATCACTGGAGAGAAGCTCACGATGATTTTACCATATGCTGAGAATCATTGGGTCCGTTCTATCTACTGTCAGGTTTTATAATTTTCTGCATTCGGCATTTAGCTACTAAGATATTTGTCATGGAGTAACCCTCGTACATCTCGTTTTCCAACCACACACAAGTATCACTGACGAGACCACATCCTGGTAGTCTTTGTCGCCCAGACTCTCTTCTGTAGCTGGACGGTCCCGTACATCAACGCCTCCGGGCAGCCTGTAATATAGATATCAACAGGCACCACCCGGTCGACGCCACGAACCACACTATAGCTGTAATGGTAGTATCCACCACCATTTGCACAGCTTCCCGTACTGATAACCCGCCGTGGTTCGGGCATTGATCGTACACCTGCCTCAGCGCAGGTGCCGTCTTATTAGTGACAGTCCCAGCCACTATCATGACATCAGACTGCCGTGGAGATGCACGAAAAATAATTCCAAGGCGATCTTGGTCATACCGAGGCATTGAAGGATGCATCATTTCAATGGCGCGGCAGGCTAATCCGAAGCTTAGGGGCCAGAAGGACCCGTTTCGAGTCCGAGCAACAAGACCGTCGAGGGAAGTCCTATTGAATGTAGAGCATCACGTTAGTTTAAGTATCGGTACATGCTGCCTCGAGTAAAAGTAATCCCTCACAGTCCATGTTCCACGGCGTTGGCGTCTTGACTTGGTAATTGGGCCTCTTTACGTGGTCTTTTGGTCAAGGTGAGATTGACTCTGGTATCGAAACAACTCCTCTGGCTAGGGCACACGGATATTTTTGGAACTGAAGTACAGGCCGGGTGTTCAATCTGCAGAGATTCGCCATGGGCATACACAGGCCCATAAAGCCTACTGGAACAGCGAATGGGACAAATTGCTTCACAGGGTGCCGGGTGGAGACTTACCATTTCCATGACGCAGAGTGAAGAACACGTCCCCTTACTGAAGACTCGGTAGCTACGAGCTGTCCACATGATTTCAGCGCTTGTAACATGATCGTGAGTCGTTCACGGGACATGGTGGATGGATGTATAGAGTGGGCTTTTGCCGATCTATGTGGGTCTTCACGGCGACTCGAGTGGGCTTTTTCCATGGTGGATCCAGAACCCTTCGGAGTGCCAGGAATTGTTGCCACGATCTTGAAATCTCTTGTAATTTGGTCCTGGAGCAACCAAGGCCTGTACCGTCTGCATCTGAGTATAGGTTTCATATCGACTCGGGACCCTGCCGAGTACACACAATAATGCCGTACGTGTGTTCAATATGCAGAAAGGTCTACTCGAGCAGTAGCCACCTGAGACGCCATGAGATTTCCCGTAAATCAACCACTTCTTTTTCAGACTTGAAGCAGCTGTCCGCCGATGTTGACTCCGGTGTTGACCTTCCTAGAGAGCCACCTATTCCACCATAGAGCCGCTGTTTGTCACCACTTAATATCTCTTTTTCTGAAATAAGATGTGAACTATTTAGAGCGCCTATCACCTGCTACGGTAGCGTATCTGAATCGAATGAACCACCCTTATTTATGCAGACAGTATTAGACCCGCTGCGAGAGCATGTAAACACTGTTTTACATGAACTCGAAGATTTTATATCAGTTCCTGGGTACTTGGCTGGCATATCCCTGCCTAAAATGTCCGTTTTGACTCAGGCACGCAAATGGATCACCGCATCACATCTACAAATGGCCCTCGGTGAATTCTTTCGCCACGTACAACCCAGCTGTCCAGTTGTGCATCAACCTTCTTTCGACCCGTGCACGGCTTCGATTACTCTCCTTTTATCAATCTTTGTTTCGGATGTTCTGTCGCACGGTCACAACTTGGCGTTTTGCCCACTGAGCTTCTCTCTGTTATTGAATATTACATATTCCAGGACCAAAGTTTCAATCCTCAAGAGAAGGACCACAGCTCTGGTGGCGTTCGGGCAAATCTCGAGGATCTCCAGGCTGCTATTATCCTAATATCAATGCGAGCACCAACCGATGATCCCGAAATCCAGCACCGTATTCGGGATTGCAGGTTTCCGCATCTCATAAATGCGCTCCGGCTTCACTCGGCATTCAGCGCCATAAACAGTACACTGCATAATTCCAAGAATACCGCTTTTGATTGGCAACAGTTCATAAAGGAAGAATGTCTAGTAAGGTAATGCGAAGCGTTCTACCCATCACTTACTAGATCGACGCCCGTTAGCAATGAGGTTGGCACAGGATCATTTTCATGGCCTTCGCATTCGATGCACACTTTACTATATTCTTTCGTGCTCCACCTCGACTCACAATTCAAGCGGTCACAGGCGATCTATCTTGTCCTGATCCCATTTTCATGGCTGATACCAGCCATCGCTGTAAAATGCTGTTGGACAGTTTGCCAAATCCTCAAATACCCTCTCTCATATCACTTGTTAAAATACTGATGCATGATATGGAGTTTGATCCACGGGACCAAAGGCTGCAAGGGCTAACAGTGCGCCATTTATTTATACTGATTCTGGGTACCATGGACTCCATCAGCTCTAGAACTACATTTTTACCAAGCCTATGAACAGGTCACTAATAGCGTTCTCTCACTAGGTTTACACGTTGTCATCATTTCGGCTCAAACAACATGCATTATGGCTCACGTTGCCACCCCTGTGGAGCGCGCCCTTGGGCGCTGGGAGATCCTCTGGAACGGTTGGCTAAGCAGTAATACAAACGACCAGCTGGCTAGCACTGGGTTTATGAGATTTGCTCTTCAGTTCTGGATGTTGGCTAAAATAATGGCACACCCGAACATGCAGGATTTACCTTTGGACAGGGTCAACGTTTGGTCGAAGGACTATATTCATGAATATTCGCGGAAGGCTGCTGATCGGTGTCTCCTTGGCTATGATTCCTGTTTTCTTTCCTCTCCTACTTTCCCCAAGAGGCCGACATAGTTAGCATGAGCCGGGTAAATAAACAAGGGCAGATGGTGGGCCACCCGGCGAGACCAGGTTTGTGAGACTGGGTGTGTGGAATGTTTGATGGGTATTATTGGGGTTATGGCATATACTGTCCTACGGGGGAGCTCAGGGTCTACTCCGTAGGAGTGAAGATATAGTCAAGGGCACGAACTCTAACCAAAAAAAAGAAGTAAAAACATACAACAGGAGGGATTCGCTGGTGGTCACCCACCCAACTACTAACCTCCCGGCGTGTGGCTTAAGTACGGCTGAGCGGACGGGAAGCCCTGTTCTCCACACCCTGTGGTCGTATGTGCTAGTTTCAAGCAATGATAGATATATATTTGGCACACATCTGCATCCAAAGGTGTCTGTTAACTCTTGGTTGCCCTCGTGAAACGTCCGGTTCTGGACAAGATGGAATCGGCACTCAATACCACTACGCCTCCGACTTTTAGATGCCTACTACCAGCATTTCAGAAATTCTTGAACATTATCATTTTTGGGTGTTTCCAATCTGGTATTTTAGTGATCCAGCCTTTGTTAGTGGGTGTTGTACTTAATGTCGGTCATAACCGTCTGTACCCCTAATATATATATGTTCCATGAACTATGTAAACAACGGTACACAATTATCGACCCATCATCACCCCTTGATATCGTGTGCATTCCATCAATAACAGGCATACAACAACCCTAAATATGACGAGTACATCCATGTAAATGTGAAGTGAATATATATGTGTGATAGCAGGCTTGAAATAGAATGCCAAGATTTACTTCCTACTCCGTACAATGGACCAACACCTGGATGGTCTAGTGGCCACGAATTCCTCAATTAACTCGAACATTAAGATTGTTTTCGCCTAGGAAATAACCTAACTATACCTGCGAGGAGTCTCGCTCTATTGGCGGCTCGGGCCGTTTCTTCTTTCCTTTTCCCTTTTTGCTTTCTGATTACCTAGAATACTTCCTTGCCACTCATCATGTTGACTGACTTAGTGCTTTATTTTCATGGTTATATCGTATGACTTTTTAACAATCTCACGTTTTGCTCATCATATCGTTGCATGACCCATAGGAAGTGTATAGTAGGTAGCCTGCTGCTACTGGTTCATAAAGTGTCCTTTCGGGTTGACGCTGTCTCCAACAACAAACCTCAAGCAAGAGTCTCCTTAACCTGACCCACCAAATCCACCACTGTCTCCTCAAAACTCCTAAAACTAACCCCCAACTCCCTCGTCACAGCCTCCCCATCCAATTTATACCCCTGGACAGGCTTTTCCCCACTCTCATAATTCCCCGTAACCGTATCCCTCGCCCACTCAAAACTCCCTCGAATAATATCCGCCGCCAACTCATACGAAAACGGCTCCCCAGAAGCAGGAACAAACCGCTTCCCACCAACCTCACTCCTCAGCAAAGCCTGCACATGGGCCTCCGCCAAATCCCTCACATCAATCCACGCCGAAACCCTGGCAGCAGGCAGCGGATCCGCTCCGGAAGCAACACTCCACAGCACCGCATTCGACTCGTTCAACCCCGCTACCCCGCTTACAGGATGCACGACAGGACCGAAGGTCATGGGCGGGCAAAGCGTAACGAGATCAAATGAGGGCTTCTCCCGCTCGATGAACTGCCAGGCTTCTAGTTCGGCAAACTTCTTCGATCCCCGGTACGCCACTACCGCGTCGGTGGCGGGGTCGATCGCTTCTTCGTAGGTTAAGGGATTCCAATGGGAACCGGTGTAGGTGAAATCGCCGTCGTATGTCCTCGCTATATCAACTACGGACGCAAACGATGAGGTAAGGACAACGCGCTTCACATTGGGTTGTTTCGCCGAGGCGGAGAGGATGGATTTCACTCCGTTTATGGCCGGGATGATGAGTTCTTGTTCGTTGTTTGTGGTGTCGTATGTGAATGGCTTATGGGACCAGTAAGAAAGGAGCAGGCTTGGAAGGGTGAATGGCGGATGTGACGTACACTCGCGACGTGAATGACACCGTCTATACCCTCCATGATTTCGTCGAAGACTCCGATCTGTGAGAAGTCTTGTATCTCGACAAATTCGAGTCGGGAGGCATGTTGCGGTCTTGCGGCTTTCATTTGCTCGCCTTTTTGTACGGAGCGTGTTGCTGCGCGGACGCTTAACCCGCGGGCCAGGAGGTTGTCGACTACATGGGCGCCGATGAAGCCTGTCGCGCCTGTTACAAAGATGTGTCTGCGTGTTGTTAGTGGGTATGTAGCATTGGGATTTGGGGGCTTACTTTGGGGTTGAGGGTGACATTTTTATGGCTTGTGACGAGACGACGTGTAAGGTTAATTGGGGGTCTGCAGATGCATACTGTGCGTATATGCAAATGATGATATCTGATGCGGGGATAACGGAGATACGCCGATGATCTCGGAACGTGTCCGAGGTACACGGCATATGTATTGGTCTGCCCTACTAATAACTACCGGGGTTGTGCATACATCGTTTTGATAGCATGAAGCCATGAAAATGGAAATAAACGGAGTGTATCCAATTGATGGATATGTATATAGTTCATCTAATATCTAGCACAGACAAATCGTAGTTTACTTTATCAAGATCGTTTCACATTTATCGTTCAATCAAGCATCATGAATCATGCTCAATTCGACCGACCCAGCACCTCATCCGTAGTCTCAACGAGAATCTCAAATGCCCGCCGGAGGTACTTCTCTTCCGCTGCTTCGTTGGCGCAGATCACGCGAATCGCATAAATACCCGAGACAACAGTAGAGGTGATGAAGATCTCGCCGCGCGCGTTGATAAGCTCGTATACTTCCTTCGTGAGGGCGTCATGCTTTTCATTCGGCTTTGCAACCGTAGTTCCGTTGACTGCGGACCCGTTGGCTTGTGTTCTGGTGTCCTTGATGCGGAAAACAGTCAAGCCGAATGCGGGAGTGGTGATAATTTCAAAAATATCGGACCGGCTGCGCACCAGGCTTGTAAACTCCTCCCCTACTCGGATGGTTTTTCGGACGTGTGCTTTGAGTCCATTGAGGCCGTAGCTACGCATGACGAACCAGATCTTCAACGCGCGGAATCGGCGGCCGAGAGAAATGCTCCAGTTGCGGTAGTCAATCACCTGGCCAGATTCGGAGTAGGGGTTGCGCAGGTACGCGGGGGTGATGTCCAAGGCATCGGTGAGATCGAATCGGTTGCGAATAAAGAGACAGCTACCGTGAATGTTAGTACCAACATATCAAAGACAGTGCCCCACAGCGCTTACCTTGCATCAAAGTTGACCAGCAACCACTTATGCATGTTGAAATTGAAACTGTCGACACCTTCGGCAAGCTCCTTGGCGAGATACTGGAACTCGTCCGTGACCAGGGCCGAACCAGCATATGCCGCATCGATGTGCACCCAGATCCGCTGCCAAGAAGGCTTCTCCCGGAGCACGGCTGTGATCTCAGAGATGCGATCCACAGCACACGTGCTCGTCGTTCCCATACTCAGGGTGATATAGTATGGTGTCAGGTTGTCCTTGTCGCATTGCTCAAGAACAGCCCGCACATCCTCTCCGGTAAGCTCCATGTTATTCTCCAGCTTGGGAGTGGCACTCCGATACCGCGTGCCTGCAATCAATGCACCCTTTGCAGTGCTACTGTGCGCCTGGTTGCTTCCCATCGCAACAATCTGGGTCGGAGGTCCATCACCCGGTCCTCGTACTCAAGCGTTCCCTCCTTCAAGCCTTCGGCTAATGCCAGGTCGCGGACCCGCCGTTCCCGAGCAGCCACCATCACGGTGGCGATAGTATCACTGGCACTAACCTGGAGCACACCGCCACCATGGTTCTCCGAAGAGCTCATAAAGCACTTGGGAAGGTTCAATGCTTGTGCCACCCAGTCCAGGACGATTGTTTCCAGCTCGGTGCAGGCCGGGGAGCACAGCCAGTTGAATGCGGGGGCGTTGAACGCGGCCGAGTACATCTCACCCAGGATACTGGGGTAGGTCACCGTCGCGGGGTAAAAGGCCATGAAGTTAGGGTGTTGCCAGTGCGTCAGACCCGGTTTGATCTTGGTGTCGACGTCGGCTTGGATTTGCGACCATTCTTCCGGTTCTGCGGGGGGTTGCTCGGGAATTAGGGGACGGAGGTAGCCTGGGTCGACGGTGGGGCAGACGCGCCGGTCGGGGACACTGTCAAAATAGTTGATAACTGGTGATATAGTTAGTATAGATATATGAATGGCCAAGGGGAGTCAGTGCTGACTGTCATCTACCGTTGCTTGCGCAGCGGCTCTGAACTGTTCGCTGTCCATCTGTGGTTGGTGAAGTTGTTCGCAGTCAACCGGGGGTCTCGGAGGAGCCAATGGGGACAGGAAGGGTCGCTGATAACGATTAAGTTGGACTATAGGGAAGAAAAATGCGACACGGTGGATGAGGGGATATATAGACTTAAATGAGGGCCGGGAAGGAAAGAGAAATTGTGACTCGGAATGACCGCACAAAGCGTTCCGATCCGATTAGATAGATGATTGGATTGTGGGGCAACTTGTCGTTTACAGGGCGAGTTTTAGCGGTGGTCGGAACTGTTCCGGGCAATATAAAATATTACCAACTTGACCAATACCAATATACAATTTTGTTAATTAATTAAATCTATTTACAGGGCTTTAATATACTGATAAATCAATTATATTAAGACGACGTGCCGCTCTCGCGATGCTTGGGCGCACTACGTCATCGATACAAATCATCTAGTTGATGCTTGCCTCTTCAGGCTGAAGGATTTGGTAGAAGATCTTAGTTTGGAACTACCTGATAAAGCGGACCAGCATACCAGTGGCGCATATCTCTGTCTTGATAAAATTTCCCCAGCCGCTATGGCTTTGACGATTACGTGTATGTATGTGGCTTGGAAGGCGATATCGGTCCTCACTGTATAGAAATACTAAACCTGGCTTTATAAATAAGGTTAATTCTCTATGATTTCATGGGAAGCGTCAATAATATTAGCTTAGTAGGTAATACCCAGCACCTAATTTAACCTAGAACTTCACCTGACTTCCTAGTATAATAATCTGATAGAATGCAGTGCTTATATATTTTCTCTTGGGTATTAGGGAAAGCTCTTCGTAATACAATAGAGAAGACTTCCACTACACCAATACAAACGTCATGGCGAAAAGATGTCGTATATCGGCAGACTGTTTTTTACAATCCGAACTTATAAGGACTAGTCTGTATACAATTGGGTTGTAAAAATGCTTCTTGGCAGATATAAACTGTTTTTATTACTCTTAGATAGTACGTCCAAATCTACAGTTATGAAGCTATACAGAACGCCTGTAGACCTATCCACTTCTTTCGCTAGATCGAATTTAAGCTTTGTCAACTGAAGTTCTTACGGGCCCACAAATGCCAAGACAATCACGTCCTTGATATACACACCCGCATATGGTTAATCTGCTTAGTGTCTTTCGAACAGTCGCATAACTTTGGCCGAATCCAAATACGGACTGACTGTCTCATCCAGAAGGACAGAGCTTGCTGAGATAAAACCAAAAGAGGGCTCACCATGAGCGCTGAAGAATTCCTCGCGGACGTCGAAGGCGGCGCGGTGCCGGTGGACTGCCACGATCGAGTGTTGCGGATAGCATTTATCTATATGGATGAAGGGCTGTGGGGCGGCAATGGCGTGTTCGATGTTGTGGAGAAGCTGCACGCGCGCGGGTGGTCGTTTGGCGAGGGGGAGTTGAGGTTTAATCGGTAAGTTACGATCCCCAATATCAGCGAACTACGAAGACTGATCATCATAGCACCCTGGATATATTCTACCTCGCCCAGCTCGCAGCGGCCATCTACCGCTCCTCCTCCCAACTCACCGGCGCCTTCCCTTCCCCCTCCGATTTCCCTGCCTTCTACGCCACGCACCGCGCGCTCCTCCACTCCTCCGTATGGCGCTCCTACTACTCCGCCGCCTTCCTCACCCAGCGCGCCACGGCGCGCTTCTACCGCCTGCCCGACCTCCAAGACCTGCCCGACTCTGACTCCCCGCTGGCGCAGCCGTGCCAGCAACCCCTCGCCGGCGGCGGTGCACACGCCACGAAACTCCCCCGCTGGGCCTACAGCGTCGCGCGCACGCGCCGCAGGCAGCCCTCCCTCCCACTAGCGACTCTCACCCGATTAGCCCTCAGCACGCTTGAGATGGCCACCGTGCGCCTGCGCACGGCCCACCCCAGCGTGCCGCCTTACTCGGAGACACAAGCGCGCTTCTGGCTCGAGCACATGAAGCTCGGTTCCCTTGACCCATCAGGCTCTACCAAGGCAGCTTCCCAGCAAGCGTGGGAGCTGAACGGCTTCGGCGTCCTGGTCGCGCAGGGAGCGCTTGATGTGTACGCGTGGGAAGCGCAGTACTCGGCGCAGTGGGAAAGTGGGGTGGAGTGGTGTGGGGAGCCAGATGGCGG